AAATGACCTCTCATTAAATTTGTTACCTAAAAGTCTGTTTAACTATTAATAGCACCACCATCCCAAGAGAATTAATAAATTTCACTACCTAATGTTCCAATCAATAATTTTGAATTAGGTAAATCAGCATAGATAGCTCTTACACTAGGACATACAGAATCTGGACACTTTTCTTTTACTTTCACAGCCAATATTTCTTCATAATTTTTACTTAAAACAAAGAATACTCCATCTCTTCCTCCTGAGAAAACATAATCTTGTGTAACTGTAATACAATCACAAATTTGAGCATGTTTACTAGGTAATGGTTTCATAAATGCTTCTCCTTTCCATACTTATATACATCCATCTGCAGCTCCACATAATGTATCATTTCCATTAATAGCAATTCCAGATAAGTTATTACTTGCTCCCTTTCCAAATTATCCTTTCTTTCCTTAACACTTCCCATTATCATATTTCCAACATTTATAATGTTTAACACCTACTGTTACAAATGCATCATCTGTATTCCATCTTAAATCAACAATAACATCTGGTCCACTCTTATCTGACCATAATACTGCTCCTTTTCCACTTACATCAAAAACTGCCAATGAATGATCAACATCTACAGCTCCAGCAACTAATCTTTTTCCATTTGGAGTAAATGCCATTGCTATTATACCCTTCTATAATGGAGCTTTGAATTAGCATTTCACCTCTTTTGTCTCAGCATTCCAAACAAAAATATTTGGTTTAGCACCTAATTCACCAGTAGCTACTGTCATTCTATCAACAGGATTCAAATCTATTGCTGTAATATCATCTTCATGTTTATTGAAATAAGTTTAGGTATTACTACCAACATCTAAAACTATTCCTAATGCAGCTGCATTATATAATACTTAGCCATTTGCTAAAAAGAATAAATTATTTCTCATATCTTTTGTACGATAACCATGTACATACTCAATTTCCAAATCACATTTTGGTGGTTTATGTCCTTCTGTTTTACTTTAATAATATTGATATGTTGGTTCTTTAATTGCTCCCATCCATGGTTTACATGCCATAAATTAATCTCCTTCATCAGTTTCCTCTTGTGAGAATACTGAATTTTCATCTTGTTATATTTACTTTTTAGGAGGTGGTTATGCCTTCTTCTTTTTAACAGGCATATCAATATCATCTGCTCCTTCTTCCTTACACAATTCTTATAAATTAGCTTATTCAACTTTTCCTTAAGCACTTCCAAAATCTGTTTTCCATACAATAACTGATTTATCATTTCCACCAACTGAAATCAAAAAATTATCATCACATGTAAATCTAACTCTCATTACATGTGAAGAATGTCCAATGTATTCTTTTCTCTTTTATTTTGGTACAACAACAGGATAATTCATCAAGACAACATGTTGAGTATCTTCACCTGATACCAAGTATTTTTTGCTATTACTTCGACATACAGTATTGACATCACTGTAATCAGCGGAAGGGAAAATACCTTAAACAGGCCAACCTAATTTACAAGTCCATGAAGCAAACTCTGTGTTAGCTTAACTAGACGAAGGTTAATTTTTTTTGGCATTTACATCAACATATTTAAGTTCATAAGCTCCACTATTAACAATTACAATAGATGAATCAACTGACCAATCTAATGCAGTTAAGGCAGATGTTAAACCACATTAAATTTTGGTTCCTTATTTACCAAATTTAGGATATTCAATAGTCCAAACTTCTAAATGTGATGCACCACCATGAGCACCAAATGCTACCTTTTTACAATCAGGTGATATCTTCAAATCATCAATCCAATATGTAGATTATCTCTTAGGCATAGTAGTGAAGATAGTCTTAGCAGTATCCATAACTTGTAATGTATTTGGATCTAATAGATATACAAATCCATTAAGATCACCACAAACTATAAATTTACCATCAGATGACCAATCAACAGCTCTAACTTCACTTGGAAATGGTTTACTGACACAAATCATTTTCTTTTAATCAATATCCCAAACTCTAACTGTCTTATCACCACCTCCTGTAACATATTTGTGTCCAGTTGGAGCAGCACAAGCTCCCCATAATTCTTCACCAAAATGACCCTAAACAACAATACTGGTTTATTTTTTGGTTGGATCATAAGAGAATATCTAAGCACCATTAGTACCAAATAACCATTGTTAAGTTTTTTCATTGTAATCCATAGCAACAACACCAGGTGGAAAGAGTGGATTAGTAGCCAGATTGATAATTTCTTATTTCTTAACTAATTATCCTCCTTCATAACCCCAGGATACTACTTTACCATCTAATCCACCAGAATATAATAATTTTTTTGGCTTATCCATAATAAATGAACACACTTTGCCTTCATGACCTTTGATACCTTTATCACTACTGCCACCTTTCCAACAGAACAATGTTCCACTGCCTCCTCCTGAAACTATTACTTGATTGTCAAATGCATNAAAATTATCATCACATGTAAATCTTACTCTCATTACATGTGAAGAATGCCCAATATATTCTTTTCTCTTTTATTTTGGTACAACAACAGGATAATTCATCAAGACAACATGTTGAGTGTCTTCACCTGATACTAAGTATTTTTTGCTATTGCTTCTACATACAGTATTTACATCACTGTAATCAGCAGATGGGAAAATACCTTAAACAGGCCAACCTAATTTACAAGTCCATGTAGCAAACTCTGTGTTAGCTTAACTAGATGAAGGTTGATTTTTCTTAGCATTTACATCAACATATTTAAGTTCATATGCTCCACTATTAACAATTACAATAGATGAATCAACTGACCAATCTAATGCAGTCAAGGCAGATGTTAAACCACATTAAATCTTAGTTCCTTATTTACCAAATTTAGGATATTCAATAGTCCAAACTTCTAAATGTGATGCACCACCATGAGCACCAAATGCTACCTTTTTACAATCAGGTGATATCTTTAAATCATCAATCCAATATGTAGATTATCTCTTAGGCATAGTAGTAAAGATAGTCTTAGCAGTATCCATCACTTGTAATGTATTTGGATCTAATAGATATAAAAATCCATTAAGATCACCACAAACTATAAATTTACCATCAGTTGACCAATCAACAGCTCTAACTTCACTTGGAAATGGTTTACTAACACAAATCATTTTCTTTTAATCTATATCCCAAACTCTAACTGTCTTATCACCACCTCCTGTAACATATTTATGTCCAGTTGGAGCAGCACATGCTCCCCATAATTCTTCACCAAAATGACCTTAAACTACAATACTAGTTTATTTTTTTGTTGGATCATATGAAAATATTTATGCACCATTTGTACCAAATAACCATTATTAAGTTTTTTCATTGTAATCCATGGCAACAACACCAGGTGGAAATAATGGATTAGTAGCTAAATTGATAATTTCCTATTTCTTAACTAATTATCCTCCTTCATAACCCCAGGATACTACTTTACCATCTAATCCACCAGAATATAATAATTTTTTTGGCTTATCCATAATAAATGAACACACTTTACCTTCATGACCTTTGATACCTTTATCACTACTGCCACCTTTCCAACAGAATAATGTTCCACTACCTCCTCCTGAAACTATAACTTGATTGTCAAAAGCATAAACAACAGAGAATTAAGATTCAAATTTACCTTATTATTAACCCATCTTTCCTTATACATTACGACCACTTATTTTCCAAAACTTTATGTGTTTATTACCAACTGTTACAAATTCTTCATTATCCTTCCAAGCTGCTCCATTAACCTTTGCCTTATCTATATTTGATGTACAAATTTATCTTTTTCCTTACCAATCATATATAGCTAATGAATTGTCATCATCTTAACCAACAGTTAATAATAAAGAACCATCTGGTGAAAATTTCAACAACACTATGGCCCTTAAATGAAATTGATTAAAATTAGCTAACACTTCCTTTGAATCAATATCCCAAACAAAAATATCAATACATTTAGCTTTACCTGCCTATGCCATCTATCCTGTGGCTGCTATATTTCTATTTGGATGTAAAGCAAAACTAACTATATCTTCTTCATGTTTATTAAAGAATGCTTATTATTAAGTTTTAGGATCTACTTCAACTCCTAAAGCAGCTGATACAAAAACAACTTTATTTTTATCTGTCCAACCTAACATATCTCTGCATTCATCCAAAATATAAAAGAATCTGAATCCATGAACATGATATAATGACAAATTGCCTTTTGGTTCTTAATTATCTCTAGCCTTATTTGGTTTATACCATGATGGAACTGAATGTTATACTTCACCTAAAAATGGTTTGACAGCTCCTATCATATCACCTTTATCCAACTCTTCTTATTCAAATAATGCTCCACCAGCATTTTCTTCAACTTTTTCAGGTTCATCTTGTATATCTTAAACATCTAATCTAGAGGGTGAAAAGATATATCTCCATTAAAATATTGATAGTTCATCACCTCCCACTGATATGATGTGTTCACCACTATTTGTAAATTTGACTCCACAAACATATGAGGAATGTCCTGTATATTTAATACATCCACTTTTTTCTTTAGGACAAGGATATTTAAATAATTTAAGTTTACCAAAATCATCACAAGAAACTAAACATTTACCATCCTTAGATCTATCAGTAGCATTAACATCATCACCATCAGAACAATCTGGCCATATTCCTTATACTTACCATCCATAAATACAAGTCCAAGTGAACCATTAAATTTCTTTAGCAATTTCAAATTATACTGGTTATGCTGAATTTACATCATAGAATTCAATAGTATAATTACTTGTATTCAATTAGATAAACTTACTATCAGCAGAGAAATCTAAAGTAAATACATGATATTTGCAATTAGGTATTTTACTTTATTTTTTCCATGTTTTTGTTGAATAAAAGGCAATTTCAGAAAATGGTGGTTTATAACAAACACACAATAGTTCATTATTTGGTGAGAATTTGATTAAAGAAATGATTTCTTTATCAGGATCAACAACTTCAGTGATTTCTTATAATTTTTTTAAAGAACTTGCATCATAAATAAATACTCTTCCATTAGAACAACCAGTAGCAATCCATTTTCCATTTTGACTAACACTCAATGTTTTACTAGCATATTAATTAGGTGTTGTTTTAAGTAATTTTTTCTATTTAACATCCCACATAGCTAACATTTCATCTTCTCCAACTGTATAAAATATATTCTAAGTTGGATGTGTATCTAATCCCCATAATTCTCCATTGAAATGTCCTTACATAAGTAATTTACATTATATTTTTTAACCTTCTTCATAACTAAGAATTTCTGCAATTTCTGATCTTCTGGTACCAAACAATATTTTACCATCAGGACTTTCACATACAGAAATAACATTAGGTGAACCTTTAGGTGGATAACTTAATTTGAGTGGTAAATCTTTGGTGTCAATTTCAAATACTTTATTAAATTAAGGATCCCAACCCATAATAATACCTCTCTTATCAGCAGATATAATTCCTCTACCAGCTGATCTTGTCATGATAGCTTTGACTGGAGTAGCATGAGCTTTGACACTTTTAACACAAATGTTTTTCTTCCAACATAAGAAATTTCCATTAAATACACCAGTAACAATATATCCTCCATTGATAGCAATGGTCAAGACTGGTTAAGGTTATTATTCTTTCCATACTCCTCTTTCAGCCAAGATTGTACCATTTTTCCATGTACAAATACTTATTTCTTTCATACAAGCAACAACAATTTACCAATCACCTGGTAAGAATTTAATATCAAAGATTTCTTATTTAGTTAATTTTCCACTAGCAATTAAAGGAGATACTTTATTTTTTGGATCTTTTCTTGAATTCATTGCTATTTCAATATCATAGACAGCCATAAAATGATCATCATCCATTGCAATAGCAGCTACACTTTTACCATCATTTGAAAAACAACAATTAGATATACCATTTTTTAATACATCATTAAAAAGACAAACCATTCTCATATTATCAATATTCCAAACCATTAACATTGGATTAAGTCCTACTTATCCAGTTAAAACTAAATTTTCATATATATCTAAACAAGATATATCATCATTATGTTCCAAAAAGTGTTTTTAACTCATATTACTTGGATCTAAGACAATTCCAACACCAGCTGTATGATATACAATTTATCCTTTATTTCCATATTTTAAATTATTTCTAGTATCATGACATCTATATCCATAAACATATTCTAAATCTAAAATAGCATTTGGTGGAGAGGCATCCATTCCTTCTGGTTTTTTGGTTGGCTCTAATCTCTTTGCTTGATCTTTCCATTCCATAACTACTTACTCTTCTTCCAATCCAAATTCATCAGATGCTTATGCTGAAACAGTATGTTCAATTCCATTTTTAATACGTTCAACTCTTTCATCTCTTGGTAATAATCTTCTCTCCATTTCAATTTCAATATCACTATCAATATCATTATAACAAGTTTCTTCAATTGTCATTTCATCTTTATTAGCCAATCCCATATTATATAATACTTTTAAGACATCAGGATCTTTTTGCATCAATTTTGTATATTCTTCATATTCAAATCCTCCATCTCTATCTAGATCCCACTTTACCAAATACTATTGTAATTTTTCTTCAATTTCTTTAGGTGTTGGATCATCTAAACCATCATAATAGTGTAGATTATTCAATATGCTAGTTAAAAAGATGGCCACTTCTTTTGGACCTAATTTATTATCCCTATCTTCATCATAGAGATCAAAAATAGTTTTTGCTGTAGCCTAAATGTTTATAATAATATTTAGATTACTGTCATTGGATTTTAACATAATGATGCAACTCCTACTTTAAATTTATAGTAGTCAACACGACCACTGTCATCAAAGTCCATCAACTTAATAATCTATTTAATTTTAATAAGATTTAATTACTTTTATAGCTTCTTTATGACTAACATTGTATTGATCAGCAAACTTATTTGGATCTATTACTCCATTACTTTCAATTTACAACCATTTGTCACTTAAAATTAAATTGTTATAAGTACCTTAAATAATCAATTTGATTGTCAGAAAAACCTTGAAATCTGTTTTTCCTGAATTTGCCCATGATTTGATTTCCCATTATAAATTAATTGAAAAATATTAATCATTACAACAAAAAATTAAGAGGCTTTTCGAAGCAACAATCATCAAGATGACAAATGAAATAAGACTTTAATAATATCCATGCAAAACCAAGAAAATATACAAAACCCAGAAACTAAACAAAACCAAGCAAATCCAGATACTATTAAACAACCACACTTTAATTAAGAATGTCCTTATAATTCAGTTTAACTTCATACTATTACATTCAATAATGTATGGGATTACTTAGTGCATTTATAGAAATGTCATCTATTAAATTAGAGATCTGAAATTAGATAATCTTCTTAATATTACATGTGTCATCGTTGTCTAAAAGTTTTTGAGGAATTCTAATAATTATTAGATCATAAAGATACAGAACATAAAATGAATTTTGAATAGTTATTTGATAATAAGCCAGAATAATGGATACATTTATCAAAGAAGGGAAGATGGGAAATTATAAAACTTATTGAAAATTACAAAGATAATTATCTAAATAAAAAGGATACTAAACCTGATAATATATTTCCTTCATATTAAACAGATCCACGTTTAAATACTCCTAGAGACACAATAGCAAAAATTAGGAATTTACATATAGAGAAAAAGGAGAAATTGTAATTGTATTTATTACAATCCAAAATTTTAGAATCTGCTTATCATAAATTATTTAATCATTATAAAGATCTATCTATGATCAATAAAGAATATCCTTATAAATTAACTAAAGATTCATTTCATTAATTAATGATTAAACACAATATTAAATTGAGTAATCAATTATTTGATTAAACAAAAGTTTGTGAATTTATGGAAACTGCTTTAACTAATTAAGAAGATCATATTATGTATATGAATAGAAGAACTATTAATAAGTATTTTTATCTTTGGATTTTGATTCATGAAGATGTTAATCCATTTTAAGGTGTTCAATTTTAAGAACCATGGGTAATTCTAGCAATCCCAACTTCATCTGAACAATTATTGAATATATCTATTAAAAAACCTAAAGATAATATATAATTATTAGAATTCTAAAAGTAATTGAATGAATAATTGGAGATTGCAAAATAAATAGAATAAGAGAAGTATAAATTTGATTAAAAGAAAATTGAAGAAAGTAAAGTATTTGAATAAAAGATATAAAAATTAGAAAACTTAGAAACATAATTAAGAATTCAAATGACTACATAAAATAAGTATTTAAATGATTTTGAATCAGTGAAATAATAATTAAAAGAATAATCTATAATAGATCTTTAAGATCGTAGTAATAAACTTGACCATTATTATTAAGTTTAAAGAACTAAAATATAAAATGATATGACTAATCAATCAGAATTATTTAAATTAGCTGATGCTTTTGCAAAAGAGAAATAAAAATTATTATAAAGAGTTGAAATATATGCTGAGAAAAGAAACAAAATTCATTATGAAACTTAAGATTTAAAGGAATAAATCACTAATTTAGGTGAAAAATTAAGATAAGATGAATAAGAAAGATTAAAAAATAAAACTAGAAGAAGATAAAGAATTATATAGGAATTATGTATAAAATGTTAAAAAAATACAAGAGAAGTTATTCATTTTCCTTGTTAACATTTTCTATTTTGCATTTAATGTATAATTTAAGGTATGGTTGAAAAAAGATAATAATGTCCTTTAGTAGCAATTGGATAATGTAGAGATTAGAGATATTTAGATAAGAAATTTAAGACTGTCAAATTCAGTAAAAATGATTGATTTATAAAATATTAATATGAACAATTAATCCCTCTATATATTGCATCATATAACTCTTGAAATTTATTTACAAAAAAAATATGGAATCTTTAATAATTTAATTATGTAACAAGGATTCTTGTAATAACAAAATGGATATTATGATGATGTTCCATAAGGTAAAGGTGAATCATAGGAATAAAAAACTACTCTATTAGAATGGTTGGCCATTGTTGGATTGATAATGTTAACATATATGGTCATTATATTCATTTGGATTGTGTGTAATGTGATTATTAATCCTTAGGTATGGCTGGTATACATAATAATTTTGAAGCCACAGTTATATGTTTTATGGTTATCTTTTTTTGTATTTACATCCCAGGAATAGGATATTTCTGGTATTAGGGTTTACAAGTGAGATAACAATTAATATAAGACTTTATTACCAAAAAATTATAAGAAAATCAATTGGAAATAGGAGGAAGAGTTTGATTAATTTAAATTCAATATAATAACTATGCCAATTCATGACGACCCCTAATTACTTTCTCATTTTATGAACCCAATTCACTAAAAATTTATTATAATCTCTTTTATGCTTTTCTCCCTTCCCAATTCCTATCAATCCTTACTAACTACATTCTAAATCAATTATACATCCAATAACAAATCTATAGCCAAATCGTATCTCTTATCATTTAAGGCATTCTCACTTATCTAAAATCTTAGATTCAAATCATCTGGTCTCTTATCAAGTTCTTACAATTATTCTTTTATCATTAAAGGTAGTTCATGCCAATCCCTCATCATTTTATAGAATTCCATTATTTCTTAATATAATTCATTAAAATCATCATCTTTTTATTTCTTTTGAATTTACTTAAATAAAGTCTCAACAATATCAAATTAACCTAATAATACATGACCCTTAGCTTAATATAACTTAAATTTATCATAATATTTTTTTAATCTTTCATTTTCTTGACTTGAAATACTTAATTAAATTAATTCTTTTGCATTTTCTTAAAAAGAATGTTAACTTAATTACATTAAGATTGATTCACCTAAATCTTCTCCTTTTATTTCTCTAGATAGACGATCTATTGAAATAATGAAATTTTCTAAATTTTAATTTTTCTAATAAATATCTATAAAAGAGTTCTTATAAATTAAAGCAACAAATGGTATAGATTGAATCTACAATTATTATTTTATTGTTTCATTTTTATCAATATCAACATTAAGAATTGTGCCTACACTTTCATATTATTTTAGATGTCCCATTAATGTTTTATTGAATTATTTACATTCTGAAGACCAAGAAGCATAACAATTTAAAAAGATTATTCTATCTTCACTTAATTTCTCTATTTCTTATAAATCATTTGCTTCCATAACAAATTATTGATTTCCTCCAAATTTATATGAGAATCTAGGAAACTATTTAACAAGTTTTTTAAGCATTTTAATTATGAAAAAATTATTAATAGTCTCAGGTCTAGCTGGATCAAAAAAATAAGAAGTTGTCCAAATTTTAAACAAATAAATGAAAACTAAAATCATTCCTGCAGATTCTTTGCAAGTAGTTCATCGTAAAACATTAAAAAGGTTTATAAAAATTGGCCAATATCCACCAATTGGCCTAAGGAGAATCTATCAAATTATGAATTGATAGGAAAGTTCGATGGATTAACCAATTTCATTACTACTTTTCAATTTAAAAAAGAAGTCTTAAAAATCCTTCAAAATATGGAAAATCCCATTATTGAAGGTGGATGTTGCTTCTTTATTAATTAAATATTGAAATCAAGATAGGAATAATTCAGTGAAGAATAAATTCAAATAGCTGATTAAAAAGCTAAAGAAATACTACTGAATTGTTCTGATCCATAAAATTTATTGAAGTAACTTTGTTAAAAATATAATGAATCTCCACCAATAACAGATAAATATCGTTTGATAAGAGCAATACGCTTTGCATTACTTACAAAAGGTAGAGAATTTCAATCACCTTTTAAATATGATGAATATAAATTATGTGAAATTCTGGATGTAAGAGGGTTCTTTCTAAGTGAACCTTAAGGGAACATATGTTAAATAATATATGAAAGGTATTCAATAAATGAAACAAAAGGTGTAATGAAATGTTGAAATAAGGAGTTCTTTAAGAATTTTATGCATTTTATAAAATAAAGCAAATTGCTAGTCTTAATTAATTAAGATTAAACACACCTATAGGATATGATCTTTTTGTAGAATTGATCAATGATTATATGGAGATCAATATTAATACTCATTATTCTCAATCTAAAAAAGAGAGGTTAAAGAGAGAAAGAGTTAAAAAATTCATAGAGATATTTTATATTAAGTGGAGATAATATACATCTTATTAAAGAAGATATGTTAGATCTAATTTTAATGAATTTATTTGGATAGATAATAATCTTAATAATATACCAGAATTGATTTCTTAATATTATTCATGTGAGAGACAAGAATTCAATAATTAATTAAATAGTATAGATAGTATAGTTTTGAAAATAGACAAACATCCTGAATCGATGGGAAAATAAATGAAAATTGAAGTTTCATTAGAAATGTAAGAATTTGTATATGAGACTATGTAAAATATGATTTGAATTAAAAATTATTAAATAATTATTTATTATGTTTCCATGTCTTGAGAAAGTATATTAGATGGTTCTGTAAACTCAACTCTAATTTCTAGATAATGATCCAATACTTTAAATTAAATTATAGGATCCATACCGATTAATTTTAAAGAAAGAATACTTGCATATATATAAATAGGATGAACCGTTTATTTCTTTTATGATTTGTTTTCCAAATCTAATAAAATGGTATGTTGTAAAAAATTTATTGATTGGATTTTCAATAAATGGATATGAATTTACAAGTCATCAAGGTGATTTATTAAAAAAACTAAAAAACATCTTAGCAGGTAGATTATTTTTTTCAAAAGTTCAAGACTTTTTCTATCCAATGAAAATATTAGGAAGTGGGAGTTCTTCTAAAGTAATAGTAGTAAGGGAAAGGGAAGGTGGAGAAGAATATGCTTCAAAATGTGTAGTTAAGGAAGAAATGCATTTTTAGGAAATTGAGATTAATAATTAATTATAGCATCCTGCATTTGTTAAAGTAAAAGAAGTGTATTAAGGAGAGACAAGTTATTACATTGTGATGGATCTATTATCAGGTAAAACTTTATAATTGTTTCTGGGTAATCATAAACCTTTCCCATTAGAATAAACAAAATAAATAATGCATGTATGATGATCAATAAATATGAGAGGCCTTATTGGAGGGAGTAGAATTCATGCATTCTAAAAATATTATGCATAGAGATATTAAACCTGAAAATATCATTTTAGAAATGAAAGGTGGTTAGGTTAGATTGAAAATTGTAGATTTAGGTTTAGCTACTTATAGTACTTTGAGTAAATTAATTAAAATAAAAAATAGAAAGATTTAGATATCCTAAATGTGGTACTCCTGGTTTCGTAGCTCCAGAAGTTATTAATTTATAAAATAGTAATCAGACTTATGATAAGATTTGTGACATTTTCAGTTGTGGAGTAATCTTTTACAAATTACTTACAGGTAGAGATGTATTTCCAGGATAAGGATTTACTTATGTATTAGAACTAAATAAAAAATGCAATATTGATTTCTCTTATTTAATTCTATAATAATTACCTGTTAATTTGACAGTATGTATTATAAATTATTGAGGAATCTTGTTTAAAGAATGTTATCAAGAGATCCTAAATTAAGACCTACAGCTACTGAGTGTTTGAATCATGAATTCTTTAAAAACATTCAAAAATATAATGTGATATAAAAGAAATAAGGATTTTTATAGTCAAAATAACATACAGTTGAATTTAATTAGGATAAAGAGATATAAGATTATTAAGGATCATTTGTGACTACAGAGAAGATTTAAAGTTAAAGTTAACCTAGATTAAAACAAAAGACTATGTAAAGATTTAATACATCATAATTTGATAATATAATTTGAATATTCAAAATTAATATTATGATTATTACAAAGAGCAATGTTTTGCTATATTTGATTCAGTTGGAAAAAATACAGCCCTAGTGTAATAACTTTTATCTCTAATATTAGTTTTAGATTCTCCTAATTGAATTCCACTACATAGGAGTAAATTTCTTAAAGGTTTACAATGTTGCCGATAACTAGTTTAAGTTGATAATAAAGTAGGTTGACTATTTTATTTACTAACTCTTTTTATGTAATTTCCAAATATTTTATTTTTGAAATCTGTAATAGATTTTAAATTAGGGGATTCAGTTTCACGAGATTTCAAATTATTTTCAGTATCGCATTTTTATATGATTGAATCATTTTCACTATAAATAGGTAATTAATAATTTGATCTTTTAGTTGATGACATCATTCTTGATGTGGAATCTACAATTTCAATATCTTATTAACTAATTTTAGTAAGTGTTTCTTAATTTTATTTGTTTATTTTTCTCATCTATTTTTTTAATGCTAAGATCTAATTAATAATAACATTTTACTTTTTATATCTTCTATTCTTTATTTTAAGGTAATTTAAATTGATTACTTATTAATTATACAAATCTATCCTAATATCCAAAGTTATATAAATTTTTTTCTCTCATCTTGTCATCGTAATCCTCTAATTTCTTCATTATCTCATCTCCATTACGAATCTACTCAATTAAAGTATCTCTATTTGGTTCCTTCGTTTCATATTACTCTAATTCTGTTAACTCAAATTACTCTCGCCATAATCCCAACCATTGATGCAGAGATTTTTATTCGGTTTAAATCTCAAAATATTATGCTTCTTAGGTCCCATCAAAATTATTGAAGCATCAATTTTACAATTCTTCCTTGCCAAAAATTTCTATTTTTATTTACATATTATCATTTACTAAGGATTCCATTCTAGTACAACCATCTTTTTGAAGACTATGATGAGCACGAACTGTATTGAAACCAGTATTCTCAAATACAGTTCTTCCGAATCTTTTGCAAGGAGGATGAATGAAGTCTTTACTCATTTAATAAATAAAATAACTCATTTCTATTTTTTTGCATCTTCGATTAAATTAATTCTTTTTTTGTATTACTCTACGCACTCTTTTATACATTCCTCTTCATTATTGATAAATTTGCTACTATTGAAAGCATACACACATTTCTTAAAGCAGTTTTTAATTATATCCATAATTATATAATAAAATTAAAACTCATTATTATTTACTAATTTCTCGCAAGTACTTTCTTAGTCTTTTCTAAATATATTATATAAATGTATATATATTACATCCTCCAAATCTCTATCCAATTTACTCTACTTTATTTATCCCACTGTCATATTTTCTCTCTCCTTCTTATATTACTCCAAATCATAAACATAAAATTAATAAACCTTATCAAATACTCTGTCTATGTTAGCTTAACTTACATAACTTCCAAATAAATGAAATACACTCATTGACATAGCTCCCTTCTTCCATATTGATATTGGTAATAACATAAATATACTACCCATCATAGCACCCCAACAATAAGCATTTATTCCTATTCTATTTCTACAATCTGCTAATTAAGCAACTAACATCATTCTATTTTATAATTAAAGCAATTCATTTAAATCCATATCCTTTTAACTCTTTCTCATCTCCTTACTTACATATTCAGCAATAACATTATTTTTTTCAAACACATATTTTATCACATTTTATTTATGTTTAAAACTAAATTGATATTGTGGTATATATGTTCCTCCAAATATATTTGAAAAAAATTGCTAAGTTTAATTTACTGCACTAGCATAGAAAGAATACAATTATCCTGTCTCCTCATCATAACTAGATGGCTTATGCTTTATCAACTAAGGTCCCTCTACAGGTTTTCTTTCTTCCTATTACTAAGACAATTCCATTCTTATTCTTTAACTTAAGGTCATTGGTTTTCTACTTTTCTCTTTTTCTTAATCTTCCATTATATTATTTTGTAAAATAAGATAAATTATTATTTATACTATTTACTCAAATTATTTATGTAAAAACATACAAAGAATTTTTTATTAAATAAATTATTCAATTATTACAATTTCCTTTAGAAATCATAATAACATTTGGAAAGGTAACATTAACTTTTCAAAATATTTATCATAATCAAATAAATACCTATAAGAATAATTTAAAAAAGGCAATATAGAAGTAATTAAATTTGTAAAAAGTATATGTTTCAAACATAACTTAAAAATGATAGTGGCTACTCAACAATTCAAAGTTTAATAATAAATTATCTTATATTTTACTCGTTTATTTATGATATTAAATTCTAAAAAGTCTTCATTCACTTTAATAATGATAATCAATTTCTATTTTAATAATTTCCTTATCCTATAACTATTTTTAAAAATTGATTAAAAAATTAATATTTAATCTAATTAGAATTCAATAAATATTATGAATTATTTAAGCTTTAATTAATATATTGATAATTTAAGAATTTATTAGCTTCTTAAAATAACCTTAATTGGGCATATTTCTATTTTTTCGACATAAAAATATATTTTTTATTAAAATCATTTTGATTTTCAAGAAATTTAAAAGTTATATATTTTTATGATTATTCAAAAAATTATTATTTGATATTTAAGTAAACCTGTAAGATTTTTCATCCATCAAAGTAGTTTAATTTATGATATGCAAAATTAGTTCTCTTAAATTATAAATATATATATTTGAATTTAATGCTATAGTCAAGAAATTATTAGTTAATCTTTTTGAATATGATTATTAATTTAACGTATAATTAGATTATTGAATAAACATCTAATAATATCTTAAATATTTTTTAATCTGTTCTTTTTATACTTATATAAATATTATTAATAAGGGTATATATACATAAATTATGATTAAAAAACACATATATAATAAATTATGATATATATTGGTTACATTAATTCAATTTTATTATAACTATTATAGTTATTATAATTGCAGTACTTATGAAATTGTGTCTAATATTTATATAATTATTTGAAGTTCTCTTTAGATATCCACATTTTTCACAATCACAGTTAATATTTTCGATCAAAATCAATGAATAAAAATACTATTTTTATTTAAAAAATATAGATAAATTTCCATTTATAAATGAAATTTATTAAGAAATGTTTGAAATATTAAAGACTTCAATTATAATATTTGATTGGACATACGTAAGTAGCATTAGAATAGGAAAACAAATTATTTTGGACAGTGTGTGAATTCGTTAGAATGTTTTAAACAATTGCTTTAGTTTTACTATATAAACATATTATTCGAATGCTTAATACTAATATAGAATTTGATTAACCATCTTCAAGTTAGGATAAGGTTGAATTGTTATGTAGAATAACTATGCCTACTATTTTGATATAAGAATATTTATCCTTAGAACAAATTATATATTTCTAATTAATATTTTTGGCATCACTCTTTTTAATGTTACTTATCAATGTTGTAGCATTAAGATTGGAGTATATACATTTTAAATAAATAAAATTTCAAAATAAGCGGACATTTAACAAAGTAGATGGGAATAGTTTTTGTAATAATTATTAACTTATTATATAGAATCTCTTAATCTATTGAATAGCACATATAATAATAATGATTTTACAGAACATTTTCTATTGAAATAATTAATGGGAACTGATAATGGATCACTAATTGAATTACAATTATTAAGAACATCAATATTAACTAATTATTTCACACATATTATGTTTTTACCTTAAATTTATTGGGTTGCTATTATATTTTATAGAATACATAATCAAACAAATTATTCAATTGGACTATTTATATTAAACTTTACTCTCAATTCAATTTAATTACTTTTTCTTATAATATTAGAAACATTATCATTATATATGTAATAATCCTATAGACTTAAAGATACTAATTATTTGAGATTGAGAATAACTACTTCATTTAAAATAGGTTAGATGTTAAGGATTATTCCAACTTTAATATATTTTAGTGTACTTTATATAGTAGATCCTTTAGCAATTTATAATAATTTAGTATTTGAGTAAGTATTATCATGTTTTGGAATATTAAATTTGATTTTTGATCTTTAAGATTAATCTTTTAATATTCCATTTGTTTAACCTTATAAAATCTATGTATTTCATTTAGCATTTTCATTGGCTTTTTGTTTATCATTTTTAAAATTAATCTAATTAAATATTAATGATATAATAACATTGTCTATGATGATATCTCCTTGTATGTGTAAAATGCTTAATTAATTGACAGACTTTAATTTTAAGAAAATAATAACTCATACATTACATCCAGAGAATATTCCACCAAAATAAAAGATTTTGAAAAGAAATTCATAATCAATGACTAAATCACTTATTGTTAATGATGATGTTCATTAAATTGAAAGACAAATTTGTTTATAGAAATTAGAATAAGTGAGTATGATTAGACTTACAAATTATAAGTATTTTCTACAATTCTTACGTCTATATGAATTATTGTGTATAAATTAATAACATGTTTATTAAACAACTGATGTTTTTAATCCTAATAAATCAAAGTTTTTAATGCAATGTTTTATATTAATAAAAACTCATGTTGAATTATGTAATAATTTGTACTGTTTTTGTAGAGGATTTTGGGGAGAGAAAAAGCAAACTCTCTCTTTAAATATATAAAAATAAGATATGAAAATATTCTCTGATTATACTTGTAAGGGTTTAACAATTTCTATAGATTTAATAGATAGATATATTAGATATTATATTAAACTTATTTTAAATATAGAAATTTATGTTACATAACCTAATTTAACATATATTGCTTAACTAATTAGTTTTTTAAGTAAATCAGAAGAATCATTATAAGCATGGTTATAAGTTATGGAAGTTAAATTATAATTACAAGAATAAAAAAAACCATTTGATGAAATAACTACTAATCTAATAATAAGTTATTCTAAATATTAAACATTATTTAGAGCTTAATTTTATTTGAATGATAAATCTATAAAGAAAACTATTTTATATGGAGATTATAGGAATACTGAATTATAGAGAAGTCTATTAATACATAAATTAATGTAATGTTTGGATGTAAAGAAGAGTTATTTAATCAAATTAGGCAATAATAAATAATCATATGAAGAAGTTTAATAACTTTATATTGAATCAAATTCTTATTTTCTCAAATTATAAAATGAATTATAAGAATTTCATGATCAATCATAATGTAGAACTTCTTGTTTACTTATGATGTTATATTATGTTGAAGTTCGTTGTGATTACATACAATTTTAGAAATATAAAAATGTATTTTATATATATATATTTTTAGTATCTTAGAACTAAAGACATTAAGTTTTTTGAATACCCTATTATTTTTAATGCTCCATAAAATATATGTTATCTTAAAGTAAATTTATCAAGATTTTCAAAACATAAATGTAGAGGAGAAATCTTAGCAAGATCAGAAAATTCATTTAAATTTTTTGGTTTTGAATCTAAAGATGATTTTCTACGTTAAAGAGTTACTGTTCATGAATTAGTACCACCTTTGATATCATCAGTGCATAATACTATTATTGAATTATTTCTAATGAGTAATCGACCTAATGTTATAAGAAAGGAACGTTATCTTATAGCTGAAAAAACCAATTAAGAAATTGTTTTCGTTGAAATGTTTATTGATTTATGTTTTGTTATTACTGGTACTGAATTTCCTGTTTATTGTTTTATGCAAGAAATTAAACCTATTGGAATCTTTGAAAATATAAGGGGACATATAATTGTTGATGATTATGAAATCATATAAGGAATAAGTTCATTAGCTTATCAATCTTTATTTTTAGATTCACCAAGTGAAATATGCAATAAAGAGATATCAGAATTTTATGGAGATTTTACTGAAAATGCATAAAGATTAAATCAAATGATGGATACTAAAACAAGTAGATATAGAGGAATGACTTAATCAGTAGTTAGTTAATAAGGTGGTATTTAATAAAAAGATACAAATTCAATTTATAATCATTATAAATTAAAATTGGAAGATCAATTATTTATTATGAGTGAATAGGATAAGTTCTTTATTGATATGACAATTACATTAACATATGGAATTATAAATGGAAAAGTTTCAAAAGTATTGTTATTTATTTATATTATATTTTAAATAGTACTATGTCATTGAGTTTAATAAAGTTTAATAAATTGATATTACCGAAAATAATGAATCTAATTAAACCAATAGTTTGAAAAGTAGTGTTAAGTAATCTTAATATACACAAAGAACTAATACATTATATGACATCTAAGACAATGAGAAAAGAAGTAGTGAAGGATCTATAAAATTATAGAAATATTCATTTCCATAAATTAATGAATAATGTATTACAGTTTCATAAAATTAAATGTAAGGATTAAAATAAGAATAATCTGATGATAAAATTAACATTTAAAAAAAATAAGAAAGAAAATCTAAATTTTTTAATTTTAAAGGAGTTGCAAGAAAATCTGATTCTAATGAATAATTTAATAATGATCATAATTCTGGATCTTCTAATCATATAGCATCTGCAACATCATAAAAATAATAATTAGATGTTTAAAAGTTTCTTTCAAAAGGTATGTAATATTAAGAATTCTCTAATTCTGATTATGAAAAAATCATATTTGTAATACATTTAATAAATGCATTAATTCTAGGAATCATATTAGTATTTTTGTTACTTTATTAATTGAAATTTAAAACTTAAGCAGAATCAATAATTCCTACTATTTAAATTTTATAAGCATTTATAACAACTGATTACACAGATAATATTTAATTATCCTTAATGTATAATAAATAAAAAGAAATAAGTTAATAAGATTAATATTATCAACATTTATAAAGATTATTAATAAAAGATGCTAAAAATTATTTAGTTTATTAAAAGAATTATTTTTTAAATTAATAAATCTAAAATGTATTTAGTGACACTTAAGTAAAACATGAAAATGAACAGGATACAAGTGCTTGGAATGCAGCTTTTTATATTCTATATAATCAACTTGATTTTATATAAGATCAGAATTAAAATCAAACAGATTAATTACCTACATATGTAAATCTATTATTAGACTTTCCTTATCACAAAACTGCTTATGAAAATATTAATAAAGAATTTAGTGAATTTGTTTAATTGTCTATTGATAATTTTTCAAATTCTTAAAAAGCACTTATAATTATATTAATAGTCTTAAGTATTATTATTTCATTTATCTCTTTAATTGTGTATCATAATTATTTTAAATATATGAAAAAGATAACTAGATGTAGTGAATAAGTTTAATTTGATGCATTAGAATCAGAAATTAATATCTGTGCAACAATCTTAACTAATAAATAAGTATATATATATATATTATAATTTAGAAATTATGTCTTTATGATTATAGAATGGACTTTACTGCAAATTTTGATTTTCGATAACATCAAGAAGGTCAAACTCATTTTTCTAGTTATAAAGTGATTAATAGTTCATAAAATAATACAAAACGATCTCTTAATTTTACAGATGAGATTTCACTTAAAAGAGCTTTAAGTTTTTTATATCCTTTATTTTGTTTATCTATTACATTAATCTATTTAGGATTAACATATTTGGATACAGAGAATGTTATGTCAGGTTTATAAAAAGATATTACTTTATATAACCAAGGCATATTATTTTAAGAATAGTTTTCTTTATTATGTATTAGTAGTATTTTGTAAGAGAATAGAGAGTATTTAATCTAAAAAAAATATATCTCTGAATCATAATTGTAATAATATTATGAATATATATCACCTTCTATTGTTACTACTCAATAATTGAGTAAAATCATTCGACTTCCAACAGGTATTAGAAGTGCTGAAGTTATAGACTCTTTATCTATTAACATATGTAGTATTTTTTTAGATTAGATTGATGTTGAATTATGTGAAAGATTAGATTAAGGATTATTGTAGAATGGTGTATTGGAGTCTACACAATTTTATATTATTTAGTATAGAAATAATTATGAACTTAATTATTAAGATAGTTTAGATTATAGTACAACAGAGGATATTGTCTCAATTAATTTTATTATAAAAGGAATCACTAATTATATTAATAAATCAAAATAAAATTTAGAATAATATATAGAGGATTAAATTGATATAAAAATGAACTGGTTTATATTCATTTTTACATTGACAATTATTTTGCAAATAATTTTATCAATTTTAATTTCATAAAATTTAAAATTGAGATTAAAATCTTTAAAATAATTAATATATTTATTACCTCGTGATACTTTATATGCAAGTGATAGTTTTATGAAAACACTTAATTATGTTTAAAGACATTAAAATGATTTATGTTAATGATTCTATTTAAATATTTAGATTTTATTAATAATAATTATATTAAATTCAATTAAAAAATGTTTTTATTGATAATTCAGTGCTATATGTTTTAGGTTATCTTCTCTCATAATGATTCATTAAAAATAATTTCTTTGGTTTTGTTCTAAAGAGATTGTGTTTCGAAGATATCATTATTCCTGATGCAGAAGGTGTTTTAATATCTCTTTATTAATCATCGAGAATCTCATATTATTGCAGTTTAGCATTAAATAACATTTATTCAGTAATATTTTGATATTTGAATTAATGAGATAGACTGCTTTAACGATCAAAAGTTTAAGGTCGAGTACCTTATGATGTTTTTGAGAATGGTTATTAATTAATTTAAGATTGATTAATACCATTTTGAGATTCTTTGTCAAAAGTAATACAACTAAATCTACGTTATTCTCTTCTTCTAAATTCTTTCTTAATTAATTAGGATTAAACTTCTAAATGATTTAAAGTATCTGCTAAACTTTATTCATTTTCCATTTAAGCTCTAAAATATTATAAATTATCTCTTACTTTTTTTATTCACTTTATTATACTCTTCTTATTGCTTTTAATTTTTTTTAAGTTGTCTAAATAAAATCCATTTAACATAATTAATATTTAGATTTTTAAATAGAATATTGTTTTGCTTTTTCTTTTATCTTAAAATCACTCTAAGGTATATCATTATTAGGTATTATTATTTCTAATTATGGTTATGATAAATTCTTTTAGATATTCTAAAGATCTTTTGAAAATTCTTCAGAATAACTAAACTTTTTATGAGTTTTTAAATTTTTATTTATTCTCTAATGATTTATTGTATGTCTTTATTCATATTATTTTCTTACTAATCTTTCACATTATGGATAATTATTAAATAATTTTGCTAAATCTTAATATGTTATCATATAAGCTGAAAACTCTTATGATGTTACTTAAGCAATATGTATTCTATTACAATCTTCAAAGTATTCCACTTCACCAAAATATTAATCTTATCCTAATTCACAAAGTGGAAATATTTTATTATTTTCTTTCTTGAATAATTTAACAGTGCCTTTCTTAATAACAATTAAAGATTATGGAACATCACCAATTTTATATATATAATGACTTATAGGATAATGAATCTTTTCAAATTTATATTAACTTTCTACAGCTTCTTTATATGTTAAATTCTTTAGTATTGTCAAACTAAGTAATTTTGTCTTTTTTCTAATTTTCTCTTTTATATTTATTAGTTTAATATACCTAACTGACTATCTTCTAATATAGTTTTATAGTCTTTTTTTGTAAGTATGGCTACATGTAAAGATGTTTTGGCAATAACTGTTCCAGTACGGGCAGATTCAATCATCAATCCTCTTTCTCCAAACATTTAACCTTCATGTATCTAAGCCACTAATTCATGTAGGAACACTCCTCCACAAAAGAGAAAATCTTTGTCTGGAATCTTTTCAAGGCCAGATGTTAATTTTTTGATTAATTCAACATCTTTATGTTTGACATCTTAGCGATCATTTTATAGAAATTAACGTGGCTTATACGATTTGGCTATCCTAAATTCTTATTTGGTCTATACTGCTCAAAATCATCTTCTTTTAGATTAATTGTTTGTCTTCTATTTAATTGTTTGGGGGCCTAATACAATTTAATGATAGTGCTTGGATGTTATTCTAATTCTTCCTCGGTAAGAGTTTTCAGTTGGTTTTCTTCTAACTCAATTTCTGCTTGGATTCGTTCTTACTTCTTACGTACATAAACATTGACACTTCCATCTATAATGATGAAGAATTCATTCGAAGAGTCACCTTTTTGCATACATCACTCATTACAACCTTCTTTAAATACAATGTCATTTTTGTTGTAATGTTTATACATCATCATTTTACAACATCTTTGGTGCTATTTGGGATCTCGTAAAGTCTTAAAGAAATCTAATTCTTTTGTTGCTTATTCTAATACAGCCACTTCAAAATCCATTCGATCATCAGGTGGTGTTTTCAATATAAATTAAGCAACTTTTAATTATGTTTTTGGATCTTTCACTTTAAGAAATGATTGACATAATTTCTTATATGTGTTTTGATTACCATTTCTAACATTCATAAATTCATCTGGTGAAATAATTATTTCCATTATAGAAACTAAATAAAAATAAAAATAAAATAAAAAAATTCTAATGGATTATTAAGAAGAATTGAATTAAAAAGATCAAACAATTAAATTATTAGAAGAAGAAAGAAATACATTAATATAAAATACAAATGAATTATAAACTAATTAAATTGCATTAGAAAAAGAAATCACAAGATAAAAAACTAATATTGCAAATTATGAAGCTGAACTAATTGAATTGCATAAAGAAAGAAAATCTTGTGATGAATAAATTTAAAAATCATAGATATAAATAGAATCTTATGAATAATAGATTACATTACTTAATGAAGATCTAAAGAAAGTCACAATTCAATGTGATGAAGCATTATAGTAACTCTAATAAATTTAGAGTAGACATGAAATTGAAATTAAAACATTACTTGATTAATTGATAAATGAGAAAGAGAAAATTAATGAAATCAATGATGAAAATCTACTTATTATTAATAGTAAATAAAATGAAATCGATTTATTAAATCAAAAACTTAATGAACTTTAAAAAATAATTCAATCTAATCTTGATGATTATAAATTAAATATCTAATAATTCAATTAATAAATTGAATTAACAAAATAAACAAAAGATGATGAATGGGAATAGACTGTTAAATTATTATAAAATGAAATTGATGATTTAAATAAAACATTATATGAGAAAGAATTAAATAACAAATCTGATACTAAAATTGAAGAATTAAATTAATATATAATAGAATAAGAATAATCATACATTAAATAATTTAATACTCAAGAAGAAATAATTAAATAATTATAAAATGATATTTTAATATTAAATACTCAATTATAAGAATAATAAAAGTGTAATTAAAGTTAACTTTTAGAATTAGCATAATTGTAATAAGAATTACAACTTAAAAATGAAAATTGTTAAAAACTTACAAATTAAATAGAAGAATAAAAATAAAAATAAATAATATAATAATAAAATAATTAATAAAATACAAATAATAATACTGCTGAAAAAATGGTAACTATTCCAATGAAAGAATTATTGACATGGGATAAAAGATCAAAAGATTAATAAAATTAAATTAAAGCTTTATCTAATGAAATTTAATTATTAAAAAATTAATAAGAAGAACAATTAAAAATATAAAATTCTAAATAAATGAAATCTAATCTCTCATTAGAAGGAATGGTTTAAAAATGTTCAGTTTTATAATAAATCATTGATGAAACCAGTTAATAAAATTCTAAAATTACTTCAGAACTTAATACTTTTAAACTTTTAAATCAATAACTTAAAGATGATTTATAAAATACTTAATAAGAATTAAAAGAATTGAGAGTGATTGCCTAAGATAAATTTAGATTAGAAGGTGAATTAGCATCTGCATATTTATAAATCTCAGAAAACAAAGATCTTATGAAGGTAATATTAATATATGTTAAAGATAGAAATTTAATGAACTTTAATCTAATTATGAAAATACAGAAGAATAACTAGAAACAACTAAAAAAACATTGAAATAAAGTGAATAACTTAGAAACAATGTATTTCATCAAATTTATTATAGTTATAAATAAAATTAGATGAAATTACTATTTAAAATTAGAAAATCTTATTAGAATTAACAAATGTTAAACAAGAAAGAGATTAAAAAATAATTAAATTAAAAGACTTAGAAAAATTATTATAATCTTAATTCTAAGAATATTCTAATCTAGAATCAAAATATAAAGATTCATAAATCAACTATGAAGACATGTAAAGTTAAGTTAAAATTTTACAAAAAAAATACTCTCATGTAATTCAATAATCATTATATTAGGAAACAGAATAATTAAAAGAGGAATGTCTTTAAAAACAAAAATCTATATTAATATTAGAAGAAACTAATAAATCTTTAATTAATGATCTTTAGGCTCTAAGAGAATTACAATTTAGATAAAAAGCATCTGAAGCTCCTCTTACAAAAAAAGAAAAAATTGTTGTAGAATCCCTTTCCTTAAGAGTATAAGAACTTGAATTGGAAAATAGAAAAACAAGAGACATTATGTCTGCTAAAATTACTCAATTATAAAATGAATTAGAACAGAAAACAAACTATATTAATTAGATTGCTAATTAAATAACAAAATAAATTCCATCTTTATCAGAGTAAAATTAATTGGATAAGGAAGATGTCAAAATGATACAATAACTTAAAAAAAAGATAAATATTCAAGAAATATTAGAGGTATCAATTATACTAAAAATATAGAAAACATTAGTAGAAAATTTACAATTAAGAGACTAAATAAAAGTGTTAGGAACTGAAATCAATAAAAGAAAATGACTATTATTATTTATATATATTGTATGAATAATACAAAAATGAAAAACAATTTATTTAATTGTTCTCTATTTAAAAACATATTACTACTTATAAATGACATACAATATAAAATTATTATAATCATCTTGAATATAGAAATATAAAAATAATATTTAGAGCATCAAAATTCGATATTTTACATATTATCAATCTAACAATTATGATTAAAGAAATTATATTATAAAAGAATTTAAACTTAGATAATCAATCTATAGTTTTATTTACTTATGACAATTATATATATATTATTAACATTTAATTAAAATGCGTATGACACAATTATAATACTCATTATGAAGATATCTGAAATACTTGGGTAATTTAATTTAAGATTTATTAATATTAACAATATTAATATTTATTATTTGCAATATCTTAAACTTATGAATTTCTATACCCTTGAATTTGAAGATTTAGCTATTTAAGGTATTAAATAATTTAAAGACTAGATTTAAGAGAACAAGAATAAATATAAGTTAATGAAGAGCAAATTTGTGATTATAATGAAAGTTCTAACCTAGAACTGAATAAGGATTATACTTTCGATGGGTATCTACAAGAAGAACCTGTTTTAATCTTTAATATCATAGAGGAATCACCAAAAAAGAAAAATAAATCCATCTTCAAAAAATCAAAAAAAATAAGAAAATCAGACACAGAAACTGATTTTCAATCTTTAAAAAAATCTAATACTCTAATATCATAAAATGATGTAGCTAAACTTCAACAATGTTAAAAGTTAAAGACCATTATTTCTTAAATGGAGGCTATATTAAAATAAACTAGAATACACATTCTTAATTAGTATAGAAGAAAATAAACACAATGAATGATGAAAGAAATGAATTATTTATTCATAGAGTTATCAAATTAGAAATTCATATCATATATTTAACTGATTCTTTTAAATAAGATGCCTTCAACATCTTGTTTAAATTTTTACATTCTTATTATTTAGTATTTATCAATAAAAAACAGTAGCATTATAAAATATAGGATAGTCATTATTTTTACAGATTATATCAACTTAAAATTTGAGTCATATACCATTATAAATGGTGATAAAAATTTTAATAGATTGTTTAACTTATATTAAATTTGTATATTAATAATTCATTCCTTATGTTATAAGTTCTGTTTAGATTCATTAATCTAGTTATACTTCTAACTAATTTGTTAAAACAATTAACTGGACAGATTCTTATTAAATTATTATAATAAATACGAATAATACAAATATTGAAATTATATCAGTTCATTCAAGCTTTATTTAAAATTACTATAATATTTATATATTGTATAAGTCAACACATCTTATTTAGAATATATACTTTCTTATGTATGCTATTTTAGTTAGTTTCATGTTATAATTTTTCCAGCCATATTACATAAACATTTGATATTTTGATTTATATTTTTATAGTTATTAATTCTTAATTAAATTAAAAAGAGTAATAATAATCATTGAATTAATATTTCAAAATATAAATTTATCATATATAAATGTCAGAGGATATAGTGAATATGTTTGTATCTAAATATGGATCTGGAGATACAAATAGAAATTAATTACTATAGTAATCTATTTAGAAGGTCTTAATTAAAGAGGGACCAGATTCTTAGGTCTTAACGAAATTAAGATAAAAACTTGGTTAATCTTAATCACAATAATAATTTTTTCCAACTTTGGGTAATGGAGAATCTTCCTAACCTAATAAGACACCTATTGATTCATAGAGAAAAAACTTTGAACCATTTACAAAACGTGTGCAGCCATTCCAAAGGACTTACTTAAAATCATTTGATTAAGTTTCTGAAACTTCTGAAAAACCACCTAAATCAGTTTACTATGTAGATCGATAAGATGTAACATTCATACTTAATTAAAGGAGGATGAATGGGCTGCTCTTATGAAATTTGATGCGTAACTGTACTAAAAAGAATAGGAGAGAAAAAAGGAATTACTTTAATAAAAAAAAGCTTAAATGAAAAAGGAATTAGATATGCAATTGAGAATAAAATAAGAGAGAAAGTAAAAAGAAAAGGATTTAGAAGAAAAATATAATAAATTTCAAAGCGAATTATTACAAAAGAAAAATGACTAAGAATTAGAAAAATAGACTTCTGCAAAAAATAAATTATTTCATTTGTAATCAGATAGAGATGTGTAATTGAATAACAAAAAAAAGAAATAACATACTGAAGATAAAGAATAGTAAAATTATAAAAAAGAGATCAGCAAAAGATATCAAGATGAATTATAAAAATAGATTGATGAAGAAAATAGAATAAAATTAATGAAGAGAGAATATATGTTTAAAGTAATGAAATAATCAGAAGCAGATAAAATGGTAATTATGTAAAAATAAAAAGAATAAGAGAAATTAGAATAAGCAAATTGTGAGAAGTATTTTATATATATATTATAAATAGATATGGAGAATTACTTGATTAAATTGAATAGAGAAGAATAGAAGAAAACAGAAAAAAGAAAGAGAAGGTTGATAAAAATAATGCTTGGAGTGAATCATAATTATTAAGATATAAATTAGAAAAGGAGGATGATGATAAACTTCTATATTGGAAATAAATAGAGGAATAGAAATTTTTAGAAGAAGAATAGAAGAAGAAAAATAGAGTAAATGAACTTAAATAAAAGACAATTTAATCATTGGAATAATCTATTAAACTTAAATAAATAAAGAAGTTATAAGAAAAAGAATTAGATAATCTTTAAGGATAAATATGGAAGGAAGATACACAAAGATTCTTTTAAGAAGAATAAGATAAATTAGATTCAATTAAAAAAGTCAAAATTGAACATAAAAAAATATTATAAAAATAAATGTAAGACAAAATCAAACCAGAAAGGGGAGAAAAAATGAGTATACCTGAACTTTTACAAAACAAAACAATTTTGAAAACTATTAAATAGTAAGACATTTATGATTTAGAAAAAACAGTTGTTTGATTTATCAATTCAATTAATTTTAAGTATTATTTTTAATTTGATTTATTTTAATCAATCCTATTCTTTATTTACAATCTAATCAATAGATGATAGAGATTAATAAAATTATATTGTTTTATTTAATAATTATATTTACTTTAATTATTGATTTTTTTATATTAATATTTTCAATCTTTTATGCTTTCAACATAAGTTTTCAATTCATTCGCCTAAAGACAAAGTAATGGAATCATTAAGTTATTGGCATATGGAGTTTTCTTTGGAGGAGCATACGGTTGTGCTTGGCATCAATGGAAGGGTGCTTAACAAAAATAATTATATGAGAAAGTAGAAACTGAGATTACTGAATGGAAACCCATAACAATTAATGGTCTCAATGCTAATAGATATCCATGGGCCCGTAATATTAGATAATGGGAGTATAAATTAGTGAAATTATATGGATATTTCAGAGTACTTAATTGAATTCTTATCATTTTATAGGATGAGAGATTTTTCGTTAGAAGAGAAAGAGAAGGAAGAGATGGTTTCTTAGTTTTTGCCCCATTTGTAACAGCTTTATAATTCAATGACACAGAATAAGATCCTGAATAAACTACCAAATCATAAGTCATGGTAAATTTAGGATGGGTGCCAAAAGATAACATAAGCGATATTCAAATGGGACAAGAGCCTATTGGAACAACAGTAATTCAATATAAATATTAATTAGACCTATGAAAATGTTCCTCATAATGAAGATGACGATTAATTGACAGGATTCAATAGAAATGTGTTAAATATGGAAGAAGATTATTAAATGCCTTTTGTAGAATTTGTAGGAATGGTAAGAAGAGGAGAAGAAGAAGATATTTTGAAAGGACGTAGAAATTGGCCAAGAGAGGGAGTGTATAATTATATTGATTTGTGGTTCATGTCAAAATTATACAGATCATTCAATTTGGTATGATGATGAAAGCTAATATTGTAGACAGATTGTTCATCTGCATATATTGAAAGATTGGTGCAAGAATATGATGAAGAATCAGCTAATTTATATCCAATTCCTGCCACAAAAGATAACTTTGATAAACCTTTGCCTACTCCATAGACACATCAAGCATATTCATTATTTTTTGGGCTTTCTTCAGTAATGTCGTTAGCCTTATTAGCTATAAGAAGATGATTTATTAAAAATAGTATATAAAACAAAAAATATCACCTTTAATTATAATTAATTCACTATTATACATACCTTATTATCCTGATGTCATTAAATAATATTTTAATAAATATCGGGATCAATTCTATGAATATCCACAAATCATATTATCTAAAAATATATTAAAAAATTAAATATTGATGTTAAAATCAAACAAAATAATCAAGAAAAATTATTAAGTGACATGGAATGGCAAGGTTAGAGTATTTAATAATCTATAGGATGGATTCATTATGAAAGTAATAGAACTATATAATTGATTATTCATACGACCCAAAAGAACCGATCTAAACACTGGATTACCTCCATAAGGGTTGCTTTATAGCATGATGATTTAGTCTCATTCATATAATGAAAAAACCAAAATACTAGACTTTTAATTCAATATCTAAATTTTTATTATTAAATTAGTTAACAATGAATTTTAGTATGAAAATACATCATTTTATATTATTTTTAAATTAATGATGGATTTATTAGTTTTATCTCAATATTAAATCTTATTTAATATTTTAAATAATAAAATACTTAGATATACATTAAGATGATACAATTAAAATATTTTATAGTATTTTTCTTAAAAAGCAATAAGATATGATGAAATCAATTAAGTTTACCACCCATTAGTTAAGGTGTCATTCCACTCCTTCTATGATATTGTGGAGACACACTACAGTAAGTTTTATACCCAATTTTCTAACTGCTACTAGAAATGAAAAAGTCTAAATAAGGATTTGGATCTTATTAATTTAATTGGAATATAAATTAATTTAAATCCTCATATATTTTAAACTAGATTTTCGTTTTTGAAGTAGCATTTCTGAAAGAGATTGGATCAGGAATATGTTTCAATGATTTATCTTTAAATTAGATTTGATTATTAGGACCAATCTGAGAGATTAAATATTAAGCTAAAGGAAGCCCTAATGTACTGAAAGGTTCAGTACTTCCATCCAAATTGACACCTATTTTCTATTGCTATTACTATGTATTTAAATCAAGTTCAAGATAAGGTTTTTGGTTTGTTGTTAAATTATGAGTACTAATATTAATTTTATGAAATTCATCACTTAAATTTTAAATGTTTTCGTAATAATGATTTACACCCCAGTTTCTTTTTTTATGATCAGTAAAAGAAGCCCCTTTTTAAAAAGATTCTTGAATTGAAAGTGGAATGTTTAATAATTAATGTTTCATTATTATTAATAGACATCCCGGATTAGTGTAAACTCTTTTAAATTTAATTTAAATTGGAAAACCTTATGGATGAATTTCATAAAGTTATTTTTCATCATTTGTATTAATTGCAAGCATTAATCTAATAAATTCTGAAATACTAAGAATAACTGAAATCATTTTAGATCTATCTGTCTTCAATTCTAAATCAAATAATAATTATTTGTTTGAGAATTTTAAATCATCCTTTAATTAATTAATTACATCTAATAAGTTGAATTAGTTGATGTTATATTTTAATTTGTTGTAAATAATTTTAGTGATATTAAAAATGTTCAAACTTGAATTGAAAATTATGTAACTATTACTAATTTAATTATTGATATGATAAAGCTATTATGCATTTACTTATTATTTGAGGAATTTTAATAGATTAATTTAATCTTTGATATACTTTAAACACATTTTACTATGATTAACTAATTATTAATCTCTCCATTTTAATTAATGAGTAAAAAAATCATACAAATCATCATCTTCTTCTATAAATAATAACAATATTGTTGGTTCTAGAGTGTTAAAATAGATTTTAGTGATTTAAAATTGCCACTTTTTATCATTACCTACAAATCTTCCAACAAATTTAGTAATTTTGTCGTTTTGTTATTTTTAGAGTAAATCTTTAATGAGTTCATCTTCGAAATTAAACGCTTTATGATTAATACCTTCTAATGGTTAAATATTAGAATCTCTTAGAAATTCTCTAAACTTCTAATCTGAATTCAAGTTAAAAGTGTCTTTCATAACCCTATTTATTTTGTCCATTTTTAACTGAGCCTATTTATTATCATATTTAACCAACAATACCCATGCTGGCAATTATTCTTCTATCAAATTCTCATATAGGATTTATGATCTATAAGCTAAGTAATGTTAGCGCCGTTTCATTTCTATTTGATAACGAAGGAAGATAAAGTAAATACAAAATATGCTATATGTAATAATTGGAATCGCTTATTATTGAAGAATTGACATTTCAGCAGCCTGACTAATCACAAATATTACTGATTATGTAGTAAATATGTTACCTTATAAATAGAGACCTTGTGGATAATATAAAAATTATACATAATCTAGCAGCTCCAACTTCTAAATATATATTTTATCCGTGCATTAGCCATATGTAAATATCTAATAATATACTTATGACAATCATATTTAAGCTCTTTATGGACTCTCTTTGCATAGGATATCTTCGAAAAAAGAAAAGCATGGTTAATTCAATGCAGAGAGTCACTGATGTAGCAATAAAGTATATTATGTTCTAAGTGTAATTTATAAGGTTGAGTATCAAATATATTGAGAATATGGACAAAGTAATTTCGTACATTTTTTTATTTTGATCAATAACCCATAGCTTAAATGATTATTCAAGCTCAGATGAATTAAATGTTAATGTATATTTTTTGATCATATAATTATTAATAATTAAATACTAAAACATTATAATAAGATCAAATATGAGTATTGAATTATTTATCATTAAATCTCAAATTAATTTTTGTTATCAGAAACAATAGTTTTTATATTAATTTTTTTAAATAAATTTTGAGAAATCTTTCTGAAGAATTATCATATATTTGATATTCTTAGAATATTAACATTCTATTTTGATATACGAAATCTATTTATTTATTTGTCTTTCGATTTTAATCTAAAATTAATCAAACAGCATATAATTCTATAAGTGATTATTTTTATATAAAAATATAATTATTTATACATACTAAATAACATCATTTAAATAATTTTCATTATTATACATCTATATAAAATAAACTAATAAAATAAAATAGGAAGATCTTTAAAATAAAAATAAGTTTTTTCAACATGTTTTATACTTTGTCATTATTGTAACCATTATTTGAGATATTATTATTGTAACAATTATTTGAGATATTATTATTGTAAATTATTTTGTATTCTTTATTCTAAGTTACACATATGAGATTTTATGATTTATTTACGAAAAACTTATTAGAATAATATAATTATTATTAAATGAATCGAAACATACCAATTGGGAATAAAATTTGTGCAACGAAAGAAATATTCTAGAACTAAGTCATTTTAAATAGTCATTTATTGACTATGAGACCCTAAATCAACACTAGTGCCCCAAAACAATATGATTTTCTAAAAAATAAAAAAATTAAGGAAGCCATCAAATCATAAAAGTAATAAGAAATAGACAGAGAAAATTAAAATCTTATATCCAAATTAACTAATATTATGTAATAATAATCAAGTAATAATATTATCATAATTAAGATAACTCAATCTCTACTTTAGCAATTAAGAAATCCACTACTGTGAGTCTTGGTCCAAAGAAATCTCTCAATAAAGAATACAGAAAAAAAGAATTGATTAAGATTGTTATGGAGAATCAATAACTCTTAAAAAGAATTTAAGATTAGAAATCTCAATACAATGTTAAAGATTGGAATCAAGAGAGAAGATGGGTTGAAAAATATATTTCTAATATTTGCGAATATCCCTATAAGGATTTCAAACCTACAAAAACCTTAGTACAATATTGGACCAACTCAAGAATTAGCGAGTCTTAATTATAAAGTAATAATTCAGAAGTTATATTATTAGAAAGAGATAATTTTAACAATAAGAAATTAGATCCCTTAGAAATCAAAAGCCAATAAACTAAGTATCAAGTATTATTAATCTATTCAGATCAAGAGCTAGGCAAGAGAATAATACAGAGTCTAGATAAATCTTAATAAATTAAGAAAATCAATAAAGGTAATATAATCTATTATAATATTCTAGAAGTCTCTTTGAATCTGATTTTCAACCTTATGAACCCTATCAAGATAAGGTTAGTAAGATTGTTAATGAAATCATTGAAAAACCTTAGTAATAAGAATAAGAGTAAAAGAAGGAAGACAATGAAGTTGTAAATGATCAAAAAAATCAAGAGAAGCCAACAATGCAAGAAGATCAAGTAAAAGTGGAATCTAATGATCAGTAAAGCAAGGAATAAGAATAAAATTAGAATAATGAACAAATTGAAGAATAATAATAATAATAATAATAATAAGAATAATAATAATAATAATAATAATAATAATAATAATAATAATAATAATAATAATAATAATAATAATAATAATAATAATAATAATAATACAATGAAATTGATAACTTAATGGAGAATTCATAAGTAAATGAAGAGTAATAAGATTAAGGTTCTAATAAATCTCCTCAAAATCATCAAAATATATAAACCATAGATTTTGAATAACAGAATTAAGAAGTTTTGGACAATTAAAATTCTGAATAATTCTAAAATTGAATATTTTTATACTTATTGTAAAATTATTATTTATATAAAATAATTTTAAGGACATTAATAATAAAAATATAACAGATTATCCAATATATATGATATAGCATATATGTTAGATATATTCATAATTTTTTGGATTGCAGCTTGCATACATTACCAGTAATATTACACTTATTCAATAATGGTATTTTATATATATTGTATAGTTTTAAAAACTTATCTAATTAAAAATCCATATTTTTTTTACGCGTTAAAAGGATGACAGAAGATACTCTTTCTTCTTTTTTTCTAATTAATTACTATTTTGCAGTATTTTATATTAAATTAGTAGATAACTTTGATCTTATAATCTATTAACTCTTATTAATTTTGAGATTTTAGGTTGTAAAATGTTATTTGATTATTTCTTCTACTGAAGTTTGTTTGAATTATGAGATTTCTTCAGTTTAATCTTAATATTTGACTGGTTCAGTCAACATATGTTTATGATGTTGTTTTTTAATAATAAATTATTTTTTTTCTTTTGATGGACTTTCTTTGAGATGTTTAGGTTCCTTCTTTTTTTAAATAAACCATGGTCCTAAAGGAGTTTCAGGTAACATTTCATCCAAATCAACATTGAGAAAATGATCATATGAAGTTTACAATGCTATATTATTTGTATGAGTCATAATTTTAATTTATAAATAAAAAATTTTTAAATGATCTCTTATTTCTTTTATAATTAAACATTCGTTTAATCCATCATTGAGCTGATGCATTAAGTTCTAGCATTTTTTAATTAAGTGTTTCAATCATAATTCTACTTCTATTTGTCTTAGACATATGACTAGGTATGCATTATTCATTTTTATGTGTCCTTCCTAATATTTTCTTAAAATCAATCATGACATTTTTAGTATTTGGATGTACAATTGAATTTTTATTTGAAAATTGATCATATTGATAAATTGATTACTCTCTTAAACAAACAGATTTATTCATTAGAGATTTCCTAACTGTTTATTTTTCAAATCCAGGACCAACAAAACTTATTTTTCTTTTACCAGCCTCGTAATCAGCATCATAAAATGATTAAAAACAATTATATTTGTTAATATTTAAAGAATGTCCAGAACCTTTAAAATGAGCACTTCTAGGTCTTCTAAAATGATGTTATAAACAACATAATACGCTCTAATTGAATTAGTATCAATTGATAAAAACTAATTCAAAGTAGCATTTGAAGAAGCATTTTAATATCTATTCGATTGTTCTCTTGACAGTTGTCTCTTAAGATCTACAAATCCTTTTGTTCTTCTACTTTAAGTATTGCTTGAATCAATTGATGTTTAAGATTCATTGCCTTATTTTATCATAATTTTATGTTCAACAGCAAATTTACCACCTAAATCAGACTTTCTTAATAGTTATATTCTTTACTTTTAAATCACAGAATATTTTGGATTGTAAACTCCAATAGGCATATTAGGTTTTCCTTAATTTTATAATTTTTGCATATATTCTCTAGACAAACCTAAACTAAAAGGTTATTATCTTTAGGGTTTTTTAGGTGATTGACAGGGTGTTATTACAATAGATTAAACATCACTTTGTTTTTATATCGATTACTATTTGCTAGCTTTACCCAATAAATGAGCAAATATTTATGAGCTTGATTTTCCTGCTTTGGAATACATATGTTAGAAGAAATTTTCTGTATTTTAGTTCATTGTAGATAATTATCGATATAAAATATAATATTTATTAGTTTTAATATACTTGGGTTAGTATTCTAATGGAATTTAATGATGGAAACTTTTTATAGTAATATGATGTTATATGTGTTTATATGGAAGTAAATAATAAAATTGAATTTTATCAATTATAAAATTTTATTGTTATGAATGTATAAAATTCAAGTTCCATAGATATTAATTCATCAGAAGACAGGAAAGATGATATTAATGAAGTGATTGTAATGATGAACAATTAATTTCTTAAAGTAAGAAGACCTAATGAAGAAAATATTTTAGATTATCTAAATTATGATCAGCAAAATAATAAAGAGAAATTAACATCTAAAGATAATACTTTAAATTTAGAATCACCTTAATAAGCATTGCTTTAATAAAAGAATGAAAATTAGTCATATTTTTAATTTCCAAATTCTCCTTAAAAGACATATAATTCAATACTACTGAAATTAGTGAATGAGGAAGAGAATGCGAATATAAATTTAAATGAATTTTAATTAAGATATTAGATGATTTTAAATGATTTATGTTTTAATTACTCACCTTTGGATTAATAACTGATATATAAAAAGCTAAGAAATATATTCTAACAATTTTCAAGCTTCTATGATATTGTTTATTTTGTAATAGGATTCTTATTTATTTTTGAATGTACAATCACTATTACTTTTGAGAGCAAGTAAATTTTTAATATTTCATTTTATGTCATTTAATATTTTATAATGGTTTTGGAATCAATATTATAATTTAAAGAGCAAACCTAATTGAATAATATATATGAATCAGTATTTCATGTATTAATATTTTTATTAATCATTGTAAATAATTTGATAGAGTTCTAATACTTGTGCATAGGATTATTTTTTCATTTGTATTTTTCAATAAAAAAATACAAAATAGTAAAATAGAAATATTTATTATACATTAAAAATATCTCCATTTTAGAGATTGTAATTATTTATATCCTTTTTATCCATGTTTCTGCTTTATTATTTTTTATAGTATCAAATAATGAAGCAGATCCATGGATTGAAGATCTTAATGAGTATAAAGATTGGAGTATTAGTTATTTTTATTCCTTATTTTGGTCAATTACTACAATAACAACAGTAGGATAGAACTTAATTTAATTGAAAAATGAATCTTTAGTTTTAATTACTATTTTAATTTAGATTTGCAATATAGTTTTTATAATTTTTGTTGTAGTAAACAAATAGCAAATGTTTTTGAAATTAGGATAGTTTTCAGAAAATATAGATGTAATAAATAATTATTTAAATGAAAAGAAAATAAGTTAAAAATTACAATAAGAAATAAAGACAATTTTATATAATAAATGGTAGGAGAAGTATTTAAGTAATCATGAATAAGAATAATAGATTTTACAATTATTACCATAATATTTAAATGAGGATCTTAAAATAGAAATGTTTTCAAAAATACTATAATAAATTCCATTCTTCTCCTAAATCTCATATGAATGTTATAGAGAAATAATTTTACAATTTAAAGAGTACACATTTTCACATAATGAAATTCTTGATTAAACTGGATTGTACTATTGTTCTAAAGGTAGTTTTGAATTATTTTTACCTAACAGTGTTAGGATTTCAAGTAAAAAATAAAACAATCTTTTTTATGGATTAAATTCTTTATTCTATGATAAGTAGGATGTTTGTTAAGCTGTGTCAATAAATAAAACTTAATTCATTTATTTAAGTAGATACTCTTTTTTGAAAGTGATGAGAAAATATCCAGTTGATTATGTAAAAGTGAAATGTTATTATGTAGTAAATGTATAGAATGTAAATGGAGATGAATTAATTGGATATTGGAAATCAATGTTATATATGTTAAGATTTGAGGCATGGTTTAGATGAATGTCCTAAAATACATTTATTTATAAATAAATTAAATGTATTATCTAATCATTTGACATCAGAAGATATGGGTAGAATGAAATTTAAAAGAAAGAGAGATAGAAGTACAAATGCAGTATTTTCTTAGAGGTTATTTGAAGATGCTGCATCCATGTTTTAAGAAATTTTAATTTAAGATGAAACAATTAAAGAATTCTCAATTGTACCATAATAAATTTAAAATAATAATCCTAGAAAAAAATCAAAATCATTGAATTCTGATGAAAATTCTAAAGCCTTACAAAAATCAAACTCTGGCCATAGTTTAAGTGCAATTCAAAAACCTTAAGGATCAGGTTTGTCATTTAGTACATTTTCAATGTTTAAAGATGTCTAAGGATAAAGGAAGATTTCAAAATAATAGGATAGTGATAAGATTTCAAGTAATTCTTAAAATAAATAACATCAATCAAGTTCGAATAGTTTTAAAGATTTACCAATAACAATGAATATGGAAGATAAGATTGTTGATGATTCAATTTTTGCAGCATAACCTCGAATAAAGAAATAATAGATTGGAAAACAAGGGACAACATCAATTAAGATAACTCCTCCTAATGCTCCCTTATAGGCTATTCCTTCAGTAAGTGATATCAACACACTAAATGAAGACAGTTTTGTTAATTAATATTCTATGAGTAGCAAAAGATATTCTTCTCCTTAAAAGAAGGCTTCTTCAAAGGCTACAGTAGAAACATAAAAATAATTTGAATAAATGGAGATATAGAAGATGGAATTCGAGTGCCCAATTAATTTGATGCACTATTTTCCATAACACAATATTCAAGAAGTGATTGAAAAATTTAAAAGTATACAGAATAGAGAATTTTAATGATTATTACTACATATAATTATGATGATATGATTATCAAAATATTCGTTTCTTTTTTGTGATTAAATTGAAAAGTGGAAATATCAATTAATTTAATATTATGCAAATTTAATAACACTATTCTTAGTTGATAGATGAATTGAAAATGCACGATTAGAAGTGTTTATTCTAGAAATTGGAAGGAACACTGGCAGAAAAATTGTGTATCAAAGAATTATTGAAAGAATAAGTCATAATCTATGTCTAAAAAACAAAGGAATTCATCCAAAAAGAGATGATTATATCTTTTAATGCTTTGATTATAGATAATTAATATATAGAATTGAGTAAATGTCAATTTGAAGAGAGAGTGAGTAAACCTAAAAATAATGAAGGAATCAATGTCATAATTATTAAGAGTACTGCTGGTAAAGAATATCTAATCACTTCTAATTCTTAATAGTGTCTCAGAATCAAGATCTACCTTAAAAAATTTTGTGTTAACAAAAATTATAGTGGGAAATATAGACTTTAAGAACAGAAAAACTGTCTACCTCTTTCCTAATCATATAAAGTATTAAAATATATATACATAAAAAATAGAAAAATAATCAATATTTCTCTACAATCAAATTTGAAAAGAAATAATTAGAAGAAAATGAAGAACTTCAAATGTTCCACAATTAATTAACTATTATGCATGCTTTTTAATAAATTCCTAATGTTATTAGAGTTTGTGAAGATGCTCAAAGGTATTATATACTTGGAGAAAACATGAAATTATAATCCTTGGAATCACTCTTATTAAATGGTTTTGAATTTAAAGAAGTACCCATAGTATCCATTATATTCATGATCCTACAAACGATTCAAAAATTTCAAGCCAAAACCATATATCATGGGAACATCAATCTTTAGAATATCTATGTCAATATTAACAGTCCAACTCTACAAATTGCTTCACTTTTTCCAAAATATAAGGAACATAATATCAAAAATATAGAAAAAGATATTTATAATGTAGGTAAACTACTATACTAAATCACATTTTATACTTAAAGAGGTGAAATTCCTTAAGATATTAATCTAAATTTAATATAATCGTTAATGGATCAATGGTCATAACCTAATTCTTAAAGAACTCAATATAGATTTTTATATAGAGTCAGTTAGCTTAATTTATTAAATCAATTACTTTCTCCTGGAATAACTGTAGAAGTAGCTTTGATTCATCAATGGTTTGTGAATATTAAACAAAATCTTAAAATTGAACCTAAATAACTTATGTCCAAAGCCTTTCTTACAACCATAATGGAGGAATAAGAATTTCATATGACCTCCTCTTAAATTCTTGATCATCGAGTTACAATCACATAATAAAGCTATCAAGAATATGGTATACATAATTATTTTATAGATAGAACCTGATGAGGAACTTTATCCTATTCGATGTTAATTGATTAATACTACTTAAATGATACCTTCTAAAAAGAAACATGATGATGCTAAAATATCTTTGTTTAGATCAAAGACATTTACAAGTTCAACGATTAAACGAGACTCCTTACATGAAATTACAAAATAATCAACTTTTAAATGATTAGAAGTTAATTGAGAATATTATGATTAAATCAAGATTGTAAATTACACAAATATTTATATTCTAATTTATATGTATACAAATTTGGCAAACATATAAAAAATAAGCATATAAATATACTCTTTCATAAAAATACAAAATGGATTTGTGATATTTAAGAAAAATGAATCTCTTTTTTATTGAATTAAAGATATTTTATATTTTTAATGGGTGGAGATAAACACGATTTGAGTTATTATGTTAAATGTATGATTGGTGGCACCTTAGCATGTGGTCTTACACACACTGCAATTGTTCCATTGGATGTTGTCAAGTGTAGAAGATAAGTACAATAGTATGATAATCTTTGTCTAGGTTTTCCCAACTTTGTACAAATCTTTGGGTGATGGATTAAGCACAATTTATAAAACTGAAGGATTTGGTGGACTTGCATTGGCTTGGGGACCAACTTTGATTGGTTACTCACTTCAAGGATTAGGCAAATTTGGATTCTATGAAATCTTCAAAGATGTTTATAAATCGGTTGTTGGTGAAGAAAATGCCAATAAATATAGAAGAATCGGTTGGTCTATTGCTTCAGGAAGTGCTGAAATCATTGCTGATACTCTCTTATGCCCAATGGAAGCAATTAAGGTCAGAATGTAAACCTCTAAACCAGGTACATTCACAACAAGTGGATCTCAAGCATTTAATTAAGTTAAATCTAATGAAGGTAATAATAATACATAAATAAATTTAAGGCATCAATGGACTTTATAAAGGTTTAGGACCACTTTGGGCTAGACAAGTTCCATACACAATAGTCAAGTTTGTTGCTTTTGAATAAATTGTTGCATTATTCTATGAAAATGTTTTCACAAAACCAAAGGATTCATATTCTAAATTCACTTAATTATCAGTAACATTTGCATCAGGATATTTGGCTGGTATCTTTTGTGCTGTTGTTTCACACCCTGCTGATACTATTGTATCAAAATTAAACTCAATCTAAACAGGAGGTAAATATATTTTATTATTTTTAGGAACTTTGGGTGAAAACGTTGGTAAGATTTATAAGGAAATTGGATTCTCAGGATTATGGAGAGGATTAGGCACCAGAATTATTATGATTGGTACACTCACTGGTTTATAATGGTGGATTTATGACAGTTTCAAAACTGCAGTAGGATTATAAACTACTGGAGGTGGAAGTAGTAGTGCTCCTAAACCTTAAGAAACCAAACATTGATATATATCCAATTTTATATCAAGCATTTATATAATCATAAAATAACAATATAATTCCCATTAAGAGAAAGAGTAATCCCCATCTTTTACCGAATTATTCATTCATTTTTGTTGCACTTATTAAATGTTTATTAGCTTTTTCAATGTTTGATAAACTTTCATTTGCTTAAATCAATATTTCTTCTGTTAATTTCTCTTAATGAGCAATAATTTCTTGCATTCTTTATAAAGATGATGAAATATCTCTGATTTATTATTGAATACTCAGAATATCTTTCATTTCATTATCATATTTCTTTAATAATTGTTAATTCTCCAAATAAAGAGGATCATTTTCTTATTCAACTGAAACTTGTGATTATCCTTATGATCTTTTATCTTCAATCTTTGAATTCACTTTACTTAATTTTGTCAACTAAGAGATTCTTTCCTTTTGTCTTTGTCGAAATAATTTAAATTCTTTAAACAGAAGAATACCCTTATTTAATTCACAAATTAGACACCCTAATACTATTTCTTTATGAGCATATTCTGTTTTTGTTTTTGTCAATTTAAGCATCTCTTAAATACCCTTTATTTTTTCTGAACATAAACTAATTTTAGTTTGAACTTCATGATCAAAATCATCTCTCTCTTTTTCAGAAAAAGGATGTCCATATAGATTTGATTTTGCAATATATTTATCCTTTTATATATCCATAAATTAGATTATTGTAATGACCATACTATACTAAAATTAGTTTAATTTGCTTACTATCTATGAAGTATAACTATTAAAATAATCAGACTCATTTTCATAAATGCTCTATTTTAATGAAGATGTTCCAGCTATTTAAAAAAATTTATCTGTGATGTCCATATTTTATTATTTACAGAGAAAAATTAATTAGATTTATCTAAATAATATATATAAATTATATTGTTTCATATAAAATTCATTAATCTATTTTTATATAATTCATTAGACAAACCTATTTTATTTAATTATATTTAAGTAATTCTACATATTAATAATATTTGATAAATATTAATATATTTATTTCTTTTATTCATTGATTATATTTAAATCATAATTCTTAAGGTAATTGATTTAAATTTCACAAATCTTAATGATAAAAGATTAGAAATCTAATCATTGATAAAAGTATTAATGTATTTTTTGTTTCAATAAAGATTCTCAATTAATATTAATTGACTTTTTAAATAAAGATATTGTGAATAAAACTTGAAATTTATGTGAATCCTATATATTTTGGATGATATTTGATTAAAAATAATGTATGTCTATATTAATCGCAATTATTATATATTTTTTCATTAATCCTTATTTAATTATACAGAATTTTAATTAAAATGATGAAAAGTGTCTTACAAACTCATTCAATGAGATAAATTGTAGGTTAACTTCTAGATAATTGTTATGAAGTTTTAAGGGCATTTTTAGAATAAGCTATTCAACATGATGAGGTTTCTCCAGAAAACACCATTTAAATTAATAAAGATTTGATGGGTGCAATAAACTTCTATATTAGCAATTATGACTTTATTTAGGGTATTTATAGATTCTATGGTGATATAAAGAATAAACTCATAGCAATTCTAAATTTTTGAGGAATCTACTATTCGAGGTGAAGCATTATAGAAATAATTGGGCTCATTCTAAAGATTTTACTATTCGTGAAGTTCATAGGTTTATAAAAAAAAAGATTATTTAGAATAGCTGACACTATATTGATGTTGTTTGACGAATTAAGTTTGAATATTACTAATGAGGTGTATATAATAGTTAATGAAATAAGGATGGAGTCTATTTAAAAGATGAGTTTATAATTACAATAATCATAAAAATATTGAAATTATATTATATTTATGTAACCTAATCAAAATCAATCTCCGATTCCAGGATCGGTTGAGATCATTAAAGGTAACATTTCTATTGTATCCTTAGATAAACTCTATTGGATTTCTGATCGATAAGCACCAAGAAACTAGCCAAATGCATTCTATTTTTGCATTGATCAGGTATTAGATAGAATCTAATTTGTTTTCAGGATCTTGTGTATGAGCCCTTTTTTGCAGATTTTGGTCCATTAAATTTAGGTCACACTTACAGATTTGTGACAGAATTGGAGAAATTACTTGGTGATAAGACATATTAACAATATGCCATCTATCACTATACAAGTTTGGATAGTGCAAAAAGAGCCAATGCTGCCTATTTGATGGGAGCCTTTTAAGTGATCATCTTAAAAATGAGTGCAGATGATGCATGGAAACCATTCCAATCTGTAAAGCCCGCATTTTAAGATTTTAGAGATGCAAGTTATGGATAATGTACTTACAAATGCACAGTATATTTGTTTGACTATTTATATAGATTTTACATTGTTTAAGAGGCTTAGAATATGCAATAAAGTTGAAATGGTTTGATGTTAGAAAATTCAATCTTAGAGATTATGAATTTTATGAAAGAGTAGAAAATGGAGATTTGAATTGGATTGTTCCTAATAAATTTATAGCTTTCTCAGGACCATCTGCTACATAAAAAGATGCTGATGGAGTAAGTAGTCTATTTCTATTTAGAATCGAACATTCACTCCTGAAGAATATGTACCAATCTTCAAATAATTTGGAGTGACTTGTGTTGTCAGATTGAATAAGAAAGCTTATGAAGAATAAAGATTTATAAAAAATGGCATAAAACATGAAGAAATCTACTTTTTAGATGGTTCAGTTCCAGGAGATGATAAGATTTTAAGATTCCTTGAAATAGCTGAAAAAGAGAATGTAGTGGCTGTACATTGTAAAGCAGGTTTAGGTAGAACAGGAACATTGATTGCAGCATATGTGATGAAACATTATAGGTAATAATAAAATATACAATAGATTTCCTGCTCCAGATTTTATAGGTTGGATCCGTATATGTAGACCAGGAAGTATTTTAGGACCATAGCAAATCTTTTTATTAGTAATTTATTAATATTTATATTATTAAAGCAAAAACAAAATTGGTTAATTAGTTTAGGAAAAGATTCTCCTATATGGAATCAAGTTAAATAAATTGCAGCTGAAGTCAACATAGAAAAGAGATTGAAGGATTTACAATTAGGACCTATGAGTGAAGGTAGAATATTAAATATATAAATATTTAGCTGATAAAAATAAGGCAGAAAAAGGTGATTAAGATTAGGCTTAAACATTGAATAAAGCAAAATTAATGAAGTAATTTAATATATAGATAAATTCTTTAGTTAATCCTCAAATTCACCTGGTTTGAAAAAATGAAAGATTAATTATAATGTTATTAAATAAATTTAGCCAATCCTAAATATAAGTTGTCGAATTATATATATTCATCAAAATACAAATACATTTTTTATTGATTTTTTGTTATTATTTATCAATAAATAATTTGTTTATTAAGATTTATAATTTTTCTTTTTCTTTATTGTCCTTTCTGCCTCATCTATAGAAACATCTTATAAATCATCAGATGGTGATTTAGGATTCCTTTTGCTTCTTGATAAACCAGATGATCTTTATTAATTTGTTGAAGTAGCCCTACTATATTAATTTAATTTAGATCCTTATTTCAATTATAAATTAAGTTTCTAATTTTACCAATTATTTAGTGCAAATATATGATTCCTCTAATTTTAGTCTGTTAATTATTGTTCTTTCCTTTATCTATATGAATCATGAATGCTACAACCTATAAATCTATTATCTTTCCATAATCCTTCAATTATTACTCCATTACTTTAATGATAAGTTCCTTAACCATCCCTCATATCATTTATAAATTAACCATAATAATAACTGCCATCTTAATATATCTATTTCCCTTTACCATGTTTTAAATCATTTTCATAATCTCCCTAATTTACAATATTAATTTTACTTCATAAGATAAACCTAGTTTATTACTCCATATACCATGTCCATGTCTTTTTCCCTCTAAAAATTATCCTTAATAAATTGAACCATCTAACCATCTATATTCACCATTGCCTTGAGGTTTACCATAAAAATAGTTTCCTATATATTTATCACCATTTTAGAATTACTCAATTCCATATCCATTCTTTACTGAATTAGTCCATTAACCAAAATAGACATTTCCATTCCATTTATGTTCTCCTAAACCATCCTATTAACCGTTAACCCATTATCCTATGTATGAATCTCCTTCAACTCCATTCCATTAGCCAATTCCATGTTTCTATGCATTCAACCATTAACCAATATATTATTCACCATTAATCCATTTGAAGATCCCTTCACCATTAGGCTTTTTATTCATTACTTAACCATGATATATACACAAATTATTTAAAATTAAGAAAGCTATATTTAATTCATTGTTTTGATATATGAATCTACCATTTTAATTTATTTTCACTTATATTTTGTTAGCTTTTAAAATGATTTATTTTTCTTATATTGTAAATTAATTAATTTAAACAGATGATCTAAGAATTTTATTTTAATGAAGTAGATTAAGCATTTATATTTGTATGTTTTCTTGATTTTCAAGTTAAAAAATTTGTTGAACTTCTTAAATAAAAGATTCTAAATTTATATTGATTGGATATTTTTTTCTAATTCTTTGGACTTATATTTGCACTGTAGAAATTAACTGATACTCTTAATGCCTAAGAATTTAGAACATTTTATTTACATTCTAATTGTTAACAAATTATTAATAAAATTTAATGATGTAATAACAAAATATAAAAAGATCAAAATATTGTTTTTAGTAATAATGTAATTTGAAGGTTTCTTTCCTTTATTAATATTATTATACCATTATGTAAATTTGTTGTAACAATTAAATAATCACAATTGATTAAATTATCTTTATATCTCCATTCTTTTAATAGTTTATTTTGATACTCTAAGATTTAATGTCTTCTTTTTCAGATGTAATAGATTTCTTTAATAAATAATCTTATGATTTTCTTATTTCCTCAAAATTAATTAATTAGATTAAGAGATTCAAGACTTAGAAAACAATCAAACGTTTTCATATTCCACTATAAAATGATATTTACATTCTAATTAAAGAATATAATATTGTATAATTTACAATTAATTATTTATAATTATTATATATATATAAGGAATTATTTGAAGAAGTTTAAATCTAAATTATATAGAGTGTTGAATCATTATATATTAATAAAATAATAAATGAAATTGAAATAAGAGATATTATTAATATTATTATATTTTTATTTTCGATTTAAATTAAAAAATTTAGATAATTTCAATGATTATAAAAATAAATAAATAAATTTAATAAGTGGATTAATATTTCTAATCAAAAACTTTTTTAAATTTGCATAGGGGATTAATTAGAGGATTGCTTTTCTTTAATTGATTCTTCATATTATTCTAGTAATTTTTCAAGTTCTTGAATATGCAATGTCTATTTATATATTTCAGCATTTAAATCTCTAATTTCCTTATTTTTTTCACTAATATATAATTTAATTATTACTCTAATTCTTCTATATGTTTACTTTTCAAGGTTTCAATTTATAAAAGAAATTCCTACCTTAATTCTTCACTTGGTTATTAATCATTTTATTTTTCTTCTTCTAACATAGCTTGAATACGTTCATTATATGATTATAATTCATTAATAGATTCTTGATATTTATATATTTCTATTTATTAATTTGAGATCTCTTTATTTAATTGTTCTATTTTTTACTGAAATAAATAGTGGAATATAATAATACCTTCTATTGTTTATTTTAATTTTCTAATAATTTGATTTAATTAAGTAATTCTTAATTATCTTTATGAATGATCTTATAAGTTTTTTCATATTATATAATTTTCTTTTCTAAAGGTTCTTTACTACTACGAAGATCTACAATAGATTAGTAATATTCTAATTTTTCTCTTAATCTTTAATTCTCTTCTCCATAGTTTTGTACTTCAATCTAAAGTATAATATGAAAATACTTCTAATTCTTGAACTGTAGTGTATTTAGTACATTTTTTTAATTAAGCTATTTCTTTAGTTTTTTCAAGTAATTCTTAGACTAATTGTTTATGTTTAGCTCTTAATTTTTGTACAATTGCAGCTTTTTCAATGACTAGTTTGGTTGTATCATTATTATTGACAGTTTTACTATGTTCTTCAACTAAATTTTCATATCTTTATAATTCTTTCTAAAATGAATATTTTTAATACTTCTAAATATAAGATTCGAGATTTAGCTTAGGATGACTCTTTTTTTGATGCATTTAGTTATAATTTAAGTTGCCTAATTTCTTCTTAAGTAACTTCATATTCACATGACAATTTAGGACTGGTAAGTTATTTACTTATTGGATGGTCATAATTATACATTAATTTGCTTCCCATATTGGCGCTACTCTCCAACATTCTTGTACCATTAGTGGTTATGGGTCTGGAGTTCTTCATCCTAAACTACATAGACGACATATATAAATGAGGGCAATTTAATATAATCAAAATAATATAAGAAACTTAATATATAATCAAAATTTATTATTATTCTTTTTTAGAGTTGTTTAAGTTGATTAGAGTGTTGATTTTGTGGATTATAATGTTGTAGGGATTAGATTGGTTTATTTCTTCTTAATTAAATATCCTTCTGGAGAAGATCTATGTGACTATAATTAATAATTGATTGTCTATAATGAAATAATAGAATTCTGATTGCTAATAGTAGTTGAATGATTTGAAAATTAATTAGGTCTTTTTTGGATTGGTGTCAAATATTTGAATTCAATTTGGTTTTTCTTTTTCATAAATGGTCTAAGTGTGAATAATTATTCTTAGGTTGTGTGTAATGACTTTGTAAATTATTAATTAACTTTAAATAAGTCAGAAACTAATTTGGATCTAGTTTCATATGATAGTCGCGTATTCTTAATTTGAATTTATATATATAATAAAGTACTTTTATTTGATAAATAAGATCGGTCCTATTTGAACAATAGCATAAATATCTTAAGAGATTTACAAAATCAGTAGAATAATAATTGTCTTCTCCTATTTCTCTCATCTTTCTCATCATCATTCTAAAAGCTAATCAATATAATTTGATATCATTACTTTAAGATATCGATTCATCTTTGATTACTTATTTAAACTCATCCAAATCAATGCATTCTGAATTTAACACAATAACTTACTATTCCCATCTCTATCTGTTTTTTCAAAGAATGCTTTAAGTAGACCCATATTTACAGGATAATTATTTTTCTTTAACATAGAATATAATTCATCCAATTCTATTGAATCTATATTTATATTAAGATTCATCATTTACTTGAATGATCTCTGTCAATTAAATGGAAAGTTTCTGTTACAATAATATCATCAAACAATTCTTTCTCTGTCTTCAGATATTTCTCTTTTGTTTTGTTAGCATGTCTTGAATTAAACCAATTCTTGCTTTCACAAAAATGTAGAACTCTTTTTGCAGGTGGTAATATTTGCATTAAAAATATTTTATTTTTATTGTTTTTAAATTGTTATTAAGATTAATACTTTAAATAGAACTTAGAGAATTCTTAATATATTAATATCAATAATATAATAAATATAGATATCTAAAGATAATTATTATCAATTATTACAAATATCATAATTGATAATTAAAGAAGAGAATCTATTCTTATACAATTTATAATAAACAATAGATATAATTAGTTTTTACAAATTCAAAGTCATAATAATAAACTTGTACAAGATATTGTAAAATTGCTAAAAATCCAGTCAAGATCTATTAATAAAAGTACCAAAAAATATTGATAAGATTTAAGAATTTGATATTAATAATGACATAAGATATTTATAACTTATTCTATACATTTTTTAAATGAATATTCATATAAATTATTTTTTATTCACTTACTTCATTTCTTTTATTAATACATCTATTTTAATTATATGTAACACCAGTATTATATTAATAAATTATTTTTTCAAAATATGGAGCAAAAATTACAATTGTTATCTTCCAGCATTCAAGTTGACCCAAGTAATCCTTAGATTCCTTAAAATTTAAAACATTTGAAAGTATTTAAATATTGTTTAATGTTTAGCTTGAAATATTTAATGAATTAGCTGTAAATAGATTGGCTACAGAATAATTAGCTTGTATATTATATGTTAATATAATTAGTACATTTCTGTGAATTAGAAGTCACATATTTATTGATTTCAAGACAAATTGAAAATTTTGAATTAGCAATAGAAAGATTAATGAAATTTTATAATTAAGGTCTAGAAAGCAAAGAAAAAGCTCATTATACTGGTATTTACTTAATATATTTACTATCCTTTAATAAGTAATAATATTTATTAAATGAATTAATAGATTTGCCTAATATTATTCCCAGATTGAATTATTACCAAAGGAAACATTTTCAAATCCATTTGTTCATTTTGTACTTTAATTGGAATACAAATTGAGCATTGGAAGTTATTCTGATCTTTTAGGTGATTATCATCCAACAGGTATTGAGAATGTATTCTTAGAAAGAATTATGGACACTATTAGGTAATTTGAATTTGTTAATTTAGATTATAAACTGCTTTAAGTGCTAATGCATCATATAAAAGTTTAACATTAGAAAATGCTATCAAATTATTCAATGTTAAAAGTGTTTAAGAATTATAATAATTTGCTTAGAAATAACATTTCAAATGGAAATTTGATAATCATCATGTTTATTTTGATAATGTAAAAAATTAATATATTAATTAATATATAGGTTTAAAAAGTAGAGAATCCTTTGAATTCAGAATTTTTGATTTAAAATTCCTTAAGATATGTTCATGAGTTTGATAAAATTATATGAAAAAGTAGTAGTTAACAATATAATCTTATAAATTACAAATTTTAAATAATTTTTCTATGTTATCCAATTCATGTATCTGATATAAAGGATTCTGGTTTAGCAATCTTTGGTAAAGTTTAAAAACTATTCTTTATAACTCGATTATTGTTTGTAATACTATCATCTTATTAATAAGGACTGAAAGTAGAATTATTTAATTAAGATAATCTAAATTTGTTATATAATAAATAGATACACTTTATTTTAATTTAATTCTAATTCTGTCTTTTATTAAATAAAGATAGTTTATTTTTATTAACTATTTAGATGTGCCTCTTTCCGTATAGTATTCTATTTGTTCATTAATATTGGTAAATCAGTTGAAGTTCGTTTTATATTTGTATTACTTTTTGGTTAAACTGTTATTTTATTAGATATATTTGAATTCTAATATAAAGATATTAATATTACTTAATTAATTTAAGAACTCTTTGAAGCACTTCTAATTTATTTATCATCTTTATCTTTATCTTTTTTTGTACCTTCTGAACTCTTTAATTATGTACTTGTTTAATTTAATCTTAAAGCTAATGTTAAAATAATTTAAATTACCACAATTTTTGGCTAATTTTTTTAATTGTATTTTTCTATTATTAAATGTACCTAAGAAAGAGATTGATGAAGAATAATATTATGATTTTATTGGACCACCCTTGTAAATTAAATCAAAACCACCTATTTATTCTTCATTACCAGTTAATATTTTTTCGAGATCTATAATTGTGAAAACATCATCAAGTAATCCACATTTTAATTCAAAATCAATAGGTGTATTAGAAGTCATAGAAGGACTTTATTAAATTAAATAACATTAACCTTGCATTTACTTCTAATAGCCATGGCTTTAATGAAGAATCAAATAAGATATCAAATCCATATAATTCAAAACAATGTTTATCATTAATAATAATTTTTTATACTGCCAATAATGATTTGATCATTAATTATTAGATATTATAGAAACATTCTTAAACTTTATCTTATCCATACTTTGTCATTAAAAATAACTTTAATTTTTATAAATCCCATTTACCACCTAATTTTTCATCATAATTATCTGATGTCTTTTATATTGCTACATTTGTTAAATGTACATCTTATCATAATTTATTAACATATATATACATGTATTAGTAATGTCTTCATTATCATATCTATGATGAGTGAATCTAGCAAAACCTGTTCGATATAAATATAAAGTTAAAGGAGAATAGGAAGTACATAATAAATATATTCTAGCATCAAACTTTTTACCTCCAATCAAGAGAGGATCTGCTATATATCTTTAAACAATGTAAGATTCAGCAGATGGATTTTCTGGATTAAATTTAACTTGATTTTTCCATTAAGAAATTTGTTGTATTTTATTAAACAAAAATATACCTCTTCCTTATGATTTTCCAATCTTATATTATATGATATTAAATATACTGGTTTCATAATCCAAGCTGTTTTGTTATCTCCCTACTTTTTGAATTCTTCATTAAAAATTGGATATTCACTAGGTAAATGAAATGTAAGTGGGAAAAAATTATAACTAAGTCGTTAAAATCAATATTATACGAATTAGCTTCTTCTGTTTTTCCTTCCTTTTCTAACATTCTTTTTTATTTTTTCAAATTTTTGATCATCAAATCTTTTCTAGTTAGCTTATTTATTAATATTATAATACTTCATAATGATTGCGAAAATGATTGATTTTTTAGTGAGGTTATAAATGAATATGATCCATAACTTCATGTATCCATTCCTTCTCTGCCCACATGATATCCCAATCATCACCATCTACCTCCTTCCAATTTCTTCGTTTAAATGCCTATTGTAAACATTCATAAATATAAATACTTCTAAAATGCAATTTCTAAAAGAAGTCTTATATTTTATATTTGAACTAAACATAGTATAGATAAGTATATAATTACAAGTGATTTGGATAATTCTCTTTCTTGATATACTTTCTAAAGTATTCAGACATAATAATTAACTTTTAATAAAATTATAATATATAGATGATATGTGTTCATAGAATTTTAAAAGGTACCCTAGATTGTTAATTTAGAAATCAAAAATCCAAATAAATAATACTAATACTTAAATCATTCTTATTATTATCCTAAAGTAAATTTTGTATTTCTACATCTGAACAAGTGTTTAATAGTTATTTATGTTAACTTTTAGTGTGCTAAATGATTAAAATTTTGGTAATATAAGAAAAAAAGAAAATATAATAACTTAACAATGCTTCTTCAAGATATTAGTATAACATGTACTAAAAACCCTTAAAAATAACATGAAGAACATTAATATAGCCTTTTGCCATTCACATTTATGATAAAAATTATAATATGGGCTTAACTTTAAGTCTAATCTCCTTAAACTAATTTTTTATGATAGTCAAAGAGGTACTCGAAATTAAAATTTTAAGGTTTAGTTGCATAATTAATTCTTCTATCTAAATTCTAATATAATATTATACGATTTAAATTAACATTCTTTAAGAGACAATTTTATTTGAGTAATAGTATTTTAAATGAATTATTGATTTGAATTTATTTGTTAGCTCATTTCAACAGATTTTTCCATTATTTAGATTTTTATTTTTGTCTTATTTTTCAACTTATACTTAATAAGGTTGCATATATGTATAAGTCCTGATAAATATCTTTATTTTTAAATAGAATATTAAATAAGTATTTAATTGAAATCAAGTTACATTTCTAATATCTTTTTTATAATGTGATGGTAATTGATTCACTCATAAAACTAATTCAAAATTGCTAATTAAACTAAAAAAATAATGTATAATATTATTATAAACCATAAAAGAATAAATAATTCAAGATTATAATTTCTATATCATTTAGTTTCTTTATATTACTTTATCTTACATTATTTCTTTTTTATATTTCTCTAAAAATTCTAATTCTTATTTATTTTTATCATTTTTTTGAGATATCTCTAGATTTTTTTCTAATATTTTATTTTATTTATGTATTTTTTCCAACATATTTTCCATTTATTTTTCTTTAGCTAATTTAAAACGATATTCATTTTTTTCTTATATATTTTATTTTCTTAAATCTAACAAAGATTAATGTCTAATTATAATATAATTAAAAATACCTTTTTAAACCACTTTCAAGTTTATCATCAGCTTTTTGAAGTTTTGAAATAAGAGAATCAGATCTTTGTTAATCTAGGGATTCTTAATATTATTCATATTTTTTTATAATCCTACTATTTTTCATGGATAGACTTTTTTATTATTTGATTTATGAAATTTCATGTTTATTAATTTATATCTAATTAATATTCATTATAAAATTACTTATCGTTATGTTGATTTACTAAAATACATTTGAACATATTCATTTTCTTTTTAAATAGAAGATTCTTATAATTTTTTTTATTTTTCTTCAAAAATCTTTAAACTTTAATTTTATTTTCTTCTATCTTCTAATTATTTTTTATTTAAGTAATCATTCAAATAATCAGATTTCTTTTTCATTGAATCCATAACTTATTCAATCATACTTTACTCTAAACTTATTTACATTTATCTCTTTAATTATCTTTCTTTTTCTTTTTCTTCTCTTTTTTTTAATTATTCAATTAATTCCTCTTAAGATTATAAAAGTTATTTTTATTTTCTCTCAAAATGTTAATCAAGATTTTTTTCTAATTTTTTAACAATTTTTTTATGTTATTTATATTATAATTATTCTTCATGTCTATTTTTTTGACATATCTCATTTACTTTTAAATTCTTTCTTTTTAATTTCTTTCTAATTTAATCCAATTATTTTTATTTAAGTTATTCAGCTTTTTAGTAAATTTCTGGGGCTGTTTTACTATAATATTCTTCTTATTTATTAATCTAATCCTAAACAATATTAAGAAATCTATTTATATTGATAATAATTTACTTGTTATAATTATCAGATTCTTTATTTACCTTTTTATCAAATAATTCCTTCTTTTGTTCTGCATTCAAAATTATAGATATTTATGGATCTTCTATTTGAGTTTTCTTAGTTTCAGATTATTCAACAATTAAAGATTAATCTTTAATCTTGATATCTTTAGAATTTAAATGTTTTGTAACTTACGATTGAATATGTTTGATTTGATTTCTACGTTTTAAAAGATCATTCAATATTTGATATTTTTTAGACACATATTGTAAATATTAAATGAGGTTTTAAAGATCATTCTATTTCTTTTAACAAAAGTCTGTATACTATAATACATTAAGATCATCCACTTCTAATTTAAGCATTTCCATAGCTGCTTGAGTTCTGGGAGAGTTTGTATCAAATTGGATTTGAAATACTGTTAATTAATTAGGATTTCTAATGATAGTATGTTTTTGATTAGGTTCTAAATAATTAGACTCAATGGCATATTTTAATTATGCATTTGAGATGATTGGAAATCTTTATTTGTTATGGTTATCTAAGAGATTTATTGGACTAGATTCACTACTTTATTAAAGTGAATTCATTGATTTTTATTTTGTAATGATGATATTATTCTTTTCTTTGATATAATCAAGCATCTTTTTTTAGTTTTAATTTTTTATTGATTATGGTAATCTAAAATTATATAAATTATTTAAAAAGTATCAAAATTCTAATTATACGACTCTATTTTATTTTTAGATACAATCTTTTATGATATCTTAAAATATAATCTTGATTGATATATTTTCTAATTATTTTGATTTAAATTTGAATAATTCATTATTAGACAATTGATTAATCTATATTAGAGATTATAATTATTTATGTTATAAGAATTATAATCATTAAAAGAGAGGAAAGAGAGTTTATAGAAATAGAGAATTGCTTTAGAAGAAGAATTGAATTAATTGTTAAGCTATTTAGAATAAGGTTCAAAGAAACTTAGTGATGCTTATAATGTTAAATGTTAGAGCACAGAATTTGAGATCAAAAAGAAAGAAATATAGAAATAGATGGAAAAAGAGAGTTAAGAAATAGTAAAGAATTAGCAATATTGCACTGATTAATAAAGAGTTTATAAAGAGAGAGCTGATTGGATTGATAAATTTAATGATAAATTAAAGGAAGACTTTAAATCATGTTAAAAAAAAGAGTGAGTTATGCTTATATTTCATAAGGGAAACAATTTAGATTAGAAGTACAGTAGCAAAAGGAATAAAACGATTGTTTCTATTGTAGTTATGTACAATTTTCTTTGACAAGGAAAATTAAAGACTCTTGTGGGGATTGCATAAGATCAAATATCTAAATGATGTTTAATAAAATATGTCAAATTAAGAAGAGGATTAATTAGCTACTTCTTTGGGTTATTTAGGATTATTATTATAATAAATAGCAAAGATAAAGGGTGTAACATTGAAATATGAATTTAAATTTAAGGGAAGCAAGAGTTATATTCAATAATAAAATGAGTAAATATAATTATATTTGAATATTATAGTACTTTGTATTTATTTAGTTAAAAACCATCTAATATGAAAATATTGAAATAAAGTTATGGATTGCTGATTCAAAATTTATATATAATAATGGAAGAATTGAGTGTATAGAAATAATGGAGAATTCAATCATTACCAGCTATAATAGGTAAAATAGGAGAGATGTTATGGGTAGATGCTTGATAATTATAATATTAAATTATAGTTTTGTAATTTAATACATATATTAATAAATTTATTTCTATGAAATCATACACACTTTAAATAATCTTCTCCATTATTGATGATAGGTTTAAAATGACATAATTCATCTACCATCCATTCAATACTATTTCTAATCATCATTCTTCTCTATCCTCTCATCATATTTCTCATTAAAAATGGTTGTTTCCAAGAAGTACATTTCTCTTACATATGACCTCCATAACCTGGTAACATTGATATGAAACAAGCCTTATGCCAACATGCAATCTAAAAAAAATAATATTTAATAAATCTTACTCTATATATAGGTTTCTTTTCTGGTTTACAATTTTGTAGTGTCTCATGCAATCTTAACAACATCTCTTCTTCTTTAAGTGTCTAGAATTAGTAATATACTTCTGCCTCTAAATCAGATACTTTTATTCCTTCTCCATTAACTATTCCTGAAACCACCTAAAAATATTTATCAATATCTCCATTAAATTAAACAGGTTTATCAAAATAATTAGTTGTCACTGGATCTGATGCACAAATTGCTAATTATTTAGCTGCATCATGAAGTACTTTTTCTAATGTTGAAAATATAAAACCCTAATATATATTATTTATATTATTTACATGTTTTCCAAATAAACTTCTTAAATGATCTTCATATTTAAAATCTTTAGCTTTTAAAGAAAGGAATAAAGCAGATTTAAATACATTATATCTTTTATCCTTTCCTAGATTATTTTACTTACTAATTATATATGCCATCTCTAATCTTTAATATATAGTGTGTAAAAATCTCAATAAAATGTACAAATTTTGAGTAACATATGTAGTTGACTTCACTCTTGGTTATAAATTTAAAAAATGTCCAGGAGGTTCATTTTCTATCTCTGGAATTGAAAATGTAGTTTCTTCTGGATTATAATGTATATCATATATTTCTAAATCTGCTATTTCAGTCTTTAATTTAGTATCATTTAATATTAACTCAGATATTTACATAGGTTTCATAGGAACTTGAAAAAAGTGATTGATTAATTTAATCATTAAGAATGTACCATTTCTTTTATCTAATGAATTATTTCCACCCATTATTTATAAATAATGTATGATAAATTAACCACATTCTTAAAGTATTTATTCGTTACCCATCCAAAGAGAAATAAGTGGGCAAAAACGAACATTTTCTTTGGTTGGAGCAGCTAATGGCATTTATTTTGGTAGAAATGGTTTAATATTTGTCATTTAAGCTAAAGAATTTAAAAAAGTATCATCAAAAGTGAATTAAATATTATCAGCTTTTCTTTTAATAAATACATGATCTTTGGTTCCTAGATATTTAATTAATACATTTTTGGCATATTCTTCAATTTCTCTAACAAATCTCTATCCATTAATTACTAATTTATCATTCTTTTTAAAATAGAAAGATCTATGATCTAAAGATCTATGAAAATTAATAGTAGAGACAGTTTCCCAAACTTATTTAGCTTTAGTATTACGTGCTGATACTAATTCATTTAATTTTTATTTGACTCTTTTTATTAATATCTTAGCACTTTCTACAGGTTTAGTTTAAAATAATTATATTATTTCATTCTAATCTTAAGTCTAATTTCTATATAATTATTATAATATTCTCATATCAATAACTTTATTTACAAGAACTTATTCATCTTTATTTCCATCTATAATTTCTTAAAGTAAATTAATAGTTCTTTTTATTTATTAAATATTGACATCAAATTCAAATCTTTCATCTTCACTTTTAAACAATTATTCTTCAAAAGTATTTTTCCTCATAATTAAGAATGATTAATCTTCAGAACCAAATGGAACAGAAACCCATGAATGATTAAGAATCTCAGGATTATTATTTGCTTTTGCATATCCAATAGGCATTCTAACATATGATCTTGTAACTCTATCTACTTAAGCAAAATCAGTATCTTTTAATGGTTTAAATAATGGAGTTTATATTCTTCTTGCTATTACTCTTGTTGTTAACATTGATCTTATATCATCAATATATTCTCTCTCCAACCAACTTTATTGATTAATCAATTCCATAACTTCCATTTAAGTGATTATACATTCAGAATATAAATGAATAATCTTTAGAAATTCATTCATAAATTATTAATAATCATTAGGAAATTATTATATAACTCTTAATCTAAATTTATCCCAAAATAATAATTCATTCTATTTTAATTAATCAAATTTTACCATATCAATTATAGCTATTCCACTCTTATCTAATAATCTTTAAAAATAATTTCTATTCTCTTCTATCTTCTTTTTTGGAGGATTCTATTCGTGCTTCTTTTTAAAACTTTATAAGAATTATTATTATAATTGAGGATCATTACTAAATAAATCTAATATATGATCTTTATTCTGATGACCATCTAATTAACCATTCTATATTTATTTTAATATAGTCTCCATTGCCTTACTCTAATTACTTTCATTATTCACAAATTCAGTCAATTTCTCTTTCTATGTCTTAAATTTAACATCATCTTCTAATAAAGTATTCACTTCTTTTAATAGTTCTGGTTCTTCACTTAACATTTATCCCAACTGTTCCTTAGCTATACGAGAATTTTAACTAACTATATTTGAAAATTGCCTATAATTTTATCAAAATAAAACTTGTAGAGTTATTAATTTGTGCGTCTCAATTTCTAACAAAATTGCTCACATCTCTCATATAACTATTAATCTATATCCTATTTTAAAAACCTATTTCAAAACTTACTTCTCCAAATTCCCCTAAATTACTCTTGCTTAATATATCATCACTCATTTTTAATTATCTTATATATAAATATAATTAAAAATATTTATAAAAAATAAATAAATAAAAATACATTTTCTCTTTCTTAAATTATCATTTCTTTTAGTTAATTTAAATGAAATAAAATATAAACAACAATCCTAAAGTTATTAGAAAGAGTAACTACAAATCTCTATAATCTTATAGGACCTTGGAGTGAAGATGAAGATTTGAAAGTTCTTGAATTGATACAAACATTTGGTCCTTAAAAATGGACCTAAATTGCCCAATATTTACAAGGAAGAGTAGGAAAGCAATGTAGAGAAAGGTTCATGCCATTACTCATCTTTTTAGATGGCATAATCATTTAAATCCATTGATCAAAAGATCTCCATGGGATGAAGATGAAGAATGGATTTTATATCTATATCATAAAGTCTTTCGTAACCATCTTTTTTTAATATTTAAAGGTAATAAATGGTCTGAAATTGCTAAACATATTAATGGTCGAACAGATAATTCAATAAAAAACCATTGGAATAGTGGTATGAAAAAGAAGTTGAATGAATTCTCGTATAAATTCAACTAAATTAAGTTAAAATATTAAAAAGAAGGGTATCCTATTGTATTATTTACTCTAGTGTTTAAATATTGAATGAATATGATATCTAATAAAAAAGCATTTTAGAAGCTATTTTATCTAATAAACCATTGAGAATTGAATAAAATCAATTTTAAGAGCAAGATAACATTGAGTAAGAATAAAATCAATAAAAAAAAATAAGATTGGAGAATATATATTCAGAAAAATATACTGATTTAGAATTTATTTAAGATGATGATAATGTAAGAGAATAAAACTTATAAAATCATGAATTAGATTATAGTAATAGGTTTAATAAATATTACTATTATAGTTATTTGGATTCAAATCATAAGTTCCTAGTTTCTAAGAATTAAATTGATAGTGATGACAATTTCTATTGAGGAAATGTCAATTAAAACAATACAATTTTGATATAATAAAGATAAATGAAAACAATTTTCCTGGAATATATTAAATAATTTAAATCTCATTTGACTTCTTCACTGATATATCTAGGTCTGTATTTTCTAGGAGATGGTACTTTCTCTGATTATTTCTTTTCTACTAATTATTTTAATAAGTAAGTGATATGAGCATAGAATTCTTCATTCCATTCTTTTTAAGTAGGTTTTTTTATATTTTTTATATTCTATTAAGAACCAACTCTAGTTAACTTTTTATCAGAATACTAGATTTTATTGTCTCCTTCATTTGTATCTTTATTTTCTTCCTCATCTCTTATAATTTATAATTTCAGTAGAGGTTAATTGATTTAAGGTCTATCCAAATTATTTAAGTTTGAGGATTCAAATTCTAATGATTTTTATATAAGATTATTTTAAAATAACTTTTCTTTAAAATTTTAAAATCCATTTGGCACTCTAACATTATTTCTGATAATAATGTAATTGAAAATACTTATAATTAAATTCTGCAGTTTGGACAGCCTTTTCAATTGGTGACAATTCATCAGGATCTTCTCTATAAAGTATTTCACTAAAAAATAATACAATATATTTTACGATATATCATGAATAGTCAAATCAGCAGCTGCTCCCATTTTTAAAAGAATAGTAGCAATTTTAGAATTTCTTAAACAAATTTCTCTTAATTATACTTTTTCTTTTATCATTTAAATATCTTTCTCTACATCTATCCTTTCTATAAAAAGCTTTTCTTCCTAAGTAAATGGTTAGGTCATTTAATTCCAATGATACCAGACTACTTCATCTCTACAAATTTTAAATGAATCTGGAAATGAATAACCATGATCAATTGGAATTAAGAAATAATCAAATGATTGTCTTGTTTATCCATTTGCTTATGGAAGCTTTCTTTTATTGATAATATAAAAAAATAAATTACTTTTTTCTCACTAAAATGTTTTCTTCATTTCTATCACAATTCAATATTCTAATATCTAAAATGGCTATTTTTCTTGCTTCCATAGATGGATATAATCCACTTCCATAATTACCAACATTATCATCATGTGGCATATATAATTAAAATGAACCTTCTTTAATTGGTATTTTCTCATGCTAAAATTATTTATATTCTTCTGCTTCATGAAATGTTGGATGACAAATTTAAACATAATTAGTTATTGGGACTAAATTAACTAAATATCATCATTACCATTATGATAATGTCCAGATAACTGATCAATTAAATATGCAGCTACTTCTCTATCTACTCCTTCACCTGATAAGATGCCTTATCTAAGTCCAGGAGAATTCATTTTCCCTCTCATTCCTCTCGGATTGTTTGGGCTACATAATTACTTTAAAACTTACGCAAAGGCTTCTTCATCATATGGTTTGAAAATTGCTACTGGTTTATGATTCTAATTTTCTAATATGTAAGTTCCCTATGTTCCAAAATCTGTCAATTTTGGAGTTATTCCTTTCATAAAAGCACCTTCTACAGCCCATTTAGCATTTTAAAATTTTTCTTAAGTACTTCTAGTCTCTTCCAATATATTATGAAGACTATTGATGAAATATGTCTACTAACCCTACTTACGAGCCATCAGTTTTAATGACACATGATTCTTAATTCCATAGTCCTATTTCAATAGAAAATGAATTACTTCAAGATCTTAATTATTCAATGATAACTCTTAATTTTTATATAGGACCCTAAAGTCACCTAAATCAAGTTTTGTTGCTTTATGTATTTTCTATTTTAAGATTGAAATCTTCATCCAACTATATAATTTAAGTGTAAAGTCATTCCCTATCTGAACCTAATTTTGTATATGCAACACTAATTCTTTTTGAATACGTTGGTCATAAGGATTTGAAGAACTAAAGCCAAAACCTTTAATTAAAAATCTAATATACTCTCAAATTTCCTTTTGACCTATCCTTTTTTCATTTATTAGAATCTTCAATTTTTATAATATTATCTTTGGGTTAACAGATATAATAAATAAAATTCATTGATTATATTGTTTCAAATACAAATACACACTTAATCATTTTTATTTTAGAAATTTAAGTAAAAATATATTCTAATCTCTTGTATATATATAAATACTAAAAAGAAGATTGTGTTATTAATAAATTAAAACAAATATGACATTTAAGTTATCAATATAATTCATAATTTTTATTAAGTATTATTTTGGTATAAATATCAATTAAATTATATTTTATAATGTTCTATAATGAATGACAATACTGTATATATATCAGTAAAAATAAAAATACTATTATCAGATTTTAGATCCATTTTTTATTATGAAACTAATATATTAATAATGTTCTTCATTAAGCTTCTTTAATAATACACTAATATAGAATTGATTAAATAATTTATAAGAAATTTAAACTAAAATACTGGTTTGTTGAATATAAGGCAATCATTTAAATAGATGTTTAAGATTGAGTAAAAATTGATCATATAGATGATGATTAATAATAATCATAGATTATGATAATAGTTTGGTGAATAAATAAAATTCATTTTGAGATTAATGTTGATGTTGTTCTTCTTTTTAGAATAGTATTTTTACTACTGTCTAATTGTATTTCTATTCTCATAGTATTTCTTAACTTAATCATACTTATAGTATTTCTAGGATTCTTCTTATATCTTCCAAATCCATCAGGTAAATTCAATGGAAATATTGTTGGAGAGTCTTTACAACTAGTAGTATGTTTTAAAGTCGTTCTTTTTGAAGATTGTCTTTCAATAATTGGCTCATAAATCTCATTAGTATTATTGACCACTTATGCACAACCCATTAAGTATTCAGATAGAAAAATAAAATTAATTGGTATATTTGTGATAATGGATTATAAATTGATATTTGGCTAATTGATGTTTAATGACGATCATGAAAGTCTGAGATATTATTATTTTGTATATATATATATATAATTGCGATATACATAATCAGTAGAAATAATGTATAAAAAATAATAATTATTTTATATATTTTCATTTAATTTCTTATTTCTCATATGAGTGCAAATAAATAGCATAATTAATAAGAGCTCTCTGATGAAGGTAATGTTTGAATGGAAATTCATAGAATTCATGAAACTTCATGCTAAGCAATTCTACAGAACTCATGGATAACTGATTGGAAGTTAACAATAATACATCCCAGTTCCAAAAGAAAGTAATCATAACGGAAAGTTTACAGATGTAAGTATTATTGAAATTAATATAGCATTTATTAATGGCAACAATGTACAGAAATAATAGTCTCAATACTACTTGTGATAAGGAACGTTGGATTAATGGTTCAAAAGATTGGATGGAACATTTATAATGAAATTTATAAACATATATTCATTCATTTAATAAGTCTTTAGCATATTTCACAAAAATACTGTCTATTTTTCTGATGATTAAAATAATTACTAAAACAACCAACACAAATTGTATGCAATTAGCAATCCAAAATTGGATAATTTTTTTTGACTTGAATTTATTGTTTTAATAAATCATCCCTCATATAAAAGAGACAAATAGCACAATAATTTAGTGTAGTATATAAATCAACCTTATTGTTCCTAGAATATTATTATTATTATATGGATTCATTTGGAGAGGCATATTATTTAGATTTATTAATCATAGATGATTTAATGCTAGATTAAGATTAAGTACTAATAGACGAATTATTATTAAATTATTTTGCTGCCTACTCTTAATTTTGTTTCTTCTAAACTTTTCATAGGATAGCTGTCATACCTTCTTCAAAATATTATATTATAAAATTCTAATTGATTTAAGAATTACAGTCTTTTTCTGTGCAAACCTTTATGATTTTCTTGTTTTGAAAACAACTCATACAATAATTATGTTTGCATTAAGGATTTTAATAAGTATTATCTCGAGTATTTTGACAAATTACACATATTTTACGAGAGGTTTATTAATCCATTTTAAATAATATATATATATATATATAAATTAATATGAATATTAAGAAAAAAACAATACTATTATTGATTCAATTCATAAACCTTTTGAAAATAAAGACTAATAAAGTATTGAACAAATGGCTTAATTAAAACAAAAATCAATAAGAATATATAACTATATTTAAATAAAATTCTTAAAAAAATTAAAATCTAAGTAGAAATTTTATTCAGAAAATGATAAATACTAAATATATAAGTATTTGGAATGTTTATTCCATAATTTAGTTTATGATTTATTTATATTTTTCATTTATGTTTTACCATGAATTAAATAAACTCATCAAATGAAACTTCCTTGTCTACTTTATTATTCTTATCTTTCTTGTATCTAACAATAACTTTCTATTTTTATTGATATAACTTATCTCTGATAAATACAATAAATTTAATATCTTAACGATCAGCAAAATTAATCTAAATTCAATCTAATATAATACACATTCTTCTAATTAACAAGTCTCATCATCATTGTAAATCATGGCTGATATATCCAAATAATGACAAGCTTGTAAATACAATCTTTTAGCTTCCTAAAGATTACCACCAACCTATTATATTTTATTATTATTACTGAGCAAATCAAAACAGAATACTTAAATAATAATGAATTTGCTTATTCTTGATAAACTGAAAATATTTCTTCTAAAACATCTAATTCAAGTGTAAATCCATTGATTTCTACTTTTTTATTACAAACCTAAGATAATCTTGCTCCTTCTTTCAATATATTACTCTAAACTTTAGATAATGGCAATTCTTTTTGACTATTATATAAGTTATTTATTAAATGTACCTTATAATAGAATTAGATCTAGATAATTATGCAGAGCCTCCTCCGAAATGATTTAAATTTATTTCTATTTTTTATGAAGGTACATCCATTATGATTGAACACAATGTCTATAATTTTTTACAACTCTTTTCATATGATCCTCCATATAATATTGGAAGCTAAACAAATTCTCCTTTTGATTTCAATTTTAAACAACTTAATTCATATTGAAATCCATGACTGAAACCATATTTTTTATTATTGATTGAACAATCAAATAATATTGGTATTTCATAATTATAATGTTAAGGATTCATTTATTCTCTAATCTTACGATAACAATGTAATTATTAGTTTATCTTTTTTCCAAATTCAATTATTTTATTTTATTTCCATTTTAAATCCTCATTATGTTATAATTATAAAACTTCAACAAGATTTATATCTTAGATTTTACATTTATATTAAAATAATAGTATAAATTTATCTAATTTATCTATATATTTCTCTAGAATCAATTTAGCAACAGAATTTTCTGAATCATTTAATATAAAGTATCTCAATTTACTTGCATTAAATTAATTATAAGAAGCTACTTTTGACATATATTAACATATTTGCTTTTAATATTCAAAATCATAAACATTAAATGCAAATAATAAATCCATTATAAATTCTTAATTAGTTAATTTAAGTTTTGGTATTTCTAAATTTAATTAATCCATTAATTATATTGATAAAATTATAGTAGATACCAATCCATCATCATCATTAAATTAAATTTAATCATAATTTAATTGATTTTAAACTTTAATCTAATCTAATTCAGATATCATAGTTTCTCCAATCTCAAAACATTGTATTGATTTACCCTATTATAATTTATTATTCAATAATTAAAGTTATTTTACAAAAGAATTTCTTAATTAATGTCTAAAAAACACAATTTCACCATTTTAATTCATCATTTAAATAGGTTATTGATGTTAACTATATAGGAATGTACCATTCTTATCAATATCTTTAGGTTTATTAATAATATAAGGTGTTTAAATTTACACTATACATTATTAATACATAAATTAAAGTATTTTAGGCATATAGTATTATTTTACATAAAATTTTTAGTTAATACTATGTTACAAATAAAGTCTATCTCTATCCAAATAGTTTAATCTCTTATTATTGAATAATGTCTCAATTAATTTCTAATAGTATATACTTTCATTGTCTTAAGTTCCTAAGATTTTTATAGCTTCCTTTAATAATTCATCTTCCATTTTAGGTGGAATTAATTCACTATGAAGAATTTCTTATATTGTTGGTCTTTTCTTTGGATCTGGATTAATCATCCACTTTATTAATGCAGATTATCTAGGATGAGAAACTTAAAAAGATTTTGGTAATTTCCCATTTAATTTTAATTAAGATAAAGTTTTAACTCTTTCTTTATGATTTTAAAATGGATGCCACATTTCTAATAAAATCACACCTAATGCAAAAACATCTCTTTTTTCATCAAATTCTTATTCATTATTAGGTGGACAATAAAAATAGGTTCCTACATTAAGTGTTTTATCAAGTAATTCTAAATCTTCCTTTTTTAACAAAGGTTGTTAAGTTATAAAACTTAATATTTCTGGAATTTCATTAGTATTTTCAACTGAATTACTATAAACAATAGAATGAGAATTTTTAGATGTATGTTTAGCTAATCCAAAGTCTCCAATTTTAATATCTTCTGTTGTATCAATAAATATATTTTCTGGTTTTAAATCTCTATGAACAATCTTTTATTAATGAGTATACACCATTCCTTCAAGAATTTATCTAAATTAATTCCAAATAAATGATTATTCAGATTTTGGATATACTTCTTCAATTTACTTTCTTAAAGTTCTTGTACAATATTCAGTTTGAATATATAAAACAAGAATCTTTTTTTCATTTTTTATTGGATTATTATTATTTTAACATATACCACTACCTAAACTAGAAGCATTAAAATTAAATTAACTATCTGATTATTAAGTAAATCCACTAACTAATTATATTTCAGAATCACTAAATAAATGAATTAATTTTACTCTTCATTGATTTCAAAGTCTTCTTATGTCTTTTCACATTCATCAATCCATGCTTAATAATATCGTATAACATATCTATGATGTAAATGACTTAATAAGTCTACTTCTCTCATTATTCTTGCCAAACCCTATCCATATGGAATTTTAATCTTTTTAACTGCATAGAATCTACCATCAATCTTATTTTTGACTTTAAATACTTCTCCACTTTAATTTAATTAGATATTTTTACAAAGATCCCTTTCCTAATGTTGTCACAATATCAAAATCAGCTTCCATTCTATTAAAAGAAGGTTCTTTAATTAAAGTTAATTTCTAATTTGGAGATAGAGATAATTATTATTATTATTCTTCTAATACTTTGGCATTGTTGCTGAAATTAGATAATTTAGAAGATGATTTACTATATGGAGTAAATAATATATTAATTAAATTAGTTCTATCAGTTAGATTTTTATCTTAAGTTTTGTGCATCTAAAAGATTTCAGCCATTTTAAAGTCTATTTTTTCTTATTCCTAATATAAATCAGTTCATACATTTTTAGCTATGCAATCAAATTTATTAAGATATAGATTATTAAATATAACTTCATACTTTGGGGATAATAATTTTAATAATTCTTTGTTTGTGGTAATTTAAAAAAAATGCAATAAACTTACCAATTATTTATAATTTTAGTAATGAAAATTCTTCTAAATTATCTAAAATATTATTAAATAATTAACCTTAATTAAATGAATCAATAATAATTCCATTCCTGATAATTATTACCAAGCATAAACTTTTGGACTCTTCTATAAATATGGTTCTGATGGTTCAGGTTCTGGTGCATTAATTTATTAATCCAACCATTCTTATCTTAATTAAAATTCTTCTTATATGGATGTATATTTTGTATTCTCCTTCTCTTCCATAATTTAACTTGACTTAGTAAGTAATTTCTTTTATTTTTCTCTCTTCTTCTCCTCTTACATAAAGATGTCATACAAATTTCTTGTATTAATCTTTTCATTATAGTTGTATTAGTGTTTTGAAGTCACCTATTTTTGGCACTACAAAATTAATCCATCAATATAACCTAAACAACTATTGAAAATATTATTTATTGTCCTGCTTAATTCAATCCTGTTTCAAATAAATCTGAAAATAATTCTTCCTTTTAAATATCATTAAAACCCTCTAATTATATAAAATCAATTTTTGGAACATGATCAGGATATGATTATGGAAAATGTAATCCCAACACTGCCATAGCTTAAGCTTCATTTTCATCCAGAATTTCTTCTGGATAAATAGTAATTTAAATGGCTTTTACATATCCACTCTCTGGTGGAATTCCTATGATTTTATCCTGATATATTAATTTCAAATTGTTAATTTCTTCTATTAATTGATTACTTGTCTTAATATCCTTTGTTTATATTTTTAAACTAGGTTTTTATTTAATAACCCTCTCATGTTAAACTGATTAATTCATAAATTATCTTTAGTTAATTTTTATAAAAATAAATAATAAACAAAATCTTCACTATTAAAACATACATGCATCTAAAATAAAATCTGAAGCATAAGTGTTAGGCTTCTTACTTTCACTTATTATATAAACATTTTTTGTTGCTTTTTTAACTACATGTCCTCCACCCAATTTGATCAAATATTCTATTTCTGCTCTTGAAGGTATTACATCTTCATTAACATAATATTTCCCTTCAAAAATTTGAATAATATTATCATTACTTTCAAAGTAATCATCTCTACATTAAATTATTTATTTTATGCTTAATCCAAATTATTTTTGAAATTCTTCACTCTCAGGAACATAATTTTAATGATTCTATTATTCATATTACATAAGAGAATCCTTTAACCAATCAGCAGTAACTATTTCTGCTCCATGCATAAGAGCTGCCAAGAATTTGAATGTCCTTTTAAAAGGTGTGTTTATTATTAATAAATCAAATTTCTCAAATTAATTCTCTATTAATTCAAGATCTAATTTCATCAAATCTTTCTCTGAAGGTATTTTATCTTCTTAGAAACCACTAAAAGCAATTGTACGAAATTATCTATCATTATTAACTAATCTTTTTTTTCTCAATCCTCTTCTACTCTTTGGTACAATATTAGATGCTTTTTCTTCTAATATTTTTGTATAAGGTAATTCCATTGAATTTGAATGTCTAGGTAATTATTATTATTATTATTTTGGTTATATCTTCTCTTCTTCTAACTCTGATATTGAATTATTACTAATTTCATCAGTTATTTTTTTTAACATTCCAACCTTCTTCACAATCTCTTTCTTTTTCTTATCCTTTTTCTTTTTATTTTCTGTGCCTTTATTTTCTTATTATTTAAACTTTTTAGGTGTATCATCCTATTGAGATTGATTCTTTTCCTCTTATATTTCATCTGATTTAATACTAAATAAATTGGATTTTAATGATGAAAATTTCTTAATTACTTAAGGCTAAACAATATTTTAATTAGGTAATTCTGGCATACTACCAAATATATCATTTAATTCTATATTAGAATTTATATCCATTTTAGGAGTTGTATAAACATTCTATTCTGATTGAACACTATTCATTCTTTTGAATTAAGAAATTTAAGATTTTTATTCTTCATTATTATTACTATTATTATTGAATTAAGATGAAAAAGCCTTTTCTAATTCTTCATCAATTATAGTCCCTTTTATTTCATTTCTTTATTCAAAGAATTTTTGTTGTTCATCATCATTTATTGTGGCTCCTAATAATTAAGAATCAATAACTGTTTAATCAATTATTTATTGTTAAGGAGCTTAAACTTTTGGAATAACATCTATTGTAGTTTACTGTTATTTTTTAATTTTAAATAGATCACTAAAAAGTGTTCCTTTTTTCTATATAGGAGGAGGTTCCTTCTCAATTTAATCTGTTTAAGTAGATACTTCTTATTTTACATTAGATGTTGATTAATTCATCAATCTCATATTTGAATACTAAACAATTAGTTCATTAAGTGTAAAAATTTCAGATTAATCGGCTTCTTCAATAATTAATGTAGATTAGCAAGGGTCTTATGTGTTTAATACTTATGTTGTAGTAAATGATTGTGTTGTAGATAATTTAGGAGATTATTGTGGAATTTGAAAGATGTCCTCTAATGGCATAGTTCCTGTAAATTCTTCAAGATTTTAGGTTGTTCCATATTAATATGATTTGTTTTATTATTAAGATTCACTTAAATCTAGAAGTTTAAATTTATAGGTTTGAAAGTAGTAATTTTTAGTTGGAAAAATTTCTATGAGAAAGTTTTTTGGTATCTCAACTTTGGAATAAGGTTTGAGTGTAGAGTCTTTATAGACATTGGATGTGTCACTAAAATGGGTGAAATATACATCATTGTTTATAAGAGCCTATGGCATAGATTTATTGATTTACTACTGAGAAGAGTACACTTTATACATTTCTAATAAGAAATTTGCACAATTTTGAATCACTACCAAATTTATTCTCACCTTAGGTTAATCTGTATTTATAGATTTCTTTATCATTCTAATCTAATACTTAGATCATTAGAGTAATTTATAATAAATTATTTTTTAAAAGAAAATTTCATATTAATAAATGATCTTTATTTGTAAAATAAAAGAATGATATTCATTTTTATCTTTTTTCAGATCCAAATAATTTTTAAAAATTAGGATTTTTATGAAACTAATAATTAGTTGTAGTTTTAGGATACAACATTTAAGCGAATTATTCAGTTTTTATTCTATTGTTATCATTTTTATTAATATTTTAATCAGGCATTGTAGCAGTTCTTTCAGTACTCATTTAACCTTTTTAAGATTCTAATATTTGTTTGAGTGCCTAAAATTTAATTTTAGATTTACTTTAATTTCAGGATTTTAATTCTATTATTACATAGTTTTAGAATATGCATGAGTAATCTTAGATGACTAAATTAATGAAGCAGATTTATTAGATAATTCATTCCTTTTTAAGAGATCTGTAACTACTGATTTACCTGAATATTTAGGCATTCTTCTATTCTCAGATGGAGATATTTACTAATTAATATTAATAAGATTAAATAATACTACTCTATGTCTATCAGGTGAATTTATATCACAATTTGGAACATTTTCTATGTTAAGTTAGGCTAAATTGACATGATTAGATCTATAAGATTTATGTTAAAGATTTTAAGGCAAATCTTCTCTGGAAAAGTAAAAATTTCTTAGAATTAAATTTGGATTATTATCAGTGTTCTAATTTAATTGAGAATCATACTACATATTCTTTTTAAAGATTAATTCCATATTATTTTCTAAATTCAGTATCACCTTTATTAAATTCTTCCTCATCAAAATTGTATCTTAAAGGATCTGGTTTATAAGGAGGTTAAATTTATCTATTTGCTATAGCTTCAATATTAATATCAGCAAACCAAGGATGACTCAAGATTTCTACTATACCTTACTATTATCCTAATCTTTCTTATGGATCCTTCTCCAAGAGCTAACAAATCAAATCCTTTAATAAATCTGTAATTTGAACATAAGGTGGGAATTATACTTATTCAGATAAGATGGAATTGTAGATTTCTTAAGTATTATGTGAATAGAAGGGAGGTAAACCTGTTACTAATTCATAGAGTAAAGCACCTAAGCAATAACAATCAACCAAATAATTATGTCCACTTTTTAATAGCATTTCAGGGGCCATATATTCTGGAGAACCACAAAAGGAGTATGCATAATCTTCATTTGACATATTTGGTTTGCTTAATCCAAAATCACTCAATAATAAATGTCCTTTTAAATCTAAAAGAATATTTTCTGGTTTAATATCTCTATAAACTATATTTTTTGAATGTAAATATGCCATTCCTATGCATATTTCAACAAAGTAATATTTTGCATCTTCTTCAGTTAATCTCTTCAATTTTCTTAGATGATAGAATAGTTCACCTCCTGCACAATAATCCAAAACAAATGCTATATAATATTTGGTTTCAAATGCAAAATGTAAAGGAGTAATAAATTCACTATTCATATTAACCATAATATCCCTTTCATTTTAAACTATAACTTCTTTTTAGTTTTCCATAATAAAATTCTTATCAATCAATTTTAAAGCATAAAATTTACCATCATCTCTTTTTCTTACTAAATACACTCTTGAAAAACCTCCAACTCCTATACACTTTACCAATGTGAAATCTCTCAATGATACCTTTTTACCATAAATAGTTTATGAAATTAATGGTTGCAATTGTAGAGTGACACCTTAAAATATATTTAAAGATAAATTAGGCAAACTTAAATAATAATCATAAGGAATTATTTTTTAGGTAGTATAAAATTAACATATTTTATTGATTTCTATAAATATTTTTAAATTAAACCTTCTTAGATTTAGATTTCTTCTGTTGATCCTGTTCCTCCTCCTTATTTCATGAATGACTTTTCAATACAAGCAATTTATTGAATCAAATAATTATATAAATTATCAGTAGTCTAACCTTTGTAATTATAATAATAGTGATATCTAATGAATTAAAAATACAATATTACTTTTAGCTTTTATAAACTAAAATTATCTTTAACTATTTTTATGAATCATAATGATTAGATTCATCCTGAAAATTCTTTTATTAATGTGATTGATTATTGGATTGAAGTTCATTATTATTTTTATGGAATTAATTCTTATTTTTACTTAGAATCTATTCAATTGAGTTTTTTAATGTATGTGAATCCTACTGTAAAGATTATTTATTTTGTCTAATCGTAAAATATTGTTAACTATCAAATTGCTGAATATTTTTTTATTCCTTTGCACTCTTCATTTAAAGATCTTGAAAATATTAATCTACAGTAGATTTGAGTAATTTATTTTAAGGGATTTAACTAATCTAATTATTTTTAAGATTGGTTTTTGATTATTTTTATTCTGTCTGCAAAGTAGCAAGTGAAAAATTCTTACCTTTTAAAAGTGGTTTCTTATTTGAATTAGCTTCCTCTGTTTGTATACGCTAAATTACAAAAAGATAGAATACATTTGATATTTTTTGACGTTCACTTTTCTAACTATTTAAATTGTCAATGCTTCTACTTTGTTATAATTATGATTTGATATTATTTGTTACCTAATTAATAGTATTTCTCTCTTTTTTAAAATACTCTAATAAGTCTTATTTTGGATTTTTGGCAGCTGTAGTGATGCTCTCAGTCTTAATAATTTTATTATTATTCTTTTTTGGTTTAAAATCCATAGAATATGGATTGTCTTATAGGCTGCCTCTTCCACTAGATTACATTGGTTGAAATAAATAATTTTTCATTAACGATAATTATAATTATTAATAACCTTTTCATAGATAGAACTGATCAAATTTTAGTTATAATTGAATTGATATTCTTTAAAAAAAAAAGAGATCAAATTAATATAAACTGAAAATCATAATACTAAAATCATTTTTAATTTTGCTTTCTCATTTCCATCATTTTCTATTTTGCTTCCACTTTTGTATTTTGAACTAAATCAGTCATTAAAGATATAAATATTGGTATCATTATCATTGTGATTGTAATTATTATTATATATTGTAACTAATATTCTAAAAGAATCTTTTTACATATTTTGTTTCTAAAGAATAAATTACATCTTTTGCATAAGTATTATAAAATCCTTGTTGTTCAATATCATTATCTAATCCAAACCTTAAAGTACATCTAAGTAATCCCAAAAAGGTATAAAAGAAATTGTCATGATTTACTAATTTGCCTTGTATAGTTACAATCCATGACATTGCACAAACACTGATAATAAATATCAAAACAAGCAATAGAAACCAAGACTCCCTATTAAACTATGTAAACTAGAATTAGTATTACTCTTATCATGACTAATCCATAACATTTTAAATATGGACTCCAATTCCCCATAAATCTAACTATCGAAATCATCAAAAATATCACTAAAACTGCTGAAAACATTCTACTAACAAACAATGGCACAATTAAAGCATTTACATCTTGATATTAATCTGATTTTAAGTCTATTTCTTTTAATGCTTCTTCATAGTAAATGTCTACTGTATTCTTCATAACCATTCCAAATTAACATAAAATATCTAAAAATAAAATGAATAATTTAATTACAAATATAATCAAAAAATAAAGGGATTCTAATTGTAATATATACAACCTTTAAATTTATTATTACATATTCTCCTACTATCAATTCTTTCTATTATATTTCCTTTTAATCACTTTCACTTATATCTTTTTTTCTAGCTAACATTTTTTTCTTCCTATTCATTAATTCTTAATATTATAAGTAAATCACAATCAAATTATTTTTAGTTCCTAAAAAATATAAGCCAAAAAAATCTATATTATTTTAAATTATTTTCTACCAAAAAACGACGAAATCAATAGGATAATTGAACAATAAAATATTATGTCTTTATTTACTAGAACTTATTCTGGTATTTCACTTAAATTAAAACTTTCAGCTGAAAAACTATTGTAATTCAAAAGACGCTAAATGTCATCAAAATATATACATCATTGAATAAATAAATAGTAGTGATACTTACTTAAATAATTCTTTAAGTTGGACTATTATAATAATTTAATAGGAATTGAGATTGCTTTACATTAAATTATAACCATTCTTCTGAAATCATTAAATCATAACTTTCTTAAAATGATTGTCTTGAGCTCAAATTGAATTCCCAAACATAGCCTCCAAATTATTAATTATAGACTTTAGGATCAAAATGTAATTTAGTGTAACTTTTATCTAAATTATTTGTTTATGTTATGTCAAACATCAAACAAGATTAATTTTTATCCAAATAAATTTGCTTTTGATTTTCATTAAAAATATCACAATTGTTGATGTCATCCTAATTTACATTAAATATTTACTATACCAACAAGGGTTTAGATAAGTAAACCTGATTAAAGAGGATAAGTAGGACTCAAACTATTAGCTGACCCATTAGGGATTGATTGGGATATAATTTAAGATATGTTAGTTAATGGAGATATGTAGGATTTTTAGATTGCCATATTTAAGTTTAAGTTTAATAGTAATTAAGAATTAGTGAAAAAGTCTAATTCATTAATTTCAACGATTGCATATAAAATTAAAAGTGATACAAATAAAATAGATTCCAAAAAATATTTGAAACTAGTCATATAATCCATATATTTAGACCAATTAATAGATTTTTCAATTCTTCTAATTGATCTTAGCTATTTAGCCATTAATTCTTAGATACCTCCATCAAACCCAAAATCAGCTTCAGTTTTTTTTGTGTCTTCTTTAGTTTTTTTTTATTTAATTATTTTAATACCAATAACAGGTTGATAATTTTTAAGCAACTCATAAATCGACGGATAAAGTTGGTCCAAAATATTCATATCAGGTTAAATGATATTTCCCATTAAATCTGTATAAAATATTTCTTATTCCTCTGCCATAAAACATGATTTAACTATTTATTTTAACTCTTTGAATGTGCGTACTGTTCCTGGTACTTTAACAACTAAAGAATTGTATCCTTACTTCAAAGATACATAATATCCATCTTCAAGAATAACTTTTTCATCTTCCTATACTATCTATTTTTCATCTTTTAACTAATTTTATGTCATAATTAGATTTCCAACTTGTAATTATTTTTTTGATATTTCTTGTTCTTAAATACTTTCTAAATACTCCTTTTTGCTTGTATTAAGAAGAAATAGATTTAATGTTTAAATCACATTATTTTCTATTGTCTCATCTAAACCTTAATTTTCATCTGTTTTGCCTATAGTTTTTAATGTATGATTATGTTTGTTATATGCTTCAATTGATTTAATTAAAGATTCATATTCCTAAATAATATTTCATTAAATACTTTTTCTACTCGACCAATTTCATCAAAATAATAGTCATTCAATTTTTCCTCATCTAATTATTCTTATTATAGTTTTTTAAATTCTTCCTTGAGAATATCTCTTTATTTTTTAAATGGAGCCAACTTTTTAGTATTGTATTGATTATTGCTCATATAACTTTAGAGGTCGTATAAAATGAATTATTAAAAAGAACACAATTATTACTATAATGAGATAAAATATAATTAAAGGATATAGAATATAATAATAAATCAAATAACTGAATTGAGGTAGGATTTAAATGATTCTTAGCTTACCATTAATTAATTTAAATTTTCTTTCAATTTTGATGATTTTAAGTCAAGATTAACTTTATATTATAAACTCTTGTTGCTCTTAACTATATCTCTATATTCTTTATACAAATCTGCATATTCATCTTAAAATTCCTATTTCTATGAAATTAATTGCATGCATTTTTAGAGCAACTTAAACATGTCTTCATTACCCTTCCTCTATTCAAACTTTTATTTCCCTATCAAATTTTATAAAACGTTTAAGTTTTTTTTTTTGAGAGTGTATTTCTATTATGATTAGTCAAGTTCATTATTCTGTGTTTTTTGATGAGTCATTTGACTCATGCTATTATAAAGCATACAAGAAAAAGCCTTCTCATTAAATGAATACTTAGGGCGATGATGAGCCATCTTTGCTGGTGGTGATTATGCAAGAGATTTAGCCTCTGATTTCCTATGCATCTTAATATATTCGATTAAGTTCTTCATTTATGAATTTCTATGTATTCGGGCATCAATTTAACTTGATTTTAGAGTACAAGAATATTTCTCTAAAAATTCTAATTTTGAATTCACAAATTCCAGACTTACAATACTAAGATTGTCTAACATGTTATTTATTGTCTAAACAAGTTATCTGTACTCTTCATCTAAATCTTGGCATTAATTAATAATTGACTACATTTATTTTAACGAACAAAAATATTAATTAAGACTAACTTGAATATTAAATATTAATCCTATTACTTTCTTATCAAATATAAATCATCCAAATTAATAATCCTCATTATTAAACTCATTAAAATCTATTTCACCTATAATCTAGAAAGAAATCATAAATCTTAACATAAATCTAAAGATTCTAAAATCTATTAAAATATCACTTATATAATTCAATAATAATTATTTATTCTGAAGACAAATTAATATTTGAAGATTGCTAATTTCTGTCTTCACTTCTTTAACTATATAATCAAAAGAATTTAACTAAGAAATAAAATTTGAAATGATTATAAATTTCATACAAATATAATCTTTGTAAATTGCTGTTATCATGTTAACATTAATCATAATCAATTTTTAAATAATATGAAAAGTAATTCTATCCTAAATTATGTTTGAATAAGATTATAAAATCAATTAATTTACATATCTTATTTAAATTATTATATCAAAATGAATCTCCTAAATCTTTAAATAAATAAAAAAAAAGAATAATTAAAATGATAAAAATTATTTAAAATTGATTTAATTAAAGTACTTATAGTAAAAATTCTAGAATAAAGCAAAACTAATATTAATTAAACTTCTAACATGAAAAGAAATTATAATAACAATTAAGATTATCAAAATAAATTTCTTTGATAAATTCTTTAATTTTTATCATACTTTATAATAATTTCATCTGAACTTTTTGTGACTTAATAATTATTTTAGAAACTTTCCTATTTTGCTTTTATATATTCATTAACATATTTGATGATTAATTAAGATTGTTAATATACTATTATTTAATCTATAATTGATTATATTTTATGAATCAGAGTTAGATATCAATACTTTAACTTTAGGGATTATATAATATTATTTGGTTATAGTTATTAATATTAGGAGATCTTGAACTCTCTTAATCATCCTAATTGATCTATATTTTAATCTATTAGATAAGTATAAGTGTATCTATCAGTTTTTATATGTATAGAAAATTGTCTTTTATTAATTACTCATTTCTCTTCATTTTATTTACTTTTAATTGAATATAGAGAGAGTTGATAAGGATATCTAACATTTGAGTATCAATTTGTTATTTCCTAATAGAAAATGATAGGAAAATAGATGTTCTAAAATTAAATTATCAATTGTCATTTTCAATTTGTCAAACAAATATTTATTTATATATTTTTATTTAATAAAAATGTAGGATGTACAATAACCTCATAGTTCCAAACTCGATTAAGAATCAGCCACTAATGCAAAAAATCATGTACTTTTAGTGAATGTACTCTTAATTTCATACTTTAATAGAATATCACAGAATTATCAAATGAATTACTCTAAAGTTATAAACATGAGATTGACTAATTGAAATAGGAATTGCATTTAATGAAATAAAGAATCACAAATAACAATGAAGAAATCAAAAATACAACCTAACCTACTTTAGATGCTATGTTAAGGGACTTAAGATAAGTAAAAAACTATGTAACTTTTTTTAGGCCATCAATACATAAAAAGATGAAAACTCTAAATTACAGTCACAAATAACTGAAATCAAAAAGGAAAAAAGCCAAATTCAACAATTAATAATTGCAGCTACTCAAAAAGTCGCAGAACTCGAGCATTAAGTAGGAAACTATACCTCCTCATGATTTATAATTATTAATTGATCAATCATGCAAAAGTCATCATTAAATCAATATTCTTACACTTAATCATATTCATTTTATTGAATAATTGTTAATGTTAATGTTCTTTTCATTTCTTTTTTTAATATATATAGAAATTAACTTAACTTAAAAATATTTTTTATAGCAAACTAAATTGACCATTTTTGATTATTCATGTAGCATACATTATAGTTTCAATTCTAGCAAACTCTTCAAATTTATTCTTGTCTTCATGGTACATATTCATTGCTTTTTAGTTTAAATCGTCATTAAAATTGACATTTCTTAAGAGATTTAAGATTTTCTCCAATGCATATTTGACCGTATTTGTTGGTTACCAATCAGACTTTTCTAATTGAATCAAAATACATCGGGTAAAAAGCAATACGCACAAAGCCGGCCATCTTCACCAATATTTGGATGGAATATTTTAGTTTAGAAATAAAATTTTGGAGGTTTAAATGGATAATTCTCTGGAAAGCAGATTAAAACTTCAAAATGTCCTCCTTGATAAGGTGTGCCTTCTGGTCCTTCCATTATTGCCGTCCATCTTATATTTATATAATAAATATTTACATTAATCTCGCTTCAGGATATGATATTATTTTAACCCCAGGTAAAGGGCTATCAATAGTCAACTCTTTAAGTTCTTTAATTAATTTTTGTTACATTATTATATGAAATGATTTAATAGTAAAAAAATATATATATATATTATAATAGAATAAAAATTCGTAACAATTATTTAGAATATTCAATGCAAAAAATTATTTGATTATTCATGTAGCATGCTTTTTTGTTTAAATTCTAGCAAACTCTTCAAATTTATTCTTGTCTTCACGGTACATATTCATTGCTTCCATGTTATGAAAGTCATAAGGATTGACTTATCTTAGGATTTTGTAGATTAATTTCAATAAATATTTGACCGTCTTTGTTGGTTACCATTTTTCCTTTATACAATGTAATCAAAAATACCTTCGTTTCAATCTTATCTTCACACAACAAGCCATCTTCACCAATATTTGAATGGAATATTTTAGTTTAGAACTAAAAGAACGTAGTTTTAAATGGGTAATTCTCTGGAGAGTTTAAACTTTCATCCTTGATAAGGTGTGCCTTCTGGTCCTGTCACTATTGCCATCCATCTAATATTTATATATTAAACCTTTACTATAATCTTAGATCAGGATCAGGTATTATTTTACCCAAGGTAGAGTGTTAAAATTGTCAAATCTTTAAGTTCTTTATTTAATCTGTTTATCATTATTTAATTGAAATTATTTAATATTAAAAAAAAATATATATATTCTATTTAGAATATTCAATACAAAAATATTACCTATTTTAGAATAAGTATAATTAACATCAGAAGATTAGGAGCTTCTAGATTCTAAAACCTTATTCAATAAGAAATCCCATAAACTCAATTTGTATATGAAATATATGATTATTAAAATTACTTTAGATAATTTTATTAATTGATCATTTCTAATATCTCATTATCCAATGATAGAATCATCATTTTATCCTTATTAATTACCATTAAATAATATTTATTATTCTAAAATGATTGCTGAAATTAAAGGAACAACCTTATCAAAATCAGTGATATTAGCGAAATTTGTTTTCTTCAACACAGATATATTAGCTAATGAAGTTGAAGTATTATTTGAATGTGTAATACTTAAATTTTGCAGATCAATAGCTATAATAATCAAGATAAGTATTAAATGTAACATTATTGATAAGATTTCTATATCTTTTATAGTAGATCTCTTTTAAAAGAGCAAGGTTATATATTGTACAATAATAGTATTCAGTTTCTTTTAGCTAATTCTTAGTTTTTCATATTTAATTTCTTTAGTAGTTTTTTCTTTTCTAAGTTCTTTAAAATTTTTATTTCAATACGATTACATATTTATTGTTTCCTCTTTTTTATTTTATCAGAATTTATTCTATTATTATATTAATGCTACTATATTCAATCTTCATTATCAAAAATTCATCATTAATTTTTTACAATTATTAATTTAGTTTCTTCTTATCTTTAAAAATTTCAATTTCTTCTTTATTATTTTGCTTAGTCTCCCTTAATTTATGATAGAATTCCTCTTATTTATATGTTTTTTTCATAATTTCTCTATTATAATTAATAAACTTAAAATAGTATTACCTATAAAATCATCTGTATTGATTCTATATCATCTAATCTGCTAATAAAAATAATAATTTATAAATGATTAAAAAATAATAAGAAAAGAAGAATAAATCAACTTTTATAAGAAAACTATATGAAATTTTGGAGGTATGAAAATGATGATTAGTTAGAATTAAAATAATTCGAATATAATTAAATGGGTTGAAAATGGAACTGCTTTTATGATTTGCAACAAATAATTATTCATTAGTGAAATATTAAAATAACATTACAAACATTCTAAAATATCGAGTTTCTTAAAGTATCTGTTATTTTAATTTAAGACAATTGAATATCTATGGTTTTAAACGAGTATTTAACTAGACTTCTAAGATTACTTACTAACATCTCTAATTTACATAAGGATTTGTTAATTTTGATTTACCTAAGATAACTAATAGAATACAAGAGCAAAATACAATTGATGATATAGAGTTTATTAATTTAATGAAAGAACTAAGATTTATTTCCTAAAATTAGGTTACTATGTGTTAAAAATTAGAAGAATGTAAATAGATTTAATCGACTGCTAGTTAATAAATTAGTGCATTAAATGTATATAATAATTGATAATTTCTTAGAATTCAATGTTATAATGTATTTAAATTTCAAGAGAAGCTGAATATCTTTAAAAATTTTTAATTAAGATAGTTAATGGGATGGAATCTTAGTTTTGTATAAATAATTAAATAAATATATTAGAAAACAATATGTAATTACTTTTTGATGAATTATTTGAAAATGGTAATATATAAGAACTATAATTAAGTGAGTTAACTACACCATTAAGTTTATAATTTACTCCTACTCCATTACTAAATTAACATAGAAATAATAATAAGAATATAAGATATAATATTACTAGAGACCCAGATTTTATATGGAATAATAATAGAATCGAATGAATTTATTTATAATATTTTAAACATAAAATCTCAGTATTTATTCTAATCATGGAGTTAATAAAAGTATATATTAAAAATAATAAAAAAAATCAGGTGTCACGATGACATCATACTATTTTGAAATGCAAGAATTTGAGGCAAGTTATCATGATGTAAATTAAGCAGCTTTAATCTTTTATGAAGACACAGGTGGTAGTCATCAGGATACAGATAAGTTTTTGAATTGGGAAGAAGATCTGATCTAAATATCAAAGTCATCTCCCTCTCAAAGAGACTACAAAAAAAACATCTGTAGAAACATATTAAGATAAGCTGTTAAATCTATGAGAAGAGGAAAATAGTTCGAATTTCTATAAATGGAACTGTAGAAAGAAACCTCTCATTTTATAGATTATTACCAGAAAAATTTACATAGCATAAATGGATTTAGAAGCCTCAAAAATTAATTAATCATTGATTAAAAGGACACATCTGAATTAAAATTGTGGAAACGTGTCTTTTAGTCATATATGGTTTGGTTCTTGAATAAAAGAGCTTCTCTCTTCATTTTGAATGGAGAAGCCAATAACTTCAAAGAATACCTAAGATTCAAAAATGAAGTTATGTTGTTTTACACATAATTTCCTGAACAATGGTGTTCAAATGAACCATCCTGGAAAATTTGTAATTGATTATTCAATTACAACCAAAAAAGATTTATGATTGCATTATTACAATCATAACATATATAAATATAAATATCTACAATTATTAATACTCTTAGGATTGTCTTAGCAAGTAAAAGAGTTTATAAATCAATTATAATTTTCTTGATCTTTTATTTATGTTAAATAATCAACTGATTATAAATAACATAAATGTTCATCATTAATTGATTATAATGTTAATAGTAGAAGAAGTTATGATAATATCTAAATTATTATTTAATTGAGGTAATGATGTAAAAAGTATTGAAATAATATTTTTATGTTATTTTTATAAATTATATATCTGAAAATGGTTTTGTAAATTAAATAATATATGTATATTTATATCTATTCACTTTCTATTAAGCAAAAAATAAAAATTACATTTTAGCAATTTAACAAATTTATTTTAATATTAATATTTAATGAGAGGATTAATAATTAGATTCCGATTTTCTGAATAAGTTTCAAGTCAATAGCCAATATAATTGAAAAGATTTTATAAAGAGGCAACAATTGAAATGGCCATAAATCCAACAAATCCATATCATTAATGGATAGTAAAAGTATATTAATTAATAATATGAAATTAGTTGGATGGAAAGATAGTAAAAACACCTTCTAAAAATACATTGGCTGTGCCATCACCTTAATTGGCATCATTTATTGCTCATGAATTTAATATGTAAACTGAATATATAAGACCAACAACTATGCCTATATTAACTTTAGCTAGAAATGCAATTGATATTGAGGCAGATGATCGAATTAGATAATCTATAGAATAATCAATTATTAGTTATTTAGAAAGGGATACAGTGTTATTTAGAGAGAATCCAGATACTAAATTATATAAAATCTAAAAAGAGAAATTAGATCCCCAATTGAAAATCTTTAATGAAAAATTTGGATTTTATTTGAAACCAAATTTTGGATTAAATGTATAGCCTTTAAAATAATATGATTAAATTAGAATTGAAACAATAGTGAGTGAATTAAATAATTGGTAATTAGTGAGTTTAGATGCAAAAATTGGTATGTAATTATAAATTTAAGTAGAAAATCTAAAATCATGTATATTAGCATTACTTATATGGAATAATCATTTGGAAGTGGAAGAGGCAACAAGATTGTCAAGGTTAGAAGAGGATTTCCAAATTGCATAATATGGAAAAGTTGAGGGTCATCATGATTACGATGAGAATACTATCATGATGAATGTATCAGCTGCTAAATTATTTGCATAATTGATTTAGACATAAAGTATTGCTTATTGATTATATATAAAATTATTAATTTTTATTTATTTAAATATATACATATATATATTCCAAATTTAAAGTAGAGTATGAAAAAGAGTACTAAGACTTAAATAATTAATAAGTAAAAACATAATGTTAATTCCCATACTAAAAAAACAACAGAAATTCAATAAGAATCTATGATATAAAGTGGAAGAGATTGGACTAAATAATCATTTCGTAGTTCTCAAAGTCCATCTTAACACAGTTCTTCTGGTATTAGTCCAATAACAAAAAGAATGTCTTCTTCAGCAATTTAAATACCGTCTAATATTAGAATGCAAAAGAGATATTCATCTATTATTGCCAAAGGAACAGAGATGAATTAAAGATCAGTTATTAAATATTTAGGTTTAAATTTAGAACCTGTATGTGATAAAAAGAATCATGAAAAAAATAAATTAATTTACATTTGTTAAAATCCTTTGTTTAAAGCTTAAAAATGATTAGGTTGTGCATATTGTTTACTGGAAGAACATAATAATCATGAGACAATCGAGATATAACAATTTTGTAAACTTTTTGATGAAAAATATAGAGTGTTCTTAGAATAATGTAATTCTATTCAGAAAATGCCAGAAAGAGTTACAGAAGTTAAATAAAAATTTGAATAATTAGCAAAAGAAATTTTATCAAAGCTTAAATTAATAGAACAAGGAATAATATGTGCAATTAATGGTTTCTTGTTTTGGGATAATTAAGAAAATGGATTGACAGAATTAGTAGAATAACTTATAAAAAAGAATATTTATGATATGACTTAAAATGAACTTTTTGAGAGTATAGAGTTTATCTAAGGAAAACATATTAGAGAAACTACTTAGATTGTCACACAAACCAATTTGGTAGTCAAAAGAAAACTATTTAATTAGATTTGACTTGATAGACATTTTTCCCACAATTAGAATCTGATATAATATTTGCTTTAGATGATAATAAGGAAATGTTTATCCATGATCAAGATCTCAATCTCATTCGACTACAAAAAATTGATATTAAAAAATAAAGATTGGATGGATTATCCTAATAAATTAAAGAACAAATCTAAAATAATACTATCTAATAGATATTACCAGATTTTAAATAGGAAGATATAAAGATAATGAATAGTATAGTCAATTAATCTTTGGATAAAGTTGCAAGTGTTCCTGAGATAAATAATCACTTTGATTATATGCATACAGATAGATTACATGATTAGGAATTAGATGAATCTCAATAGAATATTTAAAAAAATGTTAATACATTCCCTCATATCATCTATAATCAAGATTGTGAACATAGATAAACATGTAATACAATACCCATCTTTGCTTGTTGTAATAAGGCTTACCCTTGTGCTCAATGTCATGATTATAAATTGCATCCACCTAAAATATCAGTACCTAGCTATCGATATTGTATGAAGTGTTTGGAAATCTATTTGGTCATCTACCCTACTAATCAAGCAGTTAATTGTCTAAAATGCTAATGAAATTTTAAATTTTGTTTATATTACAAAATTAAATTATATTTCAAATCCTAATTAAAATCTTAAATAAAAAATCAAACTTAAGATTAAAGAATAAAATTTTCAATAATTTTTAATCATAAACATTTAGATCCTGCAAGAAAATCATATGTTGAACTCTAATAAATAATTATAGGAATCATCAATTCTTATTTATAAGGACAATTATTAGAATTTAAAAAATGAAAGAAATTTAAAATATTAAGAATTTATAATATGGAATTTTTGCAAATTTAATTTACTCTAAACAAAAATCCTAAGAAAATACACACAAATGAAAGATATTTAATCTATTTAGTTGATGCTGATAATTTTAAACAATTAAGAAAAAATATCAACACCAAGGGATAGTAAGAGAATCAAATTAAAATTAATAATAATTTTTGTAAAATTATATTATCTATATACTAATTTTATCATACTCAGTGTATATAAATTCTTTCTATATTAAGAATTAATGCTGTATTTATTATTTCTTTAATAGAATCTATTGATTTTTTTATGACAAAGAGAAGTATCATCATGGGAGAAATCCAAAAATTGTGAAAAATAAAAAAATGAAATTAATATTTTAATCCTTATTACAGGGAAAATTAATTAATGAAAAAGGAGATTATACAAGATTCTTTGAGTGTTTGAATTTCATAATATCAATTTTCATTCTAATGTTGAATTATTTCATATTCAATTTTAACTTATGAAATAATTAAATCATTAATATCTAGCATACTTAATATAAAATAAGAATATTAATATAATTAATTAAGCCACACTATCCTATGATTTTAACCTTTAAATATCTCAATTAAATTTAATTTAATATCTTTTTCATAATAATTCCTAATTCCTAATTCCTTTATATCAATTAAATTAGATTTGTATGATAAGAAAATTAAAAGAAAAAATTAGATTTAATGAAGTATTCAAAAATCTCAGATGAAACAAGATTAGCCTTTATAAATACAGTAGAATAAGGAATCTGTACAATTAAGTAAGCAGCCAAGTAATTTGGAATTAAATTTTCAACTGGCAAAGCCATTTTATCATTATATAAACATGAAGGTCGAGTTGGAAAAAAACAAAAGAGAATTAGAAAAATAAAGAAATAAAATGAACAAGATTAAAAAGAAACAGTTACAAATATTAAAGAAGAAACCCTCTCAAATGTCAAATAAGTTTAGAAGAATGAAAATGGTTAAAATAATTCTTCTTAATTTAACTCTTATGTTTAATAATATATTAACTACTAACGATGGTGCAATGCCAATATTTGGCTATAATACTTATCTGGATTTAGTATTCCAAATATACAAAGCCAAGGAAATAGATTTTGATTTTTTATAATAAGAATTTCTAATATAATTCTTAAGAATTTATTTACACTCTTTTAAATCTTGTTTAGTAAATGTAACTAAAGAATTAATCGAATTAGAGTTCTGATAGATTATACTTATATAACCACTAATATAGTGTTTGTTTGTATGAATAATATATAATACATATCTTGATTTGAATAATTTAATATATTCAGATTATATAAATTGCCTGATTAATAACAATTATTTACAATAATTATTTTTAATAACAAATCATAATGTATCAACAATACAATCTAAAGAATATGTAAATACTGATTGAAATTGTGAATCTTCATTATCCAACAAAGCAATATCTTCATTAATAAATGTAACAAACTTAAATTAGTTCCACATTTATTCAAATATTTCTATCATTTCTACAATATTATCATATTTTTTGTCAAGCATCATCCATTCATGGGATTTATTGAAAGAATTGATAGTCCAATTAGCAGAAGTAGTTATTAATACTTTTCCATCTATTACACAAAAATTTGTAGGTAAGTTTTCATATTTTTTAGTGTTAACAACAATTTTAATTCTAAATTAACTCTCTATTAGCAATTCACAAATAACTGCTTAAAATTATTCATCATTTTTCTAATTTTCCTTGCAATCCATAATCAAATATATTTTTCTACCTCCATTTGCTAACAATACTAATAATTTTATTATCCAAGAATGATCTATTTCAGATACACATGCTATAATAAATTGTTGACAATCTTTCATCAAATTAAAAAAATAATGAAAATTCCATTTGTTTGGAAAAAATATTGTTTATAATTTTCTTTTCTCCAAGTTTTGTTTTCTTATACTATTTTTCCCATAGGTAAACAACTAGTTATTCATTTATTAATTTTTACTCTCAAATCAAAGTCATATTTTAAGTTTTTAAATTATCATCTTAATAATTTGTTAATCTAAAATAAATATATCAAAATAAAATACACTAGAATACTTATAATTGTATTTCATCTTAATATGACCTTCTAATAATATAAGATTATATTATTAATTCTTATCATTCATAATTTTATTTATCATAATATAATTTTAATTTTAGTTTGACTTTTAACATCTAATATCTCTCTAAAAAAATCTTATCATATATTTAATATTCATTAATCAATAGATAGAAATGAATAACGATAGACTCATTATCTAAAGTAAATATCAAATTCTAATATAAATAAATTATATTAATTTATTTAGCTATTTGTAATTTAATTTACTAAACATTTATCATTATTATAAATCAATGAAAATATAATAAATGGATAGAAGAAAAAAATATTAGGCATATAAAGAATAAAATTTTAGATTATAATATTAATTAAATTTGTTTTGAAATTTTTGCTGAAAAATGATTATGCTACTTCTTAATGAAGAATAAAAAATTTACTTTTAGTTTAAATTAATTTTTATTTAAAAAAATGCAGAAATATTTTTTTAAGGGTGATAAAGAATAAATTTTCTAATGGTAATATATTTTTATGTTTGATGATTTGATAAATTAACTTTCATATGAATACTCTATCTAAAACAATCAGATAAAAAGCATATATTCTATTAATTAATAAACTAATTATATTTTTCTATTCCTTATTGAAGAATATTTTTTTTGATTTTAATTAATAAATTTAATATAATTTTTATACTATTAATTAATTGAAAATATCTATCGCTATGATTTAAATAAAACTACCGTTTAGCTTAATCAAAATTTATTTAATTTCTTTCCTACATTTATATTTATTGTTTTAAGATTTATAAATATCTTTTTTTAAAGAATCTTTATTATTATTATTAATTAAATAAAAATTCAATTTTTATTAGATATTTTAGTATGAAGCCATTTTATTTTTAGTTATTAAAGTTATATATTATGAAATGAGAATTAATATAAAAAAAGATATGAATTTAATTAACAATTAATGCTTGAGAGAGATGTAAAGATGTGTCAAAAATTAGAGAAATAATTTTCATAAAATTGGTAACATAATAAATTTATCAAATCACATGGGTATATAAGAGTTATGACATAAAGACTTTTATTATTAATTATTAATCTTTTTATTAATAATTATTATGAAGTTCTTAGGTTATTTTTATTATTATTAAAATTTTGTTTTATTTAATATTCATTTTCTTAGGATTTTTTGTTGCTCATTCAAAATTTCTTCAATTACAATTAAACAATCTTTTAATTTGCCTTTTAATCTCAAGTAAGATTCAGAATTTCTTCTCTAATTTTTAGATTTGATTAGTACCGAGTCTTCAGCTTATGTGTCTACATTAAATCTCTCTTTATATTCTCTTAATTTATCATATCTTTCTAAAATATGCATCACTTCATTAGAAATAATCATTTTTGTAGATAAGACATTAGTTCTTTCTCTTCTTTTAGAGTAACTAATAAGTAAGGTTAATTTAATTTGAATTACCTGGATGATACAGATCTTTTTTCTATAGATCTTTTTCTTTGATGTTTGTGCTTTCTTCTAGATTATGATCTTGAACGTGAATTCCTTTCTGATATTGAACTGGATTTTTATCTAAAAAGTTTTGTGAAATTGTAAACCTCTTAATTTTATTAAAATCATCATAATTATTAGATAATTGAGATATTTAATTTTCATCATTTAAAAATTTGCCACTGTCCATTATCTATTATTTAAATAATACAAATATAATACAGGTCCTCCATTCTTAAAACATTCAATTTGTTAAAGTATTAATTTACTAGCATCTTATTTATTTTATAAATTTCCTGCTATTTGAACAATACAATCTATAATATTTAAAGGAATTATATACTATAATCATGATCAGTTTCATCCTTATCAGATAAGACTTTAATTTAAGCTCCTTTTGATTTTGTAGCCAAATCTCTAATTTAACAACCCTCTAAAAATATTGATATATATAAATATACTTGCTCCTATTAATTTAGAAGCATAACTAGCTGGCATAACAATTTTGATTTCTAATTCTTATTTTTTTTAATGTTCTGCGACTCTTCTAATTAATGATGACAAAGCATCTTAAACATTGGATAAAGAACCTTGCAATTAAACTATTTTATCATCTCTTTTAAGTTTGCATTTTTGCTATAGAAAGATAATAATAAAAATAATGTTACAGTAAGTTTAATATCATTACTATCTTTTGCTTTGATTTAGACATGATATTTATTTTCAACTTCATTTTTGTTTTTCATAATATAATCAACAGCTGAAGATTGAAAAATGAGTTTTGCCTATATATTATTATATTGATTCTTACTTTAGAATTAACTTTTTATGGATTCAAAGCTTCAGGAACCTTTTTATAATCTTCTTATGATATGCCTCTCTCCTACATTTTTTTTGTAATAGCCCTAATAGCACAATTGATTGTGCTTAAATCACCTACAATTTTAACAGTTCTAGGAGAGTAATTAGCTATAGGTTGATTGACAGTAATTTTGGCATTAGTTTCTTCAATTATTTTAGCAAGCTATGATCCTTTGGAGCCAATTAAAAAGGATACAATTCCTAGAATTACAATATAAATACCTTCTGGTATTAAGAGAATAATATTTATTTATTATTTGCATTTCTCTTAAAAAGATTGAAGTATATGGAGAACAGCATCACATTTTGCATTCATTTTATTTTCTACAGGATCATCAATTGTAAAAGCTAAACCTTCTAATTCTGGTATTTCATTTTTCTGACTGACATAGATAGATTTAATTGAATATTTTTGCTTATTTAGAATTGATAATTTACTTATGTTTCCTCTAAAATTGATTTGAAATCATCAGAAGTAAACTTCTTTTAAATAAAGAAATCTAATTGAAATTCTTTAGACCTTGATACTTGATTCTAATGTGATGATGATTTTGAAGATTATGGTGAAAGGCCTCTTTAATCTTAATCCATATTTATATTAATTAAATTATTTGATGGAAAAAATTAAAGAATAATTAGTAGATATTTATAGTATAACAAGAATAATGGTTTACTCTTTTATTTAATATTAATGATATATATACATTAAGTATAGTTGTAGATAGATTAATGTTATTAAGTAAATTGAAAATGAGATTAACAAAATGAAGAAAATAATAATAGCTAGAGATTTTAAGAAAATATATAGGAAATAAACTATTAAAGAAGATTGATAAAGTCATAAAATGAAATTTATAAATGTTGTAGAGTTATTAAACAAAATTAATTATTCGAATTAAATTTAATTTAAGGTTATATGCTTAGAGGAAACAAAGTTTAGAATTCATTTTGCTAATCCATCCCATGCATTATTAGACCAACTTTATAAATGAAGAAACCATTACTATGGTTTAATACTTAATATAAAGAAGAAGCAAGAGTAAATTATAAAGTTAATTTTAGTTGGAAGACATCAAATTACCATAATCAGTCATTACTTAAAAATTGAAATTCTTAGTTAATAGAAATGATTTTATTAAAGAATTAAACAATTTCTCTTTGCATTCTATTCAATCCTAATATTATTAGAAATCTTTATATGATATCTCTCATGTAATATTTTATTTTACTATTTTAGTTAATTGAGTATTCATAATAAAGTAATTAAATACATATTAATGAATAAGAAGCATCTATGTCTGGATTAAAGTTATTTCAAGTATTCTCACCAGAATAAATACAATTATTGAAATTTCATTTCAATTAACCTTAAAGTATAACTAGTATTTCATTTCTTGATGGTGCAATCAATCTAATTAAGAATGTTCATTCATTTTAAGATAGTTTGTTTGTAAATTTTGCATCTAATTTATTTGAATTGTTTTATGAACCTCAAAATAATAAAAAGTCTAAATAACAAGATGAAAAATTTAAAGAACTCTTTTAAGAATTTGGAATTGTATTATATAAATTTGATTATCTATCATAATCTTAACCTTTAAATATTGCTAAAATTATAGGACAATTATATGATTTGATGATTACAAATTCAATTAAATTGAATGATTTTACTCATTATCGTAAAACAGCTAATAATTTTATTCAAAAATATTATGGAATTCAATCACATAAAATGATACAACCCAATATTGTTGACTATAAGAATATATTATATACAATCTTTTTAAGTGAAATCAGACCAGAAGCTTTGATATAAGATGCAGTCAATAGGTAATTAATTTATTATATAATTTTAGATTTGCCAATTCTGGAATCTAAAGTGGTTCTATTTCATCAAATATTGATATCATGAGTATGATGTTATTACATGGTGTCCCATGTACTGAGAATTTCCTTAATAAACTTAAGAATTCTAAAAGATAGAGATTAACTATTGGATAATTATATGTTCTATTAAAATGTTATGAACTTGCTAAGGTTCCATTATATGAATTCAGTTAAACCTTATTTTTGGAGTATTTTAATATTATCATTATATTAGTGTTGCTAGTTTCATTTCTCATGATAAATAATTGTAAGATGGGAATTCAGTATTAATGTTAGCAAGAATTTGCAATGAATTATTTTCAAGTTCTTTCATAACATCAAAGGTTGCTTAAGAAAGAAGAAATGATAAGATTCTGAATTTTCTTGAAAGAAATGTTTAAAGACACATTGACTAACTTAACTTTAATCATTTACTTTTTATTTCTAATGTCTTTAATAAACATTTGAAATAACCCACATTCTTGATCAATTTACTTCATGATAAATTGAATGAAATTAAACTAAATGAATCTTCACTTAGTTTATATAATGATTTCTTAGAAATTACTTATGATTTCTTTAAAGAATAATATACTCATATCAAATAACAAGTATTTGACTATGGAATTGCACCTTCATAAGAATATCAAGCTGTAACTAAGACTTTTGTTGAAAATTTAATCCAATTTCAATTCACCAGCATACTTGCCACAAACATTCTAAAAGTCGTATCCTTATCATGTAAACAACAAAACAATTAACAATAGGTTTTTAATTTGAAAAATCAATCATTTTAAAACTCATATCTAAACCTAGTTTATTTTCAAATGATGTCAATCTTTTGACTAAAGTTATGAAATTATATGAAATTCCAATCAATTCTGAAATCCTAAATATAATCTTAAATGGAAACAAAGATGATTAGATTATGACAATTGAATCAATCTATTATGTATGTTAAATGAATGGTTTTAATTAAGAACAATAAGCTTAATTAAAATAATTTACATAAGATATGATTTATACATTATTAGCAGAAAATGAATAATTTTTAGTCGAATAACGATAAATTGATGATTTCTTACATACTTACTCTTCATAAATTAATTAATAATCTTTTGAATCTGTACAATATTTCCCAGAAATAATTAATAAATTACAGATATCTTTTGATAATGAATAGATTGCAATCCTTAATAAATTATATGAAAGAACTTGTGTCCTATGGCATTCAGATATTTTAATTAAGAATTTGATTTTAATTGATAAAATGAATGTAAATATTTCTAATTTGAATTTTAGATTCTTAATTATTAGATATATATTAAATCAGCTGAAAATATCCTTAGTTGCTTTGATTTAGTAAAGGATGGTACAGAAGTCTTACCATCAGGTTTACTAGCAGATAAAAAAGTCTAAATGTCTCTAATTAAAGCATACTTAAAGTAAATTAGTAATTCTACACATCACTATATGGAGAGTTTGAAAATCATAGGTTATTTGGCATTTCTGAATATTGATTAGTTAAATACAGAAGATATAATGGTATAAAAATATAAATATATATTTTAGTTACTTTGCAAAGCAATAGGTAATGTTAAAGAATTATACTTTTATGATTTTCAAATTTACCTTGAAAATTATTTGACTTAAAACTAATTACCTAATGAATCAAATATAATTTAATTTTGTTCATACTTTCCTTTTATTAATCTGAAAGTTCGTTAATAATTAATAGAAAATTTTGAAAAAAATAAAATATAACAATTATCTTTAGAATTACTAATGGCTTCTCAAAATTAATAGGTTGGTATTAATTAAATTGAGTAATTATTTGAATAATTAAATAATTAAGAGAAATTGAAATATATCAAACCAATTCTCTTAAATTTAATTTAAACTTGGGATCTTAAATGTTCAATTGATACAATTATAAGATTTGCTGAATAATGTTATGATTAATAAGATTAAGAATTTAAATTCATATATTTGGTATTAGAATTCCTTAATAGATCAAAATCATCAATTAAAATTACATTATCTTAAGATGAAACCTATTTTTAATTGCATTTTAATTAAAAAGTAATCGATTCCACTTTTGAAACTAAAGTTTAAGAATTATTTAATTGTATTGATCTCAAAGGACTTAATATAAAAACTACTAAAGAGAATATTAATTATTTCCCTTCAATTACGACTGAAATGAATTATAATGAATTGCCAAAATATAAAGTTTCAATGGTTAAAAAACAATTAAAATCAAAGGATGATTTACCTGAAGGAAAAGATTAACTTTCATACTTCTTGAAAAATACCATAAATAATTTGTCTCTGTAACCTTAATATAAATATATTGATTCTCTAATTTAATTGATGATATTGAATGGATTGGAAGTATCAAAATATTTTGGATAAATTCCAAAAGAGAATTATACAAAAAGAATTCATATGATTAAGAAAGATAAGAGATATTTAGAATTTTTAGTGAATATGCAAACAAATATGGCAGAAATGGAAAGTAAGTTCAGATTTTATAGTGGAGTTGAAGAATCTTAACTTTCCCTATTTATTTGTTTAAAGATTGAGAATATTGAAAATCCAACTTAACTTCCAATATATCTATAATATGCATCAAAAAATAATACTGTTATATCACCAAATGGTTTGTCATTAAATCCTCTTGTTTTATTAGAATCTCTAGTTTTGTCTGAAAAAGGATAAGTATATTTGATTAATTTTACAAAATGGATACAAATTTATCAAAATAAATAGAAACAAAAAGAATTTTTTTAAATGTTGATCTAATGATTTATTAATAAAATATAATTTATTTTTTGCATCTTCTCATATCATTTTTTGAATTTTTATTACTTACAATAAATTGGTTATATCAATTTGAGGCAGACTTAAAGCATCTCCAATTAAATATGTAAATTATTTGACTGATAATTATTTAGTTTACAGATCCAAATAAAGATAATTCTCATATGCTATTTAATACAATTATTTATTATCTCCATCATATATATCTAATAAATTTGATTTGAAAAACTCTGGTGGATTTTATTATTGTTCATTTAGATTTCCTTTTTCTTCTTGCATTTTATCCCTCTAGTTAAAAGGATTACCTGATAAATCAAATAATTATCCCTAATCAAGTTTTTATTTGAAATAATCTTTTTACTTAATCTATTCATCCTAATTGTATATATTTAATTCGGATTTTTCTTTTGATTTATCAAATTTATTTTTTTTATCAATCAATTCTATAACATCACCTTCACTTATTTCTTTTTAAATTTCTATAAGGTAGGCTAAAATCATTTCTATATCATGATATTATTCTTTAAATAACTTCTCTTTTTTATGTGAAAATTCAGTGTTTGCACATTTAGATCCCCATGCTTAAGAAAAATCTAATTTAAGCTTCTAAATTGATTCTATTTTCATTGTTTATGTATATATCACTCTCCAGATAGCTAAAATATCATCTAAAAATATAAGTTAAGAGTTCTATTAACTATTAGAAATGAAATTTAATCCATAAGATATATCACCATAATAATTAATGGGAATATTAGAGAGTGAGTAATCTAAGCATCCTTTTTTCATTAATAAAGCATTTTTATGGAATAAAGTGTTAATTGGATGATTTAAACTTTTTTTTCTGAGAGTATCATTTCCAGGTAATATTAAATATAAAATATCATTTTGATAATTAGTACTCAGTATAGTTTGACCTGGAAATGGTTTAAAAGATATATCTTTAAATAAATTGCTTTTATCTAAAATACCAGTAGTAAATTATTAATCCCTAATTTCCATATATTCTATTAAATTCATTATTTAAGGAGTACTAGATGATATAATTAATAATTTTACTCAATATTTTCTCCTCCAAATAAAACAATCTTTAAAATTTGATCTTTATAATTGTCAATGCAAACAGTTGGTGATATTCTGCTTTTCAATTTATCTATTAATTATTCATTTCCTAATTTTTAAATTGCAATTTTTGAATGGAAATTCCCTTAAAATTTATCTTAATTAGTAAATGTTAAAGGAGTAGATTGCATTTATAGGATGTTAATTCTTTAACCTGCCAAATTAAAATTGTTTTATTATTATCCATAGAATACATATATTTATTAATTAAAATAAAATACAATTTGATTTGCGATGTTAGCAGATTCTAAAAAATTGGTTAGATTTTTGCTAAATTTAGATATTAATAAATTACAATTTAATTTTCTCTATGAGATTCTTTTTGTTAAAGTATGAATTATTAAATTGAAGAAAATACAAAAACTTTTTTTCTCCATCTTAATATAAGATTATAATATCATCCTAATAATTTATAATTATTTATGTAAAAGGTGTTATTTGATCGTCATTTTCCAACTCAGGACGTATGATTAAATATTATTCAGAGTTTCTCTTGTAAAAGATACAGTACAAATTGGCTAATGGATATTAAATAGGATTTTCTTTGATTCTATTAATTTCTTATTTTAAATTTTATATTGCAATATTACAATATTAGATTGATTTATATTAATTTTCTAGATTAAGATAACGATATATCTTTTTTAGACGATCTATTAATTCACTTAATACAATTTTATCTTAAGGAATTAATTTTTAAATTGAAATATTTTATTCTGAAAATGAAGAATAACAGAGATTCATTAATTATGTTAATCTCTTTTCATAAGTGCTGTCTTCTTCTGGAATTTCAATGTTAATATGAATCATTAACTTATCATTACTCAATTTTGTTAGATTATTGATCAAAAATCTGATTGTGAATGGATCATATTCAATATCATCTGATAAGGATAAGCTTAAAGCTATATAGCCTTTATGAGAGAATCTCTCAATTCTATTATGCATAAAATTTTAAAAAAATGCTTTCACAAGTTATCCATGTAAGATATTAGTATTGTTTTAATCTTAACTTTAAGGACAAACATATGGTAATAAATAATAATTAAAATTCGCCTATTCCATTTATTTAAAATAGTTTGAATAATCATTAAATTAATTCTCTATGTCATTCTTTTCTTCTCCTTGTACTTTGATAAATGAGAAATAAACAAATTCATCAGATTTTTCTATATATGATTACCAAGACTCCAAGTTTTATAGACTCTCCTTGCCAGTTAAATTAATAAATATCACTTTATTACTTCTGAAAGGGGACTCTGTTGGAATTTATGCTAGAATTAGGATTTAAATAAAAACCTTTCTTTGATTGTTTCATTTAATGTGCTACAGCTTAAGCAAAGTAATTTAGATTGTTGTTTTAAAATTTTTTAATATTTGGCTAGACCATCATAAGGATATTATTGACATAACCTTCACTTTATTTTTCAACTGCTTCATTTATATAATGAACAAATGTTTAATTCATTGCAATAAATTCTTAAGGATTAGGATTAGGATTAGGCTTAGACTCTTATTATTATTTTTCACATAGTTAAGTTAAAATATGTTTAAGGAAGCTCTTTTCACTAAGCTTATCCTTTTCAGATCTTTGTAATATCGTTTTCTATTGATTCTGTAACCACTATATAATTTTATTGATTGTAATTTGTTTATCAGGCTCTGGATTTAAATTAAAAACAATTTACCATCATATGAAACAGCTCTATAAATAGTAAGTAATGGATTTCGATCACTTAAATCTTTGTAAAGCATTAATTCATTTGGCTTTCTCTTCTTACACTATCTACTCTAATTAATTATTTAATTAGCAATTTTACATATTCCTCATTAGGGTCTTTCATTTACTAATGTACATATAATTAGATTGCCTCAGTATGTTAAACTGTATAATCATATTCTTGTTCTTGCATCATTTGATCTCAATTTAAATTAAATTAATAGAATTTGAATTATGGAAACATTTCTAATTAATATATTATATTTTTCTCTTGCATAAATAAATAACTCTCTAGTATTCGTTATTAACATGAACAATTTATATCAAAATTGTAAAATATTATTAACCTTAATTTATATCAAAATAAAATGGGAAATATGAAATCTAATGTTAAGAAAAAAAACAAGATTAGTGATAAATTAAGATTGTTTTTTGGAATTAGATTAGAAAAGTATTAATAAATTCATTTTAAGCTAGTTCAACAAATTATCTATAAATATTATAAGTACAATTTCAAGTTTCTTAACATTAAAAGAATTCAATATTATATTATCAGTTTGTTCCACCACAAATTAAATTTTTAGTTAAGTGTCTAGTTGCTATTAAATCCATTGTTAGAAGATATTAAATGTGAAAAGCGACATCATTAATTCAAAGAATTGGAAATAGTTATTAAGATTATTATTATGTACTCCAATTAAAGGCATTCCATATGAAAATGCTATTAAAAGTATCAGATTCAATATTTAACAACATCCAACTTTTATAGAAAAATAATTTAATTACAGCACATTCTAAAAAAGTATTCTATATTTTGAAAGCAAGTTCCAAAAAATACAAACAAAAGAATATGAATAAATAAAATAATATAGCAGTAATCATTTCGAATAAATACTCAAGTTAAGATAAGGATGTGAAGTTCATATCTAAATGCCATAATCATTGATGAACATTTATAATATTCAGGATTATATTAAAATCTATAATGTGTATTTAAACATGAGATTTGATAGTGTAAATTTGACATCATTTTTAGAACTTTGGGATCGTTATTGTGGATGGATTAGTATTATGGAATGGTCCACCTCTTAATTAATTAATCAATTCAATTAAATCATAGATGAAACATTACATAAATATAACATTCCAAAATTTACATTTCGTCATTTTATGACTACTTAATGGATAATTAATTCAAATAAATGTATCAAAATATTAAGAAAAGAATTTGAACATCAACTATTCAAAAGTAGAATGTAAAATACTAAAATCTAATTATTAAGAAGATACATATAATATTTGATTGATATTAGTACAAATTAATCAAATATCTAATAATATGGATAAGCTAATTTTTAATATGATCCTGAAATCTATGTTTTAGCAGAAATTGCAGTAGATATGACATCTAATTAACATTATTTTATAGATGAACAAATTTTAATATATACTTTTGGTTAGTATATCTATTAATTTATCATTTTCTAAAATTTGAATTCTAAAAGAATAGAATAATTTAAAATTCTTATAAGTGAACATAAAGAGGCTAGTATAAATTAACAAATAAAGTAATATTAAAATCCTGATGAACTCTAATAGATGAATTAAGTATTAGGAAGATATAATCCAAAATAATAAATTAGAACACTAATTAAAATGATTTCAAGACAGAAAATTGAAGACAAAGACAATTAATCATAAAATGAAGTTTAAGAAAGTTTAGAAACCTCAGAAATTTCATAAATATCAACAACATGTAGTTCTGTTTTTATGAGTACTAAGAGTAATGATGTTTTATTAAATTACATCTAGATTTACTAAAAGGATTTATACAACCAAATTGAACATTTTTATTAACTTTAAGAGACTATTATTGAATTATTTTAAGATGTAGAGTAATAGTAATAATTATATGATGTCCCAGAATTGGCAGAGTATAATGTGATGAAATATGAGACCCTAATTGAAAGATTAAATTAGATTAAGTAAAGATAGACCAAAAAAGGTAGCATAATGCAATCACCAGCATCAATATATGGAAGAACCACGGCTTAAGAAATTCTTCAAAGAGTTATCAGTTGATATTATTCAATTGATTTAATATATTTTCAAACTAAGTAAAATCTATTGATATTGTATTCTGGATATTCTTTAATACCACTCAAAATCTGAAATAAAATTTCAGCAGATCCAAAACAATAAGTCATTCCTTTTGATCCATGTCCTGCTGAAATAAAAACATTATTAAAAACAGGGACCTAGCTTATGATGGGAATATCATCAGGTGTTATAGGTCTATAGCAATGTCTAACATAACAATCATCCATATTGATATTGAATCCAAAATGCTATGAATTAAATTAGATGATACTTAATTAAAATACTTCAATCCCATTTTTGCTCCCCATTCTTCACTTGGTATTTCTTTACTAAAATCTGATCCAATTTCAGCTCCACATGATAATCTAATTTCATTGTTTACGTATGTTGAAAAATATTATGGAGTAAAAAATGTGTATTCTTTAAAAAATGTATCATTAGGCACTCTTATTCCTAATGCCCATCCTTTAACAGGCATTATTGGAACTCTAATTCCTAATTTATCAGTTAAATATTTAGTCTTATGAGCACCTGAAATAACAAAATAATCAGCTAAAATAATTCCTTAGCTTGTCATCGCTCCAATTATTTACCCTTTTGGATCTAATGCAAATCCTTTTACATTTGTATTAGTGGAAATATAAAAACGGCCTGAAAAATTATCAATACAATAATCTATTATCCTTTCAGATAACTGTCTTGTATCTATATTGCTTCCAACATCAAACTTAATACAATGTTATAATTTCTCTGATACCAATTAGCCATAGCCAGATTTAAACTTTTATTTTTCAGAATGTTTAATATTAAATTTATCCAAAGTTTACATCATTGATGATTTGCTTATTTCTGAATCATAGAACCCTAAAAGTTCCTTACATGTCAATTAACCCTCTAAAATATTTGTATTCTTTTGTAACTTTTCCATTTCAATCATATTAATTCTCCCCATTTATAATTGATGTTCAACTAATGAATGAACTTTCGAACTAATATTCAATTCATAGTTACTTGGAAGTAGTTTTTAATAAAGCATTTAAGCTCCAAATCATGAAATACTTCTCAAAAAAGGCATTCATATTAAATCTTAATGTAGTGTCTTCAGGATTCTTAAAAATATTCTTAATCAATGTCCACATATTTGCTGGATTAATCATAGTTTTCACAGATTCTGGTACATAAACACATCCATTATAGTAACTAGCCTATTAAGCTATATCTTAATCCTTATCAACTAATATTACACTGTAGCCTTCTGATAATAATTTTAAAGATTAGGCAATTCCAATAATGCCTGCGCCAATAATTAAGACTTTCTTTCTTTCGTTTATAACTTCTTGTCTATTAACATTATGACCTGCTATAATAGCATTGTTTGCACCTTAAGCATAGTTTCTATTATATAGATCATTTGTTTGGGTCTAATTTAATAACAAATTATGATTGACCATTGTTGCTGACAACATCTTCCTATAGATGAAATAGCCAACTCCTAAACTACCTGCTATGAATGCCCTATAAATTAATAATTGATTAACCATATATAAATATATTAGAATATATTATTATTAATATCATATTAATTCTCAAAGAATTACATAAAATTTTAAATAACTTATTAAAAATCAATATTATATTCCTATACACTGTTGTGAATAGTGCGCATCATCTTAAATGTTTAAAATAATTTTAAAATTTTAATTAAATCACATTTCTTAGTAAAAATATTCATAATGAATGCTAATAAGAATACTTTTATTGATACATGTATTTTTGTTTGAAAGTATTTTATTTTATCAAATTCTACTATTTATAGGGATTATTTAAAAATAAATGTGAAATATCAAAAATTAAATTAATGATAAATAGTTTAAAATTAAAAATTTGTATATAAGAACAATTAGGAATTAGTAAATATTATTTTTTGACTTTTTGCTTTAAACACAACATGCTACAATTACTTTAATAATTGAATCAATAATATAATATCAATTTATCTATTATAATATTTTAAATTCATATATAATGTTAAAGAAATAATGGGCTAATAACAATGAAATTTTATAATTCAGGATAAATAATTAGTAAAATATTATAGAGTATTATTTATATCTTATAAATAATCTAGTTAAGTTTAAATATCTTATATCTTATCATAATTGATGAGATAATCAATAAAAAATAACAAATTATACTCTTATTTTTTTGAACAAATACTTGTTCAATTTTACAGAATTGGCGATAAGCTGATTCAAAATTTTATAAGACAATTTGACTAAGAATTAATAATATTTTAATTGCAAATTTTTTATCATTGTAAATTAAAAATTCAAAGAATTCTTAAAAATATGATTACTATTATTCTTATTATAATATGCTATATAAATTTATTGATGATATCGATTTATTAATCTATTTTTTATTTATATTTGAAAAGATAACTAATCTAATTTTCAGTTGGAAATATTAAGAATCTAAAAATAATCGAATTTATTAATGATTTTATATATAAAAAGTATCATGAACCTGTAGCTTATTACTCCATTTATTTATCCGTGAGCATTTTGCCATTGACCCATTCAGCAGTTATTTCTTTAGATTAATCCATCCTTAAAACTCCTTTGCCGTGTTATTTACCTTATTTCCATTCTCCTTTGTAATAACGTCCATCTGACCATTCGAATACTCCATAACCTTCTTTAAGATCATTCTTATAACCTCCTTTATATTTCCTACCATCAGGCCAATTGAATGACTATGATATATAAAATTAATTAATTTACTCCTTCTCCATCCATTCTATTTTCTTTCCATTCACCATCATATACTTTTCCACTCTTCCAATAATAAACTCCATGTCCATCCATTTTATTATTCTTGAAATCTCCTATATACATATTGCCATTGCCCCATTTAAACATCCCCCTTCCTTATTTTTTTCCATTAAAATACTCCCCTTCATAAGATGATCCATCTTGCCATGTTTCTTTACCTTAACCTTACTACTTGTCATTAACCCAGTTCCCTTCATAAGTAGCTTAATTCCTGTATCGGTGGTATTTACCATAGCCATTAGCTTAGTCATGTTTCCAAATTCCTTCATAATAATCTCCAAATGAGTGAATTAATCTTCCAAATCCAGATGTTTCATTGTTTACAAATCCACCTTCATAATAGCTACCATCTGGCCATAACAATTTTCCATATCCATGTTTTTGACTATCTTTCCATTCTCCATGATAAATGAAATCATTATCAAATTTAATTGGTGGATTTTCTTCACCTCTATCCATATCTTGTGGTATATTAAGTGGAGGTAATTAACTTAAGACGGTCCTTACTATTTGATTTTCAATCTCAGGAAATGCTTCCAATCGTTACCCTAATTTAGGTGCCTCAACACTTTCCATTCTCCGTATAACAGAAGGCTGATCAAAAAGCTTATGTTCTTTGACTGGGTGACTTTCTGTATCAAATATATTTTATTCATTTACAAAGACCAATCTTTACAAAATCATCTGCTTCCCATTCATGAACGTCACAGTCTTCATTCACTAACATATTCTTCTGGTAGGGAATTAAAGCATCTTTATTTTGTACTATAGGATGCGAACAACAAGTACTTGCATTACCCATTTAATTATTATAAATTACGTAAATCTAGTCATTTAAGAATTAGATAGCATATGTTAAAAAATTTAATTAACTTAAGGAATAAATAATAATACTAAATTGAATTGAAATGATTAATTTAATTCAGATTTTGATCCAGAATATAATGAAGTTGATGAGAAATAACCATTGAATAATTATGAATAATTATAAATAGAAAGAATAATAAATTGATATATAAATAGGGATATTAATAAAGAGAATGTTATTGAAAAATATTGTTGAAAGTAATACATCTAAAGAGTATAATTAATTAACAAAGAAAAATTTAAAGAGAATAAATTTGAGGTAAAAAGGAAATTAGAGAGATCTAAATATAAAGAAGAATTTAATAAAAAGGATCGTGGTTATTATTTATGAGTATAGAATAATAAATTAATTAGATTTAAGCAATTGGATTGTATAGATGGAGAGATAATAGAGTAATATATGAATTATATTAATAGTTAAGTAAATGAGTTAATCATTTGATTGTAAGAAAATTGTAGAGGATGAATGAATCAATAGATAAAATATATGAAATATGGATTTGAAATATTTTAATGGTAGATAATATTAGGTTATTTATAAGATCATAGAATTGGTATGATACTTAATTAATTATTATAAGATTCGTTTCTGAATAATAATCAAGAATCAATAAACAAGTATTATTGAATTCCAATTTCTGTTGATGACATTAGAAATTTATTGAATGGAGATATAAAAATACTTAAGAGTTCAGGAGAATTAAATTATCTATTTATTCCAAATGAATAGTTTGTATAATAATTATATTATATTACTTTTATATTTTAGTATTTTTACAGTAATAAACTACTATTTAGTAAAATCAATATAATTCATTATTAAAAAATAGAGTTGTTTCTTATTTGTTTTATGATTTATATATCTACTATGATAAGAAAGAGTATGTTTTCTCTATTCATTAGTTTTGATGATTTCTATTTATTCTTTTAGGAATTAAAAATATCAATCAATAAAGATTAATGATCTCAAATTATAAATACAAGTCCTAAAAGAAAAGGAAAAAATAAAAAAAGGAAATAGTAGGAATATCATATCTGTAAAATAGAGTTTTTAAATAATAATTAGATCTTTTCTAGAGATAACTTATGATAATTGATTTGAATTATGTTAATTCATTACAATAACTAGCTATCAAACTAACACATTAGTTTCTCTATTGGAGTTTATAAACAATCACTGTCTTCAAATTTGTTAACCTATTTATCTAATTCATCTATGGGACACTCAATCCTTAAGCAATTTTCTAATTGTTTCAAAATTTCAGATTTGGATTAAGAATCATAAATTATTTAAAAGAATACTCAATTGTAAAGAATAGTTATTGGATCATTATTGAGTTTATGATACATCCGAAATTGTTTCTTTTTAATAGAAATATAATTTTTATTGAAAATTCGAATTAAATCAGGCTAATATGGCTATTCTTTTAGTTTAGAAATATCTATATAGTAGTATTCTTTGGCTTAATCAAGATAATTATTTTTTTTGTTAGATTTATAACTCTAAATGATTGTTGAATAGAAAAATTACAAGTTTTCATTATTTTCATTATAAAACTCTGTATCCAAATTATCATCAGTTGAGATAAATTATTCAAGATTTATTTTTTAATTATATATTAAACATTAAAAGAGATGTAAATTTAAAAACTTGGATGATGCGTAATGTTTGAAGAATAATTTAAATATTAGATTTTATGAAAAGAAATTTTTAAATATTGTGTCAATTTATTCTAAATTAGATGATGCTATTTTTTATTAATAATTAAATGTTAAATAAAATAGTGTCAAATCAAATCCCAATCGAATTTAATTCTGACTAAGATGAATTTAACTAATGCTTACCAAGCTAAAGTAATTCTACTGCAACACCAGGATTATTAGAGAATATCCATTTATCTAAAGTCTTCTGTTCTTCACTTTTCGAGGATCATCTTAATTAAGATGGTAAAATATCCATATTATTTAGATGATGAATTCAACTCTTTGAATAAACAACTTTAGAATGTGTTGCTGACTGACAATTATCGACCTTCATTAATTTAAGCTTTCTCTGCTGATATGTATACAATACCAAATTAAAAAACTTAGGTCTTCATATTTGAGTCATGAAAAACTTACTAGGAACTCTAGGAAAATGTAATAGGAATATGAATAAGCTAATAAAAAAGAAAGGGAATATGTTTTTAACACTTATATTAAAAATAATATTGTTCATCTGAGTTTGGACAAGTATATGCATTATATACTGGAAAAAATTATTGAAATTGGTATTAATTATAATAAATTAGGACCAACAAATTTTAGAAACTTTATTATAGACTAATTGTTTCATTCTATCAAGAAATTAGTAATTGATCTTCATGCTTGTAAAGTAATGCAGAAGGGTTTAGAAATCATGTCCTTATATTCTTCAGAGTCTAAACCTTAATTTTAAAAATATATTAATTTTATTTTGGAAGACTGCAATTTCACAAGAAGATTATATACTGATAAAATTGGAAATCAAATATTTTCTAAAAGTTTAGATGTTTTTGATGAATAGAATTTAGAATCACTTTTAAAAATATTCGATAAATATGTAAACTACTTATTAAATATTAGATTTTAAATCAAAATTAATATTCATTAGAATTATCAACTGATTAATATGGATGTCTAATTGTTAATAAAATTATAGATATATTTCCAAAACTTATAGATCCAAATACTAAATCCATTGCAAATGAAATTATTCTAAGAACTATCTAAAATTCATCATGTTTGATAAGAAGATAATATGCTAATTATATCATTTAATAAATATTGGAAAAAGGTTAAGAGAATCACAAAAGATTACTATTGAATAATTATCTAATCAAGGATTTTGTTTCAATGTCCCTTGATAAGTATGGTAGTAATGTAGCAGAAAAAGCAATAGTATATGCAGGACCTTAATGGAGATAAAGACTTTGGGAAGAGGAAGTTTCTGTTTCTGAGAGGTATTAATCTAAATAATGTATAGTTCATTTCGAAAATTAGTGAATGATTAATTTGCTAATTATCCAATATAAAGACTTTATGAATATTTATCTATGGAATATAGAAATGAATTCATAGCATTATTAAACAGATTGCATGATAGTCATTTTCTCAATCATCATGGTCAAATAGTCTTAAAATTTTCTCTTGCTAATTATAATGTAAAACGTTTTGCTCAAAAAATCAATAATCTTGAAAATAGTAAACCATCTAAATTGTAAGAAAAGAATAAATAGCTTTAATAAATATATGAATAACAATAAAAAAAGAATTAAAATTCAATTCAATATTAATAATATATTCAATAATAATAAATGATGGCATAATAATAATACTAAATTTTTTAATAATAATAGTAATAATTCAAATCTCCAGTTGAATTTCAATAATACTAAGCCATGCTATTTTAATAAGCTATGATGATGTATTAATAACCATAATAGATCATTTCTCCTTAATTTTAATAGTAATATATGAATTAGTAGTTTCCTATCTCATTATCTTTTTAGCCATAAGATTAATGGTCTTAATAGACACTCAATAATTATTAATAATTTTAATGCTCTTAAAAAATGAATTAGAATCAATAAGAATAACTTTGATTAAATGAAAAAATAATGATATTATCCAAATATAAAGTATATTATAAATAATTATTTTGATTAATTTTTATGTAGTTTTAAGAAGATAGATTGTTTTGTTAATATAGTGATTTATAATATATTTATATATATAAATTAAATACTATGTTTCATAGATAGTATATAGAGTAGTCTCACAACCAAAGTTTTTAAGTTTTAGAAAGCAAAGAATATCGTTTCTTAGGAGACAAGTTAGTATTAAGTGAGAACTCAGATGAAGAGGAAATTAAGGAATAGAAGAAAGAATTTAAAGTATTATAAAAGACGAGGAAAAAACTAAATTGGAGGAAGAGTATAGGATTGTTATTGGTTTAGAGAAGATCAAGTGCAATGTCTTATGTGGACTTTAATTGGGAGAAATTTTAATTGCGTTTAAGAGGATTATTGAAAAAGATAATTAAAGGATGTACTATAGAAAAACCTTATATTTTAAGTCCAGATGGGTCAATTAAAATGATGTGGGATTTATTATGTCTTGGATTAGTGATGTATGAGATGATTAGTATTCCTTTATAAATAAGTTTTGAGATTGATGTGAGTGTTGAATTTTCAAGAGTTTCAACAGGAATATTTGCATTTGATATTTTATTGAATTTCAATACTGGAATTTTTGAAGATGGATTATTAAAAATGAATAGGAATGCAATAATAAAGGATTATGTTTAATTTTGGTTTTGGGTTGATTTTACAACTACATTTCCATATGATATAATATTGGATGAATCATCACATTTCATTTAAAGTGCAAAACTATTAAGATTATTGAAATTCTTAAGATTTATAAAAATATTAAAGTTATTAAGATTAGCTAAATTGAAAAAGATAATGGATAAATTTAATGAAATATTATAATTAAATTCAATCTTAGCAGCAATATTAACATTTGGAAAATTGTTTTTATTTGTGTTATTTTTTGCACATCTTTTAGGATGTATATTTCATTTTACTGCATAATAAGAAGATAAGAATAATTAATGGTTGGGAGATTTATATAATGCAGATTGGTATATAAGATATATAAATTCATTATATTGGGGAGTAACAACAATGACAACAGTTGGATATGGAGATATTAGTCCATTAAATCCAACTGAAAGATTTTTAGGTATATTTTTATTATTAATTGCTTGTGGTGGATTTGCTTTTACAATGAATTCAATAGGATTTGCATTATAAAAAATAAGTGAAAAGTCAAGTTAAACTAAAGATAAATTAAGTTAAGTAAATAAATATATGAAAAAAGCTAAGATTCCTGAGACACTTTAAAATAAAATTAGAAAATATTTAGAATATGTTTGGGATAGAAATGGAGGAGTAGTTTTATAATAAATAACAGGAGCTTTATCAGTTGATTTATCAAAAGAATTATAAGAATAAGTAAATGGTAAATTATTTGGTTATTTGGATATATTTTGGTCAAATCATTCATATGATTTCTTAGTATTATAAGTAATGCCAATAATGAAAGAAAAAGTATTTTGTCCTTAAGAAATAATATTTGATGAATCTGAATAAGAATCATATGATATATTTATGATATAATCTGGAGAAGTGGATATCTATTTTCAAAAAACTAATATTACAGTTGATAAGAAAGGAAAGAATGAATTTTTTGGTGAAATTAGTTTTTATTCTGCTCATAAACGAACTGCAAGTGCTAAGAGTGTAGATTTCTCTAATATTTTCAGAATAAATTCAAGTGATTTTCTGAAATTAGCAAGATCTCATAGTAATGATGTTCAAACTTACTTTAAAATTAGACATAAAATAGTATTTGATAAAGATTATAGTGCCATAAATATAAGATGTTATATGTGTTAGATGGATGATCATATTGCCAGAGATTGCCCATCATTGCACTTCTAAGTGTAAATTAGTTGATTGATATTAGATAGGCATCACATTATTTAGCTTTCTTATAATAAGTAAAGCATGTTTAATAGTCTTCCTTTGTTAGAAAAGATAGATTGGATTTCAATGCTCGATTTCATAACAATCTCATTTCTCGTATTTAAGGTAAATTTATTAAAACTGAAAAGAAAATACAATATTATTAAGAAAATAAATCACATATGTTGATAAGTATAGAATAATTAGAAGTCTAAAGTATAAAAACTGAGGAAGATGATTATAATGCAATCAATTAAATTAATAGACTAGACAATTTTGATAGAAGATTCAAATAATCAGTAAGATTGAAACATCGTAAAAATGATAATAAAAATGAAAATAATGGTCATAAAACTGAATTTATTGGCCGTAAAATTAGAAATACAAATAGAGTTACTACAATAATAAGACGTGATCCTATGGGAAAATTAACTATTTCATGTGGATCAGAGGATGATCAAATTGATAAAGTTGCTTTAGAGAGAATTAATAAATATTTAGAAGATTTCCATAAAAAAATATCATTGTCACGTAAAAAAGAATGGAAAGAATTCTCTTCCATTCCTAATTTTGAAAAATATCATGAATATCATATCTATTATCCAGAAAGCAATATTTCTAAAATTATACCTTAATATTAAAAATAGAAAGCTAAAATTATGACAGATGTATCTTTAAATTCTTAAACATTTGGTGAAGAAGAACTCATCTCTTATGCTTAATATTATTGTTATGACTTAGAAGCTGTAGATATCTCTAAATTCTTCAATAAAACATAAAATAGAAATATGTTAAATTATGAAGAATAAAGAATCTCTAGGTTGGATAGAAGAATGAAAAAAATGTAAAATTACATCCGTAAACCTGCCAGAGTATTTATATTGATCTTAATCTTTCTAGATTAAAACAGCTGTTTTAGTACTTAAAGCTGTTAAGAAATTTTCTAAAAGTTTAAAAAATATCCCTGTTCTATGATTACTCTAGATTAATGAATCTTTTTTTAATTATTTATTAATGAATTTTTCTTTAATATTATTAAGTATTTCTAATTAATATAATTATATTATATATGAAAAATAGAGGATATCTTAACAACTAAATATTCATTATTAATATAAATAATTAAATTTTAGATTAGTAATATTTTAAATGTAAGAAGAAACCTTTTAATTTTAATAATAACAAGTGATAGAATATAGTCATAGAAAAATTCTCAAACCTCTTTAACGAAAATTATAATACAAATCATAAGATCCTGAAGAAATTTATTCGACTTAAGAACCTAGCTTGGATTGTAATGTAATTTCAATATTCTCGAAAAGAGGAACCAATTTTTCAATAGAAGAAGAACATCATCGTAGAATAATTCAGAACCCTTTCGTTAATGAAGTACCTAATTTTAGTAAACTACAATATCAATTAAATTATACTATTCAATAATAACCAGAAAAGACTTATGCTCCTATTGATATACTCCAAAATGAACTTTCAAACTAAAACTATTCAAATAACAAATATTAGAATCTTTAGAATGATTGTTACTAACCTATAGAAGAATCTTTTGGAGAAGATTATAGATTGATATAAATGGATGATTTCAATTATTTATAGAACTTTCAATGTAATAAAATAGAAAATTAAAAAAATGATTCAAGAAATAAAAAACAAATACCAAAAAAACTATAATAAGAATTAACAAAAGGAATTCATAAAATATTAATCAAAAAATGACTTTTTTTTATCAATTTTACATAATTTCATTTTTTTATTTCTTAATCAACTCATCAAAAAAATCTTAACATTCTTTGATACCATTTGATACAAGATCCAAATTATAATTTCTTAAATTTCTATTCCTCTCTAAATCATTTTAATCTATTTATTCAATAAATGTCTTTAGATTTGGTTATGTTTCTAAAAATCCATTTAATAATCCATATGCATGTGCAAAATCGTATTTAATATAATCTTAAATCTCTTTATTTTATTAAGAATCTTCTTGCATTTTTATTTTTTTAGAGGGTTTCTTTTTATCTGTTGTCTAAATTCTTTCGATTGTTCTTTTTTAAAATTCATCTGCTGCTGATTAACAAACTATCCAATATGATTCATTTTCTTTCTTTTAATCAACTCTAAATATTCCATTTGATGTCAAACTTCCTTTGACAGTTTTATATAAATTACCCTTATATTTACTACCATCTAATCTTTTCAATTTACATAAATTAGAACGAACTTATTCTACAATATATCTTTCACTTAGAGTAGCATTTTAATGAGCTTCAAATAACTTTAAAACAAATCCAGTTAAAGTTTATTAGAATAATAATTTTTTTTCATTTTCATTTTAATCTATTTCAAAATTAGCTTATGGCCATATTTCATGTTCTGATTCATCTGTTCTTTAAAATTATTATTAGACTGATTAATGTGATTATGTAATTGTTGTAGCTTGTTTTCCTATTATAACAATATCAATATTACTTTTATATAATTTTTTAGCTTTGATTTATTTTAAAGGTTGATGATCAAATCTAATAGGAGTTTAAGGCTAAGGTGGATATTAGATATATGGAATATTAGTATCAAAGTTTTCTTAATAGTTTTGAGGTAAAATCATATATACATTGATTGGTAATTGATGGTATTAAGGAATCTAAATATATTATATTTTAAAAGTACTCCATATGAATTATAACCACAAACTGAATTGTATTCTTATTCTTAATTTTCATCTAAATGATAATGATCCTATGTAATTAAATTATACTTACAGGTATATCATTATTCTGTTTTTTTAATGATGATTTCTAATACATTTATTAATTAAACAACGTGCAAACTATTAATATTAATAAAATAAATATATGTCTGAGAAAAAAGATTTAATAAAGGAAGCATTAAAAAGAAGACAAGGAGGTGGCAAGAGTCGTAAGATTATTGTCTAAAGATTATCTAGCATCAAAATCATCTGAAACAGGAGGTTAATCAGGATTAAATTTCTATTCAGGTGATGTCTCATCTCTTAAAGTTCAACCTAATACCGTATTAATAATTAGTCTTGTATATTTGGGAATTGTTGTGCTCTTACATATATTTAGCAAACTTAGATCAGGGGGTACAGAAACTCCAACTGAAGGAGTCTGATATATATTAATTATAGTAAATTTATCTATATACACGTCTTTAGAATTTTATAATTTGTATAAATGTTATGCTTGATTTTTTTCAATATATATTAAATCAAATAAGCTTCTCCCAAATTAAGGCTGCACCTTCACCTGATGCTGTTATAGTCACTGAAGCTTCTTATGAAATCACAGCCAATTAAATTTATCCTAGAATTTAGAATTATATAATTACCATTTCCTTCTACTCTTAATATATCCAATAATTCACCAACAAATGGTATTCCACCAATTAATTCATTAACATTAGCTCCTTTTGCTTAATCTACAGCAACTGATAAATTGACTTCATTTAATTCTGGTAATTACATTTCCTATATAAATTATTCATATGATTAGAAATTGAATTGTAATCTTGCATTATTCATTAATGTTAATGGTGTTAATTATTCTAAGACTTTAACTTTGTATGATTCAAAATATTTTCCAATTGCAGCATAATGTCCTTATCTAGCACATTCAATCTATAATAAATAAATAATTATTATTTACAAGATCACTTGAAGCTGTTGCATCAAAACTTGCTGAAAATCCTTTGGCTACCCAATTTATAATATTCTCATTTGGTGAAGCACCAATATCTGCTAATCCAGCAGAAAATTCTAATTAAAAATATAATATATGATTTACATAGTTTCAAATTTGCAAATATTGAACTATTTTCTTATATAAACATTCCTGAAATCAATCTATATGCAACAAGAACATTCTCTGTTAATTCATTATTCATATAAAATCGAACTAATAATTCATCTGGTAAAGCTTTATATTCAATTTTTAAATCATTTTTGAATACTGCTATTTTCTATGAGATATCGTCTGGTATCATATTTAAAGCTAAATCAATTATCCCTTCAAAAAATGCTTCAAATTTCTCTTAGACTGCATCAGAATTTTAACATTTAAATCCAAAAACTATTGAAACAATCTTTATTAGATATTAAATTTACTTGATCACCTGCATATGGGAAGTTTTTCAATAAAGATTATGAAAAATTCTTATTGTCTTCTCCAACTCTAACTGTAAATTCTAATGCTGATTTAGCTTAAGATTTCTCTCCAACATTCAATGATATGGAACATTATGATTTTCCTTCTTCATTATTCTTATTAAAGATGTGTGCTATTAAAATAAATTAAAAAAGGATACCATATTCTTAATTCAACTTTTTATGAAGATTCTTAACATTTTTAATATGTTTAAATTTCTTCTATATCAATTTATCCATTTGTTTCTATTCACCATATAAGAAATATTCATAAAACTCATCAAATGAAATCTTGCCATCTCCATTTGTATCAAGGGCTTATATGATCTATAATATTATAAATTCTAACTTTATTCAATTTCTAGTCATTCCAATTAAGTCCTACATTGACTGCTAATTCCTTTATTTCCTCTTTATCTATTGAGCCACTTCCATCTTTATCAAAAATATTGAAGTATTCTTAAATCTATTCCTTAGTCTTATCCATTAATAATTAATTAATATCTTTTAGTTATCACTCTTTATACTTATATACATAACAAACATTAATTTATAATAAACAATTAATAAAAATGCATTTGAGGTATTATTTGAATGAAGAAGGTAAACGTGTTTACACTTTGAAGAATACACTTGAGGATGGTTCGTATACTTTTAATGCTCATCCTGGTATTTTAAATTATCAATTAATCAGCTAGATTTAGTCCTGATGATCTAAATTAGAAATACAGAGTAGAACTTAAGAAGAGATTTGGATTATTACCAACTTAAGGAGAACTTCATTAATTTTGATTTGGTGATATAAAAACATAATATTCACTTTTACCACAATTTTATCATAATTTCTTAGCTTTTCCTCATATTCATATTTCAATCAAGATAAAGGATACTTATAAAAATACGTTTACTAATATCTGCAATTGATTCCCTCTATTTATAACCTAAAACTAATATAAGTTGTCACTTTTTTAATATCTTTCTTTTTTTTAATCCGTACTTCTAGAATTTGAAACATAAAAAAATAGGCTTATTGATGAATTATACTTATACTTTTAATAAATATATAAATACTTTAAATTTCTTTATACTTTCTATTAAAGAGAACAAAATAATTTAATATTTCTATTATTTTAAATCTTCATTCATTTAAGTTAAATTTTGTTTTTTTAGTAGTGTTTGCTCTTCTTTTTTAATACATAGTTTTTATTTGCTTTATGGTTCTAAAAATACTTTATATTTATAAAACCCAAAATTTGATAAATACATTAATAAACATTTCCATAATTAATCTATCCCATTATTGATTTAATAATATACATATAGCTTTATTACTCTTCTTATTTTTCACCAATTTCTCCTTTTGTATTCAGATTCCTTTTAAACTAATTCTTGATTTGTTTGAAATTTGAATAAAGAGTACTAGTTATTGATAATATTTAATTTTTCTTTAGGTATGTGAATAGAAATGAATTGATTTCAACTTTAATTTATTGAATTCAAGATTAAGAAGTATTATAGATATCATTAGGATTAGTTTAGCAACAACCCATATTTATATAATTTTATAAATGTCATTTCTTATTTTATTATTTTAGCAACAATTATCTCCACTTGTTAATCCATTCTTCTGGATATACTTTAGGATCAGGTTTTTATCCAACAGGAATATTTTTCAATCTTTCTTCGAATTGCTTATGCTCATCATGCTTCTTCTTTTTTCTTGATCCTTCTTAATGTTTGCTTTAATTGCCATCTGCATTTTGTTCTAAGTCATTCTAAATTATAGTACAGTTACTTCGTCATTATTAGACCATGAAGATTATTATAATTAAGATGGTTATTACATTTTGTATTTTTAATATTGTATTAAAATAAGTTAAATTCATTAATTATATATATATAACATTTATATACATATTGATGTTATATTATCATTCTTATTTTTGTATAAATGTCTTCTATATATATATATAAGTATATAAAATAATAAGTTTTGAATATTTTATTATTTAAAATATAATAAAAAATATAAAAGGAAGTTCATTTAACTTTTTGTTATTTAATTCCACTATCAACCCTCTTTAATGTTTACTTAATATCAATTTAATTATTGAATTAACTTTCTAATGCTTTAGTTATGTTATTTGAATCTTGAGTTTAAGATTTTGTACGCTATGATCGAATAATTTTTTATTAAGTAGCAGTCGAATTATATCTACTTGAAGCATATGATTCAATGACTCTAGCAGTTGATTATTATGATATTTTAGATGCAGAACCATATCTATTATTATTGATTTCTACACTATTTCTATATTTTTATGTTTTATTTTATTTGTTCAATTTTTGAAACTAAATCTATGTAGATTCTTTTTCCTTTTATTGTTTGATGATCTTTTATAGAAATTACTTATCTTTGTGATAAATGATAGGTATAAATTGAAATCCTTAAGTTTGAGTTTCTTTATCAATAGAATGTGCTTAACTTTTCTTTTTTAATTTCTATTTTTTGAATTCTTATCTTCTTTCACAGAATTTCTAATAGATCAATCTAAGTTAGACACCAACTTCTTAATTACTAGAATAATTATAATAGATACTTATTATTATTATGAAAGGATAATGAACTATTGGTAACAATATCATTAAGTTAATTTTTGATAAAAAAGATGGATCCTTATGAACTATATTATTATTATCTTGAAATATAAATGAATAGGATACTTTTAGAGAAGACTACTTTGTAATATTTTTGAAACACTAATGGAATTTATGTTTGAGTATTTTCGAGATTATCGAATTTTGGGATTGTAGTAATTATCCATGGTTTTAGCTATAGGAGTATGAAATATGCGGGGCACAAATTTTTGGGACTAATGGTCTATTTTAAGTTATAACCAATACATTGGAATGAATAGTATCAAAAAGTATATTAAATGGAGAATGAAAGTAGTTCTCCATATACTCATCATGGTAATCCCAAAAGAGATAGTCTTTAAATTTATTGGTGATTCGACTTCTACGAGCAAATATTAGATCATTGATGATTCGAATGTAAGTATAATTCTGGGATGATGAATACTTTTCATAGAGTGCCTTTTTGATAATGACTGCAAAGTCCTAATTTAGTGTTTTATGTACATATTGATATTCACAAAAGTTACATGTCGAATCCATAATTTCTGTTAATTTTAACATTATCCTTTTTGATAATTATAAGATTACTGTGAAACAAAGAATGTTATATATGAGTACGATTTAATTATAATCAATCATATTTAATTTTATAGGCCAATAGCAGAAGTAATCCTGGACAGATCAACAAAACCATAATTGCAGGGAAGAAGAATATTCCAAGTAAGAGTAAACATAGTTTATCTCCATCTTCTAATTCTCTATACCATTGTCTATTAAAATGTTTAACTATTTTCAATGGAGCCATCACACTATAATAAATCAAGATAAATGGAATTATGGGTAGAATTAATATAGTGGCAAATAATTCGAAAATGATTCCTCCATACTTCTTCCATCTAGGTCGAGAATGTGGTTCATCATTAGAAAATTATTTATCTCTCTATAACTTTTAATTCTATTACCTGGACATCCAAAACAATTATCTGAATCAAAATGCATTCTTGTGTATCTTGCTCTACATAGCCAACAAAATTGAAATCTACATTAATAACATGTCATATGATTGCACCCTTCTTTCTTTTAAATTGGTGCTTTACATTTTGGACAACGTTGTATAACCAATTATTTTAATGTTAATTCATAATATTTATCTAATGCTTACTAATTTTCTAATTAAATATCTATACTTCACATGTCATTCCTGGGTGATCTTCTCTACGACATTCATAACACATTTCTTATCCACATTCACATTTTATATTATTACTAAACATACTTTTTCCCTTTATATATTTATCACATCCTGGTCTAACACACCATCTAATAGTTTCATCTCTATCTAATAATTTTTGTTTCTTAAATTTTTCAAATTTTTGATATTATTCATCATTAATTAAATTCTTTATTGCTTCATCATTAAAATAATTATCACATCCTTATTATGGACATTCAATTTCCAAAACTTAACCATTATTTATTTTATTATCTAAATAAAACTATAAACACTCATAACAGAATTCATGTCTACAATTCAATGCTTTCTATTTATTTTTGTATTCACCTAAACAAATACCACAACAATCATTATTATATTTTGAATCTTTTTCTAATTCTTATCTAGTTTCTTCAACTATAAATTAATCTATTTATTATTATTCATCAATTGATATTGGAACAACTTATTTATAAGAAGCTTTTTGTATTTATATTCCAGAACAAGATTTGTATTGTTCCTCAAATTAATGAATTTTTTCAATTACTAAATCCAAAACAATCTAATAATCTTATTCCAATGAAATCTTTTATTTCTAAATTATATATTCTGCCATATAAGCATTAAATCCATATTAAGCAATCTAAGTTAGTATTTTTTTCTTTGTATGACTGAAATTTTTTAAAATAAATACATACAGCAACTTCACTTTTTAATTCTCATTATTAAATGTAATGGAATTATGGGAGTTCCTTCTATTTTATTATTCATTTGGTATCTATAATGCAATGTCATATAAACTGCTTTTTCTTAATTGTGATTCACGTAAATTTTATTGCTTTTCTTAATCTACTCCATGAACAAACAATATATCGTCACTTTTACTTAATGGTAATTTATAGTCCTTACCCTGCTTTTTAATCATTAATTTATATTATTATCAATTGCAGATTACAAATTCAAACTATTCTAAAAATACACATTTAAAAATCTCTGATGTTTTATATACTATTAATATATGAATCAAATATAAAGGTAGATATAAATCTTGAAATAATTCATCATTTTTTTAATTTGGATATTTATATAGATAATTTGAATATGGATATAAGATTAAATGAATTAATTATTATATCAATAATCTTTATATTTTGTCATTATAAAAATTATATTTATCATTATTTAATTGAGAATTTAATTAATGAATGATAAATATTATTCAGAATCTAAATCTACATTAAAAGATTTTCTGAAAATTTTAATATTATTCAGTTTACTAAATCTATAATAAACAATTTTAACTATTTAAATTATATTAATTAATTTGGATAAATAAAGAATGCTTTAATATATATTGCTACTGAAATAAGGTAAATTGAAATTCTAATATATAAGAACAACCTAAGTGAAAATTCTTTTTTATAGCATTTTAGAACTTTAAATAAACAAGATTGATTAAGAAATGAAATTTTAATGTGGTAGATCTTCTAAATATAAAGATGTTATTATAATTGAATATATTAAATATCAATAAGTTTAATAATAGTAATATTGTCATATATGTAGTTATAATTATGAGAATGAGAAAATAAAGTTGGTATTTTTGAATTTATATTGATTAATAAACTATATTATCTCAAAAACTATGATGTATTAATTTTTTGAATGATAGCTAAATGCCAGAATCATAATTAGGATCGGTTAGGATGAGACCTTCCTAAATTCAGATAGAAGACGATTAATAAGTTTCAACTCAAAGAAGAAATTTTTTATCTCCAACATTTAGTTAAAATCTACCCCTTTTTAGGGAATTGTATACAGTTTTTAAAATGAATATAGACAATCGAGATAAGCATAAAACAGGGAACAAGATTATTCAAACAGTATTATTACACTTACTGATGACAAGGTATTCAAAATACAAATTAGGTTATTTCTTGTCATGCTTAAATGATTAAGTCTCTTATGTTCAACTTATTCCTATAAGCATTTTTTGTTAATTATTTTACTTATATGCATTGGAAATATAGTCATCGATATGTGTTATTATAATTGTGGATATAGGACTTAATAACAATTTTTATTTTGATATATTATAATTATAGAAAAGGAGATGATTGCATTTGGTAACTTATAGAAACTATGTTTTTATTCTTCTTTAAGGTATTCATCAATATTTTAATAGATCTTCATTGTGTTTTATTATGAAGTTTAAGCATTCAAGATTTATTTTATCACTATTATGATGTTAGCAGTTTCATCTTTGTTATTGATTATGAAACTAGTCTAAAAAATTAAAACTCCAACTAAAACTAGTACTGCTTTAGTAATATCATTATAAATATATTTAGATTTTATAATTCTTAAAAACTATGTGTTGTCTTTAACTCTTATTGATAACACTTAAATGGGAATCAAAGATATCTTGGTCATGGATCTAGATATTTCTATTGTTTTGGGTATTCCTTGTAGTTTGTGCATTATTATTATTCATATCTTTGGTTAGTTGTATAGAAACATTAATTAATATCATAAAAAAGAAATAACAATGTCATTACTGTAAATATATAATTATTTTCTTTAGTGGCAGGCAATATATGGATATTTATAATGCTTATAGGATTTACATTATTTCCTTTTTTGTTTATTTTAAGAACAGCTGAATTTTATGAAGGAAATCAATTAATTAGTCTTACTGAAACTGCTTAATATGTAGTAGTCATCACTTTATTTTCCTTATTTCTTCTCATATTTACTCTCTGTTTTTATAGATAAATTAAGTAATAATATATATATATATTATTAGAGCTTACTTAAAAGATGTTTAAGGAATCTCAGATTAAAATGATGTTGATTAATAATAAACAATAAACTCTCCGAATTCTAGATAACTTAATTCTCCACATTAAACTAAGAAATTAGAATTCGTTAAATTAGGAATCCCTTTATATTTAATTAAATTATCTTGTACTTACTTTGCTGTTCTTGACAAAGCTTCTTTCGAATTTAAAAAAAAATAAAAGTCTCATTAAGAATTAGAGTCTGGTAGATCAAATCTTTAGGGTTAGACAATGAGAGAAACTTGGAAGAAAATACTTTAAAAACCAGTAGTTAGCAATTCTATGATTATTCATAAAAAATAGGCTGATATTGATTTAGAAATATAAAAACCTGCTATTACTGATAATAGTATTATATGATTATAAATTAGTCAAAATAAAAAAAGAAGAAATTTCAGTTACTGTATCAAAATAAGAATAAGAAGAAGAACCAGTTAAGTCTATTAAATCTATTAAATCTGATGGTGAATCTAGTGTGAGTTAAGAAAAATGTCTTGTTTGTTATGAAAATTTACCAAATATAGTTTTTGTACCATGTCGTCATGGAGGAATATGTTAATAATGTGCTGAAGATGTGATATAAAAATCAAATGAATGTTACTTATGCAGAAAAGTAATTAACTAAAATAAACAATTAGACTATTAGTCAAATTTTAAAAGTTTAAAAAAATGTAAATAAATAATTGGAAGTCTAAGAAGCATCAATTTTGGGTTGAACTTAATTAATTAATAAATGTAATTGTTATAATCTTTAAATAATAATTTTTTCTTTTATAATTTGAAATATACATAATAATTTCATTAAACCAAGAATTTCTTACTGATAGAGCTCAAAGAAAAACAAAATGCTTAGAGCATACTCATTGGAAATCTGTAATCTACATTAAATAGGTTCTTCTCCCACTTTATTATTTATAATGATCAACATTATACCTTCCCATGTAATAAATAAATAATATTCTAATCTTGAGGATCAATAATCTCAAAATTTCTGGCTGATGCTCTTTTTGCTCTTCCAAAGAAATTTAATTAATAACATTCCTTCTCTTCATTATAAACAGGGTCCATCTATGCTAATTGTACAATTTAATTATCAATTAGATTTAACATACTTGCAGTAAATTTTCTAATTTATATACTTATAATTACCTTGGTTATGTTGCCATAATATTAGTTTAATATTAAATGACAGCTAATTCTCTTCTTTCTTATCCAAAATATTTAGGAATCTTTCCAGCAGCTTCTTTTGGATACCCATAATCATAAATATGAAACACAGTTCCCCAGAAATTTCTTTCTATAACTCCAACATATTCTTCTGAATATTTGATATATTATAATTACTGCAACATTATAATTACAATTTTTACATCTTTTTCAAAAATCAATATCTCACTATGAGGTGATTCTTAATAAGCAACTAAATACTATTTTCCTTATGCCTCATCTAATAACTAATAATAATGAGGATAATCAGTATTTGGAGATGTAGTTGTTCTTTTTCTAAAAGTCTTATAAAATTAATATTTCTATAAAGGTTGCAAAAAGGGTTTCTTACGATTCTCAATCTTCTTATACAAACTTTTAAAGAATAATGTTCCTATTTGTAATTATTTTTATCCCCATGTAATTAAGAGAACATCTTCTTTAATTTACTAAATTTGCACTTAAGCAACATTCATAATTAATTTCTATAAATAAGGATCAGTAATCTATTTTTAATATACTCCAGCTTAGAATTGAAAATATTATATTAACAAACTAGAAATTAAATACATAAATACGAATAAAAGTATTATGAATATTCCATACATTCATATTAGATTGTAATTAAAGTCAATTACATTAGGACATAAAGATTTAAATCCACATATAATCCTATGATAATATCAGTCATTTTTTATAGTTTCATAATAATTGAACAAATTAACAATCTATGCAATTGTTTTTATGGTTTATTATTAATAAATTAGCGAAACTTTGTTTAATTCTGATTAAGTAAATCAAAGCATTCAAAAAAGAAATGAAAATCTTAATCATTTGGTATTTTAATTCCTAGAGAACAAACTGCTATGATTTACACAACATTTTCTTATGTATTGAAATTGTCTTATAGTACTTGAATCTCATTCAAATATCTTTCTTATTATGAATATTTTACTTTTAATCAACATAAAAGGAATATTCAACTTTTACATCTGGTATTTATTAGTCTATTATTAATTTTTTCATTATTTACCTAGTTTATTAGGTTTCATAACTAATTATTCTTAATTTAACATGCACTTTACATCAATTTTTAATTTTTTAATTTGCTTAGTTTATTACATCTTGCAATCTTATCCAAAGAAACCCATATTAGATTCTTATTCTTTATTTTATTTGTGTTTTGGTAAAATATTATTAAACATTAATTTATTTAATATGATTTCCAATCTAATTATATCAGTTATTACTATTATCATTTTTATATTATCACAATGAAAACTAAATGTTTCTCTGCAAGACATTATACAGATAATGAAAATAAAGAATTTTGTAACCTTATGTCATAACAATAAATCGAAGAACGCTTTGCAATCATCTAAAAATAAAACTCCTTTAGATAGATAAAAAGAAGAAACACAATTACTGTAAGATAAAATAAAGTTGAAGATTTATGCATTTTATTTGAGAAACTTATCAAGAAATCTAACAAAAACAAACCTTTAAAATAGAAATACCATGCAATCTGTTAGGAATCAGGAATTGATTTTAATGAATTAAGAAATATTACAAGAATAGATGATAAATAGGATTATATTATTAAGTGTTGTGTTAATTAGATTTCTTCATAATTTGATAGTATTTCTTGATTTTAAATAGACATTCTATCCAAATATAACATAAATTCAAACACTGAAAGACATTCCAATAAAAATGATGATCAATTAGATTTATATGGTTGGTTATAAGTCAAATCTCAATATAAATCTATTTTGAAAAGATTGAAATTTGCATTAGTCGATTTGATCTAAACATCTAACAATTTTAAAAAAGTTAATAATTTTCTATCATCCAAATCTAAAATTAATTCCTAATAAGTAAGTTTCATCCATACTACTAATAATATTGACAGTAAAGAATAATCTACTTAATACACTTCTAGAATCTAAGTGAATACTGATAAAAAACTTATTCTAAATGTTCCTGAACTTTAATATTCTCCTCCAGAATTGTTTTTTGAATGGAATAAAGCAATAGAGGATGGATATATAAGTACAGGTAAAAATATGCATTTAATGGGTTATGAAACTATAAAAAAATAATTAGCAAATGGTATTCATTCAAAAAAACGAGATAAAATATTAAATAAATGTTAATAAACTGGTAATTATATTACAGAATAAGAACTATAATATATAGCTTCAACTAGTTTCTTGATAAATAAATGTATAGATAGAGATTTTATATAAAGAGCTATTAATTGTTTAGAAGATAATGTATTAATTATTATTAATTAGGTTAAACATCAAATTGAATTGAATATTTCTGAATAAATACTCTAAAACTTTTATTTCATTAAAGAAAATCAAGTAAAAATTAGAAACAAATATTTTGAAGAATTAAATAAAAAAAAAAGACAATAAATAAGTAAAATCATATATATTATTAAAGCTGAAAACACAAAAAATTATGAGAGATATTAACATTTCTCAAAAGATTCTCTATAAATTAGAGTGATTAAAGGAAAATTTGTTTAGTATTTAAAAGAAGCTTAAAAAAAAAAGTTTTTAAAAGAAGCTTTTGACCATAAAAAATAGAGTGCTTTGAGAAAACTTAAAAATTCAGGAAACCCATTAGCTAACATATATGTTTAAAAATTTAAGGAAATTATGCTAGGAATTGTGAGAAAATATAGAGAAGTATATATAATCAATAATCAAGAGAAAAGGAACTGAAAAAATAAAATAATAAAACTTTTTAGAAAGAAACACTTCAAAATAAACATTTAAGCCATTATTTATAAAAGGTCAAGATGAATTTTAATTAGAGTAAGTAAAACATATATTTCATCCTCCATCAAAATTACTTACATTGGATCCAGAAGAAAAGTTTCAATAATATTAAAAAGAAAAAATAATAAAATGGAGTAAAAGTTATAGATTAGGAATAAGAAATTATAATATTAGTTAAAATGAATTTATGAAATTTTATAGTGGAGGACCATAAACTAGCAGATAATTTTAAAGTTAAAAATTGAAAGGATTAAATGATCATTAAGAGCTTGAATTACCAAGTTAATAATAATGGATTACAGATGAAATTGAAGTTTAAGCAGCAAATAAAATAAAAATGGCAATTAAGAGATTTTTATATAAAAAGAAATTTTTTAAAGTATTAGAAAAAAAAGAACAATTAAAAAGCATAGATATAGAATAGAGAATATAAAAGTGTATGAAAGCTAAAAGATTTTTTGAAGAATTACATAAAGAATTAAATAATTAATAAAATGAAAGATTAAAGGATATAACTCAACATTCTCCTCCTAAATTACCTATGGATAAAGTAGTATTTATTCCTGGTTCTACACCTACATCACCATAAATAAATCGATTGAGCAAACATAAAACTACTGAAATCTCATTAGTAAGTAGTCGTATCATTAAATAAGTATATTTTATATTTTATTTTAGTCTGATTTATAAAAAAGAGAAACAAATGAAAAATAAAGATAAAAATTACTTAATAAATTTGTTAGAACCAGACTAGATGGAGAGGCAAAAATAAAAAACAGAAAATTAATATAGGCAGCAAAAATGAAGAATCTTGCTATTGCTGAAGCAGCTGGGTTCCATTATAGTAAAGCTGATACTGAACTATATGATTAAAATGGAAACACTCCTTTATATTATAGTGCCAAATATGGAGATGAATAAATGACTAAATTCTTATTAAAAATAGGAGCAGATGTCAATTAAGTATGTTCTAATGGGAATACTCCTGTTCATATGGCTTTCCTTTCAGGAAATTAATAAATAATAATCGAATTCATCAATAGAAATGGTAATCTTAACATATTGAACAATGATAATTATACTCCTTTAGCCTTTGGCACTCAGGAATTGCTTCAATCTCTAAATCTGATTCATTGTGTTGCTACAGTAATAATACTGTAATAATTAGGTTAAATAAGATAATATTAAAAGAATTGATAATTAACATTTGCTTCATAGAAAGATCAAGTCTGAAACATATGAACTTAACGATGAATTGATATTAGAAATTAAAAAGAGAGGATGATAAAATGTCGATATTTATTTAAAAAGTCTGATTTGACAGTAAATTATATCAAAATGGCTATAATTCATCATCAATCCATTCCCCTATAACAACTCTTTTATCTTTGTATCTCATCTCTCCTTGACCATTCTTCTTGCCTTTCTTCCATTTTCCTTTAAAAACATCTCCATTCTTGTATTCAAAAGTTCCTATCTATTTTTTATATATATGTACCATCTCCATCAAATGCATCTTTATAAAACCCACCTATGTATCTGTCTCCAGTGCTAAAATCTAAAATACCCATTCCAGATTTTTCTCCTTAATACCAATCTCCCTCATATTTATGACCCCCAATAAAGTAATATTTTCCGTATCCATGAATAAGATCTTCTGAAAATAACCCATCAAATTTTTCACCATTTTCATAATAATAAGTGCCTAATCCATCCTTTAAATCATTCAATAACTCTCCCTCATAAACATCTCCATTCTAATAATTAATTCTATATATATATAGTGTTTCATCCTTAAATGGAACTTCTCTTATTAGTTCTCTTTTAATTTCTTAATTCACTACAAAGTCTTCTTTAGTTGTAGATGTAGCTATATTTGATTAATGACCATTCTAATCTTGCTGGTCTTCTTCTTCGTCACTATTATTATCCAAAGGATGAGGCTCATTTTAAATCTAATTTTATTTATTCTTCATCCCCATAACCCTAATTAATTGATATTTGATTACTCTTGTTAATTTAAACTTTGCTAATTCTCTTTGAGTAGTTCACAATCATTCTAAAGAAATTAGTTATAAAGCTAATCTAATTCTTTTTCTGCGGCATCAACTGCTTACTTCCAACAAGCTTTATATTGTTGTATTTACTCAGACATTATAAGAATTATTTTTTATATTAAATTATTTCATTAAATCTAAGCTAGACCTTCTTATTCTTCATCTTCAATCTCTATTTATTTATCCTATTATAATTATTCTTTTAATTAATCAATTTTATCATCATCCTCTTCTTCTTCCAATTCAAGTTATTCTTTTTTAAATTGTTTCATTTTTAGCAACTACTTAATGATTAATTTTGGATCAAAATTATCAAAATCAAGATCTCTTTAAAAATCTGGTTAAGAAGAAACCTCTGAATCAGAACCTTTTAAACTTCCAGCAGCACTTAATTATAAATCTCCATTCTATAAATGCTCCATATTTTATTATTAATCATCATTCCAATCACAAAGATTGGCTAATTGCATAATTAATCAAACTAATACTTAATGAAGATTATCTGACAATATGATTCCGTTCTTTTTTCATTAAAAATGCCTCACCTTCCATCTCAAATATTTTTGGTTTGCAATACATTTTACATTTTTCTAAGTCCTCCAAAGCAATCTTCAAAGCAAGACTTTCAAAATGTAGGGATGATTTTACTACCTAAATCTATTTCTCAATTAATTCTTAAGCTGGTTAATATTACTTTTATTATGCTAAATGGCATGCTTCTCCAATAGCATGCCCTGCCTTAGCTCTCTAATAATTAATTTCAACATGTTCATTTAATTAACCCTCTTCTTCTGATGATACATTAATCTAAAAATGTAATTCCTTCTTAAATTCTTAATTTTATTTAAGTAATTATCCATTTATTTCAACATTCAAAGTAATATTATTTGAATTACAATCCTCATTCAAAAACAATTCAAATACAAAATCTTTGCTCTCTCCTTCAAGTAAATAATTTAATTATATCTTGTAATTGTTCGCGTCTTATTTATACCATACTTGTCCTTCACCATAAGCTTTTACTATTTCACAATCCTTTGATTATAAGTTAATGTTAACATTCTAAGCATATATTGATAACATTCCACTCATTGCAAGTATGAAATAATCACTAGCCTATTAATCGTTAATTGAAATTTACTTTATTAATATTGTCAATATAATAAAAATTTCCTTCTCTATATTTTGCAATTTGATTCATTACATAAGCATCATGATCTTATCCATACCCAAATGTATGAATTACAAACTTATCCTCGATTTTCAAAATTTCTAATTGATCAGATACTCTCTATTCAGCTCCTTTATAGTCATCTTAACCATCAGATAATAAAAATATGCAAGAAACAGGGTTTTTATATTTCCTATTCTTTAACATCCATAAAGCCTTATTCATTCCATCACTTATATTAGTTGAAGCTAGACCTTTTAATTCTAGAATTGCTTTTTTTAATAAAGGCTTGTTCTCTTGTGTATTTCTAATAAAAGAAGTAACTATGTGAGCTACAGTAGTAAATACGATAATGCAGATTCTATCCTCAGGACCTAATATTTTCATTAAATATCTCAATGAGTCCTTTACTAAATTGATTTTTCTCCCAATCATACTGCCACTCACATCAACCACACATACTAAATCAATAGGAGGCCTATCAATTTTAGTTGAAATCTTTTTCGTTTTTAATGATAGCACTGCTGGAACAACTGATAATTAATTATTCTTTATTACACTTATTCTTTTTAATTGGTTCGCGTTCTGGATATAATTTAATCTCTAAATTTTATATCAATTCTTCAGCAGTTATTCCTTCAGAAATAGTATATTACACAATTTCATTTTCTTATTCTAATGCTTCTTCCTCCTTTAGTGATGTCTTAACAGCATCTTTCATAACCTAATTTTATTACATGGATCTAAAAATTAATCATTCACTCCTATAATTGGGCATTTCTGATTATTTGGGTTTCTAATTAATTCTTCATCACTTCTTCTTTCTTAATCCTCTTCTTCATCTTCGAATCGGACTTTTTTTTATAATTCCTCTTATAACATTTAAATCAATTTTTATAAATTTAATTCATTCAATAACAATTACAAATACAATTTCATCAACTCAAAATAAGGCTCTTATTTAATTTTCTTACACGAATCTAATTAACAAGAGTGTTTGTTTTTTCTTATATATTAATTTTTAAACTAATGGTTAATGAATATTTTACTCTTAGATATTAATGTTTTTCAAAAATATTAGTTTTAACATAAATGAATAATTCTTTAATAATTTCGCTAGCCGCCATTTTAAATTAGTTAGTAATCAATAGAAGTATTGATAAACTTTTTTTTTCCTTAGGTCAAGATCGTACCATAAAAGAGAACATGTAGCAGCATAATTTTTTACATCAATCCTTTTGGTTGTATTTTTAAGACTTGTGATCGATTATCAAGGATTAAAATAATCAATAGAGTTTAAACAATCTATATTTTAATATATTAAATTTTCAGCCATTTAAATAAAATCTTATTAATCTATCCTATTTTGTTGGACTGGTTTTTATAATAGTGTTTAAATATTCTCAGTAATTTTGATTGTCAGATTTAGATGATATCGAAAATTTTAGAAATTATCAGAAAATGTCTATATAAATTCCATGAAATTAAATATTTCATTAAAAAAATATGGGAAATAATTCAAGTTCATCTAAGTCATCAAATAATTCAAAAAAAAATAAGTCCTCAAATCAGTCTAATTGTACCTATTTAGAAGTTATATTTAGCTAATTAATAATAATAACCTCCATAAGTTCATTTAAAATCCACAGGATAAGTTCCTCCTCCGAATGGTTATAAATTTCAACTCATAGATGAAGAGACAGCTAAATAACTTGAAGATGCAATTGTAGAATAGCAAGTTATAGTTGAACATTAAGATCAGCAAATCGATGTTGATGCAAAAGTAGGAGAAACCATAGAGAGGATTAATATCAATATGATAGCTAGATAAGATGTGGTTACATTAAGTTAGTTTCCTTAAATTTTACCAGTGATATTATAAGTTTAAGCAATAAAATCGCAATTAAAGCATGCCAAAGCAAACATTGATTTAATTTGTGTCGTAGATGTTAGTGGATCTATGGAAGGTAATAAAATTGGCCTTGTAAAAGATTCATTAAGATATATCTAAAAAATTTTGAGTCCAAATGATAGGTATCTTATTTTTATATAATATTAGAATTGCATTGGTAACATTTGGTACTTATTCAGCCATCAATTTACCTTGGACACTCAATAAACCAGAAAACAAATAAAAAATTAAAGATGCAATTCTAGGGATGAAAATCAGAGACTCTACAAATATTGCAGATGGTGTGAAACTAGGATTAAGAATGATAAAATAGAGAAAATAAAAAAACCCAGTAACTTGCATGTTTGTGTTAACAGATGGTTAAGATGATAATAAAGGAGCAGACGACAGATGTTCATAAGCTATTAATGAATACCAAATTTAAGATACCTTCGTTATAAATACTTTTGGATATGGATAGGATCATGATGCAAAGGTTATGAATAACATATCAAATTTAAAAGGTGGAACATTCACATTTATTGAAAATATTTCTAAAGTAATCTATTAGTGTAAATGTTAGGCTTCCGAACATTTTATTTTGGCAATGAGTGGAATGTTATCTGTTTTGGCTAAAAATGTTAAGTTCATAATTGAAGAAAATCCTAAGTATCCTATAAAGAAACTCTATGGAGATGATTTTCTTTGGCATAAAATTGAAGGGTCTAAATATTTAATGAATATGAATTATTTATTGGAAGGTGAAAATAAGGAATTTGCTTTGGAGATTGAAATACCGCCAAGTGACAAAATTAATTAATAAAATGAGATAGTATTAAGAACAAATTTAGCAGGAGAATTTTTAGAACTGAAAACAAATTTTACAAAATAATAAGAACTAAAAATTTAGTTTTCTTTACAAGAAATCCCATATTAACCGAAGGAGATAGTAGAAGTTAATTATTTGAGGGCAAAGGCTGGTACTATCATTGGAACTGCAAAGGAATTGGCAAAAATTAAAAAATATGATTAAGCTCAACAATCATTAAATAAAATGATTGACGAAATTGAACAATCTCATTTTATTGCTTCAAAGGCGTTAGAAATTGTAATCGCGGATTTGAAGTAAATTAAAGATATTTGTAAGCCATAATTATTTGAATAGAAAGGAGAAGCGTTGATGTTAAATAAATAGAAAAATCATATTTAGAGATAATAATCATTAAGTAATATTCTAAATCAATAAATTAGATAATTCTATGGAATGGAATAGTGATCAAGAAGAATAAATTGAAAACTTTAAATAAGGAAAGTTAAATTTAAGTGTATGTGATATGGATGATGATTATCAAAAGAATGCATAATTTGACTCACCTGTCTAATAATTTAGAAAAAATTCATTTGATTCAAATTAATCATATTGATATCATCATTATTGTAAATGTTGATAATTAAAAATATAATTCAACTTTAGTCGTTAGCTTTAATTTATAATTAATATTAAATAATTGTGTAATATCTTTGTGAAATAGTTTACTTCTTAATTTCATAAATCATAATTCAATATTTTATGATTATATAGTTAATAATATTCGATTAATTTTTGATTGAGATAACATAACTTCTATAATCTGATAAAAGGATTTATTTATTTTATTAATAAGCTAGAGAGAAAATAAATTATTAAATTATTCTTCTATCTATATAATATCCATATATTTTTTAAAGAATTACCAATTAAAAATAATTATTCGATAATTATATTTATTCATAATTAAATCTAACCAAGCTTAATACTTAATAATATAAAAATCAATTTTAATTTATTTCATTTATAATATTTATTTATTAAATCTAAGCAATCCCATTTAGAAATTTATTTAAACAAAAATTCTTTTGAAACATTATTTTTGATCTTCGATAAATCATTCTATAGTTCTTAGAATTGATTTCTTTGATGAAAATTACTTTTGCTTGCTTCTCTAAGAATTTATTTTCTTTCATTTATTTAAGATTATAAAATGCTGCTTGATCTTTATTTTTCAAGAACTTTATTAACTTTTTCTAATTACTAGAGATTTATTTTATCTAAGTTCACTAAACTTCGAGACTTATTTTTTTTATTTAATTGAGGAGAATACTTTGAACTCCTTTTTTCAGGGTAAGTTTCTTCTATTTTTGTGTAGTTTGTTTATTTTTCTTAATTAAATTGTTATTTGATATTTTTTCGCTTTTTTAATTTTGATAATTATCTTTAAGACTCTTTTGAATTATTTATATATTTAGTTTACTTTTAAATATATTTTTCTAAAAATTTTTATGATTCTTCAACTTTTTAATGAGATTAGGTAATTTATAAAATAGAAGTTTTGTTGTTGTCTAATAAACTTAGTCTATTAATTTGAGATTTATTTAATTTAGATTGAATCTTTGTATATAATTAATTGCATTATTCAATCTCTTATTATTTGATTTATTTAATTCTATCATTTACTTATTTTTATTTTAGTAATTCTTTCAGCTCTTTTTCTTTTTATTTAATTTAATTTTGATATAATCCTCTTTCTGAATCATCTAATCTAAAAATAATAGAATTTTTACTCTAGTTTATCTTTTTAAAGAATTTCTTTTTATTTTTCAAATGCCTTTTCTTATTCATATTAAATTGATTCTTAATGTTTTTTTGCAACTTATTGAGTTTTTTAATTAAAAGAATGAGCTCTATCACTAATAGCTTTAAGATTTTGCTTTCTTAATTTTTTAACACGTAAATTCTCTTATTCTTAAGCTTTATTTTCATTCAATATTTTCAATTCTTCTTCAATTTATTCCCTTATCTTATTTTTCAGTATTAATTAAGTTCTATCTTTTTTAATTTATTATAATTCAATTCTCTTATCTAACATTGATATTGCATTTTCAATATTTAAATAATTGAAACTTTCAGTTTATGAATAATATCTAGTATTCATCTATTAATCGTATTTCAAAGTTTCAGCTTCCTCTTTTTTTATTTTATTCCTTTCTTTTACTAATAATTTTTTTCTTTGTGCAATTTAATGCAAATGAAGAAGATACCGTTGTTCTGTTATATAATTCTCTTCATCTTATATTTAGAATTAGGAATATTTCTTTTATATTAAGTCTTACTCTTTAAAGTTGAGATTCTACATTGCTATCTAAATTTTTGGAGTGTTAAAATTGAACTCAACCTCTAATAAAAATTAAATATCGAATGTTAATTTGAGTTCAAACTATTCAATTTTCGATTGACTTAAAGTTAATGGATCATCTGTCAATAACAACATTTTATTTATAAATAAATTTATAATATATGATTTGTATTAGAAAATAATTAATTGTAGAAAAAATTAAATATTCAAACTGTTAATTAATCATGAGTTTGTGATTGGAGAAAAAGTCTTGATTTTTATAAAGTAATTCAAATTTATAATATTTGTATTCCCATTAATATTATAAAAATGGGAAGTTGCTTTTGATAAAATAATATTTAAAGGAATTGATTGAACACATCAGTTGATTCCCGACAATATTTTATCTTTGGAAAAGCATGAAAAGTTATATAAATTGATTAAATAATAATTTATGCCAAAATAATAAATAAAAAATAATAATGAGTTAATAATCTTCTAATCAATATGCATACGATCAAGAATTATATGAGTAACATATAAAGTAATTGGATAAAATTAAAAATGAAATAGAAGCTTAAGACCCATTCATTATTACTTAACCAATAGAATTGTAAATATTAGAATCAGAATATTTAGAAAATTAAGGTTTTCTTCAAAAAATTTAAGTAAGTGATTATGAAAAATTTCTAGAAAATCCGTGAATCTTATCCATATTTTAGAAGAGTGAGAAGAGATGGTAGCTGCTTCTATAGAGCAGTTCTGTTTAGAATATTCGAATAAATCATTCAATTTAAAGATTAATAACTATTAAATAAGTTTAGCACCATCATTGCAAATTCAAAGACAGACTTAACAGCGGTTGGATATGAATAAATTGTTATTGATGATTTTTATGATGTAAGTCTGCAAGTATATGTAGGAAATTATGAAATAAATAAAATTATGTCCAAACAACATTACAGTTTAGGGAATCGTAGATGCATTTTGCAATAAAGTCACATCTGATTATCTTATTATGTACATGAGAATGTTAACATCTGGATATATCAAAGCCAATTCATTTTTATTTGAAGGATATATAGAAACTGGAACAGTAGAATTATTTTGTTAATAAGAAGTTGATCCCATCGATAGAGAAGCAGATTAAGTAATAAACAATATTTAATTAAGATGCAAATTATAGCATTGCAAAACTACTTGCAAATTCCTATTAGGATTTTCTATTTAGATGGTAATGTTGCCACTTTTGATGCTACTATATTCTAAATTCCAGAAGATGCAAATCCAAATTCTATATTTATCAACTTATTATACAGACCTGGACATTATGATATTCTTTATCCAAAATGAGGTATTGATATACAACACATTATTATGTTTAAAATTCATCTAAATAATACCATCGATTTTTAAATAACAATAATAAAATTATACCTTCAAGTATTTCATTGATTTTTGTTAAAATATGTAAATAATTTCATTTTCTATTGTATTAATAGAGGAATCTAATTCATTTATTCGTTATTTTATGATTAAAATTAATAACATAAATGGCAAAAGATATTGAAGAATACTTTATCAAAAGACTTTAATCTTATCTTTTAGAATATTTATAGGATTTCTCATAAAATAATATGGCTAAAGTAAAGTAACCCATATTTTTAGTTTTCTTTGGGTTTTTCATCTAATATTGTGCTAAAGAATTTGTGCATTAAAAAATAAGCATTACTAAATTTGAAATTTCCATTATACATTTTAGATGGAACAATAAATTAGATCACTCTCAATGTAAGTTTTATCAATTCTATTTAAAGATGCCTTTAAATTACAAAAAGTAACAACCAGAAATGATCATAGAAGGAATTGATCTGCTTGTATGTACAATTTAAGAGGCCAATAAATTTGTACAGAGCAAAGATCGGTAGACTCAAGAAATAGACAATTTGAAGAAACATAAACTAAAATTATGGGAAGAAAAAATGGCAAAATATTTCGAAAAACTATCTCCTCCTAATTGGATATAAAAAATAGTAGATGGAATATATAATAATTTAACAATAACAATTAAGTAGTTTAATCTTAGATTTCTCAATCATTCAATATTTAGCTATGAAACGATCTTAAGAATTAAATTTGATGCCTCAATTAAGGCAACAGACAAAGAATTTAAATAATTATTCAATGGAGATCTTAATTGCACATATAAATTGATTGAAATAAGAAAGCTAAGCATCTCTTATAAAAATGATCCATTCACTGTACTTTAAAAAAATGATGAATAAATGATCATGAATCCTATAGATATTGAAATCAAATATGTCAAAAACAGAAACAATGAACAGATTACTCAACCAATCTAAATTTTATAAATTTTCATAAAATCTCCTATAATTATTCAGTTGAATAAGGAATAAAAAGATTATTTAATTAAATTAAATGAAGCACTATCAAATTAAGAAGTGATTTAAGATAATTTTCATTTAAGGCCAGCCAAAGATATTAAGAATGCTTATTCGGAATGGTGGAAATATTTCATAAAATCTGTCATTCTTAAACAGAAGAGTAAAAAATTAGACTTAAGTTATTCATCTAAAAAGCTTGTGTTAATGAAAAGATATATAGAATTGTATAAAAGAAAGCAAACCATTATTTTAGTTCCTTGGTTGTCATCATGGACTGTAAAAGATGAAACTAAAATATCTAAGTGTGAAGAAGATCTATCTTTAAAGGACTTATTAAAATATAGGGAATGGGCATTTCAAGAAATTAGAATAGAAGCCAAAAGATATTATAATTCATCTAAAGATGGTCAAAATAATTAAAGTGTTAAACCTTTGTTGGAAATTTGGACAAATACTATCAATAATCAAAATTCATTCAAAGATCACACTAAAAGGAATGATGATATACCTATTGAATTAGAAAGTGATGAAAAAATTAGTTTATATGAGATTTTAGAAAGAGATAAAACTAATGTCTTATCAAGTTATTTAAAAGGAGAAAATAATCATCCTGATTAAATTAAAATGTAATTTAATTTAGACATACATTCTATTTTCATATTATTATATGAATTTAGAACTGGTAATTATATTAAATATTCACCTGTAAATACAAAGATATTCTAATTTTGCCAATGTAAATATCATATTAAATAATTTAAAAAGGCAGCATATTCTAGAAAAAAATCAAGAAAATCATCCAATATCAATACTTTTAATTAGGTTTATGAGGATGCCTAAAAAATAAGTGAAGAGAAATCATTTCACACAGTCAATTAAATAGATAGTTTTTATGAAGATATTGAGGATTTAAATGGAGTTGGATCACTTATTTCATAATCATTTAATAGTTCCGAAAAACTTAGTAGTCCTGAATCAAAATAAGCAAATGATTCACAATATCATCAAAAATTTCTTATAATGATTAGTTTTATTGGTATTTAAATTCCTTTAAATATCTATTAAAATGGAGCAATATATACACCTTCAGTTAATAAATCTAAAGAGCTACTAGATAAAATTTATATTGGAGATATCAGAATACTAGCTCCGGGTATGTTATTAAAAGTTATGGATGAAAAGGATTCCTTAGCAAACAAATAATCACCTTTATTTGCTGACATTAACTAATAGATATCATCATTAAAGTATCTAGATTCATCCTAATAATACTTATAATAATAATAATAATAATAATAATAATAATAATAATAATAATAATAATAATAATAATAATAATAATAATAATAATAATAATAATAATAATAATAATAATAATAATAATAATAATAATAATAATAATAATAATAATAATAATAATAATAATAATAATAATAATAATAATAATAATAATAATAATAATAATAATAATAATAATAATAATAATAATAATAATAATAATAATAATAATAATAATAATAATAATAATAATAATAATAATAATAATAATAATAATAATAATAATAATAATAATAATAATAATAATAATAATAATAATAATAATAATAATAATAATAATAATAATAATAATAATAATAATAATAATAATAATAATAATAATAATAATAATAATAATAATAATAATAATAATAATAATAATAATAATAATAATAATAATAATAATAATAATAATAATAATAATAATAATAATAATAATAATAATAATAATAATAATAATAATAATAATAATAATAATAATAATAATAATAATAATAATAATAATAATAATAATAATAATAATAATAATAATAATAATAATAATAATAATAATAATAATAATAACAAAAATAATAATAACAATAATAATAACAATAACAATAACAATAATAATAACAATAATAATAACAATAACAATAACAAAATTCGAAAAAAGAAAAATCTCATCTTCATTAGAAAAAATCTTATATTAAATATTCAGATTTCTTTAATGAAATTTTTGAGATTTCAATTACTAATGACTCATAACAATTTTTAAATAGTGAACTTTGCTATCAATTGTTAGGAGAATTCTTAAAATAAAATTAAATGGCGAATATCAAACAATTTTTAGATGAATTTGAAAGAGATAAAAATAATTTCTAAGATTTCACAGCAGAATAATTTAAAATATATGATAAATATTTTGACGATAGAAAAGCATAGGAAGATATTTGCTTTATTCACATATCCAGTTAATACTCTGCTGATAAAAAAAAGGAATTCATAAGAAACGCGGCTATATTTTCTTTTGAAAAAGACAAACAAAATCATTGGGTGTAATGCGAGAATAATGATAAAAATCTATTTATAACTAATGCCCACAACAAGATAGTAGACATTATTAGAAGGGTTTTGTTTATTCCTTTTATAGAAGAATATGGTGAAATACTTCTTCCAATTTGTATTCATAATCTAAAGGACAAATTAACATTCCCAAGCATGTTATTTACAAAAGAAAAAGAGCTTTGCACATTGCAAATTTGTCTATCCTTACAAGGTGTATAATCAGAATATAGAATCATCTCAAAGAGTGATTAAAAGAAAGGATTATAGAAGGAAGGCTTTATTCCCTCTTAGTAGTTACCATTTAGTTAAATAATAATCTAATTGCAACCTTTTTCTACATTGTTGTCTACAAAATCTATCTCTTCTTTATTGCATTTTATGCAAAATAAAAAATAAGATATATTTAAGTCTCCAAAATATAAATAATGTCAAGAAGATCAAAAATTACTAGAATGCATAGTAAAAAGCAAACCTTTAAATAAAGAGGCCTAAATATAGCCTTAATGGAAGGTCTCTTTAAGGATGGATGGAAAATTAAAAGTAAAAGTAGTTTCTGAATCTATTTCTAGTAAAATTAAAACAGAATTAAAGTTTCAAATAAAAAATCTTCTATTAAAAACTGTTAATTTAGATGACAAAGAATATGAAAATGATTTCATAGAGTTTTCTTAACAAAAAAAGGAGACTTTCATTCTCTAATAAAAATATTATTTCATAAAAAAAGTTGTGATTGAATAAATTTTAATAGCTCATAAATATTTCACTTTAGATTATAAATATTATAATGAAGAGATGATCAATACTGATAATAAATTATAAACTTCTAAGAATGGAAAAGAACAACATAATATTCCTTAATGTAATTAATAAAATAAAACTTCAAACATAAAGGGGTCATAATAATCACATTAAATTAAGCATTCAGCAACTTTAAATTAAGGTCAAGTTGAATCAAACTTGGCAGGTCAAAATAATATAAAGAATTAAAAAAAAATATCTGGAATTAAATCATAAATTTTGAAAACATAATTGATTTTATTTCAATTATCATCTTTAATTTAAAATCACCCTTTATTGACAGATAAGAAACTATATATTCAAATTCCATCTTTAAATTTACAAATAAATGATTCTCAAATTTGCTTTATAGAGTTATTAATGATTTTAAATAAATATATCAATAAGGGAAATAAAAAATAATTTTCAGAAGTCAAATATAATTTGAGCAAAGATAGTTTAATAAAAGCAGAATTATAATTCCTATTAAATGATCATAAAAAATAAAAGAAGGATTGCAAACATTGTATCATCAAATATAAGAAGAGTCTTTACCTAAGTAATATAATTTTTGGGATTATGCCAAAAATTAATGATGAGATTAATATATTCTCATTGCTTGAATTTGAAAATCAATAAATAACTTAAAGAAAACAATAAAGAAGGATGAATAATAATCTAAATCTCAAATTCTAATAATCATTTAAGGATAAGAAAAGACTTGATGGAATTTAAATCTAATTTATAAGTACTCCAAAATCCGATAATAGTACATGTTATATTACAATTTTTGAAATGCCATTCTTTAGCATCACTAAAGATAAAGGATATTTTAAAGATACTATTGCTATTCATTGCTAAAAAACTCCTTAAAGTAGCGATATATCTCATTAGAGTAGCTTATATAAACTAGATAAGGAACTTGGTTAACATCCATCATTTGAGAGAAATAAATCTCTAAAAGACATGGGTCAAAAAATGCCATATTAATCTTTATCTTAAGATTAAATTAATGAATAAAACCCTGATACAACTTATATTATTTTCCAACCATCACTATTAGTACAAGAATCCCATTTGTTAAGCGATAAGCTAGATGATAAATTTGTGTTTTATTGTAGAAGTAAAGAAATTGAAATGTTTAATTATGAATTTGTCCAACATAATAATCAAGATTAAATGTAAGAGTCTGATAATATCTTTTCTCATAATTATTTTAAGGGTCCAATTTATTTACTGTATTATTTTCATAAACCTATAAGATCTAATTTACTTTCTTGTGTAATAGAAGATTATTACAAAGAGAAAAACTCAAAAATTAAAGTTTTTTTTGCAATTGATAAAATCAAAGCGATATTTAGTAATTAATTTGCCACTTATAATCTTATCACAATTATCAAAAATATTTTAACAATCAAAAATATTTAAGAAAATACTGATAATTTAATTAATAAAAATCTAATGAAGTAAGAACAAGAAACATTCAAATTAAAATTAAAACAAAATCCATTAAAACATCTCGATGATTTAATTGTTTGTGCTGTAATTTAGAATATATATTTAAAATCTAATGAAACTTTCTTTAAATTAAGTTAATTAAAAGCCTTCAATTAAGTACATTTAATTAGTTAAATAAGAGGAAATTCTAATTAAAATAGATAAAGTTTTTATCCTATTAATAATTCAGGAGCATAATACTAGAAAAATAGACAATCTGTTAACTCTTATGAGGATAATTAAATAATAAGATGTGATATTATTAAATTTAGTTTTAATTAGGTGTCATAAATAGATGTGAAAATAATTAATGTAACAAAATAAAAGGATGATCTATATTTATCAGTTAATGAAATTTAGATCAGTATTATTGGAAAATAAAAAGAAAATCTATTAGTTATGCCTGGAAAAGAAACAGGTACTTAAAGAGCCTCTTATGCATTACATGTGTAATTATCATTTTAGAATTCCTATCCTCTTATAAAATTTTAAATAGAATAGGCCAAATTAATTCTTTCTTAATAAAAAATTTAAGATTTATTGATAGCTATTAATAGTTTCTATTTAATTAATATTGAAGAATCAATCTCTTTGAAATAACATTTATTACAGTTTATTTTTTAATAAGAATTATTCGTTAATGAATAAAGAGAAAAACCTGTTAGTATTAACTTATTTGTTAAAAATGTTAGCAATTCTAAAAAGTCCTAAAAATATTCTATTGAATTATTAATAGATTCATTAATAATTAAATTATAAGAATAAGAATAAGACTTTTTTTAATTTTAATTTCATCAAATTTAATTGAAAAAAAGAAATCAAGCAAATTTAGAATTATCCTTATCATAAGTTGAAGCAAAACCTCAAAATATTAATAATGAATAATATTTATATTAAAATTTAATAGAACCTATAGATAATTAATAACATTTTGTTTTTAAATTAGAAAATAAGGTAATATCAATTAAAAATGTTAAAGTTTTTATTATTTCAAGATATATAAAAGAATTAGAAGCATTTAAGTAAAGAATAGAAGAAATTTTAGAATAAAACTTATTTGAATTGAAAGATAGGTATTAGAAAGATTTTGATTTATAACTACAAATTAAAAAAGAAGAAGATTTTATAAAAGAAAAGGATAATTTTAATTATAAGATCTCTATAGAAAATTCTTAATTTTTAATACCTGATTCATCAATTGGTTCAAACCTCATAATAGCAACATTCGATAAAGCAAATTTTCATTTAAAAAAACAAAAATTACATTTAAAGATCCCAGATATTTAAGATGATTTATTTTTTTAACCAAATGATAGCCATTTGTTGATTGATTACAAAGAGAAAAGTTAGGGTGAAGGAGAATTTTATGTAATTAATATAAATGGAAAATTTTAAAATGTAAAAGTAAATTATCAGTTTTCAGATGTTTTAGGAAGTGGATTGCTTTTATTTGCAGGTAACACATAATTGTAAATTTATAGACACAATTTAACCAGTTATTGATCTCCCAAGTTTTGATTAAAATTGTGGATAAATTCCATGGAAATTTAAAGATACTTGTAAATTAATTGTTTATAATTTAAAAATGTCCCTTGATTTTGGCAAATTGCTTAAGTTCTAAAGTTTTCTACTTAAGAATTTAGAAGAAGCATCTCCTTTGTTTAATTATACTAAAACTTCATTACAAAAAGTTAATCTTGAAGTAAAGTTATTTTTCATATTAGATAAAATTAGTAGAAAGTTTATTTTCGTATTTTAGATATAGTTAAGGGGAACCTGAAAAACTTATTTAAATTAAGGAATAGGCAAAGGTATATAAATAGAAACCAAGATTAAGTAAAAATTTTACAACATAATAATCATCATAGCGAGATTCAATTTCATGATTTTGTTGATTATATAGTTTTCTTTTTTTATTTAAATGTTTATTTTTATTAATCAATATACTTTTTTTTAAAATTGGTTTAGGAATAATTAAAACTTATAATAGATAGGGTTGTTTTAATATTTAAGAGAGAATTCCAAAATTATTTATTGGTTTAAATTATTTCAATTTCTCAAAAAAATAATATTTTAATAAATGTAAATGAAGCATAGAAAATTAAATAAAATAACCAATATACTCTATAAATATTTTAATTTCATGACTATATTATAATGTTGATAAAAAAATTATATAATTTAATTGAATTAGTTTAAATAAATTAATAGTATTAATTAAATTCATCTGATATTGGGATAATTTAATTAAATTGAAATTAAGGTTGAAACTTAAATTATAAAGAAGTAGTGTTTTTTTGTGTGTAATTAAAAAGAAGATACTAAATCAAATTGCTTATAAATTTTTAATAATTATTGAATAGTCTAAGAGATTAAAATGATTCAATTTAATTAGATATATATATTTATTCAAATATTAGATGTATTTAATTAATAAAAAATGCCAAAATTAAGTTTTATATTTATTAGATGCAAGAGATTATAATTATAGGAATTGGATAGTGTGGAATTAATATAGGATTGGAATTCATAAAGCAATTAAATTATGATCATTGTTTAAATAGTCATTAAGAAATAATTGATTAAAATAGATACAAAAAGAAAATCAATGTTTTTTATAATGAAAATTCAAGATAATAGTTTATTCCGAGATGTTTGTTTCTAGACTTAGAACCAAGTAATATCTGTTTATATGGTTAGGTTAAATTGATAAATTACTTATTTAGAAGGATGTACTTATTGATCCAAATTGTTGTTTTTCAATGAATTTTGGTAGCAATAATATTTTTGCAATTGGAAAATATACTAAAGGATAAGAATTAATGGAATAATGTAAACATGTATTAAATAATTACTTTGAAAAATCAGATAATTTATAAGGCATTATGATGTTTTTTTCAACTGGAGGAGGAAGTGGTTCAGGCATAGCAAATAATTTGATTTTTTATTTTCATGAAAAAGACTTAACAAAGATAGTTCATTGTAATCCTGTATTTTAGTATGGAATAACACAAAATTATTTAGAAATATATAATACAGCATTCATTTTACAACCTATGACTGAAATTGTTGATTTAGTAACAGTTTTTGATAATGTTGGTTTATAATCTATATGCACAATCAATGGAATATCTTAAAATTATGAAAATTATAACAAAATTATATCTGAGAGTTTGATTCAAACCACTGCTTCATATCGATTTCCAGGATTTCTTAATGGAGGAATGAAGAAACTTTAGTTGAATTTGATACCATTTCCAAGATTACATTTTTTTTAACCTAGCTATATGATTATTAATTAATCAAATTGGAGTATTACTAATATTCTGAAAACATAATATAAGTTGTGTTCTTTTGAAGATAATTTACAAAATGAATACACCTCATATCAGATTTAATTAAGAGGTAATTGCTTTGAAATGCCTGAATCTCAATCCTTACTAATTAAAAAAGAAGATCTCTATTAATTTATTGGTCATGATACTCATTATAGAGTTCATACTAGTGTTTAACATAGAGATCATGAAAATATTGTTGGATTTTTAGGAAATTCTAATGGATTTAAAAATTATATTTAGTGTTATTCAGATAATTTTGCAAAAATGTTTAGAAAAAAAGCTTATGTACATCTTTATTCATCTGTTGGGATGGATGAAATGGAATTCACTGAAGCAGAGACTAATATTAATGATTTAATTTCTGAATATGAACCTTTTATTCATAGTTGTTGTCATAGCGATTATGATTATGGTGAAGAAGAAGAATTTTGATTTGATTATTCGTATTAATTCTATATTATATTATTATTTATTATTAATATTTGATACTATCATTTAACATCTTCATCATATTATATGAAATTATAATAAGATATATTTTAATTAACTAGTTATAAATTAATTTTCAAAAAGATCTCAAAATATTTAGCAGTATTTTATCTTTTTTATTTACACTTTCTCCAGAATAAATAGAAACAATACTTAATTTATAAATCTAATTTATTTTCTATTAGTTTTAATCTTCGCATATATATAAATGTTTATACATTAATATATAAATTGAATTATTCAGAAATTGAGAATATATGAAATATTTTCATTATGATAAATAAATTCAAATGTGTACTGAAAATAATTATGAAATACTTATTATATATAACATTAATATATTTATTTATTTATGTTAAGAATTTGTTATGAATAGAGTGTTGAATTTAGTAATATACAAAAAAATAAATATTTATTAATAATGTTGTAAGATTAAATATCTTTGGCTGAATTTGTGTTATAAGAGGCAAGAGAGAAATGCTTTGAAATTGAAGTCAAGGCATTTAAGCAATTTGAGAAGGAGAAAAAGCAAATAGTGGAAAAAGAGAAATCCAACATATAGGAAGAAATCAATAACAAATTTAAGAAGAAGGCTTAACAAGAGAGAATCAAACATAGTGCTCTTGTTAATGGTGCTAGAATGAAATTGATGAATGCCAGAAATCAAGCTTTGACAAAGATATTCTCTGATGTATGTTTGCTTATTAATAAAGTCATAATATCAAATTTATAAAATGATCAGATAAGATGAAAGGTTTTACGAGGAATTGTTAAAAAATTTGATGGTTCAAGGATTAATTAAATTATTTGAACATGAAGTTGTTGTAAGGTATATATATTCTATGATTCTGAAGATGTTTACATAGAGATATTAGACATGTAAGAAATGTAATAGATGATGCTATCTCTGAATTCTAAGATATTTTAAGAAAGGAATTGAATGGATTAGAATTTGAAGTCAAAATAGAAGTTGATGAAGAGAAATGTTTAGATGAAAGAACACTTATTGACAATTCAATTAAAAGTGTTTAGGATTACTCATTACAAGAATCAGCATCAGAAGTAATAAATCTAAATAATTATTAGGTCATATCGAAAACTGAAAATGATAAAAAATGTTTTGGTGGAATTTTGATGACAAACAAAGATGGTTTGATTGTTTGTAAGAATACCCTAGATGTTAGAACTGATTAGACATTCTAAGACTCATTACCTATTATTAGGAATATGTTGTTTGGAAAATGATGTCATTATTATATTCAAACATTTTATATGCATATTATTATCAATGTAGCAATCTCAATTTGAATCCAAATTTAATGAAGAAATTGAATTTAGAAATCTAAAGTATCATGATATTAATAATGAAAAGATTTAATAAGAGAAACAAAATTTTAATTTATTTAGAAACATAGAATAATTATCAACAATAGTGAAATTAAGAAATTACAAAAGAACTACGATTCGAATATACATAATAAGTAATTATGGGATGAATTTATAGAAACTACTAAATAGAGGATTGATGATTTAGTATAATTATATATATAATTAAAAGATAAGAAATTGATAATTTATAAATCTTAGAAATTTAATATAATGAAATAATTAGAAATATTAATATAGAATGAGTCTTATAAATATATTTACAAATTATAATCCATCATAGTTTAGATATAATAACTTATATTGAAATTTAGTAAATGAGAATAAATCAATAATTGGAGCAATTGATGAAAATTTTAAGTATTAAAATTAATTGAACCTGACCTTAATGAGACAATAATATCAAAAAATATTTAAAGGTAATAAGTACTTGATTAAATGAAATACTTTATTGAAAAAATTAATTATTTTAATTTTTTATAGTCAATTGATATAACTAGGTTTGTATCTGGTTGTTTCCTCTAATTATTACTTTTGATGTGGATTCATCTTTTATTTTTATGTGTTAATGAAGAAAGGATTGTTTTCATCATTTGCTTTTTTGGAATAACTAAATATGAATAGATTAAAATATTTACCTCATTCTTGTATTTGGTATATTATTAGTTAATGGCACTTTTACTAATTGTTCAATTGATGATGATGTTTTAATCCTAAGTTCTTCTTCTTTTAAAGATGACACAGAAAAAGCAACAATCAATAAAGTAACATTATCTTAACTCTTTCTTTATATGCTTTCTTTAAGTACTGATTCTACTGAAGTAGATAATACATTATGTAAATTATTTCCTACTTGACAATTTAAAATATCTTTCCATATAATATTCATAACATCAGAAGAACTTAATTTATCAAATATTCCATCACTTCCTAAAACAATAAAATCATGTTCATTAGTTATTTTAAATTACTTAATTTCAGGTTCAGCAATTACAACTTTTGGATTTCCACCAAATTTTTCAAATTTAGCTTCTATATCTCCAAATGTTCTAGATACTGATAATCTACCTGGATTAACTCTTACAGGTCCTAAAATTTATATACCTTCTTCATTAATTCCATGAGTTTAATAAACAGATCCTCCACCTTTAACAATTCTTTCTTATTCTAATTCAGGTTTATGATCGTGTGATAATGCTATTGCTTTCCTACCAGATGCAGTACTTAACACAGCTCTACTATCTCCAACATTTGCCACATAACAATTATCTCCTATAATTAATACTACAATAGCACATGATCCACTTCTTTCAGGTACTCCCTTATTATAAGATTCTTAGGCAATTTATAAAAATGATTTTTCTGCTGCTTCAAATCCTTTTTTAATAGCACCAACTGGATTCCATGGAAAATCTGGTTCTTTAACTACATATTAATGCAAATTATCTCTTAAGAAATCAGCACAAGCAGCTCCTCCATGTCCATCATAAACTCCAAAAAATGAACATTTAGGCCATTATTCTGTTGTTCTACTTTAAGGTTTGAGTATATTTAATATAATAGAGACTCTATCTTCATTATAATCTCTAACAATTCCTTAATTCGTGTTTACAGCATAAGCTTTGATAATTCCATTTCTTTAACTTGAACATTTAGTTGGTTCATAATTAGGCAATATACTTTGTTTTAAGAAGGAAGGTTCTTAAAGACTCTTATATTAAATTTCATTATGTTTTGAAGTGTATGTTTACTTTCTAATAGGTGAATGATCAAATTATTGATGATAGGAGAGATTCAAATATTCGAAGGGTTTCTTGGTTTATCTATCAAACTACTAGTAATTAGATAAAAATGTATTTAAATCCCTATGTCTGAACATTCTTTTATATTTAATATTTATTTAATTTGAATTTAAACATACAACGAATATTTTAATAATTGTTTATTTAACATATATATCCAATAACATTTGAGATTAATTAATACAATCTTCATTCTTATATTTTACCATTCGCTTTTGCTTTGAACTAACTCTTTAATTTTAATAATTCATGTAAAGGTAATCTTTTGGCTTATTCTATTTACTTCTTAACTGAATTGGTTTACTCTTATTCTTCAATCATAACTTATAATATAAATATATATATACTGCTTTATCTAACTCTTGTTAATTGAGTTTAAGTTTCTTTAATTCTACTTTCATTAACTTAAGATAATTTCAATTAAATTGATTATATTTTTGCCTTTTTTATTAATGTAAATAATTAATTGAATTTTTAGAATACTTTCTCAGATTCATAATTTTAATAGTTCTCACCATAATGATCACATAATTTTTCATATAGCTTTTATTATTCCAAATATTCATTTTCAATTACTTTATAATAATTCAATACTTCTTATTAAAATAATTAATAAGAGTCATTAATATTTTAATCATTAATAGTAAGCATCTTCTCTAAATGTTTTAGACCAATCTTAATTTAATTAATTTCATTATTAAATATTTAAATTAATGAGAATTTAGATACTTCTCCAATTAAATTCATTAATTAAGTATTCAACAATTAATCTTCATTTTCTTCAAATTTAAATACTGGTATATTTTCCTATTCAGCTATGCTTATAATATAAATTATCAATGATGTTTCTCTATCATTTCCTTTTATCAAATTGAATTTTTCAATTGATTCTAATTTAAATCCTTTTATTACTTATATATAATTAATGATATCAAATACTTCCTTTTGGAGTGTTAATATTTAAATAATTTCCAACTGCTAAACAACATAATAGGAATTTCTCTAAATATTTACATTATAATAATTATTAACATGTATTCTTAACCAATTAAATTTTACTATCAATTGATTTCTTAATCTCAATAAAACTCATTTTAAAACTTATGGAACATAATCTTTCTTCAAAAAATGGCATATCATATAATTCTACTAAGAATTTCTCAGGAATATTCAACTTTATTTATTGATTATCTCTCATAGATTTAACTTTTTCCATTTATTCTATTTCTTTTCCTTATGGCAAACATTTCATCAAAGCCTCTATCTTCTCTCCATCCAAAAACTTTAGATCAATATTACTTACAGCTTATATTACTAATTAACTTGTAAGTCTATATTTTGCTATTACTAATTCTACACTTCTCTATTTTTATATTAAATATATACCGATCTTTCTTAATTTAAAATTTAAATGTGTTAATTTAATGTTGGTTATTATATTTATACAGTAATTTATTATTATTAAGGAGCATTTACTTATTAATAAAATAATTCTTCTAATTATTCAAAATCTACTTTAATAGTTAAATCATCCATATCATTCCAAAAAGTTTATTCTATTTTTTACATCAAAACAGCTTCCCAATGTAATTATTTTAATTATCTTTTTGGTTTTTTACGTTATTATTCTTATTATTATTTAACTTTTTATGGTGGCAATGGTAGAGGTGGAGGAGGTGGTGGTCTTGTATCAATGATTGATAATCTCTTTATTTATTAAATTCTAATTTCTTTTTCTTCTGAAGTTGGTCCACTTAATTGTTTGGTGATTTCAGAGAGTAATTAATTATTGGCAGCTGTTAAATTTTTATTTATTAAAGATAATTTTTCAAGTTCTTAGTTCTTTTCTTGTATTAATTTTTCGAATTTTTTAACTTGATTTTACTGTTATATATATATATGTTATATTTACTAATGATTGATTCTCAAGATTTAAATTATTTATTAATTTTTGTTTGACTTTATCTATTGATTATTTTCGATCCATCAATTATTTTTAGACTTATAACATATGTTACTATTAGATTATTACACTTTATGCTTTTTTTAATTCTGCTTTTAATGCAATAAGTTCTCATGTAAATTATTAATAGAATACTTGATTATAATCCAACAGCAGTATCACAAGAATTATTACGAGATGACATAAAATTTAATATTTTATATATTTAATTTCATAACACACTATCTTTAAGATCAGTTGCTGAAACAAAAGTTTAGATTTCTGGGACAATTTATCTTCTTCTTTATGTTGATTTCTCTTATTTCTATAGTTATTCCTGTTTAAATTATTTAAATTCTTATGTTTTTTCTATTTAAGTTGTTACTTATTGTAAGAGTTACTCTTCTTCCAAATCTTCTTTAATTACCTATTTATTCAATAAATTATATAATTAAGAATTAGTCTTTCTTTTAGTTTGCATTTAAAATACTGAATTACTAAAGAATAATAATAATGAAAATATTACATAACAAAAAAGAGTATAAACATACCAACACAGATTGTGATAATATATAGATTAGAACCATCTGAGAAAATCTTTAAATGCATAACCTGACCTAAATTAAATCTTTTAGATGGATCAGGCATTTTCATATCTATAGGTTTGAATTTAATATCTTTAACTTCATGAATAGTTTAAAATGACTTTTTAAGATGATCATATTCTTGACCTTTTAAATCTTCTGCTTAATGATAGAATTCTTTATAATCTTTTTATTCATTAGATTCTGAAAAGTTTTCATCATAATCTTTATAATTTTTACGTACAGATTCATATTCATTTTCTTTTTTAATAGAACCTTCTGAATTCATTTAGACAGCCTCTCCTTTCATCACTTTAATCTTCTCAAAAGATTCTTTTATTAATATGAATTGTTTTTAGGCAGACTATATATATTAAATGATCTTAACACAGGTGTTTTATTAATGTCTGGATGATATTAAGCTGCCATTTTATAATAAGCTTTCTTGATTTCTGGAAATGAAGTAAATTTATCAACTCCTAATACTTAATAAGGATCTATGACAGATGAGAACTTGTACAGATTTCTGAATCTAGTTATAAACATAATTAAATTTTATATGAAAAATAGCACAACATAAAAAGGAGTTACGAATACATTCTAATAAATAGTAATGTCAGCAAAATAAAAAGAAGATAATGAACGTAGAAATATGAGTATTTTGGAAAAGGCAGCAACACTTTGGTAAAGAGATAGTTCACACACAAAAACAATATAATTATAAAGAACTATATATATTTTGAAATAATACTCTTAAAATAGAACAGATGAATAATTAGAAGCAGTTAAAACATATTTTGAAGAAAACTTTCCTTATTATAGGTATAACCATTATATATTAGATTAGTAAATTCAAAGAGAAATTAGATCATGAAAGTTGTAAATCTTTATTTAGAGAAATGACTTTAGAATGGTATGATAGTACAAAAATCATTTTCAGACATGGTGATCCTGGAAGAAGAATGTATTTTGTACTTCAAGGTGAATTAGTAATTTTAATCCCTAAAACTAAAAATACTTCAGAAAATCAACCCTAAAAGAAACAAAAATTCAAGTATTATTTATTTATTTATATATTTATTAGTTCTTTTGAAGAATGGGTTAAATATGTATTTTCTGATTATACATAAGTTGCAACTAAAATAGAAGGGGATCAATTTGGAGAAATAGCAATTGAATAGAAAGTTACTAGAACAGCTACTGTTGCTGCTAAAACAGAAGTCATTCTAGCTGTCATTACTTATGATCTTTATTAAAGAATACTTGGTGCATTTTAACATGAATTAACAAATTAAAAAATAGCCTTTATAACTAAAATACCTATTTTTAGTGTTTGGCAAAGATAAAATCAATTGGTTTTATTGTAAAGTCTTGAAGTATAAAATAAAAAAGTTGGATAATTTGTTTTTTAAAAAGGGAAACCTGATGAATATATATATTTAGTAATTAATGGAGAAATTGAAGTTATTTAATGGTCAACTCCTAATAAAGATTAAATATCCAATCATCATAATTTTGTTCCTAAACCTAGTATTATGGCTATTATAAATTCTGGATAATTTTTTGGAGATTATGAACATTTTAAATAACTTAATTATAGAATTACTACTGCAAAAGCTAAAACAGATTCTACTTATTATAGAATTAAATATAGATAATTATTAGACTATTTTTAAATTTATTCATCAATTGATGACTTCCTGAAATATGAAAATGTAAAATTTAAAATATAGAGTCATCTTGGATAAAGAACTAATTAAAATCTTAATTTGACTGAACCTACTGGAGATTAAACATATTAATTTAATCTAGATTAAATTAAATCATCATATTATTAGAAAATAAAAGTTGAATAATAAATTGATAAATTAAGAAAGAAAATGGAAAAAACTGTAGAATAAGCATAAAAGGCTATATATTATTATGAAATAGAAAATCTTAAATAGAGTATAGAAAATATTGAGACAATCTAAGCTGAGAAATATTCTTTTTTAGTTCCTTTTAGAAGTGATCCATATGTAAATGAAATGAATCTTATAAGATCAGAAACTAGAAATTAAAGAAATAGATTATAACTTTAATCAGAAAGTGATCTTAGAAGTAAAGACATATAATTTAGTCTAAGATCTAGCATTAAAACTTAAGAATAAACTAGATCATAAAGTTAATCTAATTTTAATTCTTTATCATATGCTAAGATCATATAAAACAAACTTAAAAAACTATCTATTAATGTCTAACCATCTATTGAAATTAATAAACCTTAATTTACTTCATCTAAAACTACCAAACCTGAAAATCATCCTACAAATGTTGAAAGTATTCATAATGTTAGAATGAATTTTACTCCTATATCTAATTCATAATTATTCAACAAAAAAAAACATTTAGGAAGTGTATATAAGTTCTAAATTAAATCATCATACTGATTATATATTAATAATATAATTTAAATTAAAAAATATATAAATGGATTAACTAGGAAATGTAGTTAGTTTTAATGGTCCTCTAAAAAATGAAGTCTAGAAATTTGTTTAATCTACCTTATAAAGAGAATTAGATAAATTAACATATGATCATAATGATGCTTAAGTTAAAAGTAATAAAATATGTGATTCCATTTTGAAACAATTAACAACTCATAACAAAAATTTCAAATTCATTGTTAACTGTCTCCTAATGTAGAAGGCTGAATGTGGTCTCAACATATCTGGATCTTGTTATTGGGATAACGATACAGATGGATCACTCACCATCAAACATGAAACTGAAGCAATCATAGGAATAGTTAATGTATTTGCCTGTGCCCTATGATAAACATATATAATATATATATATATAATATTATAAATGGGCAATAATTCCTCATAAATTGGTAATGGCTATGGATACAGAATCATATCAATAGAACCCAATTCATTTGGATCAAATCTTAGTATTATTGTAAGATAACATTAGATTTGGAAATCTTTCTAGATTATATCATCCACATTAAATCTAATTCCTAGGTCAATTCTATCAAATTACTTGAAAGTGATGAACCTATAGAGTTGTCTATTTTTAATATATTTTCATTGGAGACTAGAAAAATCTATATTTCTGAACCACGATCCACAATTAAATTGGGTCTTTTCATTAGATATGAATCAATAAATCCATTGATTTTACATATCACTAAAGTATTAAATGGTAGTCCTGCAGAAGCAAGTGGACTTAAAAGCAATTAAGATTATCTATTAGGTGTTAAATCTCATAGATATTAATCTATTGATGAATTCTCAGATATTGTAACAGGATAAGCATATACAAAATAATCAATTGAAGTAATTCATTGTATTTTTAAATTAAGCTATGCATATTTTCACCATTAACTAAAAAATCACCTAGAATTGTTATTTTAAATCCAAAATATAATTGGGGTGGACCAGGAGCTTTAGGATGTGAATTTGCATCAGGTGCTTTACATTCTTTTAACTTTTCTTAATTGATTAAATAATAAGAAGGTAATGAATTTAATTAAGTGTTAAACAATGAAGAAGAATAACTTAATGAAGAATCAAATTAATATTAATAAATTGAAAATCAAGAATAAAATGATATAATATAAAACAATTAATAAAATTAATAATCAGAACTAAATAAATCAATTCAAATAGATAAAACAAATGATACTTAAGAACATTCCATAAATTAATCTTAAAATATAATAAATTAATAAAGTATTATTATTCCATATATTATTTATAGTTAATGAATCTAAATAAAATAGCAATACAGAAGTATAATATTAAAATTAAGAAATTTCTGATTTCAAATAGTAATAACAAAACACAATTTTGACAGATTTGGATAATTAATAAAAATAAAATTAAGATTATGAATAAATTTAATCAAATATTCTATAATCTGAAACATTATCTAATTTAAGATAGTAAGATGATGATGTAGAGATAAAAGACGAATTAAGAATTTAGAATGAATAATAATAATAATAATAATAATAATAATAATAATAATAATAATAATAATAATAATAATAATAATAATAATTAGAAAAAGAAGAAGTCATCAAATAAATAAATCATTAGAAAGATTCCTTAGAATAATAATATGCCTTATGTAATTTAGAGTAAAGCAAAAATGAAATATAAGGTAAATTTGAATATTATGTAGATGCTTAATCTTAGTCAGATGTCTATTTATAAGATAATGATTAGAAACATATGATTATGGAATCTGGAAACTAGATAGTATTTAAATCACCAAATAGAGATGAAATGTATGTAGTTGATAAATAACTATTGTTTGACATCTAATTTGAAGTACCAAAATATTATGTAAATATATATTGATGTAAATATAAAATTCTATATGTAAATTGTTATAATTATATTGATGATAAAGAAACTGACTTCTGATTAAATATAAGTTTCACTTAAAGTTGATAAGAATAACTATAGAGTTGGTGATTTAATCAAAGGAGTAATCTATTTGAAAGTTTAATCTTCAGATCTTGTTTGCAACATGATATTTCTAAAAGTAGACTTGATTTTTCATTTAGTTAATTGGAGTATAGAAAGTAAATTAAGTTGATAAATATAATTAATGGATAAGATTCAAGAACATTTTTTATTAAAAACATAAATGGATACATAATTTTGGATCGTATTTAATTATTTTGATCTTTAAGTCATTTCAAATAAGGAAATTACAAAAGATAATTTGAATTAGAAACTCCTTAAGAAATACCTAGTTTTTGTATAAATTATTACAAAACAGTATAATGTAGAATGATATATATTTTATCAATTTACTTTACAGATGAGAATTAATAAACAATTTACAAAATAGTACCTTCACATAAAATAAATATTTATGTTCATCATATTCCATAAGTTTCATTAATGCAACCAATTTGTTATGTTGGAGAATAAAGAGAATTAAAAAAACTATGTTTTCTTAATGGAGGAGTACAATAATTCATATTTAATAGAGTGCTACAATATCTCTATAAATTAATAAATAAGGATTCTTCATAGGTGAAATTATTGATATTGAAATTGAAATAGATAATACTAAAACTGATTTAAATTTATTCAATTTAAGCTTATCTATCCAATCTTAATTGATAATTTTATATCCTCTATTAAAATTGAAGATATCAAATTATTTTAACTTAACAAAATAACTATATAATAGTACAATTTTTATAATATAGTAGTTTATGTAAAAGGTAGATAAAAAAGATAATTAGAATTTAAATTGAAATTAGAATAGGATAAGAATGATCCATAATCTATATTTCCACAATCTACACTTTTTACTGATAGAATTATTTATCATTATAATTTCTGTTTGATTGCTAATTATTCATAGAAATTCAAAAATTCTAACTAATTAATTATTGTCATCCCAATAAATATATTTTAAAGAGAACTCAGACAATAATAAGATTAATAATAATAAAATGATTTGAATTTCATATAAAAAATGTATTCTGATCATAATATTAATGGTTATGGTCCACTTGATGGATGTCCTTCATAATTTAAGAATTAAGAATAGAGTTTATAGGATGAATATATAGAAATATAAAATAATAGATTAAATCTTATAGTGAATAATGATGAATTTGAAAATTAATATGAAACATCTTTTGTTGCTTAAGAGATATAATAAAATATAGTTGATGAACAAGACAATGTCTCAAATATAGATGGTAACATTTTAAAATAGGTATTTTGTGGTTATAATGAAAATTTGGATATTATATAAGAAGAAAATGATGATAGATAGAATCATTCTGTTAAATAATCAATTGATAAAGCAAGTTAATTAAAGACAGATTAGATAATTAATTATAATAATACTATTTTTTAATGATATATTTATATATAATTTATTTATAATATTATTCGTTATTATTTGTTTTAATTTTATTCTAATATAGGAAATAATATTTATTTATGTAAATAACACCTAAAGCATTAACAGCTTTATAGAAACTATTATCTGTTAATTCACCAATTTATCCTAATGAAATCCGTAATTAGGAACACTCAAACTCATAAAGCAATTAGAAATCTTAGTAGTGTTAGAGTAGTTGTCAATAAAATGGTATCAAAAATAGTCTAAAATAAAAATTTATGAGTCCTTAAGAAGGAATAGAATCACTTTTAAGACATAGTATAGGTAAACCCTCATTAAATGGCAAACCATAAGGAAATGTGAAAAATGAGTTAATTAATGTTTTAAAATAAAATCAAAATGTAAAAGAAAATACAATAAAAAGAAATGGAAATTCTTTAAATTAACTACTTTAACCTTAAATAAATTCACCTTAAAAAGAATAAAGTGCAAAAAATGATTATAAAAAAAAAAGACCTCCGCAATTATGTGATATTGTTTAAGATGATGATAATACTGTTTAATAAAAACAAATAATGACATCGAAAAGTCTTTAAAAAAGTCCAAACAATATCAATAAAATTGGATCAGGTATATAATTAAATTTATCCTTCAGGCTTTTTTACTAGTACTCATTAAAAATAGACTCATATGAATGTATTTGGATCATTAAATGAAGTCCTAAGATAATATATACAATAAAAAAGTCATAAAAGATGTATGAGATTAATTTATATTAGAGAATGGTACTGATAAAAATCAAGAAGAAAAAAAAGTAAATGAAAATAAATTTCATTCAGCTTAAAATAAAAGGATATCATTATCACTATAAACAAATCATAGTAATCTTCTCTAAGAATTATATTTAAAAACCTCTAAGATATTAACTTAATATCAAACAAAAGAAACTCTTTGGAAATAATAAAAAAATAGTTTAAAAGAGGAAGTTAAATTTTTAAAATAGTTATTATAATAATAACAAGAAGAATCTAATTAAAAATAACAAAAATGAATCAAAATTTGTCTATAAATTATAATACTCAAACTACTTATTAGTTTTAGTATCTATATTCAATTGTATATAATTATCATTTATCCTATTTCTATTATTCATATCAAAAATGAATAATTACTTATTTTAAAGTTTTATCTATTATTTTTGCACATTTTGAATTTCAAAAATAGATTTTACAATTGAATTAAACAAATTAAATTTTATATATTTGTGATTTTAAACAACAGGTTTATGTAAGATAATGAAATAGACATCCTCATATAAGTTCCAGAATTTAAGAAAAATGAGGATTAAGTCTAATATAGAGTTCAGTAAAATATAAAACATAATAATAAGCTTTTTAAACTAAAAATCAAATACAGAATTCGAAAATAATTACAGATATTCAGAACTTAAAAGATTTCATTAAACACTTGAAACATTAAAAACAGAATTACCTACTTTCCCAAAATCATATTGGTGGAAATCTGTCAATTCTAATTTTTAACTTATAGAACAAAGAAGATAATTACTTGATTCTTATTTCCAAAATTTGATCTAAATTAAATTAGTTCGAGAATCTTTGATTTATAAAAACTTTGTATTAGTTGCTTTAAAAGAAAATAATAAAAAAGTATAAAAAGTAAATACAAATAATAAATAATAAGGAGAACAAAGAGAAAAGATAGAGATCTGAGAATTAAATAAGAAAAAATACAAAATAATTAGGTTAATTCATTACTCCAATTCCAAATCCTGTTAATTTACCACCTACTCCTGAAGATAAAAGATCTTAATCTATGGAACATATACCAAAAACTTGTTAATAAAGAAATGAAAGGAAAAAGAGTAGTAAATAATAATAATCACCTGTATAATAATAATAATATTATTTAGATACTTAATTATGGTGGATCAAAAATATTTAGAGGTGTATTATCAAATGCTGCTAAATAATGAGTTAATAAAATATATGTTAAATATTAATTATGCAAAAATATTCATAAATAGCAGCACTATTACAATAATGTCTTGATAGAAAAAGTACTTTGAAATCTATAATATTGAAGAGTTCTTCCAATTAGTCATTTGTCAGATAGGCTTATGCAATCATAAGTAAGGCTATTCAACATTACGAATAATTATATTAAATTGTGGAGGAAATTAAGTCCATTCAATATATCGACATATTTGATTACAATTTATTAATAGTTTTGATGCTTGATATTTTTAATCCATAAAATAAGAAAGCTAAAAAAATGGGAGGAGTAGTTGCAAGATATCTTAAAACTCACAAAGTATTAATAAAATAATTACTTGAATAAAATAAGATTTATGAATAAGAGAAAAAATATATCTATATTAGAGCATTATAACAATTACCATTTGAATCTGAAAATGATGAACATATACCAAATTTATGTAAAGTGGATTATGATATCTATTCATAATATTTATCTAAAAACCCTGAATTTTTAAAAGGAAATACATATATAGTTTAAAGTAAATCTAGTGCATTACCAGCATATTTATTATTAAGGAATATAAAAAATAAAATAGCTGATATAATTGATTGTTGTGCAGCTCCAGGAAATAAAACAATATAATTATCACATTATGCTAAATAAAATAATATTACTGGTAAAATATATGCAATTGAAAGAGATGAAAAGAGATTTGAAATACTAAAAAATAGATTAAACAAATATAATTGTGAAAATGTTTAACCATTAAATTTTGATTTCTTAACTATTAAACCTAGAGATTATCCAAACATTAAAATAGCACTCTTAGATCCATCTTGTTCAGGTAGTGGCATGCTTTAATTAAGAATGATAGAAGCTTCTAAGGATGATTCTATAGAAGTTCCAGATGATAAAAAAGAATAGGTTACATAATTATCATAATTTCAATCAAAAATGTTACATCATTTAACATTTTTTAAATAATTAAAATTGATTATCTATTCAACATGTTCTATTTATAAAGAAGAAAATGAAGATGTAGCTAATAACTTTTTATAACTTCATTAATAATGGGAATCTGTGAATTTATTTCCAGAATGGCCATATCGTGGAATTGATAATAATTAACATTTCATACGTGTTCCTCCTAAAGAAAGTGATGGATTTTTTGTAGCAATGTTTAAAAGAAAATAATGATAGATATTTATTTATTTATTCATATTCATTTTAATTCTTTTTTTTTATAATATTTTGATTGATCTATTTTTATGTTAAACATTATCTATTTAAATTTATATCAAAAAAATTATATATCTTTAATATATTTTAAATAATAATAATTTTTTTCTTTATTCTTTAAATAATTAAATAATTAAATGGATTAAGAAATCCCTTAAAATAATTTATAAAATTATTGGAACTTTTAATTATATAAAGCAGAAGAGGATATTCTGATAGCTAATTAAGACCATTACTTTTTTGATATGAACTTCATGATTTTACCAGATATTTTAGATAAAATTACAATTGAATTGAATATAAATCCTGAAGTGATATCATCATAATAGTATCAACAGGAAAGATAAAAATTATTATTTACAATGCTTAAATATGATATTGGATTGGATATTTTAATAAAATTGGTTTATAGGCGAGATTAATCACCATTAAATAATTATTATTATTTGAAGACACTTGATGATTTGTCTTATATAATTTATGATATGTAAAATGAATTATTTGATTTGATGATTGATAAGAATTTGTGTTAATCATAAATATCAAATCGTATTGTAAAACTCTTTAACTCAGTATTAAGTATGAAATACATTTGAAAATAGATCGAAAAAAGAAGGAAATTCAAAAATTGCCTACTTCCAACATTGCATAAAGAGATATTGAGAATTTATAATAGAAATTCAACAAAATAATTGACATAAATTTTGTGATAAGAAATTATGAATTTTATTTGCAAAATTGGAGAATCATTTATAATTTATTAAGTGCACCTAGATATAAATTATTGAAAAAAGTGATTCTTTGTTAGACAGAAATACAATAGATATTATAAGAAGAGTCAGAAACATAATTATTAAAAATGATGTCAAAGTTGACTATTTATTAATAAGAATTAATAATAACATACATTCAATCTACATAAGAAATATAAGAAATAGAAATTGTAAGAGGGAAATATGTTTAACTTTATTAGGCTATATATCTAATTGATACAGATCCAAAATAATAATTTTCTAATATTGTTAAACTAATGATGTTATACTATTTTGAGATTGAAAATTGGAAATTAATAGTTATTTAAGAATTGATGGATTTACATTAAGAATAAGATGCTTATGAGATATTATTAGCAAGTAAGATTGATTGGAATTGTTTAAGTAATAGTGATATTATTATTAATTTATTAATTACATCTAAAAGATCTTTATAAGCATATATTTATGTTACAGAATTGAAAACAGAATAAGCTTTAAAATATTACATAAAATAGATGATAAATTAGAAAGATATTTTAAATTTATTAAAGATTGAGTTTACACCAGAATAGGATAATATAGTCAATGAAATCATTAAGAATTTAGCAGATAAAGAAGTTCTAATAGAATTTGTGAATAAGTTATTAAGAACAAGGAAATACTATTAAGCAATAGAATTTTATAAGAAATTAAGTTAGGGACCATTAAAACTTGGTTTGGAAAGAATTGAAGAAGTAAATATTATTATTTAATAATTTAATAGCTAATTAAAAAAAGAATAGCTTAACTTCCTTAAGTAGAGGAGAATTACTATTTAGCAAAGATAAATGGGAAATAATTAACAGATGATGAATTATTAATTGAAACCATTATTGATAACTAAGAGAGACCAAATGAATAAAATAATTAAGGATTAAGAACTATAAAATATTTTGTTGAATAATCTATAATGGATTATGAGAAAGAGATTAATTGTTGTGGATGGATTAGAGAAAATCAATTAGGTTTAATATTTTGAATTTATAATTTTATGTGATTAATATATTATAATACATTATATATATATTAGATTATGATTTATTTGTAATAATATTCTCATTTGTTAATGATCTTATCATATGATTATTTATCTAATAATGTATCTAATTCAGCCTCATTTTATACTTTTGCTTACAAAATCCATGTTTCTTCTGCCTTCTCATTAATCAAATTTGGAGAATCCTTTAAATCTTCATTAATCTAGTTTTTAATAAGTAAATTACTCCAACGATTTCACCAGCAACAGGAGCATAGATATCAGCAGCAACTTTTACACTTTCAATTGCTCCCAATGATTGGTGTGTTTTAAATACCATTCCTACTTTTTGGAAATCAACATGAACTATATCTCCTAATTCCTTTTATGCATAATCTGTTATTCCAATTTTAGCAATCTTTGTTTGTGTGTCATATTTAATCCATTCATGATCTTTTGTGTATTTAGTTAAGACTTAGACACTCACATTAAATATATACCTGAAAAGGCTTATCTCAATTTCAAAATTGATCTCATGTACATTTTGAATAAAATATATTTATGTTAAATATACAAACATAAAAATCATAAGAACTTCCAATATCTCATTATATTTATTCTAGGTCTCATGAACCTTAATCATAACTAGATGTTAAATTTGTTTATTCTATCTTGAACCTTAAAGCTTATATAATTAATTACTTTCTGTCTTAATAAATTACTCATATAGAACACTAACTTTTTTAATATATATGATTATTAAAATTTATGATTGGCTCTTATTTAATCATTTCTTGTAGTTAACTAAACTTCTCTTATTAATAAGAATAATATATATTTATCAATTGATTATTCTTTAACTTTGAATTGAAATTTCATAAATTAGAACTGAAATTCAGTTTTATTAAGTCCAATATTCTTGCAATATAATTAATTAACATTACTATTTTTAATATAGATTCTATATTTTTGAAGCACACTTTGATCCAAATTTAATTGTAAATATTTTGACAATAATTTTAATAATTTACTGTTTAATAGAGAATTTAATACTTCTGATTTATCATTTATGTAGGAAATTGAATGAATTGAAATTACACAAACTTATAATTAGATAAAATTATAAGAAAAATTCATTAAATATTATTTTAATTAGTCTAAAGAGTTAAATTTATTCTATTTTATCTATTTTAATAACTATAATATTTATGTTTTTTTATATTGTTTAAGTTTTGATATCAACTGAAATAATATATTTTATTATATCTAATTTTAATAGTTCTTGTAGATTCATATTTAATTATATCACAAAAATGATTATGTTTAATTTATTTATATTTTTTTTTAATTATAATAATTAAAAAATCCCTCCTTTTAATTATATTCCCATAATATAAAAGATTTTATATATAAATTAATCCGAGTAGAATAAAAAGATTAATATATTTACCAAACTCAAATATTCAATCAATGAGCAAAATAACTCTCTCTATTAAGTATGCTGAAACATAATTTAAAATTGCCTTTTTAGTTAATGAAAAGACAGTTATTGGAGAACTAAAATAATTTTCTGTTGACCGTCTGAGCAAACTTTAAAAAGTAAAAGTGCCTTTTTTATTTCAATTAGCTAGTAAAAATTGGTTTTGAGAATATACCTTTGAACTTTGAGGCTACAAATTACTTATTGAAAGATAATCTAAATAATATTTTAGATGATGATGATCTTGTATTAGATTTGATTAAAGATAATGAGATAATTCAATTAATATTCATACCCTCTTTAGCTAATAGTATTAAATAACCTTAACCATAAGCAAATCCATAACCAACATCATTTTAACAATAAACAATCCCAATTTTAAATTAAGTCCCAGCATCTAATATTTAGAATTAAAGTACTCAATAAAATTAATCTAATATTGTATAATAATAACCATAAAATAAAACTAATATAGTATAATAACCTATTCCTTAAAATAATTCTATCGATAAATTATTAGATAAAAATTAAATACAAGAATTACAAGATAAATTTTATTTAGATACTCAAAGTATAGAAAACATATAATAGGAAGGGGAAGGTGATTTCGAATTCTATTTAAGATTCCTTTAAGCTAAAGATATATCAAAAACCTATAAATTTAAATGTAAATTGGATAACTCATTGATGTAAGTATCTGAAATAGTGTGCAACAGTTTATAATTATAAAAAGATCATGTAGCTTGTTTTTATAGTTTAAGTGGATTACCAATATGTGCATCTTTAAATTAAATGCACAATGTAATAGTTTAGGAATCATTAAATAGTTTATAGAATAAAGAAATGTTTGTAATAATTACAAAATGTAAAGTAGGATAAGCTTCATTACCTAAAATAGATTCAGAAGAAGGATAATAATAAATATTTATATAATATTCTGGATCTAAATCAATTAAAGTTGATTTAAAGACAACAACAGTTTTAGAATTAAAATAAAAAATATATCATAAATTAAATATACCAACTCCATTTTAATAATTAAATTATGTTGGTAAAATACTAGATAATACAAAACTATTATAAGATTATGGAATATAAAATTTAGGCAATATTATTTTAACATTTAGAGTCTTAGATTCATATCCATTTTCTTATAGTTATAATGGTAATTTTCATCTTCCTTGGATGAATCATATAAGAGAATAAACATAAATAGGATTATAGTAATTTAGATCTGTTTCACTTGTGTTCTTTTCTAAAAAAGATGATGCACAAATAATGGCATTGATAAGGTAGATTTCAATGAACAATGCTCCACTTGTATTAGCATGTAAATTATTAACTCAAAATTTAAGATGTTCTTAATTGCAATGTATAGCATTTGAAGTAGGTATGTAACGTTTATTTTTTGATCTAATAATTTAAAGTAATAATGTACCTGAGACATTCTAAATTAATAATATATTTGAATATTCAAGATATTTTTATCTACAATTACTTAAATTTTCATTAGAATTGAATCAAGATTAGGTTAAATAATAAGAAAAATATAGATTCATTGAACTTATATGTCACATTACATTCAAAAAAATTAATAATCCTGCATATTTATCAGAATAAACTGATGATGATAAAATTGATTTATAAACTTGTTAATTAGTTGATTATGATGAAATATAAATTAAAATTTAGAATAATGAAGTTAATTAAAAGAAAATCCCTTATGGATAAATGAAATTATTATAACCAAATTAATTGTTAGAAGATTTTAAATTAATTAAATTATAAGATAGAGAAACTATGATTTGGTTACCAATACCTTTAAATAATATGAATTAATTAACAATTGATATACAAAAAACTTGGTATTAGAATTAGGTTATAACTACTGATACATCTTTAAAATTATATAGTGGAATTGAATTAAAAAATTCATAGTCATCTCCATTATTAACAACTGGATAAAATAAAGAATTTTTAATATATTAAGGCAATAATAAAGATGTAAAGAATCCAATTCTAATATATAATGTAATTACTGGTGATACAAAACCAATGAATCCTGATAGTTTGGCTCTTCTTTAATAAATTGGTTCAGTAGTTTTAGGTAAAACAGATGATGATACTGATTAAAGTAAAGAAAGAGTATTTGAACCAAAAATTAGTAATCCTCCTAATGAAGCAATAGTAGTTCTACTTGATATATCAGGTTCTATGGATGAATTATTTTATGATAGTGAAGATTTAACTAGAATGGGAGTTGTTAAAGCATTTTTTAATACATTTGCTGATAGAACTATGGCCTATGATTTAAAACATGTTATTTCTTTAGTATATTTTGATAATAGAATAATTGAGAAATGTTCATTTACAGAACTCTTTATATTATTTAAAGATTTAGTAAATAAAGCTTAACCTAATGGTAAAACTAATCTATACAGAGCTTTGAAATATGCTGAAAAATCATTATTAACATTTAAAAAATAATATCCAAAGTGTTTGTTAAGAATTATTGCTTTAACAGATGGATAAGATAATGATGCATATCCTTTAGATCCAATAAAAGTTGCAGAATCAATTTTATAAAATTAAATTATATTAGATTCTTTTGTTGTATCAAATGATTGTTCAGATTTAAAGAAAATAACTAAGGCAACTGGAGGATAATGTTTCTCTCCTTAAACTATATAAGAAGGATTAAAATTATTTGAATATGAAACAATTTTATAAGCTTCAATTAGATAAAAGTAAAATAACATAACTCTTAAATAATTAAGAGATACTTTTAAATTAAAGAATTCATAAATTCAATTTGATAAAGTACCTATTGGTATTAATTTACCAAATGAAATCAATCAATAATCAATACATCCTTAATAACTTGTTTAAGAAATTATATAAGATTAAACTAAATTATTCAAATATGCTTCCAATAATTCATTAAAAAGAGTAATCAAAGAAATTATGAATTATGAATAACATCCTCATCCCCATATCAAAATATTCCCATGTTAAGGTAATGTTTCATTTTGGAAAATTATTTTATTGGGTCCAGAATAAACACCTTATGAAGGAGGAGTCTTTATATTATATTTACAATTTGATGAAAATTATCCAAATAAGCCACCTAATCTTAGATTTCTTACTCCAATCTATCATTGCAATATAAATTCCCAAGGAAGAATTTGTCATAGCATTCTAGATAGAAATTACACTCTAGATACAACTATACTTTAGATATTTTCATCTATTTTTGGTATTTCTTTATATTTATTATTAAATAGGTTTATTAATGACTCCAGAACCTGATGATCCATTAGACACTACTATTGCTTCTGAATATTTGGAAAATTTGGCATTATATTAAAATAAAGCCAAAGCTTACACTTAAGAACATGCAAAAAAACCATTAGATGAAGTAATAACATAAATTATTGGTGTAAGAGATGGTTAAAATTTAAGTGATACAGAAATGTAAATCAAAATAATAGAAATCAATAAATGGATTAATGAACATAATATGGATATTGAATAATAAAATAATGTTCAAAAATAATGATTATGAAAAATTATTAAATTTATTATTAATATATCAAAAAAACTAAGAAAATTATTAAAACAATGTGTCATTTGATAATCCATTCTTTACATCATCAACAGTTATTTTCAAATGTATCATTACCTCATTAATATTTCTAAGATTATCCTTTTATAAGGAATCCTAAAATTATACTAATAATTTACATTCACTTTCTATTACCAAGTTGTTTTTGTTAATAAAACATTCTATTCTTTTATTTCAACTAAATTTAATTCACTTAATTTCAATAATATTTATTTCATCTCTTAATAACCTATAGGATCATCTTTATTTTATATTAAATATTGATTATATCTTGAAAGAACTTGCTGAAGATATGCTACATTATATCCTTTAATATGAATTTCTAATGCAATAGTAATTATTAACAATTTCAAAGATTTACTAAATGAATGTAAACATGTATGATAAGCTTTATTATAAATTCTATCATAAGCTATTTTCACATGATTAACTTCAATTTATTTAAATTATCCACTTCTTAAAAGTTCCTCTTTTCCAATCTCTATTGCCTTTCTACAAACACATAAAGTTTTTCTAATATCAGTTGATATTGTGGCTATCTTTTTACCTAAATAATTCAGAGTATTTGAAGCAAATAATTCTTTAATTTTCTTTTCTTTCATTCTTTATTGTAATATTGTTTCTATTTAAGCACTAGTATATGGTCTAAATACAACTCTATGATTTCCAAGTCTTGATTATAATTTAGGTTTGAGTCTTTCAGGAAAATCCATTGTATTAGCAATCATAATAATTGTCAATTTAGCATGTTTTTATTATGGCCAATCAACTAAATTATATAACACTTATTAATCAGGAGTAAATAGATTATCACATTCATCTAATAAAATAACTCTATTCTTTTTTATTACTGATTTTTCATAAGCCTTATATGTAGTAGGTAAACAACCTTTAGTAAAAAGTTCAGCTAAAATAATAATGAAGTTTAAATACTTAATAAAATGCAAGCTTAGACTTTTGATGCATCTTTAATATTTGTAAGTTTTTCCAATAAAAATGAATAAATATTATCAGGCAATCCAAAATTCATAGCATTTGCATAGATAAATTAAAAATTATCCTTTTTACTAGATAATTTCTTTTATGCTTCCATTACAGTTGCAGTCTTACCAATACCTGGTACTCCAGATATGTCTAAAATTTAAATTAATCAATTTTACATAACGCCTATGATTAACCGTTATTCTTGATTCCATCTTCAATAAATTTAGTAATTAATTCTTTTTCTTAATCTCTACATAGAATTTCTTCTGGAACTGTTGCTTCTTATAAAGAATTATAGCATTCATTCATAGAATCTAATTTAGTTTTCATAGCTTTTGTTAATTTAATAGTTGGTTAAATTTGAGTAGTATCAATTTGTAAATCAAGATCAATCTTCTTAGTATTCTTGGTAAATGAATTCCTTTCAGTTGTCAAAGATTTTTCATTATGATTTGATTATTGTTTTGGAACTCCTAATAAGAAATGTTTAGTATGATTGATATCCTTGTTAAGTTCTTCATACCAATCATCTTCCATATCCATAGTATCATCTCGAGTTTTAACATTAGCTATTAATTTTTTTGGTTTTATGGATAATATTTTAGGTTTATTTAATTATCTCGAAAAACTAGTAGAAGTCTCTGATGGATTCAAAGTAAATAACTGTGAATTATTATTGGTAGATTCTTACTCAATCACAATTTTTTAAGTTACCTTATTAATAACAGGAATCTCTTGAGGCGCGAAATTATCCCTCCTTTTAATTATAATTGTACTGTCTAATTTCATTCATATCTATGCAACTCTTATTTCTATTCTCTCTTCTTTGGTATACTTCTTTTCTATAATGCTCTTCTTCATCTTGTGGAATAACAAAATAGAAGTCTGGTTTATTGTTCTTAGGTTTAGTCTATGACACACTAGGAACTATTGGGGCAGGTTGAACTTTCTCTATTTTAGCTGGTTATTTTTTGGCTAATGGAATAACTATAACATTTTACTTGTTTAAGCTTATTTCTTTTATGTTTATTTCTTTGGTGCCATAATTGTTAATAATAAATTTAATTATATAATATTTGGCACAAAAAGAATAGTATAAATATATTAGAATTTTAATATATTATCATTTCTATTCTTTAAAACAAACTTAATTTATTATTTATATGTTCTTTTTAGATATTATACTATAGTATATATTAATATCCTAAAAATTAAAATTGAATTGTATATTGTTAAATATTAAAAGAAATAATATAATTAGAATTATTTATTTAAAAACATAAGAATTGATAATATTTATAATATTATCATTTATATTCTATTTTAAATTTAATATCCATTTTATATTTATTACAAATAATCATGATTTAAGTTAGAATCTAGTAAGATATCATTATTATTTATAATTTTTATTATTTGCTTTATATCATACATTTTTTTAATAAAATATATATTATTTCCTTTATTTTTTAAATATAATGTGGTGAACATATAGTTTGATTTCTTAATATTATTAAATTTATGAAATCAATATAGATTCATTTTTAGGATCGAATATTTTATACAATAATTCAAACTTATGATTCTACATTATTGTCTATTCTATTCAATGAGTTCTAGAGTTAATAATTTACAATAATATTTTCAATTTTATATATATAGATAAATTTTCAATCTTAGATATTGAAATCTTGTGTGACTTCCACTTGTGATCTACGCTTGTAAAATAACACATATGCACTCTTCGTTATAATTTAATCTTCATCTACCTCAGTAACTTGAGCGTCATCAAAGCTGTACCATTTTCCATTCAACTAACACTAAACAGTTAAAGTACATGGTTCTATCCAAAAGCAGTATAATGTCCTCCTCCCATGCCTCCAAAATGATTTGATACTGCAAATAAATCATATATTAATTTCTTATCGTCCTCTCTTTATTCTGGAAATTCTTCTTCTATTTTTTCCTTTGATTGTTATTCTTTCTCATAATCCAATGGTCTATTCTTATTCAAAATGAATTCTGTTAGATCTAAACCTCTTACAGGAAAATCAACAAAAGTCTCAAGTTTCTATTTAAAATATCCACTTGATGCTTTAAATCTCTTTAATGTGAATATTAAAATATCAGATGCCTAATTGTAATATTAATATAAATACCTTATAAATTTACATACTCTTAAAAGCTTATACATGTTCTTTGCAAACTTTGCAATACCATGCATTATCTTCAGCCAATTATTCTGGTTATTCTGATTATTTTAAACATTCCTATAATGTTACTTTTTAAATTGAATTATTATTAGAAAAATTAGTAACTTTTCCCATATTTCTTGTCTTATTTAAATTATTATTTTCATCATTATTCATAGTATTTCTTTCTTCTAAATAATTATTATATTAATCATTACCTTCCATTTATTTTTTATATTATTAATTCTAATAATATTAGTAGATGTCAGTAGGTTTAACATTTTAAAAAGGACTTTAATTCCAAAATACAATTAACTCTATCTTAGTATGTTAATCATTCTCTTATGCTTTTGTTTTTATTTTTTGATATGTATCATCTAAATAATCTGCATTACAATCAGGACAATTCTTCTAATTACAATAACTGCAGGATGACCAATAAGTACTTTGAGATCTGAATTGTACATTATAATACTAAATTCTATATAATTATTAATACTTTTTAGTATATATTCTCTTCATAATATTATTGCAATTTTTCTGGAGTTTACAAATCATTTATTGAAACAACATCACAAAATATAGGAAGTAAAGCTTTAAAAATAGCAAGATGTATTTATTTAAGAGTATACTCTTTTTAAATGATTACATAGAATTATTAAAGAATAGTTCTTTTATATTATTAACCAAATCCATCTAAGGCTTTCTAGGAATAACTCAAATAGATTCTATCATCTAAAGGTATTGCTTTCTCCTCTTCACTTATAGGTTTAACAATTAGATATCCTCTTTTTGAATTCTTTCTTACTGAATTAATTTCAGATTTTGAATCAATTAGATCTTGAATTTCATTGGAATAAGATGTATAAAATATTAATTCTGCATTTTAATCAATTTTGAATTCAGGAATAATATATTCCTTAGTAAATTCATGTAATGGCATAGTTTTTTTAGATCCTTCAAAATTTATATATTTAGTTTCAATTGAAACTATTGATTTGATAACCTTGATTTAAATGGACTTTTATTTTTTACTTGGTATACTAAGTCCACAAGTTAGAAATGGATCAAAAGTAATAGATATTTAAGAACAAGTAGGACATTTAAGAGTTGATTTATATTATCCATGCATTAAATCTACAATAATTGATTGATTTCTAACAAGATGATTCTCCCAACTTTCTTTTGCTACTTCAAAATCTGGTTTTCCTTAATTATCTTTTGATTCAACATAAGGTTTCTTTTTTACTCTATTAAGATCTTCATGTAATCCATCTAATAGAAATGTAATTAATTCAGAAGAATCATGTTATTAAAATCCTTTAAACATTGGTTAAAATTATCCAACTGCTTTTTTGAAACTTGTTGGTATTACAACATTTTTATCACCACACCATAATTTCTTAATAAGTGATGCATATTTTCTGACTAATTATCCTTTTGTTCCTAAAGGATTATCTTCATTAATTTCATCAAAATATTTATTTGTAATAAAATATTCTGATAATTAATATGTATTTGATAAACATTATGTACCACTATTCATAAAACATGTATTTCCTAGATTAGCTAATCCAGCTATTCCTTTTATAGATTTATCATTAATAGTAATCTATTTTACTTATTCATCATCAGAACCACAAGGATCACATTTTGGAAGATGAAATTTTTCATCAGTTACTTTACATTTTTCTGAACAATATGATACTTTTTTGCATATACAATGAAAATGTAATTCACTTATTGAACCACAACCTTCACATTTACCTTCTACTGGAACAGAAGGATGTCTAATACACCATGGTTTATAACATTGTTAAAACTTATTTATAAGATAAATATAATACTTCAATTACAATAAGATCATTATCAGTTAGATTCAATGATTATAATGTAATATCTGGTGAATTCTCAATAGGATCTCCTGAAAAATCAAATACTTAATCATCATTAAAATCAAGATCTTAAACTTATTTTTTGATTTCTGCAAATAATGCCTTATGAGGATCATTTTAATTTTTGTATCTCCATATTCTAACACCATTCTGATTATTGTAATTACCCCTAAAAGTAGGTACAGTTTTTTATATTATTGAATAAAGATCTTTCATTACACAACTTTCATCTGCTTATAAATATTCTTTATCAATTTGTGTTAAATTATCTTATGCAATTTAAATAATCGTATTAGGTAAAATCAATGTGGCATTGAACTTTTTAAAATCAAATGATATATACTTTAAGCAAATTCACAACCACCTTTTTATTTTTGCCTTATCCCACAGAATTTCGTACAATCTAAAGACCTCTATAATTTTAATTCAGATAACTCTAAATTTATTATGAAATCACTATATAATTAATTCCCTCTTTTAAATCAGGTTTCAACCATATATTCCATGGATTAGAGTTAAGAGGATAAAATTTAAAACATTCATTTATGCGCTCTAGTAAATCATAATTATAATTTTGCAACATTGTTTATCCAAATTTCTTGTCAGGTGGTTGACCATTTATAACTTAATCATATGATACAAACTATTTCCACTATTCAAACCAACTAAGTAATCAAATTCATTTAAATACTTTTTACTCAAAATATAGTATTTGTCACATTCTTCATTTTCAAAGTTTTCTTACAATTAACACAACATATCATGCATTTCTTTTGCTTATTGTTTCAATTTATTAGCTTAATATTGAGAAATACTTGTTTTCTATTAGTCATCTGAATCCTCTTAACTATTAAAGTGATAAAATCACATAATTACTCGTCATCATTTCCAGAATATTTCATGATAATTATATTAATATTATTAGTATAACTCAAACTTAAATACCTAATAACTGGTGAAATACAAAATATTCTTTAACTAGTATTATAGAATTTTGTAAAATTTCATCAATATTATTAAATCTACCCCCATCCAAATTTATGTATAAATTAGAGTCCCACTCTCACTTTAATACCAATTATCATTTAAATATCTAATATAATAATATTAATTATAAAATACTTATTCAAATCTTGTTAAATAATTATTGAGTAATCTATAATAACCTATCTATTAAATAAATTATTTCAATCCTAAAAACTATTTTAAAAAACACTTTATTCAATCCTCTATTTAAATCAACCTACCCTTCTTTCAATTACCTCTTTTTCACTGATTGATTCTATCAAAAATTAACTGAGATTTCTTTATTGCAAACATAATCAATATATTATGGATTTTTTATACATTAAAATATACCAAACATATCAATTAAAGATAAATTGTTAAAATATAAAGAAAAAAAAAAATAATTACTAAACTACTAAAATTAAAATCAAGATGAAAAGATTTCTAAAAATTCTCAGTCTAACCACTTAGATATTGAAATAAATAAAAACTATATAGTATAAAAAACCCTTGATTTTTAATTACATTTAAGTGAAAAATTATATACTATAATAATAATTCAGTTTAATCATTTTTAACTTACCATATCAAATATTATATCAATTTTTGAATTTAAATAGATTAAAATAAAAATTAAGATATATTTATACCTATTGATTACATTGAATAAAAAAATAATAATAATAATCCAAAAAAAGATATCTGTTTATTTTTTTAATAGTTATTTAAAAAAATAAATGCAAAATTTATTTATCTATTATTTATTAATTATATATATGTATGCAGTTTAAAGAAATTAACAAAAGAATAAAAGTGAAGATTTATTAGAATTATTAAAAAAATTAAAAGTATCATATTATCAATATAAGTTAAAATTACTTCAAATCCTATTATTTTTAATAATATATCCTGTATTTTCAAGTTAATCACTTTATTTTCCCTTATTTTATAGTAATCTACCAATTATAAGTTTGATGTCACTTTTTTAATTGTTTTTTTTAGGCTAATAATTTTCTTTATTTTATTTAGTTTCTTCATGAGTACTATGATTATGATTATATCTAATTTTTTATATGTTTTCTTTCATCCTTAATGTTGTACAGGGACACATATATTATGAACTGTTTTTTAAAGTATTTAATTAATTCTGAGTAAAAGCCGGGACTTTGAAACTATTAAGTGAAGTATTATTTGTTATCTATTAAGTAGAAGTACTTTATTAATAACTTATTTCAGTTTAACCCAACATTTTATTTAAATTACATATTTATTACTTAACTCCTTCTTAAGACATGGATCTTTAATAATTTGATTCTTTTTATTTTTATAATTCGTGTTTAATTGATCTATTATAATCAAATTATATTTATCTATTTGAGATATTTGGATTCAATTATTTTAAAATTTTAGATTTTTATGTTTCTTCTTTGAGATTGTTTTTAGAATCTAATTAAAATGATTCTTGATTTTATTAAAATATACTTTATTCTTATAAATAAGAATTAAGATTATAATTATTACTGGTAGGAATAGAAAAAGTTGATTATGACTTTTATTTTTTATCTTTCATCAAATTAAATTAATCAATTGATATAGGCATTCCTTCATTCATATTTGAAGATTTATCAAATGATTAATTATTTTGAAATAATTATGATTGAATTTATTATTTTTAAGCTAATATAATTGATTAAGTGGATGAATTTTTCAAGTAATTATTGTATATTTCTATTTTACTTTCAGGACAAGCAATATGAAAACTTTTACATTAAATAGGACTATCATATGATTAGAGAGAACTCTTTATTTTAATAGCATCAATACTTCTCTTTTTTGAGGTACTATTATGAAAATTCATATTTTCAATTAAATTTGAATCTCGATTTATTTTTTTCATATCTTCAATTTACTTCTATAGAATTTGTTTTTCATATTAAAATTAAGCCTATATTTCAATATTTTAATTATTCAATTATTTAATTTAATCTTCATATTATTATTTCAAATTAACAACATCTATATTCTATTCAAGATGTTATTGATATTTTTTAATTGTATTCTAACATTTATTAATTCTCAATTAAAGTTACTCCTTTTCTTTTTCATGCAATGTGGATAATTATGCAAATTTGGATTCATAATCCTGCTATTTTGTATTATTATCTTAAATGCATTGGTCCTTTGCTTTCTGTAGTTCTTAGTCATAAATCATTTTTTATTATTATTCTTTCTATTTATAAAAATCTTCCTATTTAATCAAATTCTCTCTTAATCTTTAATTATCCTAACAATTAACTAGTTTTTCTTATTCAAGTTAAGATATTCGATGATCATAAAGCATATATTACTTTTAATATTGTAATTCCATTTCCTTTCCTTAAGATTCCTTCTCTTGAAGCTATTCTTATAATTATCTAACCTTAAATTAAAAATGAGTATTACTTAGTATTCTAACTATTTGATCAACTCCTTAAACTTAGTCTTACTTTGGTCTTTCTGTTAAATATCAATATTCTTTTATAATTCAGCATATGATTTCTAAGTTGTAAAAACAACCAAATACTTTCTAATTGGCTGTTGAATCACTAATGGCTTAATTAATAGTGTCATTTAATTTTCTTTAGTTAGTTTCTCTTAACTTATAGTCTTCTAATTAAAGTTCAAGTAATTATGTTTTTTATTCTAGTACGGCTTTATCTTTTTTCCATTCGTTCTCTTTTGATATAATCTTATGATTAAAATATTATGAAAATACATATTTTCTCAATTTGCTTATGTCATTCTCCTCAAAAAAATTAAATGAAGAATTTAACATTCAAAATAATATAACGATTAAGTGAATTATAAATAAATATCTAAAAAAACATATGAAAATACATATTGAAAACATATTGTTTGAAACACTTTAATCAAATTATCAAATATATATAATGCTTAAATAACCAATTTTAAAACATTATTCCAAACAAAATTCGTTTCAAGATATATTCATTAATTAAAATGTAAAAAATTAAATTACTTGTTCTTTTAGCTTTGGCAGCCACCTTAGCAGCAGTTATGTATTAATATGCACCTTTGGAACAATATTATGTATTATTGATATAATAATTAAGAATTTAAGAAGACTCTCTCATGAAACATATACAAAGGGTGAAGCCAATTATGAATTTTGTATGGAATTATGTACAAATAAAGGAGGAGTCAATTGTGGTGGAAAAAGAAAGGGTATATTAATTCGTTTTTAAAATTAAAAGGTTGTTGTCATCGTGATGCTTGTAGTGCCAATAAGATTTATGGATGGGATGAATGTGCAAAGGGCTAATCAGTAAGACTTGGTACTGATAGATGTATAGGTAGTTGGGATTGAGTTAAGACATAAATTTAGAATATATATAATTATAGAACACATTATATATTTATAACATAAAATATCAGTATTTTAGATATATATAAGAAGAACTTTGAAGTTGTAGGTTACAATCAAATATATTTTATACATATTTATGTCATATTTTATTAAATCTATATTCATTAATAATTTCTCGATTTTTAATCATAAAATCTCAATGTCTCAATCGTTGACGATTCATTAAGAATTGAGAAAGCAATTTGTTTTACAGTAAGTTTCCAACTTAGAGTCATAATTAACAAAATGGGTTTAACATAATTGTCCTAAGTAATTAATTATTAGAATATAGTGACGATATATTACAATCTCATTCAGACGAAGCTCATTCTTAAAGTTAAACCCACACAAATGTACTTCATTTTTAAGGTCTTCTCATATACCTTAAATCATTAAGTGAAAATCCTTCTCCATTGGAATTTCATACAATGAAATCATTACAACAGTATTTTGATTATATGTCCCAAATCTTATAAAATGAACTTAAGCTATCCTATTAAAGATAAACTATGAAAATAAATGATAAAAATATTGAAAAAAAAAGTTAAAAGTTTTCTAAGAAGTCTAACTTAATTTTAAAAAACTGGTTGAATAAACATTATTCCTATCCTTATCCTAGTAAAGAATAAGTTGAATAATTAGCTGAAAAGTGTTAATTAACATAAAAACAAGTAATATTATTAAAATACTTAGATTTAAATTTGGTTTATAAATGCAAGAGGAAGAATAGGAAATAAAATGTATGAGGAGAGGAAATTTAAAAATATTGTCAAATCTAAATATTTATCATTAAATTCTAATAAAACCAATAAAGAAAAGTTAGAGCTTAATCAAAATGATTAATGATATTAAAAATAAATAATAATTATATTATAATTGATTATACAAATAAATCTATTATATTTAAAATATATAAATTAATTAAGACATCTATTAATACATTCCATTTGATTATCATATAAATATAAGTATGATTAATGTATTACTATCATTTTATTATTAAATGTAATTAATAGAAATAATTTTGATTATTAATATATTTAATATTATATAATATAAATTTATGTAAGAAAAAAGATTTACTCGTATTACAATTGATAAAAATCATCCTTAATCAAACATATATATTACTAATAAAGATTTCTTAAGATATAAAAATAATACTTAAAAGAAATAGAAACTTGAGCAATTAGCATTGATGGATATTGTTGTTATAATTAATTTAATTGATCAAGAAATTCTTTATGAAGAGATTCCTCATTTAAATCCTACAACTGTTAAGAAATGCTAGAATAACCCTTTTTTAGAAAATATGGGAGCAGCAAAATTAATTGATGTAATTAATTCTCTTTGTTATAATATTAGGATGTACTTAAAGTATAACAAAAATCAGTGGCCATTTTTTGTGATGAAACATATATTAAATCTTAATAATTACTAGTTTGTTATCTTATTTATGATTAATTCAAAATAATGACAGATATTAGAAATTTAGATTCGCTTGAAAATAGATTATGTGAAATTAACTTTGAAAAAAAAGAAATTGCTTTAAACGAAAATAACTTACATATCTTTAAAGGTTTTTATGGAAATCCAATATTTCCAAATTATAGATTTAAAGCTGAGATTAACTAAATTTCCGAAGTCTTAAAATTTTAGTAGACAAAGAGTATAAGTGATAAGACTTATACTAATAGAGATAAGAATGTATCATATTTTATCAATGGTGATAATCTCAATTTAAGTTATCCACTTAATTAATTGTAATTATCAAAAATAGGTGATTGATATTTAATTATTTAGATTTAAATTAGAAATATTTTGAAGTTTTAGAAGCAATAAAAGATGATGAAGTTGTTAAATGGAATAGTGCAATCATATTAAAATAGAAATGAATTTTAAATAATTCTATTTTATCAATAACATTCGATATCCATTAATTAATAAAGAATAACAATTTTAAAATGGTTTAATTATACCAACTCTTCTTTATATATGTTATTTTTTATTATTAATATTCTACTCCAAACAGTAAAATTGAAAATAAGACTTAATATGTTTTCTTTCAATATTCATTATAATCACTATTCTTAATGAAATTATTATAAAATTACTGTTTATAGCCCTCTTAAAAAATTAATATGCATTAATAAATGTTCAAAATTCTCATTTATTCTAATACATTTTATTTATATATGTAATTAATAAATAATAAATATAATGAATTAAAATCTGATTTATCTTGAGGAAATGATTTAACGCAATTCATTTATACTTTATCTTTATATTATAAGATTTCCTACAAATCTTTAAGAGTAATAATAGTTAATACAAATCATCAAGAATTAAAATATCTAAATTATTTATTATTTTGGAACTTAATCCTTCATCTTCGAAAACTTACATGTACCTAATATATCATTAGAAAAGGAAGAATAAAGAGAATAAGTTATATAAAAAATGAAAGTATTTTAATTAGAATATAATAGACAGAATTAACAAAACAAAATAATAATATTGGTTTGATGTGTACTAAAACATGTGAAAAGAGTTTATAGATTTATTTTCATTATATGGTTTAGATAGAATAAAGAAAATTTGAAGATTTTAACTTTAAAGTATTAAAATATATACTCTTAGCTATTTGAACAAATTTGGACATAAGAATAATTGAAATTGATGTATGAACAAATCAACAACAATAAAAAAATTACAATATTTGATTATAATCTCCTTTTAACTAATTCAAATATAGGTTCACAAATCTCTAGGGAATAAATTTAGAGTTAAGTTGTTTCATCAGAATAACCGTAGAAAGAATTAATATCATAAAGCCTAAATGATGATAATCTGATGTAAAAAGGATCTTAATAGTAATCCTCAATACAACAAAAAAGCAATATTTTAGGATTAGATGATTAAGTAATATCAGAAATTTTACCTGTTTCACATTTTTTTTAAAATTCACAATTATCAGAAATTACAAATAGTGAAAATAATATTAGATCTACTTAGCATTCACTTAGGTTTGAATCCAAATACTAATTACCACAAAGTATTACATTTGTCAATTTTATCCCTAAGAATGGTTTTAGATGTTTGGAATGAATTATTCATCTAATTTAATTGCAATCAATAAATTATTTAATGAAAAATTACTTTTAATTCATTAAAATTGTAATTTTTAGTTTATTATTTATAAAAAATTAATAAATCATATCAATATTTTTATTTTTAATCTAAAATTTTTCATTTTTTTAGAATATAGATTATAAATTATAAATTCAGTTTTAACAATATTAAAGTAATAATTATATTAGAGTACTACATTAATATTGAATGATTTACTAAATTATTTTCAATTTCTAAATATCTCTTTATATTAAAAAGATAATTTTAATTATACAGTCTTTAAGGTTTATTTAATAAAAAATTTATTATATATCTCAGTAGTGAATTGATAAAAAAATAGCACCATAATAGAACTTATTAGTAGATTACAAAAATTGAATATTAAAACATAAAGTTAACTATTAATTGTATTTAATTAAAATGGAAATATAATTCATATCCTGAAAAATAATCTAATATACTTATTTATTAAAAGATTTATCTTAAAATATTTCATTTAGCATTTTTTTAAATATATATTGTTATATTTATAGCATATCTCATATTTAATTATTTTCAAAATGCTTATTTTGAATTTCATTGTATAAATGACTGAAAATTAATATATTTTTAAAATATAAGAAAAATTAAGGTCATAAACGAAATTATAACGATTTATGAAATAATCAATAGAAACATTATTGTTAAGAATATCAGATCACATGAAAATTGACAAAATTAATTTATAAAATATATAATTGATCTATGAATTGAAATTAAATTGATAAGAATAATTGATCCATCTACTTATTGAAAAGTAAGTTAATTATTTTTAGTGTTTATTCTAATATTTCTATTTATTTAGAGTTCAAAGTTTTAATTTCTTTTTTTTATTGTTCTAGGGAAATAAACTAACTAATAGTTCATTAATGGAAAATTATGATTTACTAGATTTTAAAGTATATTTTATATATGTTAATATGTATGAATAATAATTATCATCAATCTTCTTTTAAATTCTTATTTGTATTTTTTTAATGTTTCTTATGATTACTAAAATAATTAAATATATATGTACATTTATAAATCAATTGAAGTATTTGATGGATCATTTGAATCCTTGGAAGTACTTCTGATTTGTTTTTTTTAGTTATATATTTAAGTGTAGAATTTGTCTAAATTCTTGTTCAATTTATCCATATTTCTAATTAAAATTTATTAATTTAATGGAAACTATTGTATATTTGATTTAAAAAAGCTTTGGCTTATAAATCTATAGATTTGATTATTTTAATATAAAATAGTAAGAAATAGGAAGATTTTTATATTTCTATAATATATTAATAACTCACTTAAAATAAATGTTAAGCCCAACAGTCACAGAAAATGAATAATAAAGAAAAATAGGTGAAAAACTTATTACAATTATTCGAACTATTTTAATAACAGAAAGAGAAGTCTTAAATTTGGTTAATTATAGGTTGAGGAATTGAAAATAACATTAGCAGAAAATATTAGATTTGATATCAGTGATGCATTTAGAGCAATCGATTCAAACATGAAAGGATATATAACTTCTTAAGACATCTTTCGATTCATGTGTAAGAATGGATATAGTGTACACTAAAAGTTTTGTGATTTCTGGATCTTCACATGGAGTAAAGGAGATGATAAATTAAGATATCAATTATTTCTTGAATTTATTGTTCCAAGATATGATAGAGATGCAGCAATGTAATGTATAGTTAGAAAATTGTATTCAGAAACAGGGAAATGTATCTATAAATAATTAATAAACATATAGATAAACTGACATTTTATTTAGAGGAATTTGTTGCTAAATTAATATATAAGGAAATTGATTATTTAAGAAATATTGAAATAGAGAAAATGAATTTAGCTTAATTAGTTGAATGGAAATTCACAACAGTTTTTAAGTATGTTGCAGGTAATTTACCTGTTTTTGATAAAAGATGTTTAGATTAATTATTAAATAAATTTGAAATACAATCATTCACATAATAAGAATATAATATGTTTTTAAAGAGATTCAATAGAAATGAAGATACAATTTTATAAAAAGATGAATTTAGTGATGCTATATTTCCAAGTAGAGAATTGATCTAAGAAGTTTAACCTCCTAGAGATGGATTTCAAGAATATGTTCTTAATCATGACTAACAATTAGATTAGTTATTGGGTAAGGATTAAGTCAATGATGGAGATGATTTTATATTCAAACCAGAAGAACATAAAATTAAATTAAATTCTACTTAAAAAGATTAATAAGAGTTTATTACTAAAAAATAATATCAAAATGAATCTACTTATAATTAAAACATTTATTAACCTCCTACTAATACTTAACCAACTTAAAATAAAGCTATACTTATGAGTTTTAAACCACAATAAACTTAATCTTAAATTTAATAAAATTCTATTGATCATAGTATTAAAGCATCAACTCCAATTCATATGAAATCTAAAAATTACAAAAGTCCTAATGAACAACCTTCTCAATATCAATAATAAGATTTACTCTAATAATTTGAAAGAAAATAAAATGCTTCTTAAATGGCATTCAGTCAAGATAATTTATCTGGTTATAATAACTATTATAATTAAAATTTCAATTTGGAATAGTCTTAGCAAATTTAATATAAATAATATATTAATTAACCAACAAATGCTTAGTATATTTTATCAAAATAATGATTGTAATTTTATTCAATTTTTATTATAAGTATTAATTATTTTTACAATAAGTCATTTGAATTAATTTAGTAATAGTTTTAATGATTCCTTTTCCATTACATCATTCATTTTCAAAATTTATTTCTTATGCGTATCAAATAATTTCCCAGGTTTCTTTACTATCAACTCTATAAGTGTTTCATCACTTTAGCTTTCCTTTATTACTAACTGTCAAATAAAATCATATTTTATACATCATTTATAACCATAAAATTATGACATTACATAGGTTCGTCATTATTTTATTCTTTCCAATCGGTATCATAAAATAATAAAAATCCATCAACTGAAATTATGAAATTTGTAGGCACGAAATCCTTGCCAAAACTTAATGATCTTTCCCAAGCAACATCCCTTTGAACACAATATTTTTTGAGAATCAAAGGGGATTATTACAATAGATATTCAGGAGAAGGTACTAAAAAAGATTAAATAATACATACTTGTAAAATTTGAAGCAAATGCATTATATATATCCGTTGTAATATCATTCTATAAAGGAATGCCTGAATATTTCTTGATCACTACAAGTTATTCTGATGTTAATAGTTAATTTATATTAAATGCTACTTTTGCTTATTATAATATTTTTGGATTTGTAAAGTCAATTGTTTTCTAATTTGGATATTGAAAATATTTTCCTAATTCTGTATTTAATTTTGAAAATAATTTCTATATAAAATCTATTCTTATATATTCAAATTCTGATATTTCTTTAAGAATGTATGTAGTAAATACACCAAATTATTACTATTATGTTATGAGAGATTTAAAGTAATCTAAATTTAATCTATTTATTTACAATGCATTCTATATTCTTCATCATAGATATCCTTCAATGGTTGTCCTCCTTAAAAACCAAATTCTACATTTTAAGCATAGATTTATTCATATTGAATGAAACTTTTATAAAATTACTCTACAGCTTCAAATGTTATGTTTCGTTATCCTTACACTTACATCAAATAATCAGATATTTTTTATTGATTCATTTATTAACATATAATTAATTTATCTTTAATTTCCCCTTTTAAATTGTTCTTAAATATTTAAATATTTTAAATATGTTATTAATATTCACTTTCAAGTTTATTAAAATTTTAGCATAATTCTTAATGATAAAATTATATATCCTCTTTATCTTCCTTATAATTTAATTATTAGTTTTGATTTTCACTATTTATATTTTAATTACCAGATTGATTAGATTTTTAATTCTTATAATTTTTTTGGAGTTATTTAACTTATTTTTTAGTTTTATTTGTGAATAATTGACTCAACATTTTTTAATTTGGTTAAACATAAGAATATGTTGTAAAATAATCAAATTGTATTGATAGATTATTCAAATAGTTAAGTATCATTTCAAATGAATTATTAGATGATTTATATCTCATTTTTATTTATTAAAATACAGTTTCAACAATTGTTAAATATTCAAAAATGAATTCAACCATTTTAATCATATATTAGACAAAAATTTAATGACTTTATATTCTTCTTTCTTAATAAGCTGCTTTCCACATTTAATCTTTTAATTATTGCTTAGATTATTATAAATAATTAATATCAATATTATCTTTAAGTTTTTATTGGATAAGACATAAATATTCAATTCTTGAATTGACTTATTTGCCTGTAATCTTTTTAATGTATGATTTAATAGTATTTTGAAAAAAATTAGATTCTAATTTTTATTATTGTTTATTAAAATCTGCATTAATATTAGTTTATGTAGGTAATATATTTCTAATCTAAAATTATTATTATTATTATTATTATTATTATTATTATTATTATTAAGTATTTTCTATTTATTAATTCATCTTGCCTGATCCATCATCAGTTGGAGTATCCATCATTTAATTTATTGTCATTCCTACAACTGCAGCTTTGACCGCAAATGATTAAATATTTTAATTTTCTTTAATAGCTTCCATGCCTTTTTCATATTATTATTTAATTATCTATTAACCTTATTCCAATTATGATCCAAGTACTTCCTTTTTTGTTATTGATATATTTACATTAACTTTCTGAATTTATTAATTTGCTAAGTTGGATGCCTTTTAAATTTAAGAGTTAGCAATATCAGTACCCTTTTGTATAGTTTTATTGGTCTAATCTAGAATAGGAACAAGATTCTTTTATGCTAAATCTAATCCTTTAGCTAGTTGAGCTGCCTCTGAATGTCCTTAAGAAGTTTAGGATTTTAATACCCATGACTTTTAGTAAAGGAGCAGCAACCTTCATGGTTTGGTTGGCTTCTGTAATTTAATTAGTTAATTGTGATGTTTGGTTTTGTAATGTGTTTTAGGCTGTCTTAAGTTATGAATTGACTTGATCTGCTTTTGAATCGATAAATTTAGTTAGTTTAGTATTTAACATAATTAATTAATGTCTCAATTTATTGATCAAGAAATAAATGGATACAAGGTTTAGAAAGCAATAGGAGAGGGGAAATTTTCTACAGTATATAAGGCAATGAATAAGGAAGGGAATGTAGTTGCATTGAAAAAGATTAAAGTGATTTGTTAATTTATGTTAGATTTTTGATATGATGGATCCAAAATAAAGAGAGAAGTGTTTAAAAGAGGTGAAACTTATGCAACCCTTAGATCATCCAAACATTATAAAATATTTGGATTCATTCATTTACAATAACGAATTGATAATAGCTACAGAGTGGGCAGAAAAGGGAGATTTGAAAAAACTAATAAAAAATGCTTAATCTGATGATACTCCATTTGAAGAAGTGCAATTATGGAATTATATAATGCAAATAGCAAGTGCATTAGACCATATGCATGAAAAGAGAATAATGCATAGAGATTTGAAACCAGCAAATATATTTATTGGAGGAGATAATACATTAAAAGTTGGAGATTTGGGTTTAGGTCGTATATTTTCATCAGAAACTATAGAAGCCTACTCTAAAGTTGGAACACCATTATATATGTCACCTGAGGTAAATTATCATTAAAAAGGAAGAGCTCCTTCATGGTGAAGGGTATGATATGAAATCAGATATCTGGTCATTGGGATGCATTGCATATGAGATGGCTGAGTTCAAGAGTCCCTTCAAATAAAGTGAGAAGATGTCTCTTATGGATTTATTTAATAATATCACAAAAGGGGAATTTAAACCAGTTTCTAATAGATATAGCCAATAATTGAGGGATGTCATAGAAGGAATGATTGTAGTAGATCCACAAAAAAGACTGGATGCAAGTACAGTTCTATAGAAAGCTAAAGAGATTCACGATACATTTCTTGATACTAAGAAGACTCCATAGATAATTAATGTTTTGATGATGGAAGTAATTAATGATGCAATTAATTAAGGACATCTATGAGAAGTTGTCATTGGTATAGTATCATGAATATTTCTGTATTCCATTGAAAAAGAAGCCAGTTTCAAAATATTATTTCTCTTTAGATGAAAATGTTAATTAGAATTAAAGATTTTATTATTTTGTTGAGTTATGTTATTGGTTAATGAGTTTGCCAAAGTAAAAGAAAAGTAAAATGGCATAACCAATTAAACTTAATTATAATAATGTAGAAGAAACTGCTAGAAAATTACTTATTGATATTAAAGCATGGGGAATAAAATTACCTGAATAATTGGGATCTCCTCATATATCTTAAGGATGTGGAGATATGGTTTGTTTTATTTTAAATGATTTATTAAATAGAGAATTGATTAGAGTTAATTTTAAATTTGAATCACCTAATTTTGGTAAAGATATGGAAAGTTCTGTTATTTAAGTTAATAAAATAGATGATGAAGATCTTGCTGAAATTTAAGAAGAAGGAAATGAAAATGAAGAAGTTGAATAAGATGAGTTAACTTAGAGTATTCTATTTTATCATAAGAAATATAATAATGAACAAACTGATTATAATTAAGTACCTTAAGATAGATAAGTTATTGAAACTAAAGTTGCAATTAATGAATGGACTAAAGAATTTAATAGAGTAGAAAAGGAGTTTTCTAAATTCGAGGCTAATCTTAAAGTTAATAAACATTATTTAAAGGATTATGAGAGAACCATAATTACTATATCTAAATGCTCTAAAGTAATTCCATTTATATCTTAGCAATTGTCTCTTCTCTCTGAACATTTAAAGTCCAATGAAGTCTAATAAATTTAATAATAATGGATTGATTATTTGGAATTGCTACCTAAATTAGAAACCAAAGTTACTGAGTAAATACCTGAAGATGTTTAGATTACTTTAAAATAGAATAGGAATACTATATCAGATTTATAATTGCAAATTTCATTATTGAGTAAAGGAAACATAGAAAAGTAGGAGATAGATCAATAATTAAATCAATAGTTATTAGATATAAAGGAAAGAACACCTATTTTGGTTGATAATAGATCTAAATAAAAATAGTTGATTAATTAATTAAGAGTATTCATTTAAATAAATTATTATAGAATGATATAAGGGATATGAATATTAAAATTGGCATAATGCAAACTTAAATATCAAAATCGAATTTTAATACTAATGAAGTATTATCTGATGAAGAATTCTGAAATATCTAATAATTTTATTTTAAATAATATGTATCAAGATATAAGAGATTTGCATTTACTATTTTCTGATCTTTGTTTTGTCTTTATACATAATTAATAATTGAAATATTTAATAAGCAATTCTGATTAATTATTTATGCTCATTACATTAAACAGGGTATTTTTAAAAATATTTTTATCTAATATTTACAATTTGGATGCTAAGCAAAACACAAATCAATTATGAGATAGCGACTTTCCATACTATTTGCCAAAGAAAACATTTACTCAAAGATATCACTTACTTTTTGTATATCATTGATGACACAATGATTCTTACTAATGTAAATATAAATGTTAATTTTTAAGGAACTTGAGTCTTAATAGCCTAAATACTAATTGTAATTGAATTTAGAAACTAAGATTTTTTTGAATCTAGAAAAGGACAGACAACTAACTTAATTCGGGTTTGAATATAAAGGGTCAGTCAAATATTTTGTTGTTAAAGATGAGGAACTTCGGAAATTGAAATCTCATCTCAGAAATAGAGTTATGTTCAAAGATGTGAGTGATTTCTATTAACCTCTTAAATTATTAGGGAAGGGTGGATCTTCTAAAGTAAACAATTTATTTCTATTATAGGTATACTTAGTATTGGACAAGGATAATAAATAAGATTTTGCATCAAAATGTGTTGAAAAACGATATTTAAAAGAAGATGGAGGATTTGTAAAATTTTGTACTTTATCGTTAGCAAGCCTTGTTCAATGAGATAAATTTAATGGCTACTTTAGATCACGAATCTGTTGTTAAATTGGAGGAAGTCTATGAAGGAGAAAATACGTTTTATCTTATTCTAGAACATCTCAAAGGTAATTCATTACATGAACTCGTAAGTCGAGGATAGATAACACAATTAAGTTGGGACTAAATCAAATCAATACTATGGGTATTTTTTATATCTCTAAATCTTCTAGTAAATATTGACAGGAGTTGCAAGAATGCATTAATTAGACATAATGCATAGAGATTTAAAACCAGAAAATATCATGTTTAAAGAACCTAATCAAATAACAGGATTAAGAATTGTAGATTTTGGATTAGCAACATCAACTCAGGTATCAACTTACCCATTTCCTAAATGTGGAACACCTGGATATGTTGCACCTGAAATAGCAAATCTTAAAGATTTGACTTTTAAATATGATAAGATTTGTGATATGTTTAGTGTTGGATGCATTTTCTACAAATTGTATTAAATTCATGTCTAAACTTATTTAGAATCACTTAGAAGGATTTGTTTCCAGGAAATGATTATCATGAAATCTTAAAATTGAATAAGAAATGCATTATCAATTTAGATAATCTAAGCATTTATAGAACACCTTAAGCAGCAATGGAACTTATTTAATTGATGTTATAAATTGATCCAAAATAAAGAATCACAGCATAATAGGCTTTAGAACATCCATTTTTTTCGGGAGGTTTTACTGATAGAAAATTAAAATTCTAATCATAAAAGAAAGGATAAGGATAAGGGAAGTTATGGCAAACTTCAACATTTCGAATGGAAAAATCAGATAAATTATAATTACCAGAAATCAAATAGAAATCAAGATAAAGAGATGAAGATGAAGTAGAAGATGAAAAGATTAAAATAAAAGTTCCTATAATGAATAGTCCAAGATTAGCATAACATGCTAAACGTAAAAATTTAGCATTAGCTGATGGTTCACCAACTGAAAATCCAAAGAAGAGTGCATTTAAAAAATTTTCTACTTAAGAATTCGATCAATAATCACCTGATACATGTTCACCAGATTCTGCAAGATAACATCCAACATTAATAATAAACAATAGTCCTAAACTTGTATAGAGTTAAACATTAAAAAGAAAGTTTACTTATAAAAACTATCACTAACATTAAGCAATTTACGAAGTAGAGGATGAGTAAAAAAATTAATGATTAATTCTATATTTGTGTTCATAGAAATAAAATAAAATAGGTTTATATATATATATATATTGATCAAATAATGTTTTTAAAAGAAATAAATTCTAACTTTTAAAATTAGTTAATTTATGATTGAAATAGATATTGAAAGATGATTATATATATTATTTTGATCAATCAACTAAAAAAACTTAAAATATATCATTAATTCATTGCTTTCTTTCCAAAAACTATATATTCACCTTATAAACCATGAGTCACTTTTTTACCTATATGAGTAACATCAAATTCTTACCTTTAGAATTAAACTAATATGGTTAATTTGATGATGATCCATATTATTATTTACCATATATTTTTTTAGGATCATATTTTTTCGATTTAGGAATTTGAGGTAACATCATCTATTTATTAGATGATTATTTCTCAAGATCATCATCACTGTCATGATGTTAAGTATTTTTATAAATGCTCTCAACTCTTAAATCAAATTATAAAGAGGGTAACTTTTAAAAAATAATAAAATTATATACTCCTGATTTTTTTTAAGATTTTGCATAATAATTTTAAGTTTTCTTGAAATTCAACTAATGTTATTATTTGCTTTCTTCTATTCTTTGGCTTCTTTCCAAAGAATTATCATTTCTAATTAATTTAAATTATAATAATACTATTCTCTATGATTGGATATTCTAATTTATTATAAAGTATGTTAAAAGCTTTTTTAAGTATCAGCTTCATATAATTCTCTAAAATATTCATGTTTTAAGGCTTATTAAGCATTGATTCTTTCTTCAGGGTCATAAATAAGTAATAATTTAATTAAATCAATGCATTCTTTGCTTTAACCTTGAAGTAACCTATCAATACCACTACCATGTTTAGGAGTGAAATTAATTTCCATATGAGTTGCTTATCTAATATAATATATAGATATATAACTTTCTAAATCTATCAAAAACTTTTTGATTTGGAGTTCCTAGAATGTTGTGTATTTTATTAACTTGATCTAATTCATTAGTTCCTGGGAAAAGTGGAAATAAAGCTATAATTTCAAACATGACACATCCGACTCCCCAGAGATCCATTTTAAGATCATAATAACCATCTGTCAATAAGCATTCTGGTGCTCTATACCATCTAGTTGAGATATATCTATAATAAGATATAAAATTAATAGTAATACTCAGTATAAGGATGTTTGGAATAGATTCCTTTACATGATCCAAAATCGGCAAGTTTGAGATGATCTGTGTTTAGTAGAATGTTTTCACTAATAATTTGAATATTGATTACGGTTTAATGTCTCTGTGAAAGATGCCATTTCTATGCATATGTTCAATAGATTTTAGCAGTTAGTACATATAAGATTTAACTTTTTAAGGATTCAAAGGTTATCTTCTACCTATTTAAAATGATGATAATAATACCTTTAATATGTTCATACAAATTCTGTTCCATCAACTCAAATACTAAAGCTAATCTTCCTGTAGGTTCATCACTAAATTAATTTTATATGATTTTCATACTAAAGCACTTCAATCAACTTAATAATGTGATCATGTGGACTTAGCTTTCTTAATGCTTGTATCTCTCTCAAATGATTTACCTACACATATTCAGTATGACTTACTTGTTCAATAGATGTGAATTTATTTTTCATACATTTTATTGCTACATAATTTCCAGTTTTGAATGATTATGATTTGATAACCTCTGAAAATGTTCCTTCTCCTTTTTTACCAACAAGCTTGTATTCTATTGAAAATATTGCTAAAGATTACAATTCATTTCTCCTTATTTTATTATATAATTAATATTCAAATCATTATAGATCAAATGGGAAATAGCATCTGTCCAAAATAGCGTACTCTCTCAATTCATGAAGTCCGAGTCTTTATTAAACGTCCTCCTTGTACTATAAAACTAGAGAAAGTCTCAAAAATTATATTAGTTGACGACGTTATAGAGAGAGAAGATTCTCCTTAAAATCCTCAAATCTAAAAGACTGAAATAGAGGAATCAAAAATGTAATATACAGCACAATAATCAGAAGAAATGGATAATAATGTATAACGTCCTTGGCTTAAGAAAGCATAACCTTAATCTAATGATAGTGGGATGAAAAATGATATATAGAATGTATCATTTGAACCCAATAGTTCTAGTTTTGATTTGCTGAAACCTAAATCTATACTTAAAATACATAAAAATGGTAATCATAGTTAAGAACACATATCAAATGATCAATAATCTATAGGGTCAATTAAATCAAATAAGAAAGTCAGTTTTGATAAGCAAGTTTAATTCAGCAATTTTAGAAAGCATTGAATTAACTGATTCATTTTGATGAGATATTGATTAAATTTTATTTCTTTTTCCGCAACAATATATTTTATTATTAAATTAGCTACTATTTTTATCATATATATAAATTCAATCCCTTTAATTAATTGTAAATCTATCATTCTATATTTTTTACACCTTATTTACAACAAATAAAGTATTTTGACATAAAACTCAATGAAAATTAGTTAAATATATTTTAAAAAATCATAATATGCTCTAGATAATTGTGTTAGTGTAAATCTATTTCTAAATTATCAAATTAACCATATGTGAATTATAATATTATAATAAACAATTATAACATTATGAATGTAATTTATATTGAAAATGATATTAGATTATAATTAGATTCTTAGTTTTAAGAATAAATCAATCTATTATCAAATTGAAATTATTACCTAATAATTGATTTTTAAATAAATTTAGATATCAAAAAGAATGCAATAAGTTATTTTAAAGTTATTAATTCTGATATGCCATCCTTTTATTAAACTTTCAAAGAAGTACTATAATAAAATAGAAGTAACTAAAATTGTGATATTCACTGTAGATTCTAAAATTAGAAAACTTATTTACATAAGAATATACAATTATATTACTAGAATGAAAATATATATATAATTTAATTTATTATGATAAATTTAAAAAAAAATTCTGATTCAGATATTGAATCACTCATTGAATCTATGTTGAGATTAATGGAATATATGAATGCAAATCCAAGTTTTAAGAGGAAAATGTTTGAATCTTTTAATCATGAAGATTTGAATAAAATTTAGAAAAATTTGAATGATAAAAAGAATATCACTCTTAGAAAGATTTCTTGTTTATTTTTATGTTGTATATTGTAGAATGAAGAGAATTGTGAAAGCTTTTTAAAATTATCTGATTTAATACCAGTTAATTCAAAAATTACCATAAATGGTATTCCAGAAAAGATTTCAAAATATGTTTCATATGATACAATATTAAAATTAAAAAATGCTTAGTTTTAAGAAAACTCATTATGTTGGTATTACACTTATCAAATGGCTAAAGAATAATAATCATCTTTGTAATTCTTTTCTTTGAATTATTCAGATATTAGAAAATCAATTACAGAATTTGTTGATCCTCTAGATTCAATTATTGGAATAGTTTATGAAAAATAGAGAATCTCTAAAACAATAGCTCTGAATAATGAGATTTCAACAAGAGATAAAAGAAATCAATTGTAAAAATTAAGTGTGTCCCCTATTCCTAAATAATAGTAAATTGGAAGTACAACTAATAATAATAATAATAATAATGTTTCTTAAGAAAAATATTAAAAAAGGTATGTAATATCAAAAGCCTAATAATTTAATTAAACATATAAATTATAAGATCATTCAGCTGAAAGAAAGAGTGTAAATTATGATATTTTAAGGAATAAAATATTAGAATAATAAAACACAAGAAATACAATGATAAATTAAAAACCTAATAAAGAGATTTAATCTACAAGTATGGAATTGAAATTAAGATTACTAAAAAATTAATGATATTTGATGGATTTATTTTTATATACTTACTTCCTATAATTTTTTTGAAAATCATTAATCACTCTATAATTCTCGAACTAAGTCTTTTAAGGGTTTCTATTTACCATCTTCATTAAGTTTATTTTACTAATCAGATGCATTACTTTATTTGTCCTCTTCTTAGAATTGGGACTGGTTCTTAAATGAATAATTACTTTAGGATTAAAATTGGTATTCATGACTTTTTTGGCAACTGAGGTTGGATCCTAATTTTCAACAAGGGATGAACCAAATTTCTTGATATAGATGTTATAAGCAATTTGTATGTGAATCTGATTTCTTTAGAATTGGAGATGTTGCTTGTTTTTCTCATAAAAAACAGGAGCATGTTTTGGTTAATTGAAATTGGGTAATAATTGACTAACAATTTATTGACTGAAACAAGAATTAAAGTATTGTTGAGCTTACAATAATCCAGGTTTAATATTGACATCTCTTTTTGATGTAGTTGGAAGTTCCTTTGTTGGCTACTTAGTTGTAATTGCATTTCTCTATTTAGTCTATTTTGGTTATTTTCTCATATGAGGTTTGGTAATTTTCCTAACTAATAAATAGATTGTGATTATTAGATACTTTTATTCAATTCAGAGATCAGATTATAAAAGTTTTTGACAACCTCTCTAAAATCATTGTCATCATAAATTTTTCGTCGATTCCTTATTGACTGAAAGTATATCTATAAGACATAGTACATATGCAGATTTATATAGTTAGTGATTATTGTTGTTTGAACTGTCTTATTGTTGGTCACTTTCAAGTAACATTAATCTGAAATATGTATTAAATTAAAGGACTTTCACATTTAAAATATGTTTTAACAAAAATTACAGAAACAAATAAGACTCAAATATCTCAAAAATACAATTATTTTACTGCTTTCTCAATAGTCTCATAATAGATAAGTTTGTCTTATTTAAAGTGGGATAACATGATGGGTGAGACCCATTAGTAGGTAGAATGATGTATTAACAGAATTATCAATACAACTTAATCAATTTATTGTCTTTTTCATTATTATAAAATGAAACAATCAGATTTCCATTCTCTAATTGAAATCTAACTTATATGTGTTCAAATCCATTTTTACTCAAAGCTATATAATAAAAATTTTCAATAATTATTACATTCATCTAAACTTTATTCTAAAATCTACAACTTGAATGATCAAATGATTATCATCAATAGATAAACAATAATCCTTTAAGATTATTGATAACTTAGATTGTTATTCTTATTTAAAATATCAACAATTAACTCTTTTAATATTTTCTCATTTATTGTGTACTTTTTGTGTATCTTTATAAATCTATTGGTTTATCATACTTAAAGATCATAGATTAAGCCTATTTATGAGTAAAATTTATTAGATATTTTGATTTTATAAATATATATTACATATTCATTTAATAGTGATATTTACAAAAATATTTAAGTAAATGATTAAATAGTAGATCTAATAAGTGGATAGTTTATTTTAACAATCTAAATTCCACTTGTTTTATTTTTTATATTCATATTATGATTAATTTCTCTTTATATTTGAAGATTCATGATTAGGAAGTAAGATTTTTTAAAAAAACATGAATAAAATTCTTAAATGATAGAGAATAGAGCTATATATCAATTTTCTTAAGTAATCACGGTTGGAATTGGTCGTAAATTGTTTTTTTCTTTTCTCTTACTTTTTTAAAGAGGATTAAACTTTTAATGATGTGATCTACATTAAGTGGCTGTTCTTGTAAAAATAGATTGACTCATTAATTTAAAGATTTTCTTTGATTTCTTATCATATTTAGACTTCAAAATATCTTAGTGATCATTGACAAATTAAAGATACATTTGATGTTCTTGTTGACTCCAATGACCTATTAAATAATAAAAATTTGTTGATACCATTTACTCTTTATGATGTATCCACATCATTTCTATGTGTATATCCTTTGTTAATTACACCTTTGCTTGTTCTTACAAGTGGTTAATTTTAATTTGAAGTGATGTAATAATGCTATTGTATTTTTTTATCATTATTTGAATCCTCCAAAATTTTAGTATTTTCTTCTCTACATTCTACTTTTGGAACACATTACACCTAAGAATTCACTAATAGACTATTGATAAATTGTACTGTATTAAAATATTTATTGATTATAAAGGTTATTGATTAGAAAGAATGTTTACAAAAAGGGATCTGCACTGATTATATTCGTTTATTCTTGTTAATTCATAATGGACTCTATAAAATAATTTATTTAATAAGATAATTTAATCATAAATAGATTTTAAGTCATCCAAAATATATTAGGTAATACTAATTTTTATTATAATATCTTTTATTATGTCTGATATCTACTCCATATTTCATTTTTATATCATAATTATAATAATATATATACTGATATAAATCTACACATCCTTAAGCTATCAATTTTATAAATATTCTTGGTCATTCTCTAAAGTTCATCTCCAAAATTCAATAATTTATCATATATGAAATTAATATTATCATAAATCTGAAAAAAGACAAATAATGCGTATTAATATGATCTAATAAAAATTAATTTATTCTAAAATTTTTAGATGCCAAAATATCTATTCTCTGATTTCAAGTCAATCCTCTATAGGTCTCTTTGGTTTCTACTATTTATCCAAATTATTTACAGACCATAGTAAACATGATATCAAAATAATATTTCATTCTATAAATTTAAATCTAATATAAAACTCAATAGATGTATTAATTCTTTTGATAAGTATAGTTTCCTTTAAATAATTGAATTTTATCTTGCTGATTTGAAATAATTATTAAGATAGAAGCATTTGATATTATTAAATGTTTAGATCATTTTAGTTATTAAATTATATATATTATGATTAATTTAGATCAATTTAACTTGATTCCTTCATATACAAATTAGTTAGAATTTGTTGTTAATTAATAGTAAATTTAAATGGAATTATATTTATTTTAATAATAGTCTTTTATTACATTATATAATAATATAATATTATTTTTAATTAATTTGAATACTTTTTATATAATACTCTAAAAGATTAAGATATGTTCAAAAAGATAATTATGTACAATGAGAATAGACAATTTATATTACAATAATATATTTAATCTCTATGTAAAGACATTAAATTGATTTATTAGATAAAATCATAAATAATATTCAATTATTCAAATAAAAATCTAATAAATTGATTAATGAGATAGATTATTAATTAATGATCAATATCTTAGAAGTTCTGATTTAATGAATTCATTCCATTCTTTTTACTTTGAAACATTTTAACTATGATTTGTTTCTTCATCATACTACTTTTCCATTTAAAGATAATATTAAAATGTATCTTAAAATAATTTAGTACATTCCATTCTGTAATTTTTAGTATATTTGAATTTATCAGCTCTACTATTATATATTATTTATACTTTTATTTGAATTCTAAGGCACAAAGACATCCAATCAAATAATGACCAGTTTCATGCTCTAATAATCTATCCCATTTATTTTTTACCCAAGACTTATTGTTGAGACAACACCAACTTTAAATGATTAATCGGTATTTTATATTTTAAGATTTTTTCATTTTCCTCATATTAATGTCAAACGTGTATCCAACTGTCCAAAAACAATGTGCTTTCCAAGGTGATAATATATTTGGAGGTGCTGAAAAGTAAGTCCAATCAATTTTCAAAATCTTTACACCATTAATAGTGATAGGAAGAATTGAATTAAAATCATCATAAGTAAAGTAATTCAAGGGGTCTTAGAATGTATTTTTGGAAACAGGAGACACTATCAATCAAATTAGCAATATACTATCAACATAATCATCCTCTAATTTCGAACAACTTTATGGAGGACTAGATGTATTCGAATGACTACAACAAGTTGAATTATTTGAGATGCTTGGTAAATGATGGATTCTATTACTTAAAATAAATTATTACTTTATTTATGATGAGGCTCTTTTAGGAAGACTGAAATTTAATGATTTATTAGTTACCGAATTTTTTCTATTCTCTCTCTATCTAACTGAGCTCATCATTATTAAAAAACCACTAAAAAATTTTTTTAATAATTTTCTTTTAAAATTCAATTAAATTTCTTTATCAAAAAAAAATTAATACATAACAAATTATTACAAATATGATTGATTCCTTAAATATTTTGTATTATTCTTTTGAACAACTCAAATTAATAAAGAATTAATATTAAACATAATTTTATAATTATGATAATTAACTAAGATTCTTAGAAGGTTTCCAATATTAATAAGAAAATAAAAAAGAAATAATTAGTTAAACAAACTTAAAAGATTGAAGAACCACAATAAGAAAATGAATAATAATTACAATAATCTGAGTAGGAAGAAAAAATCAAAATATCAAATCTAGATTAATTTGAAGAATAATCTTAATAAACTAAAAATATGAATACAGCTATTTTGTCAGATAAAAGTTTTAATGATTTCACTCTTTGTGAACCTACTAAAAAAGCATTAGAAAAAATGAATTTCACAAAAATGACACATATATAAGCAAGAACCATTCCACATTTATTAAAAGGTAGAGATGTTTTAGGAGCTGCAAAAACTGGTTCAGGTAAAACTTTAGCTTTTTTGGTTCCAGCATTAGAATTAATCTATAAAAATTAATTTTAATAAAAAAATGGAACTGGTATCATAGTTCTCACTCCTACTAGAGAATTAGCTTAGTAAATATTTGATGTTGCTAAAGATCTTCTATTCTATCATTAAAAAACTCTAGGATTACTTATTGGAGGTGCTAATAGAAAGGAAGAAGCTATTAGATTATAAAAAGGAGTTAATATATTAATAGCTACTCCTGGTAGATTATTAGATCATTTATAGAATACTAAAGGATTTATTTATCATAATTTATAATGTTTAATTATAGATGAAGCAGATCAATTATTAAAAATTGGTTATGAAGAGGAAATGAATGAAATTCTTAAATTATTACCAAGTGAAAGATAAACTGTATTGTTTTCAGCTACTTAAACCAAAAAAGTTGATGATTTAGCTAGATTATCACTTAATTAACCTATATATATTGGTGTTGATGATATTGCTTAGGAAGCTACAGTTAATGGATTAGAATAAGGTTATGTTATTGTAGAGTCAGATAAGAAATTTTTACTTTTATTTACATTCTTGTAACTCAATTCAGATAAAAAGATAATGGTTTTTATGTCTTCTTGCAATTCAGTCAAATTTCATGCAGAATTACTTAATTTTGTTGATATGCCTGTTCTTGATATTCATGGAAAATAAAAGTAAAGTAAACGAACTAATACTTATTATGAATTCTGTAATGCTAAAAAAGGAGTTCTAATATGTACTGATGTTGCTGCTAGAGGTTTGGATATACCAGAAGTTCATTGGATTATATAATATGATCCTCCTGATGATACAAAGGAATATATTCATAGAGTTGGAAGAACATGTAGAGGACTCAATTCTTCAGGTAAAGCGTTGATATTCTTATTACCTGAAGAAAAAGGATATTTGGCTCATTTAAAATTGGCTAAAGTTGTTATGAATGAATTTGAGTTTCCTGAAGAGAAATTAGCAAATATTTAAGATTAATTTGAAAAGTTAATAGAGAAGAATTATTTTTTAAATAAAAGTGCTTTTGAAGCTTATCGTTCATATTTACATGTATGATTGTTTCTTATATTTTTAGTCATATTAATCACATAGTCTGAAAGATGTTTATGATGTCAATAATTTAGATCTTGCTAAAGTTTCAAAGTCATTTGGATTTAAATGTCCTCCTAGAGTTTCTTTAAGTAATTAAATGTTATATATATATATAGATATTAAGATTGCTAGTTCAACAAAAAGAAAATAAAAGGTTCAATCTTTTATGAATAATAAGAAACCTGGATAATGGAATAAAAAATAGTAAACAGATGGAAGATAATTTATGAGATGAATGATTTAATATTTTGTGTATATAATTATTTATATATTAATTATGATAATAAAACATTTAAACAAATTTATAGCATATTTTGAGTTTAAATCTTTAGTCCTTTTTTATAATGAATATGATATATAATAAAATTGGTTTTCATTTTATTGATTAACTTTAAATTCAACTAATTGTACTTTAATCTTACTATTATTCTATTGAACTATTATTTTGAATTGATTTTTCTGTATTTTCATTTTATTATTAAGTTGAAAAATATTAGAATGAACTACAATTCTTATTTCTTAACAATGCATTTTATTGATTAATTTATAATTGCAATCCAGGAATATTAAATTAAGATCTAAATTTATTATTATTATTATTAATTACTTTTTATCTTCTATTCCTAATTAATTTTAAGCCATAATAGGTATCATACCTGGTACATATCTAACAAAATTTGAAGAATCATTTATATTGAGTATACTAGAACCATGATTTAATAATTCTGGTTATTAATTATTCATTTCACTTCCAAAATTCAATACTATTTCATGTTCTACTTTAACAATTTGATTATTTAGATAGTTTTATAATTATTATTTAGTACTCATTATAATAGATTATGTATGTTGATTGTAAAATGCTGGTTGAAGATTTATTAGGTCGCTTTAATTAAGAGTTTCAAATATCCCTATTGTAAATGGTGTTGATTAAATATTATGTTATTATTTGGTATGATCCTAATATTTTGGTAAATATTGATGAGCTTTCTATTTCTTAAGAATTGATAAAGGAATAGCTTAATTCTCAGATTTATATCTACTTTTTAAGATATTTAAGAGAGTTGTAATAGAATTGCAATGATTTTTTTTCAGTAAACAATTAAATCTATTTTTAACTGCATTTTCACTTCTTTTAGTCTTTAAATTTTTTGAAATAAATGCCCATTTTCTTTAATGCTTTTTTACAATTTCTAATAATTCTATATCTTCTTCAAGATTCCAAGGATGTCTATTAATATCTGGATTTAAATGATTATTCCATCTTTCTCTACATTACTTTCCTGTTCTTGGAGATTCTTTAAATTATAAATTAAGTAAATTGGCTAAACTACACCATTTATTTTATTTACCCTCTTCTTTGCTTTTTCTAAAAATACATAATCAAATTTACTTAATTAAATCTAGTAATAATAGATCTTACTCCTCTGTCCAAGGTATTTATTATAATGATAATTTTAATAAATCGGTCCATTTATTTTTACATTATTCAACTGTACGTCTACTAATCAATTATACTACTTCTTCCCATATTTTATTAGGCTTAAATTAGATAAAAATTTACAATTTTTCTAATATTAATTCCATCCCTTGAACATATTTTTAATACAACCCAAATAAGAATCTATTTATCATCATCAGTCCAATTCTTTCGTAATTTTGGTGTCCATTATTCATGTAAATCTCTTTGTAATTTATGCACTTCCTGGTCAGTTAATAATTCAGAGATATGAAATTATTCTTATAGAAACCTGAATACAAAAATTGATTACTATAAAGATGGAATAATTATATCCTTAACATTTTCATAGAAATTCTAGAACCTCTAGAAAAATTCCCTATTACTGTCAAATAACTACTGGTCATTTTTTGTCATTGCTACTATCAATTATTTATCGCTCTAATACTTGCTTCATTTTTTTAGGCCAGTTTTTCTAAAAGTTGTTTTTTCTTTCTCCAATTTCTTGTTTACATAATTAAATTTACAAAGTGGAAGATTATTTAATATTTATATTAAACATAAGAACTTGCAAAAATAATTAATTTTAAAGTCTCATAAATATGAAAATATATTAACAGACCATAGAAGTAATATATGGTAAGAAAGGAATTCTAAATTCTTGTCATTTTCTAATCATCACCATTTTTATATAATTATTTTACATTCAAATATTTATGTATACTATAAACTTTTGTTTAATGAATCTAATTTATTCAAAAGACATAAGAATGCTTTACATAATATAATATCAAATCATATAAATATTGAACATACATTAATAGTTTAATTTGATTCATTATAATACATATTGATTAACCAAGTATAAATCCTTTGGAAAATTTGGCTGCAAACCACTGAATTTCAATTCTAAACCAGCTTTCTAAAATATTTATTTAAACATTTAATCTGATCTTATTACACTATGATCTTCTGTATCATAACTAAATCCCTATTTTGTAATATTTTCCTTCAAAATTATGTATCCATTCTCATTCAAATTTAACTTACATTTTTTTAAAAACATTATTAAATCATCATCTGTTAAATGACTAGCCACCCATTAAATCCAAATACAATCATATTTATATTGAAATTCAAAACTTTATAAACCAGCACAATAATATTCACTTATCTTATCACCAATTTCCTCCTTTGCCTTCTCAACATAAATAGGATTCTATTCAACTAAATCTACTTTTTTAAACCATTTTATTAATAACTCCTTTGAAACTCCTATTATTATTTATACATCTCCTTACTTCCTATACCTGCTCCACAATCAAGGACTCTTAAATCTTAAAGAGGATTCTTGTAGAGCATTGTCAATAATTTATTTGATTCCTCTATATCAATCTTATTTAAGAAATCCAATCCTCCTAATACACCTTTCAATGTTGGTTCTATTTTTCTCCAATATTAATCCCCCAAAGAATACCATTTCTCTTTTGAATCCTTTAATTAGCTATCCCATAAAGCTTAGATATTTTTAAAGAATTTTCCTTTGTCATCATTTCCACTTTCACTATTCATTTAATTTAATTTTGTGATAAATATTATCAATAATAAAAAACATAATAATTATGAATGTATAATAATAATAAATCATTATTTATAAAACAAATTTTTATATTTCATTCAGGGTGTTGATATTATTCAAACAATAATAAGAATCATTATTAGCTAAAATTAATTAAAAATTATAATTATATAATTTAGATTCTCTCTAATTTAAATTAATTATAATAAGAAGTATATATTTATATAAGAATTCTTTTAACATTTTTACTACTAGTCCTTCAGAATAGTATTTTGAAATTTTGTATAAAATATACTTTTTTTACAATAAAGTAAATCTTCAAAATAAAAATGATCAATTAAATAATATATTTTAGAAAAATCAATAGGTAATTGCATTAGATCTGACTGCAAATAATAAAAAATCTTCAATCATTTAAGGGAGGGATAGTTTATTTAGTATATTTAGACAACAATAAGAGAATCAAACCATAATTTTTTTGTAAGTATTATTATTAATTTTATTAATTACTCTTCATTTAGAAACATCTAATGATGAAGATTTTTCTTATTATTCTGTGATGTCTGATAATGCCATCTTGGATTTTTCATATCCCATTTTCTTAAAGAAATTAATCCAAATATCTTCTTCATTCGAGATGGTTCTATGCTATAATATATTTAATATAGAATCTAATACATAATCATTATGTAATTAATTTGAATTGACCCAAAAAAAGGAAATAAGGGCTAGATATGGCAATATGATGATAATTGTTAAGAAACACAATCTCAATAATAATTCAAATGCAATTGTGTTATTTATCGACATCTTCAAACAAGGAATCATTTGACAAGGTGTACAATTAGGAAATTATAATTCAGAATTGAGTTGTTCCTTTGCAATAAAGTAAATCATTTAGAATATAGTTAAAAATTAGGAAGCACTATACATAACAATTAGTATTCTTAAATCTTCCCTTTGAGTTTCATTATTTTAAAATGTTTTCATTTATAAAAGTGGAAGATCTTTATAAAGCGGTTAAACTTTATCATCCATTTTATTTTATAACTTCATACTAAAGATAACTAGAATTGCTGTTACACATCCTCCAACTATTCTCGAGATCTTACTATATTTAACTAGAATTAGTTATTTCTTACAATAGCATTCATAGAAAACTTAATCATCTTGAATCAATTCTACGAGTACAAATATTAAGCCAATAAGCACTAAAGCAAATAAGAACAAAGTAATGTATCTGAATTTTGCTTATGCTTTCTTCCTATCAGTTGATAATTTGCTTAATTTAAGACTAACATAATAATAAAAGAAGATGAACACCATTGTTCTAAAGTACGGTTCTAATTATGTTATGTATTTATTGCTAATGATGAAGGACTCTACTAATAATACTAGAATTTGGTTATCATGATTACTTAGAAAATTTGTTATTATCATGTACAAAATGATGCACTTTTTTGATAATTTCTTAGTTCCTGTTCGATATCTTCTTCGCAATTATAGAATCAGAATAAAAAGCAATATAATAATAATAACACCCAAGATAAAACAATTAGTACATTTCAAAAAGTTTTGTGATGCTCCTCCTAAACAAAATTAATAAAATGGGTAAATGCTTTTTTGAGTTTATTATTCACTCATATATATTAATTAAATAATTAATAATACAACAATCAAGATAATCAGTCATTTATTATTAAATAAGTATTTAAAGAGATCAGGATAACAAATTCATCATTATCTTTTTTTAAATAAGTAAGAATAGTGTTTATATAATTTATATATAATTTTAAACAATTATAAAATATGATTAATCTTGAATATAAAGAAATTCTAAATAGATATCAACATAATTTAATTCATTATTCATCATTAAGATTCTATAATCATTTAATTTAATAAAAATAACTCTTTATTATTAATTATTATGTTTTATTGTAAGTAATTAAGGCTATTTCGATATTAATAATTTAGTACTTTCAAATGGTGTACTTAAATTTTTGATTAAATAGAGAAGGAAACTAAACGAAAAATAAAGATATCTCTATTCTAAGATGCATTAAAATAAGCAGAAGAATTTAAAATAAAAGAAGAATTTATACGATTTACTCTATGTGATGTTAATTCATAATCCTAATTGATAGAAGCTGCTGTACCAGCTAATGTTCTATACAGTGCAATAGCATAGACTTATAATTTAGAGTTTTCTCTAGTTGAAAGAATGTATGGTGAAATCAATTTAATGAACAATTTTGAAGATGTTATTAGTACTCATAAAACAACAAATTCAATATAGTTTTCAAGTTTATTTTAAAAAATTTAAGAGATTTTTGAATTATCTGGGGGAGGTTGTGAAGAATAGAAGGAAGTATTGGTTAAAGATTTACTAAGAGTATGTTCCAATTCATTAGAAGTTAAATATTTGATTAGATTTTTGAAGGTAAAAGTAATTTGAAATGTATAGAAAAGAATGAGGATAGGTTTAAGTACATAGAGTGTATCATAATTACTAAATGAGAGTGAAAGAAAAAGATTATTGGGATATTAATCAGGATTAGGAGATTTGTAAATAGGAATTCCAATATAACCTTAATTAGCTAAAGGTTTTCAAAAGGAGAATAAGGAAGATGAAATAACTATGGAGAAAATCAAGAAAAAGTTTTTGAATGATGATTTAGAAGTGTGCTTCTTTGAATATAAATATGATGGAGAAAGATTGTAAGTACATTATACAAATGGTGAAGTTAAATTGTTTGGTAGATCTTTAGAGGAAAAAACAAATCAATTTAAAGAATTATCTAATTAATTAAAGGAGTATTTCAATAATAATAAATTTGATGATGTTATATTAGATTGTGAAATGATATGTTATCATAATGGAGAGATCTTACCATTTTAAGAAATGTAAAATAAAACTTATGAGAATTCAGTATATTTAAGTTTAGTTTGTTTTGATATTTTATATCACAATAAATAAATCCTACTTAATAAAGTTTATTCATAAAGATTATAAATTTATAATTCAATTTTAAAGCCTATAACAAATTAAAGACAAGTGATAAGTCATATTATTTCACATAGATTGAAGAATGAAAATTAAATGGATACATTTTACAAATAAGCATTAGTTGATGGATTAGAAGGAATTATGATAAAAAAAGATACTATTTATTCTCCTGGATCTAGAAATGATTGGCTTAAAATAAAGAAGGAAAAGGATGTTGATTTAGTTGTATTAGGTGGATATTATGGTTAAGGTAAAAGACAATAATGGCTTGGTTCTTTTCTATTAGGCATTTATGAAAATGGAAGATTACATCCTATAGCTAAAATTGGAACAGGGTTTAGTGATTAAAAATTAGAAGAATTAACAAAGAGATACATGTCTATACCAATTGGAAGTTGTCCTTAACATTTGATTGGTTTTAAAGATCAACCTCATGTTTGGTTTTCTTAAAATGATGTTTGGGAAGTTACTTATGATACAGTTTCAGCATCACCTCTTTATCCTCCTTAAAATTCACAGTTGAATACAGGAATATCTGTTAGATTTCCTAGATTTAAAAGAGAAAGACCTGATAAAAGAATTGAATAGAGTGGACCAATTCAAGATTTGCTTGAAGAGTATTAGAAAGTTTAGAAGAAAGAATTCTTTTGAGATTTTATATAGTTGTTAATATATATATGAAATATTGTGGAGGAAATAGGTACAATAATAAAATTAGTAAAAAATTAGTATTCATTTATAATATGTATTTGATGAAACATTAAATAAATATTAAATTTCTCTAAATCTAATTATGAATTCTTAAATCGAAAGAAACTCTGATCTTCCCCGTACTAATGTGATCTTGGTTGTAATAACTAACAAGGCTAATAAAACTTTGAGTCATGATAAATATTTTAAAGTTTTTAGCCCTTTCGGTACCATATAGAGAGTAGTTGTTGTTTTATAATTGTTTAGATGCTCATCTTTGAGAGATCACTCACATGGAAAACCTTTGTTGAATTTGACAATCCAGAATCTGCTCTTAAGGCTAGATCACAGATGAATGATAAGTTCTTTTGTGATGACAATACATTATTAATGAATGTGTATGCCAGCAAATTAACTTATATTACATTCCAAGAAAATAATACTGGGGGAGTAGGTATGAGTGTAATTAATTGGTAGATTACACTTAGTTAAGAAAAAAAGAGTCATCACCTCCAAATGAAGTTACATAATCTTCTTCATCCATTAAAACCAATCCAATTTCTCCTTAACAAAACTTCTAATTTTTGTAATCACAAATGTAATTCCAACATCAAATGTCTTAATAAATCTAATAAATCAATTCTCTGATGGGACAATTACAATAGGTTTGTGCAGAAGGCTTTGCTGCACCATTATAATAAAATACAGACCTTTAAAATCAAATAGAAAAGCAATAGTCAATTTTGAAGGATATTTATGATTTTTAACATAAATTCTCAAACCTCACAGACCATTACTAAACCTTCTTATAAGAATATAATTAACTTGATGATTAAAAATCTATTAGCATTCAATCCAGCGGAAATGGTAAATAAAATAGGAAAAAACTAACACTTCCTAATGATAAAAAGATTAAAAATGGAGATTAAATAGAATTCATACAAAGTTATCATGAAACTGATGTTACTAAGGATGTTATGTTTCATAGTTCTGATAAATTGATTGATTAGATGTAGGTTTAGAAAATGTATTTAAGTGAAGGAAAGAGTGTTGCCAAAGCAGAAGATCTCAATTTCAATGGATTAGGTCTAAGAGATTCAGAAGGAGAAGATGATAATCTTCAAGAATATGAAGAAGAATTATTCTAAAGAGTTAATGGAATTGAAAATGAAAATGATGATGATAATGAATTATTTAAATTAGTTGATTAGAATCAAGATTTTAATGAAGAAAAATAAAAGAACTATAATAAATCAAATCAAGATTTGTAATCTGAAAAAAGTGATAATTTACTATCATATCAAGTAGAAAAATAAACTCAAAAAAATACTATTGAATAATCATCAAGAAGTGTTGACAATATTGATTAATTAATTAGTAAAGGTAAATTCTAATGTTAAAATCCATAAAGTACTTCCAAAAGTCAGACTTTGTAATAATAATAAGAAAAACTTGAAGAATATGTGAATCCACTCTTTTTTAAAGGTTTCTTCATTTATTGATTTTATTTAGCTTTACGCAAATCTAAAGTCATTTATGCAAGATGGTTCGATAAAAAAGTTGTCACATCCGCTATGCTTTACAATATATTTAGTATCTACGGCAACATTGATAAAATGATATATCTGAAAGAGAGATCAAGTTGTCTCATTCAATATGTGTAATAGGATCATGCAGCCATTGCTAAAGATGCTTTGAATGATATCATGTTTTATGGATAATAAATCAAAGTATCTACCATTTGTAATTAGATCTTTTTTTCAAATTATGAGGAAATATCCTTAAAGACATAGCCAACAAAACCAGGTGAAATAGCTTCCGATCTTAAAACTCAAGAAGAATATTTTTAGGGAGGAGAAGAAACTCACCGCATCAAACCTGATTCCACTTATACTCTTGCTCCACCATGTGATACAATCTAAGTTTCTAATCTTACAAGAAATTCTTGTCAAAATTCTATAATGTAATAATATATGCAAGATTTTGGATAAATCAAAGCTTTGAAGTATCAAATATTTAATATATAGAATTCTATCTACTGGCAATAAGTATTTATGTATCCTCAAATATGCAACTATTGAGGTGGCATTGACAGTTTTGGCTAAAATGAATGGATTAGAATTGGATGGAAAGTAATTATCTTTTGTTATATAAATATAGACCTATATAAATTAACTTTTCTAAACAAAAATTATGATTGGTTGATTTATCAATTATTCGGATTAATAATACAATATACAACCTACTTTTTTTATTTTCATTAATTCAAATCAATAAAAATGGCAGGAAAATCAGGCAAAGGAATTGGCAAAGTCAGCGCAAAGAGACATGCAAGAAAACCAAACAAAGCATCCATTGAAGGAATTACAAAGCCAGCAATCAGAAGATTAGCAAGAAGAGGAGGAGTTAAGAGAATTTCATCCTTCCTTTATGATGACTCAAGAAATGTCTTAAAGAGCTTCTTAGAAAATGTCGTTAGAGATGCTATCACCTATACAGAGCATGCCAGAAGAAAGACAGTTACCGTAATGGATGTTGTTTACTCCTTAAAGAGATAAGGCAGAACTCTTTATGGCTTTGGAGCATGAATTAGTTTAATATAAACATTAATAATAATTAATTTAAACTCCTTCTTTAGTTGAATAATTGTTCAACTCTATTTACTAATAATTATATTTTGCAAAATAATAAATAATGAAAGAGGAAACATAGATATTTAGGGTAAAGAAATAAATCCATTATTTTGCTTGGCATTGTTTTGCTCCATATGCATTTTTAGGTTATTTTATGACAATCCCAAGTGCTGCAGAACCATCTTGGCTTAAAATAAATCAAACAAAACATAAATACAAAATTGATTTTAATTGGATGAATGTTGCCTTTTTAATGTACATGCTACAATATTTATTTAGAGGTTATTTGCTTGCAAGTGGTATTGAAATGAAAGGTAATTTGAGATAAATAATGATTAAATGTGAAACTATGCTAATAGTGGCTCTGGTCTTATAATGGTTTCTCCCATTTAGAGAAGGAACACTGATTGTGAGAGTATTCATGGGAGCTTTAATTAATCTAGATATAAAGTACAGCAATGTGTATTTTAAAACTATGATGAAACCAATTGAAGTTTATATTAAGAAAAAATTTCCAGAATAATTAAATGGTAATAGCATCAATATTAATGATAACTAGTAAAAAATCTAGGTCAGTATTTATGTCAATATCAATATATTGCTTTTGGGATTGGATGGACAATTTAGGGACTTATGGCTTACAGTTATCCAAAGATTGAAATGCTAAATAAATTAAAGATTTATGATGATTGTGTTCTTTGGAATTTATTAATCTCTTTACCAACTGTATTTTTAGCAATTAGATTGATTAATTTGCATCTATCATTTAATTATGATGATTTAAAGACTTGTACACCAAATGAGGCTGAATACTTTTTGGCAAATATGTTCAAGAAGGCTAATGTTGAAGAGGTGATAGACATGTATCATGAAAAACGACTTATTGATAGTAATGTATATTTTTATAAGTAGATGATGAATATGAATTAGATGATTAAAAGACTCTTAAAATCATTTAGATTATCATGTATTCAAGTAGTACTATGATGTTGGTATTCTTTATAAATCGTTTAAATCTTGATACTAATGGAGCTATTTATTAATCTATGCCTTTCCATTACTTTATTTTTGGATTAACAATGATATTAGCTAATTACTTGCCTTGTAGATTATTTTACAAGGTTCCATAATTGTTATTGTATAGATTAAGCTTGTTTATGAGTATTATTATCAATTTAGCATTGGTGATAAGTATTCAAATTTAATCTTATTATTTTATCTTGATCTCTTGTATTTTGACAATATTTAGTAATGGAGTAGGTTTATTCTCGTTCACTAGTAGCTACAATTATGTAAATATATTTATGTTAATATTATCAGTTTGTTGATGATTTTATGCCAATCCAACTAAGTTAAGGCTTGAGTTTAGCAGTTTTAGTTGGATTAGAATTTGTAATTCGTGAGTAAGTTTTTGGGTTAAGTCTAATGATAACAACCATATTAGGAATATTTATATGGAGAAAAGTGTAATATTTAATAGAATAGGAGGATGAGGATGAAGATAATGCTAAATTGATTATGTGATATAAGAGTGTATTAAAGAGATGTTAAATAATTTATATTAGATAAACAATAAATTAATTTTTAATTAAATCTTTTTCAAATGAAAACCCATATAGAAGTGTCAAGTCAAAGAAGAAAGGGAAGAAGAGCCTAGCTTGGTGCTCCATCTAATATTAGATATAAATTAATGAGTGCTCATTTATCAAAAGATTTAAGAAAAAAATATAATGTTAGAGCATTACCAGTTAGAAAGGATGACGAAGTGACAGTGGTTAGAGGTATGAATAAAATAATAAGGAAAGGCACTCACAAGGGAACAAAAGGAAAGGTATCATCAGTGTATAGAAAGAGATGGACAATTTAGATTGAGAAATTGACAAGAACCAAAGCAAATGGTAGATATATAAATATAACAATAGGAATGCCATATTAAATACCAATCAGAGCATCATAATGCATCATCACTAAACCATATTTAAATGAAGACAGAAAACAATTGCTTGCAAGAAAGGCATCAGCTAAAGTTTCAACAAAAGGAAAGGGTGAAAAGCATACAAGTGAAAGTACAAAGAAGGCTGATTGAATTTGATAAATGTTGTAGAGAATTAATTATGCATAATAATTTAGATTTTAAGTTTATAATTTGCATCATTAATTTCGACTTGGGGATCTGTAAGGATCTATACTAGCATCTTCTCTTCTTTTATCCCAATCAACAAGGAATCCTTTGATATTCATATTAAATTTATTCAATTCAACATCCTATATTAGAAATCAAAAAATTACATGGTGAAATTTAAAGTTAAAAGCATGTTTTTCAGCTCTTTCAATCATTAATTTAGTTGTTTCAGAGACTTGTACTCTTCCTTCAACTCCACTACTTTCCATTTTATTAGCAATAGAGACATCTTTTCCATAGATATCATATCGAACAATATCAGTTCCTATGATACCTCCTGTTACTTATCCAGTATGTATACCAATTCTCATATTCAATTTATCAAATTTGATTTTCTACCTAACAGACATAATAATGTCGACCATTTAGAATCCCATCTTTACAGTATTAATGGCTTCTTAAATAGGCTAAATAAATGGATAAGAGTAAATACNAAAAGTGTAATATTTAATAGAATAGGAGGATGAGGATGAAGATAATGCTAAATTGATTATGTGATATAAGAGTGTATTAAAGAGATGTTAAATAATTTATATTAGATAAACAATAAATTAATTTTTAATTAAATCTTTTTCAAATGAAAACCCATATAGAAGTGTCAAGTCAAAGAAGAAAGGGAAGAAGAGCCTAGCTTGGTGCTCCATCTAATATTAGATATAAATTAATGAGTGCTCATTTATCAAAAGATTTAAGAAAAAAATATAATGTTAGAGCATTACCAGTTAGAAAGGATGACGAAGTGACAGTGGTTAGAGGTATGAATAAAATAATAAGGAAAGGCACTCACAAGGGAACAAAAGGAAAGGTATCATCAGTGTATAGAAAGAGATGGACAATTTAGATTGAGAAATTGACAAGAACCAAAGCAAATGGTAGATATATAAATATAACAATAGGAATGCCATATTAAATACCAATCAGAGCATCATAATGCATCATCACTAAACCATATTTAAATGAAGACAGAAAACAATTGCTTGCAAGAAAGGCATCAGCTAAAGTTTCAACAAAAGGAAAGGGTGAAAAGCATACAAGTGAAAGTACAAAGAAGGCTGATTGAATTTGATAAATGTTGTAGAGAATTAATTATGCATAATAATTTAGATTTTAAGTTTATAATTTGCATCATTAATTTCGACTTGGGGATCTGTAAGGATCTATACTAGCATCTTCTCTTCTTTTATCCCAATCAACAAGGAATCCTTTGATATTCATATTAAATTTATTCAATTCAACATCCTATATTAGAAATCAAAAAATTACATGGTGAAATTTAAAGTTAAAAGCATGTTTTTCAGCTCTTTCAATCATTAATTTAGTTGTTTCAGAGACTTGTACTCTTCCTTCAACTCCACTACTTTCCATTTTATTAGCAATAGAGACATCTTTTCCATAGATATCATATCGAACAATATCAGTTCCTATGATACCTCCTGTTACTTATCCAGTATGTATACCAATTCTCATATTCAATTTATCAAATTTGATTTTCTACCTAACAGACATAATAATGTCGACCATTTAGAATCCCATCTTTACAGTATTAATGGCTTCTTAAATAGGCTAAATAAATGGATAAGAGTAAATACATTTCGTTTTGCACTATTAGTGAATCCCATAACAACATAACAATCACCTATAGTATACATTTTATAGACATTATATCTTTGACATAGTTTATCAAATTCTGTGAAAAGATTTCTTAACATAGTTACTACACCTTCAGGAGTTTAAGTATGTGAGTATTCAGTGAAACCTTTGATATCAGCAAAGAGGAGAGTCACATCATCAAATTCATCTATTAAGTCACTTTTATCATAGATAGAACTATTCTTCATTTTAAGATAGGAATGCATAGGTAATAATTAACTGACGAGATTTATTTGTTTAACCTTCTTTTCTTCATTGATTTATAAATTATTGAACATTTATATTTATTCACTCATTGCAAGATAATATCCTAATAATAGAATGAGCATGCAACAACAAATATAAAAGATTGCATAATGAGTAATTAAGTCAGTAGAAATGTAGAATCCTAAAAATAATGCAAGCATGATCATCATATATAGTATTACTTACAGAAACGAAAACATTTTCATTTAACAAGAAACTATCATTATATAAAGTATTTCTAATAGACAAATTATTGCTACTTCTCTATTGTCAGTCAAATATGCCTAGAAAAGTACAGTGAAAATAGCATAAATAATTAAGATATAATACATAGTATTAACTACTCTATTTCTATAAGCTTTGGATAATATTGGATATAGTACAAATACTAAAATCAAGAAAATAGCCTATATATATATATATAAATTTATTACTCTCAAAACAAAGATCAACAAATCATGATCAAACAATTTACGAACGATTATTGATAATAGAGTAATAATGAAATAAGTTATCCATAAAAATATCATACCAACTCTAGATTCATATATATTTTATTCCTTAAGAATTTGATTGAAATTAGATTTTATTTCATTCTCTGGTATATCTAAAATAATATTTGGTTTAATCAACTCTAACTCTCTATCTTCTTATTCATTTGTTATTAATAATGAATCTTCAGTTAATACTTGTTCTGATATTTAAACTGGAATTGTTAATCTAGATCTATTTTCTTCTAAAGCTGAACCTTATGGTATTAACATAGGCATTGTTTATGGTCCTTTAGGAGATATTTCTACTTTATTAGATTATTTTAAATTATCCTAGTAAATTGAATTATGTAATTATGATAGAAATTCCCTTTACTTTTTCGTTTTTGAAATTCCTTTTTATCGTACTTCTTTCACTACAACCTTTGTACAATTTTACCATAATTAAAATGCTTTTGGTATTTAATAACCTATAGGTTTTGTTTTGAATACTTAATAAGTATCAATAATTCCTAAACCTTTTGCTTCCTTCTATTTCTTCTCATAGTATTTAATTCCATGTTTTGCTTATTTAAAAGCTTATTCACTAAGTGTAATTGCTCCTGTATCTCCAGTTGAACCCACTCTACTTGTTTAATTGACAGGATCTCCTATTAATGAAAATTATGGTTTATGATGACCAATAACTCCTGCAATTACACGTCCAACATGTATACCAATTTTCATTTCAATTTGATTACCTTTTCCATACTTTCTACCTTATACTTGTTACATCATATCAAAAGCCAAATTAACTAATCTCATAGTTTTCTCAATTCTTGTTACATGAGCAGTCATATTTTATTCACATGCTTTAATTCCTGTAGCAGCCATATATGTATATCCAACAGTTTCAATCTTTTGTACTCCATGTTGAATACATAAATTATCATATAATCTAAATAATGAATCCAACATTAAAACTACATTCTTACCTTCCTCTTTCATTATAGTATCAAAATCACAAATGTAAGCAAATAATATTGAAACATCATCTTAAGCTTATTACATTGAATATATCCCTGTAGATATCTGTTATCTCACAAATCTAGGAACTAATATACTCAATATATCTTAGGCAGCTACATTATCTTATTCAATTTAATATTTTGCTAAGTAATCATTTCTTCTATGTTTGATAGATTTGAAATAACTGAATAAAAATCTTATTGTGATACTCACAACTAATAAAATCTAAGTGCTAGCTGCATATACAGATACTCTACTTTGAGAATAAGTTCCATTAGATGTACTCAGATCTGTTGAAATCACAATTATCAATATTCTTACAATAAGTTAAATCAAATAACAGATATTATACAACATTATTGGTATCACACTCATATTCATTGAATTAAATGTACTAAATAATATCACTATAGTAGCAGATAATGTTATAGTCAAATCATCTGATAACCAATCAATTGCTACTTTTATTGCAAATATAATCAACACTATTAGATGTGAGTATGTATAATATTATTATTCCATTATATGACTACAAGAAAAGAGTATTATAATAAAGATTATTCCAAATACTACTAAATAGTATGCTCCTGTAAATACTCTTTAATCTGTCAAAAAGAAGTCTGTTAAACAATATGCAATATAGTATAATAATAGAATACATAAGAATAATCTTAAATGCTTTAAAGATTAAATTAATTTATGAGCTAAAAACTTTTATTCTAAAACTAATTCTTTCATTTCAAGTGTTAGAGGTTTCAATTTCATTTCAGTTACTTTTGTATCACCTGGATTCAACATCTCTTAGATATAAGGTAAAGTTGTTGAACAATCAATGAACACCTTTTATATTATGGATGAAACATTACTATTATTTAATAATAATTAATATTTACATTTATAAATCTAAACATTAATGTAAAATCTCTTTGTTTGTAATTAATTCCTACTCTACACCACTTTTATTTTTAAATGCAAATTATTAATATGCATTTGGAAAGTATAACAATTTTATTACATCATGTAAAAAGTAATTAATAAAATAACAACCAATAAGACTAAATATCATTGCAACAATACTATTAAATCTTGTAAATAATTGATATGTCAATTCCTAATAATCATAATTACTAAAATCTCCTCTATAATTAAGGAAAACAAATCCAACCAATAAACCAAAAGTGAATAGAAAAGCTATAACAACAACACTTACATTATTGCAGATCAATCTAAACAATACTTTTAAAGATGACACAGTAATAAGTATATAGATTATTGATGTTGCTACCATTTGCATATCTGATTAATAACCATCATTTGTCCATGCATAATTAACCATGTAAATACAAGAATATAATGTGTAAGCAGCACATAAGATTGACTCTAAAAAGCCTTCAATCAAATAATTAAGCCAGAATCTACGTGTTCTTATTTAACCATCTATATAAAATGCAGGAAATCTAGCATTTACTAATGGCTCTGTCTACTTATCAGCTAAACCTATGACTAATGCATTAGGAGTAGTATATAAAAAAATGTATAAAAATACTGTCATTGAATCATGTAAGGATGTAGCTGTAAATTGACAAAACCAATTAAAAAAGAATAATGTCATACCTAAGAAACCAGCACTATAAAATAAATAGATGATCATTGATGATACTCTTTCACTATGCAATTTACATTTCTATAATAATAATACTTTGATTTCAAAAAGTGTATTAACACTAATATCTCCTGCATTCACTTAAGGATAAATATGATTTCTTTTGCTGTTTATTATTTCAATACTTATATTTGCAGCTTACATCATCAATGCATCATTATATCCATCACCTACTCCTAAAACTGTAGGATTATTTGGAAAGTAATTACGAATTATCATACAAGCTAATTCTTTTTATTAAGGATTCATATTGAATCCAATTAAATTCTTACAAACACATGATAAGAACCTAAAATGACTCATTAAATCAGGTGATTCACTTATCAAAGATAATGAATGGCCATTAACCACTAAAAAAAATTTTAATACTTATTAATATGATGCTCCTTCAAAAAATGTAACACTTGTTTTAATCATACTTCTGTTTGTAATATTCTCATTCAAATGCTTATCTTATTATTTCTCTTGTATTTTTTAAAGTTCACTTTAAATTTGTCCTATAGCTGTATTAATTTATAACCATATCTATTCTTTATCAGTTGCAACAATCCTCAAATATTTTGATGCTTCCATCATTTCTAATGATTATGCACAACTGATTGTTTAAAATTCCTAATCACCACTCAATAACCAAATATCAATATTACAATCTTTAACTGTTTTTATGAAATCTAAAGCATCATTCTTTAATTCTTCTTTAAATCCTGTCATTCCCAATATATTCAATTCTTTCTCATATTCTAATGCTAATTCCTCAAGAAGTGTATCTTGATTTGTTAAAGAACTATGTAATAGATTAAATTATTATTTATAACTCTCTGTTTCTTTTTCACTCAAAACTCTAGTTGCATAGATAATCATTCTAATTCCTCTCTATTTGTAATGTTAAATATAAGAGTCTAATTCTTCTCTTTCTTTATGATTTAATTGCAATTTTGATTTTATTGCTTCATAATCTCCTTTACAAATTAATAATGAATTGTTTTTTGATCCTTCTCCACATAATTAATTAATTGCTTAGTATTTTTATTTTAATTCTAAATCCATAGTCATAGGAGCCTAAATTACTACAGAATTTAAATTTCTTGTGTATGTAAATAAATTCAATCCTAAAACTTGATACCATATAGGATTTCCTCTTATTTTACATAAATACATATCAGGACTATCAAATTTATTGAAATTTTCTAGTGAATAACCACAAGAGCGAGCAAATGTTAATGCAATTTCTTCACTTTTTGAAAAGGATTCATAAGTAATGGAATCAGCACCAAATACTAATCTAGCCTCATGACATAACATTAAGCATTTCAAAAATGCATCATAATATAATGTATTTATATCTTCAGTTTATAAGTATTCTTATTAAGGAGAACTATTTCTTAATTGATTCACTAATTAAATGAATTCATCATTATTATTTCCTGGACTATTTCTTGTTTTTGGTTATGGTAAAAATATTCTAGATTATAAGAAATCGTTTAAAGGTTATTAGACTGAGCTCTCTAAATTATGTAACATAGTCATTCTCTTATTTTATGGTAAAGCAGTTATCTAATTAAAAACTGGATTGTTATTTGATGTTTTTACACTTTTTAACAATAATTTACCACTTGGTTAGACATCAGTATGACTGCTCTTTTTATCATATTCAAATGGAATCAAATATTCATTATTATCATTGATACTAGCAAATTTAATTGGATCTTCATTTTCTTCTGGTTTGACTGATTTTGAATTTAAAGTTGTTTATAATTAATCATAATTTAAAGTAAATGACAATGAACCAAATAAGAGATTATCCAATTTTTAATAAGATGTAGTTAAAGTTCCTGTTTTATCAATTAACATATAATCAACATGTCCTAAATCACAAAGATTGTTAGAACTGTTTATTTTAACATACTTAATAATATTATCTTCAATTTAATTGATCTCATATTTAAATAAAGAAATAAAATTTACAAAATCTAATAATAGATAAAGAGTAGATGGAATTAATTGAGCATATAGTATTGCCAATTAAAAGACTTTCATTCCATTGGTAGTATTAGGATCAATTAATAATGCAAAATTACCTTCATCTGATCTTGCCAATAGAACTATGATTGATATCAAAGTAAAGAAGAGTGATAAACAAGCCATTAGAAATGAATAGAAATTGCATTGTTTTTCTTCAAAACTATGTTTTTATGCATTGTAATGACTACTTTGCATAGTTTTAGTATTTTCACCAACATATACAACTAAACCAAATAACCATGATGTTTATTTTATCTTAGTTCCTTTAGGGATGAAATTGTCAATAGTTAATTCTTCATTTTTTGGATCCTTCTTTAATTTTAATCTTCCATGAAATCTTTCAGTATTTCCATTTGGTGCTTCATATTCCAGTTTCCCAGTTAACATTTTCCTATATTCTGGAAATTAATTCTTTAATCTTGTTCTTAAGACTATCAATTATGTTAAATATGATGATTTCTTCTTTGTTAAAGTAGATTTGCCATCATAATATTAAGTGTCAACCATACAGATTGCCTCTCTATCTCTAACTTATCCTGTATCTAATAAGATCATATCTGCAGGTACAATGTCTCCTTTTATAAGATATAGAATATCTCCAATTTAAATGTCACTCCATTTTATAGTTTCTATTGAACCATCTTTGGCTCCTCTAGATGTTGTTTGCATATTTATTTTATGATCATGACTCTATCTACGTATGTCTAGTATGAATTCCATTAAGACATAAAATATCACACTCAATCCAATAGGGAATATAGTGATCCATCTATAAAATGGAGATAATGTTGGATCAATCAACATTATTAAGGAAATCCCTAAAAGATAAATATTTCCAAATCTTTCCAATGCATTGAATAATGTTTTAGGTAAAAAGTTATATAACTAACATTATCATGAACATTACTCTATATTTTCTAGTGTTGAAAATGTTTTTGTTTTAAGGTACACTCAATAATTGAACATTTCCCTTATGCAATTCCATGGTTATCATCTATGAATCACTTCCATAACAGAAGTTCAAACATTCACGGAATCTCCTCAACCATGTTTCTACTATTTATTGATGGTTATAATTCATATATTAATTTAAATGTAATAATCAAAAGCTGCATTGGAAATAGGTGGAACATTTATTTAAGTTGGTATTGGCACTAAAATAGATAACAAATGGACATTAACCAATAAAAAGACATTTGATACAAGAGATCCAGAAGATACTCTAATTGATCTAGTCACTTATTTACAATAATTTCAATTTGATTCAATTTAAATAGCATCATTTGGTCCTTTATGTTTAAATAAAGATGATCCAAAATATGGATCTATTACATCCACTCCTAAACTCAAATGGCAGAATTTCCCTATTGCAGCTAGATTATCATAATAATTAAAGAAACCTTTTGCAATTGACACTGATGTTAATGCCTGTGCTATGGCTGAATTTATGTTAGGTAATCATAAAGTAAGATAATCACTTGCTTATATTACAATTGGAACTGGAGTTGGTGTAGGTATAATAGTGAATGGACAATGTGTACATGGAATGTTACATCCAGAAGGAGGTCATATTTTAGTTGCTAAAAAGGAAGAAGACAAAGATTTCAAGGGAGTTTGTGCATTTCATGGAGATTGTTTAGAAGTACTATTATAAATATGATATCATTAGGGATTATGTACAAATGTTGCAATAGCTAAGAGATTGAATTGTTCTATTACTGAATTACCAAATGTTAGTGATGATCATCCAATATGGGAATTGATAGGATTCTATTTGGCAGAAGCATGTCAAAATTTATTATATCTATTGTCAATAGAAAAGATAGTATTAGGAGGAGGAGTTATGAATAGGAAACTCTTGTATCCCATTATTGATAAGCACTTAAGAAGTTTAGTCAATAAGTATGTGGAAATACCAGAAAATTACATTGTGGAACCAGAAGTAGAAGATGTTGGATTAATTGGTGCATTATTATTATAATGATAATTTATCAATTATTTTGATCTCTTCTATATTTCTTAAGGTTTATAAATTGATATGAATTTTTTAATAGGTAAATAAATATATAATAATATCATTTAGTTTCAGATTATTTTATAGTAGTCTTTTCCAAATTGCTTTCTGGTTATTAAACTTATTTTGATACAGTATCATCTAATTTTGTTATTTTCTTAATTGGAACTTATTTTTATCCAGATTCATAGTAGATTGATTATTGCATTGGTATTGGTTGCATTTGTTTAGTTTAATATAATGGTTATGGTTGATGATAAGTTTAATATAAAACTTATGGTTATCTTGGAGAACTTAATATTTTTGATTAAGGTGAACTCAATATTTATTGTTGAGGTACATAAGTTTATGAATAAACAAGTTTAGTTGGAGACATTTATCGTTTTTCTTGATAGAATGGAATCAAGTTACAAATTTTATCTCTAAATTAATCGATTACTTATTTTAAATCATTCCAACTTGGTCTTGCATTTTCTTCAATTTATAATAGTTCTCTTACAAAATTTGTTAATAATTATGAATAACCTGATCTCTTTACTTTTTATAATTTTGAATCAACTAAATGTTATGATATACAACCATTCTAAAAATCCATGCAATCATAAGATTCTTCTAAGAGTAAGACTTCCAATAAAGTCATTCCAAATGAAAATACATCACTTTTATATTCATTATGTTATGCTTTAAAATTCATATTTCTATAATTGTTTAATAATGTAGGTGATAGATAAGCTCTATCCTTACTTAATAACATCTTCTGAAATCCATGTTAACCACCAGGAAAATAATTATATTCTGCCAACTTTACACTTCCATTCTCATCCAAATATATGTTTTATGGTTGAATATCTCCATGAACTTATTTCTATTCTTCCAAAAATGCCAAAGGATCTACTATTTATTATATTAATAGCCAAATATGAGATTCAGGATATCTCTTAAGTGGTTATCTTCTCTTTTTCAATTCACTTTCTAATGTGTCAGGAAAATATTCTGAAACAACTATCACTAAACTGGAATCAGAACAAATTGATTATTCATTACAAGTACGAACAGCCAGTAATTACACTAAATTAGGATGTACAAAGATTTTCCTCTTTCTTAAATGGTTTGTTATCTGTGTTAATTCAGTATCACTTTTAGTTTACAATTTCTTAATACAAATCATAGTATTATTCTAATTATAACAGCTGAATTACTTAATTATGATTGTACAACTTCACTTATCCAAATTAGTTGTGATCAGATTCTCTTTCCTTTGAATATTGTAGTAAAAACATTTGGTACTATTATTATGTCTTCATTTCATTAGTATCACTTTAATCAGCTCCCATTAACGAATAAATTAAATTAATATCATTAAATAAAACTTTTATTTCAAACATTTTAAACTGTAATTTATATATAATACATAGACATTCATTTTGAATTTCTATTCAAATTTAATATAAACATTTAAACTTATTAGATATAATAATAATATAATTTATAGTATTAAATTAATATATATTTTATAGAAATATAATTCTTCAAATTTTTTAATAATTTATCTTAAATTATCATATAATGAATTAGATATATTTAAATGTATTATAAAACCTAAATCTAATTTTGAAATTAAAATCTATAACAATTTTATTTTATAATTCATATTATTTTTAAGAAATTTAATATCTATTTATTATATATATATAACATATTCAATACACTCTGGCTTTTTCATCGAAATCTTATTCAAATTAATTATCATACATTAAATCTTAACCATTTCCGCTAAAATCTTCATCTTCATAATAAGAAAAAGTAAATGTACTAGATCCTATTGAAGACTATATAATAATTTAATTTATTATTTACTGAATAATTTTCAGAATGCACTAACTTTTATTCACTATTTGAAGTATCAGAATATTCAACATCCATATTTTGATTTCCTTCTTATAGTTATTAATTCCCATTCTATTGACTATGACCAGAATTATAAATAATTTGATATTTATTCTGTCGACCCAACAAATGTTTTTAAATATGTGAATAAAATCTATTTTTCACCATATTTTCCTACATCATTAAATAATTTTACAGATCTTCCCTTTAAATGAGAAGCTACAACACTCCATTTTGCACCATATTAATTATAATATTTAACAATCTCTTAATCCTCTTATTCTGTCCAAGGTACAAAATTAAGTGCAGGATCTAATTTATTGAGATATCTTTCTCTAATTTATTTCCCTGTCCTCCCTTAAAAATGTCTAGCCAATTTAGTCCAATTCTTTCCCTCTTAAGCTACTAATTATACTAATTTTGTATCTTCATCTTAAGTCCATTTTTATTTATTCTAAATATTATCATTTTTTAATTAACTTAAATAGGATTTATTCTTCTCCATCGCTAAGAACATTATGAAATATTTCGTTCAGGCATAAATTAAATTATTTTACTCCAATTTCCTTAATATTCTTGATACAACTTTCTAAGACGTTGATCCTCTTCAGGTTACCAAATTTTTACAACTCTTTTATCTCCATCTTGTTTCTCTTTTGTTTTAGTTATTTTCTTCTTTAAACCCTTCTCTACTTTCTCTTAAGATTTGGAACTATTATAAAATAATATTAATATCCTCTTACCGCATTACTTAATGATCTTTCATTTAATAATGATTTCCTCTATTATCATCTACCATTTAATATTCAAACTAATTCTCTTAAATGTTGTCTTCTTCGAAACTACTCTTTTTTTATTATTATTTTTCTTCATTTAATTATAGATAATTATCTGTAGGTGATCCAATTGATGATGTAGGCTTGGATTCTTAAAAATTTCAATAATTTGTGCTACTTATTAGTTCATTCATTGCAGTTTTTCCAATGTCTAACTCAATCCTTCTTTGTTCTAAAAATTGTTCCTCTTAACTTTTATTGCTATTTTGTGATTTTGTATCCTTTTCATCTCTTTGCCGTTTGGAGCAGCAAAAATTAAATACAAGGTCTAGAAACATCTTTTTGATGCTTTACTTGTTATTTAATAATTTATTAATTACTTGATTCTTACTAATTATATATATATTTGTTTGATTTAATTAAATTGTATTAATTATTGCATTATTATTTCTAATTTCTATTAATACAAGGTATTAATTATAATAAAATAAAATATATTTGATATGAAGCAAATGGAAGAGGAATTAATAAATTAAAAAAATATTCGTGAGAAGACAGGATTACCAATAAGAAGATTCTATTCTGTTAAAATTAAATGTTTAATATGTTTGGATGATTTTGTAAAAGATGATGAAATTTTCAGAACAAATTGTGGAGACACCTTCCATAAAAATTGTATCTAAGAACTTATTGGAAACTGTTTGAAAGAAAGATATTAATAACTTTTTTGTCCATCATAAGGCTGCAGTAATATTTGTGATTTAAATAATAAATAGAAGAAAAATTATCAGCATCACTTTTGCCCAAATTAGGATTCAATTATCAACAAATTAATATCTATTTTAGTGCATAATTAGAAGAATTAGTACTTAAACATTAAAATAGATTCTCATGTTGTCCAACACTTGGATGTTAAAACATTTTTATCATTAATTAAAAAGAATCACCTTAATTTTATTGTGAATTTTGTGACAAAAAATATTGTTTAAGATGTAAATCAGATTCACATCCTTAATTCACATGTGAATAATTCTAATAATCAAAAAATAAAGAAGTAAAAAATCAATTTATATATAATAATTATAGAATAATGAAAGAGAATTTAGAAAGTTAGTTGAAAATATGAATTGTAAATAATGTACAAATTGTGGAGCTTGGATATTTAAAGAGAAAGTAATAAAATTATATGAAATTAGGGATGTAATCATATGAAATGTAAATGTACATATGAATTTTGTTATAAATGTGGACGAAAGTATAGACATCCAGATTGCAAATGTCCCTTATTTGACCGAGACAATTTACCATAACCTTGACAAAAATTACATATTATTGAAATATATTAATTATTATTAAAAATTGATGTATATTCTTTATGGGTGAAAATAATAATTGTTTCTAATTTAAGAGCTACAAAGAAGATGAGAATTTCTTGAATTTAATTTAATATATAATAATTGATTTTTTTTAATTAAAAATAAATTTTGATATTATAAATTAACTTCGATATTAAATTGAAGGTGAGAAGTGAAATAAATTTAAAATTTCAAAATTCCAGAAGAGAGGACTAGCATAACATAATTTAAAATTAATTCAGCAACCAATAAGTTTAACTTCTATTATAATTCCAATGTAAAAATAATTATAAATTTTGATAATTTCAATATTCATTCCTTTAAATTCGTCATTTCGTTATGCTGCTTTTTTATGATTTAATATAACTTTTCCACATCTTTTGAAATACAATCTAATTCTTTTGTTTATTGTCCAAACTTCTCTATAATTAGTGTTTTATTTATTCATACTTTAAAGTTGTTAAACTTCCAAATAAATGGCATAAGAAAGTTAACTTAAGGATTTTTATTGTAAGCCTGGAGTCTATCCATTGTGAGTACAGGATATAGAATTAGGTTATTATTTCTTGATAGTAATTTTTCCAGAACATGCATCAATTAAAACAAAGACATTGTTGCAGAGTATTTTTCTCTTTCTTTTTCTTTAAGTTGAAAAAAAGTTAGCTGAGTCATTGAAGTAATTTCTGAGTATATGTTTTGCTGATGAATATTTAACCTTATGGAGAATAGCAGCCTAAAATAATTAATTATTTTCAATTCTTCATTACCTAATAAATTGGAAGTCGATCATTAACTACACTCAATATTAACTTTGTTTTTATCTCCTAATCAATTGCTTTTCTTTATTTAGTTTTATCCTTAGTTTATTCTAAGATAAGAACAGGATTTTATTCCATTTTCAGAAGTATTAAGAGTTATTAAAAATACTCTGCACATTTAAGATTTGGTTAATGTGATATATATATATATATTAAGTAAGTAGAATGATTGGATTTTATACTTTTTTTGTATAAATTACAAGAGGAAATTTGGTCAAATTTTAGATATATAATTGTGGATTAATTCATTTTTGAAAGGTGTTTTAAATTTATTGTGTAACTACTTTGGGCTCAAGAATAATTTTTTGTAAATTAATCAATTGAATAATAATAAATTTCAAAGTCAACTCACTTCATCTTAAAAACATTCAAATATAAGTTCTCCTTATTCATTTTCATATTCTCTAATTCTATCCTCTGTTTTTAATTCATTCAATTCAACTGTTTCTGAATTATCAAGTGATGTATCTTTTGGATGAAACATATGAGCACATAAATCTAATACTGTTTTTTTGTCTATCTCAGCTGCTTCATTCTCTAATCAATTCATATTTATAATTATATACCTGTATTTATTACACTGTAATATTCAACAAATTCACTTATTCTCTCAACAAATCTACATTCTTCCATCTATTTTGCAAAGTTCTCTTTACTCAAATAAGATAAACAAATTAAAACATGCATTAATACACTTACTTATATCTAATCCTTCATGAATTTTAACAATTATTCCATAACCTAATGAGCAAATTTCCCTTATTTCTCAAGATATTATAATGTGTATGGAGTATGAATCACATTTGCTAATGTAGCAGATGCAAAATCAAGACAAAATATATGAATTTTTGTATTTATTGATTTTTGTATTAATTAGATGATCCATTATATCATTTCATTATGAACATATGTTGGTATTACAGTATCTTTTATACTAGCTTTTTATAAAATTGCTAAACAAAATCTTTAAGTAACAGAACCATTTTCTTATTCTTTCAAAATTTTTATTATTTTCTCTATAATTATCATATTACCATTATATGTTAAATATTCTACACCTCTTAAAGTACTACTTATTACACTTATTAAACTTGTAATTGCATGTCTCAGACTCTAATTATTAATATCTAATAAATGAACAACAAAATCAAATTTCTCTGTTGCTTCAATATTAAATACATCATTTCTAATTAATTCATAAACTAAATTCTTTCTCAACTCAGGTGCTATTTATAACGCATTTACTCTTAGAGATAATAACACTTCAATCATTCCATCTACATGTTTATCTTGAAAGTTCTTAAATAGTTTTGTTTTATGTTCATGCATAACTTATTCAGTAATTAATTCAGTTCCTTCTGGTTTACCTTCATTGATTATCACTTTATGATACTTTCCCAATTAAATTTTATAATTCTCTAAAGTTTCACTTAAGTTCTCATTCTTGGCTGTTTCTTTGAGAGAATGCAATAATTAAAGTAGATTGATACTTACAGAGAAGATTTGTCTTCCAGCTTATAGGATTTATTAATATTTTTTATTGAAAGCTTTTTATTCCTTTTCCAAATTAATTTCTCTTTTAGTTTTTGTATTGTCACTCTTAAACAATTGAAATAATCTTGGAGCGTCATCTCCTATTTATTTAGATTATTATTATTTATTAAGCATCTAAAAGTAAGAATTATGGAAATGAGTACTTTATTAGAAACTTATTTGCTCTTGATTTCAGCTTCAAAACATTCAAGAGTGTTTGAAAAAGATGAATATCTAAGATACTCTTTAATGTATTCATTGATTTCATTTTAATCAGGTTGAATAGAATTAGGCAAATTTGAATTTGCAGATTTCATTAATATAAAAATATCAATAAATACACAATTTCTTAAGTTTACTAAATAATCCACTTAATTAATTTAAATAATTTTATATTCAAGATTTGTCTTTATTTAATAATTAAATCTTATTATTTAAAGATACTTTAAATTTTATATTAGATTTCTGAGATTTATAAATGTTATTTTACCTAATTTAATAATTTATTTATAATCCTTAAATATAATCTTTTATTTTATATCCTCATTTCCATTTCTGTCTTAAAATTAATCTTATTTTATGAATTTTATGAATCTGAATAATTGTTAAAACTTATCGTTTCTAATTTATCTCATCCTTTTTTATTTTAAAGTTTTGAGTATTATGAATGTAGACTTTATTATGAAATATCTAAATTTTTGTGTCAATAATATTTAATTACTTTTCATCATCATTAGTATTAGATTAAATAATTTATTATTTATAATGCTCTACTCTTTATGAACAAATCAAATTTATATAAATTCTTCCAAATCAGAACTCATTTTTTTTAATTTTTAGATTTATACATGTTATTATGATCTAAACATATTGTTAAACTTAACCATTTCTTATACTTTATATCCAATCAAAATCTTGATTTCATTTTAGAATTATTTCATATATTCTTCTTGTTATAATATTCGTTTTTTTCTCTCTTCTCATCATACTCAATAATTGCACTTATTTAACTATTTCTATTTCATTTATTCTTAAATAAGAGTATAGAAATCCATATCATTTTGACATACCTCCAATATTTTCTAGAATTATATAAATTCCATATTACTTTTTGTATCTGATCTGAAATTAGATTCAACAAAGTTCTTGAGTAATAGTCCAAATAATATCCCTTAAAGAATATAGAGACATGATAAATTGTAGATTTGTTATTATGTAATCCTAATTAAGATTGTTTAAAAATAGTGGACTAAATTATTCTAATTGGGGGAATTCAAAAGAAAATGGTTTAATGAGATGTTTAATTGCACTGTTATTTTATTGCATATTTATATTAATGTAAATGAATGTGTGTTAAGAATTAACAAAGGAGCGGGAGTTGAAATTAAAATGAAGAATAAAAAGACAATCTCTTGAGGAAAGTTTATAAAAAATATTTTGCATATTATAATATATTAGTAATTAAGTTAATAGCACTTCTTTTGGATTCACAGTTTTAAATTATTTGAAATAATTCATAGACATACTTAATGGCTAGTGAGGAAGAAGTAAACATTGAGGATGAAATTATTGAGGAATCATAAGTAGAAGACAATCCAAAAAAGAAGAAGGACAAGAAAGATAAGAAAATAACTATGAAGCTAGACTAGAAAAAGCCAATTGATGGTAAATAGCAATTTGGTGATAAATCTATATGTCGATTATGCAAAGTGACTACTCAATCCACTCCAACTATAATCTGTATAAGGTGTCACTTTAAATACCACAAGGAATGCATACGAACTTAAAACAAAGAGCCATAATTCCAGGAAGGTACTAAATGGTACTGTCTCTCATGTATAGAGAGAATGGCCAAGAGAAAATTGAAAGAGTCGGAACCATAGAAAAAGAAGAAAACTAGTCAAATCCCTGAATTCTTTTAGAAAACCTTATAACCACAAGAAGATAAATTGAAAAAACACACAGAATTTCAATAAAAATATCCAACCTATGTCTAATAAGGAAGAGTAATTTTTCCAATATTTGATGAATATCTGACAGCATATCAATAATTGTTTACCATAGAAATTAAAAAGAAGCCTATTCTCCAACTTGATCCAACTATTCCCCAGAACCTCTTTGAAGATATTCTTAAGATATGGGATAGTTATAATTATATGGATAAAATAGTGAGTGACATTCTCTATGCAGGAGAACAGTAAACTGAATGTATTTCTATACATAATATAAAAAGAGTAAAGTTAAGTTAATAACATTGGTACATTGATTCATTTCAAAGACAATCACACACCCTATAGTTAAAAAACTCGCTTAGAGATATATAATATAATATAAACCAAACCTGAAGAATTGATCCTCTTCTTTTGTTACTTCTATCTTAAATAAATAATTGAGGATTTAGATTAAGAATAAATGTAAAAATAATCATATGTAATTCATATCACAATATATCTAGAAAATCCCATATTGGCACCTACTTGGATATATGTGGTTTACAAATCGAATCCGATATTATGAATTATTAAGGGATGACATTAAATAATTGCCAACCAATATCTATAAACAAGGAATTCTACCTTTGACATAAGATATGATAGACTTTTCTGATTACACAGACATCAAGAAAGTGTGTAAATTACTTATAGCTTTATCAGATGGATTGACTGGTCTAAAGAAAACTTAGTTTTTATATCAATTCAGAACTGAAAATCTCCTATCTAATAATAGAATCAAATAATAATTAGGCACATAGATTAAATAATAAAGAAGTTAATAAATTGACATTAAAAAAGAGATAATTGAAGCTGAAGGTAACATATCAATTGCCAAAGTATAATTTCTTATAATATATTAGTCTTAATTAAAATAAGATGGTTTAACAAGAGTTGAATCACAGAAATTTACAAAATAAATGGAATAAGCTTAAAAATAGGCATAAAAATTAAAATAATAGTATTCAAAATTAGAAAAAGAAATAGCTTCTTTAACAGAAAGATATAATTAATAAGATAAGGTAACTATGTATTAATATATTTATTAGGAATTGGCTATTACTTAAATGCCAGCTTTATTATTAAATCCATCTATGTGTTTAGGTCAGGATGCTAAACATAGTTCATATTATTTCTTTTTATATGAACCTGATAAAATATTTGTATGTATGAGACATTCTATTATTGATGATGATGGATCATAATAATGGGGATTTTATGATTAGACTGATATCTAAAATCTACTTAATTCTTTATGTCCAAAAGGTGTTAGAGAAAACACTTTAAAGAATAATATTATTGAATTATAAAGGGCTAAATTGTTATAAATAAATGAGTAAAATTAAGAATAGAATAATGATTAAATAGAATAAGAGAATAATAAAAATGGGAAAGGTGTAGAGAATGATATTGAATAAGAGGTTCATAATTAAAGTGAAGAATAAATAGAGAGAATAAATAGTTTAATAAATTTAGATGTAGATGAACTTGTTAATGAATTTGTTGAAATTGAATCAAGTTTAACATAATATTTAAATTAAAAAAATTCAAGATGGTGTAGTACTGAATAAAGAATTGCATTTTTAAAGAGTTTTTAGAATGTTATTGAAAAAAAGAGTTCACAAGAATATGATGAAATAGATCTCAAACCTTTAGGAAAAGCTATTGAATATTTTGTAGATAATACAATGATGTAAGAGAAATTAGAACTCAGATTAGATGAAGATATAGATGAGAAATTATTAAATGAAAATGAAGATGATTCTTATTAATAACCTAATAGAAGAAGAAAAGTTGTTGAAGATGATTCATCTGTTGATGAATAACCTTAAACTATGTTACAATAATTAGAATAAATGGATATTGGAAAAGTAAGAGTAAGAAAATTACCAATGAAATTATTTGGTACTTATTATGAGACTTTACGATTGAATTTAATTGAACAACTCAAATTTGATTGTAATTTAGCAAAAATGAAGATTTGCTTAGAAGTATTAGGTCAAATTGTTAAGGATTATATTGACAGAAAAAAGATTCAAATACAATAATAAATTATACCTGTTGGAGAAAAGAAAAAGGTGGAAGAAGTAGTTGTTGTTGTTAAAAAGAATGTTGAACCTCAACCTTAATTTGTTTAAGAAGCATAATTGTATGTTACTCAAAATTTGAGGAAAAGAAACTAAGTAAAACCTTAATATACTGAGACAGAAACTAAATGGGAGGACAGATGCAAGAAATGTAATAAAGGAGGAAAAGTTATTTGTTGTGATACTTGTCCAAAAGTATTTCATCCAAAATGTATAAATTTAAAGGAGGTTCCATAAGGGAAGTGGAACTGTCTTAATTGCTTAACAAATTTTGAGAGATAAATTAAAACAAGAGCTACTATTAGAAAGTTAGAAAACCAATGAGACAATGATCCATTGTTTTTATTATTAAATAATGATTTGTGATTTAGTTGATTATACTCTAAGAACAACTCCAAATAAAGGAAGGTTTTCATAGACCAACACAACAACATCCCCTAACAGTTCTAGCAATTCATCTTTCGAAGCTTCTTAACTTAAGATCCCACGACCTTTGTTAAGTTTTGATGAAAAATTTGAAGCTTCTCTTTGTGCTTTTGGTAATAGGTTTATAATCCATTTTAGAGTTTAAATTATTAGTCCCTGAAGAAGATGGCTTAATAAATTTTGAACAGTTCAGTTAAGAATTGATATAAGACAAACTTATATTCTTGAATGATGAAAAATATTTATAATAGTAATAGGCATCATTAGAGATTTTAGAAGAGAATGTAACGCATTTAATTAAAAAACTTAGATTCTTAAGGATGATAGAACCACTTTGATGCTCAAAAATATACCAAGAAGCATGAAGCCAAATGACTTGAGAAATATTTTAAATAAAGAATTTCGTAATCTCTATGATTTTTTCTATTTACCTTTGGATAACAATGTATTTCTAATTTTATATTTGAAGAATGAAGGTCATTTGGGATATGCTTTTGTTAATTTTATCAATCAGGATGTAGTATTAAAGTTTTATAGAACATTTAATAATTAAAAATGGACTAATACAGAGAAAGTAATTCTAATTTTATTAATTGTAGTAAATTTGTCAATTGAAATATGCTAAATTATAGGGAAGAAGACAATATGAATTTGCAAGATGATTGAGTTTCAAATAGCTATTTTTGTGTATTTTTTTTTCAAATTTTGATTTAAATTCATTCAAGGATAATATGGAGCTAATAGTTTTTAATTATATAAATCATTTAAGTTTAATGAAGAATAAACCTCTGAATCTGTTAGGATTTATTCAAAGTTCTTCACTTTTTTCATTCTTTTCTATGCATTTTTAGTCAATAATTATTTAATTAATAATTTTACAGACCTTAGAATAATTACAATATCAACTTATCTATGCACTATGGAAATTCAACTTTATCATTCACAATAGCCTAATATACTTCATATGGTGTCTTGCCCTTAAAAGGAAGTTCCCCAGTTGAGAACTCATACAATAATACTCCTAAACTCCAATAATCCACACTATTATTATAACCTTATCCTTAAATTGCTTCTGGAGCCATAAAACCTGGACTTCCACATAATGTATTTGTCTTTTAAGGATACTTTACCAATTTACTCAAATCAAAATCCACTAATTTTATATATCCATTTTTCATAAGCAATAGATTTTCAGACTTTAAATCTCTATAAATCACATCATTTTTATGTAGATAATCCAAAGCTAATATGATTTATGCTGAATAAAATTGAATTGCTTCCAATTCCAATTAATGATTGCGTATGTATTTATATAGTGATTATTCATGTAATAGTTCCATTAAATAATATGCAGAATTATTACAGATCTCATATTAGAATACTTTAACAATGTTTGGATGATTCAAGAGTTATAATCTTTAGAAAAGCTGTTCTGAAAATAAATTTAATGAAATCTATTTAGCTGCATATTTCTTCTAATCTCTTTAATTTATCACTTCAACAACCTGTCCTTATTCTCCCTCTCCTAACTTCCTAACAAAGACATACCCACTCATTAATTATATCTAATAATTCCACTTTATTGACTACAAAATGCTATAAACTTACTCAAATTATAAGTCACTTTTAAAGAATCCTCATCCAAATTAAATTAATGTTTTAAAAAAAAGAACATTATTTAATTGAAAATACACAATAACTCATTTAATATCTTTCAGAATTGTGCTTGCAAACTTTGAAATAAAATCTTTTAGTCCTGCTATTGATTTATTTAATTCGTTTCTATAAATAATAATAATTATTAATATACTAATTTTTAGGTCCATTTACTTTTTCTAAATCATCTATACTTCTTATCAATATTCCTATCTTTTCTAAGGCCATTACATAATCTTTCTTTATTTAATCCAAATCCTCATTAATCTTAGCCTTTATCTCTTAATTCTTTTTATCATGAATCAACTATTTATAATAATTTAATTGCTGAACTAACTATAAATTTAATAGAATTCATACTTTAACTTATAAGATCTTTAATTCTGCCTCTAATTATTATCCTTATGCATCATTTATCACTATGCTTCTATTTTATATTGTATTTTTCTCAAGTTCTTATTATTATTAATTAATATAATCTTAGTACTTTTAAACTTAATTCAAATAATTTTAATTCTAACTTGATAATTGCTTAATCTCTTTATTTAATTTATCCTTATCCAACTCACATTATGCAATTTATTGGTTCAACGAATTTAATTGATTCTTTTATAAATTATAATTCTCTCTTAATTATTCTAATTCTTATTATTAGGATTTCAATTTAATTTCTTATTATTCTAATTATTTTCCATTTTATTCTTTTAAAGCACTCAATTCTGAAACTTAACTTTCTAATTTATCAACCTTTTTTTAATTTTATTATAATTTAGTGTTCTCAATTTAAAGTTTACTTAACTCTTCTAATTTCTCATTTAAAGTCTATTGTAATTCTGAATTTTCTTAACTAAGATTAGTTATTTATTATAATTATTACTAAATCTCACTTTCATATTATTCTCTAGAATCTGATAATTAAGAATTAACATTTTGTAATTATTAATTTAATTTATTTAATTTTTCATCTAATTCTTATTTTTATTTGGTTATTAATAACAAATTATTTTGAGTCTACAACAAACTCTATTCTAATTAAGTAACATTATTGGTTAATTAATTAATTTATTTTTCTGACTATTCTCTATATTGTTATAATTATTCTTAAATATTTTTCTATTATAAATCTATTAATTCTTTTTCCTCTTTTTCAGACAACAATTTTTAAGTTATTTGTAAATTTTAAGAATTTTGATCATTAATTTAAGAACTCATTTGTTTAATTTAATCATTTTGCCTTTATTTTTCTTCCTCTAATTTTAAAATTTATTATTTTTATTTTTCTAATTCTTATTTTGTAGTATTTTATATTTATTATAGTATTTCAATCTTATTTTATAATTCTTTATTCTCTTAATTAATTTAATTATTTTCATTCTTAGAACTTTGAAGTTTACTATTTAAACTTTATATTTCTTATTATAATTAAGTAGTTGCTTGATTTGATTAATCAATTTAACTCTTAAAATATTTAATAGATTCATCTAATTAGTTCATTGATTCATTTTTTGATCTTATTTATTAATTCAATACACTAATTTATTCAGTTAATAATTATTCTTATTGTTATTTACTTTAAGATAATGATTATATTTATTATTTAAGATTTGCAATTTGATCATCCCTTGTTTTTATTTGCTAATTTAATTATTGAGCTTGAGATTAACTTTAATCTTGTAATTATCTTTAAATGAGTTCCTTCATTTCTTCAGCATTAGCAGCACTATTCTAAATATCAATTAATTGTTTTTTCAATAAATCAATCATTTCATTTTTATTATTTATATTAGAATCACTTTCTTTAATTTACCTTTACATTTCTAATTACAACCTCTAAATTTCTTCCTTTAAAATCTTAATTTCATAAACTTATTGTTCTATTTTACTATTTAAATTTTATTCATTTTCAAATAGATTAATTTATTTCTTTTAAGCTTCATTCTTCAATAATTAATTAGCACTTATAGCAGCTTATAATTATTATTATATCTAAATAATATCTTATTGATGATCCTCTTCCAATCTTAATTTTTCTTCCTTCTATTATTTTATTGTATTTTATAATTTGAGTATTTCACAATTAAGATTTGATATTTCAAATTCAAATGTACTAATTTATAAATTAAGAGTATTAATTTTTTATCCAGCAATTTATTCATTTTCTTAACTTTCATTAATATAATCTTAAAGTTCTTGAATTATTTATGTTTATTTAAATAATTATTATTTTAATTGATCTGAAGTTTGCTCAAATTATTTTGATAATTAAGATTTTTCTGATTCTTTTAGAGTTATTACTTAAGATAATTATGCCACTTCTAAATTATATGATGCAATTTTATTATTGCAATCTTAAATTTATTAATTAAGTTTTTTCTCATTAGTCTACTTATCTAAAATAATCTAATTTAATTCATTTTATTTCTCAAATAACTTTTATGCTTATTCTTCATTTTAAGAATTCTTATCTTCAAGATTACTTTATAAAGTTTCTATCAAATTTTATTATTATGTTAATTTTTCTTCCATTTAATTTATCTTATTATTTGATTTTTGTATATTAAATTCTGATTCTTTTATGTATTTCTAAAATTCTATATTTTATTTATCTTTTTAACTCTATAAATCTTAAATAAATTATTAACAAGACTCTTAATCCTCTTCATATTTTTATTATAAATTATTATATAATTCTTTTTAAGAAATTAATTAATTTTATACTTCTTCGTATTACAATTTCAATTCATTATAATTATCTTCTAATTCAGATTAACTTTCCTTCAAAGTCTGAATTTACTATTTAAATTCTTTATCACTTTCACTTTTTTCATCTTCTATCCTTTTTTATCTTTCAATTAATACATTTCTCTCTTAAATCAATTAATCAATTTAATCTTTCTATTAATTTAAATTTTATTAAAATTCTGCAATCTAAAAATCTAAATTCAATATCTAAGCTTCTTTCTTATTTAAAATGGCTAATTTAGCTTATAGTTCTAAATCATAATTTTATTGATTTTCTTAAAGTGTTTAAGATACTAATTAAAGTTCTTCATTCATTTATTTATTAACAGCCTCAATCTCTAATTTCTGTTTTTCAATTATCTCATTACATTCTTTAATTTCTTTATCCTTCTATTTTATTTTAGATTTTAATTCATCTATTTCAATTGTTTATTAATCTAATTCTTTATCATACTACTCAATACATTCCATACCTACCTATAATTTCATTTTTAAATCTTAAACCTCTTGATTTAATTGATCAATCTCCCAATCCTTCTAAGCAATATCATCCATTTTCTTTAATAATTATTCATATGAATAATCCTCTAATTGCTTATATTCTTTCTCAGATTCTTATTTTAATTTTTCCAATTATAACTAAATACTTGCAATTTCTTCATTTTTCTATATAACTGTTGTTGTCAAATCTTCTTCCTTTGTTTCTAATAATTTTAATGTATTATTATAGAGTTCCTCCAAAGATTTATTTTATTACTGTAATTTTAAATACGATCCCTCAGTTTGATTAAACTTTTCAATTTAATCTGTTAATTAAGTAGTCAACTCTTCTAATTCTAATTAAGTATCTTTGATACTTTTAGCTGATTGTTCTAATTACTTTTGCTTATTTTAATTTTCTAAAGTGATTCCTTCAATAAATTTCTATTGTTCTTAAATTTTAATAATTTGCTATTGCATCTAATTATTATTTCCCTCAATAGTCTCTTCTAAAGACTTAATCATAGCTTCTTTATCTATAATAATGTTTGACAATTCTTCAATTTTATCCTTTCCTTCTTTAATTTATGAATTTAAATCACTAATCTCCTACTATTTTTAATTAGTTTCAATTTGATGCTTCAATTATTCTTCATTCATCTTTCCACCAATATCAGAAAGTTCTAGAGTGTGTTATTAGATTTTAGTCTATAATTATGATTATAATTATAAATATTCTAATTCTTTTCTTTAGATATCACTCTATAAATTTTGGATGGTTTCAATATGTTAATCAACTTGTTCTTATAATTCATTTATTTTTTATTCTGCTAAATCTAATTCTTAATTTAATCGTTTCTCTTCTTAAAACTTCGTTTCTCTATATTCATCATATGTATTCTTTAATTCTCTAACATGAATTTGTAAGGAATCATTCAAATTTAATTATTTAATATTTTCTTCTTATTATTACTAAATCTATAAATTTAATTCATCCATTTATTCATCCTTTTATATCAACATCATATTCTTAAGTTGTATCAAATCTTAATTTTTTTTATTTATTTCTGCTATTCTTTATTCTTGAACGATCTTTAAATCTTCAATAGTTTATTTATATGTTAATTCTACTTATTTCTTTTCTTCAACTAAATATTAAAGTTCTTCTAATAATTATTACTTATTCTATTCTAATTTTGAAATCAATTCTGATTATTCAACATTTGTTTATATTTAAGAATCTATTGCTTCATTTTATATATCATTTTAATGTTATAATTCTTATACTTATTTTTCATATTCACTTTCTTTCAATTATTTTTCATTTTTTAATTCTTAATACTTTTAATTCAATTAATTCAAATTATCTTATAATTATACAATCTTTTAATTTAAATTTGATATTTATTATTCTAGATTCTTTATCTAATCTTCCAATGATTTATTTTATTATTTGAACAATTATTCTGATTATTTTAGGTTTTCTGTTAATTCTAAGATCACTTATTATTATTTTTCTTATTCCAATTATGAATATGATTTGAATTTTTCAAGTTCAATACTTAAATTTTGACTATGATTTTTCAATTAAATAATTTCTTATTCTTTTTATTATATATCATTCTAAAAAGCTTCATTATTTTAATTTAATTTCTCTAATTCTTTTTCTTTCTCTTAAATATATTCCAATCTTTATTCCATTTGAGCTTAATAATCAAAAAGTTATTGATCTAGTTTCTTAATTTAATGTTCTTTATCTTAAATTTCATTTTATTTTTACAACAATTATTTTTAATGATTAACATTTATCTCTTCAATTTAAACTTGATTATCTCTTATTATATTTTCAATCTTAACATTCAAATTAGAAATTTCTAATCTATATTGATCATCTTATAAATTAATTTAAGTCTAATGTAAAGTAACCATTAAATCTCTTTCATTAATCTCTTCTACCTACTTTGTATTTAATTATTTTAATTAAACTAACTCTTCTGATAATTGTAATACTTCATATTCATTTTTTAAATTAATCTAAATAATTTCTTATGTTTTTTATTCCAATTAAATTTATAATTATTCAATTTCTTTTAATTATTTTTCTATTTTTACTTATTAATCTAATAGTTATTATTTTAAATTCAATTTCTCTTAATTAAATTAACTCTATTCAATAGATGAATTCTTCTAATAATCATTATTAATTTCTTCTAAATTTGCAATCCTATTAGAATATTCAGCAATTAAACTTTTCTTTTCATCTTCAAGTATATGTATTTATTATTCATATTTTTATTTTAATTACAACATCTCTTCATATTAAGTTTATTTTTTTTATTCATAATTTTTTAAAGCATCCTCTCCTTATTTCTTCAAAGCTTCAATTTACTTATCTTTTGATTCACTAATGCTAGTTATTAATTTGTTCTTTTCATGTACTTCGTTAACTTAATCTTTATGCTATTAAATTAATTATTATAAATAAAATTTCTCTGTTTAATTTACAGATTCTTTCTACTATTCTTAATATAATTAATCATTCAACTTTTAAAGTTACTCTTTTTAACTCTCATTTAATTAATTAATCTATTTTAGATTTTCTTGACTTTCTTGTAGTTTAATTTACAAATCATTTACTTCTTCATTCAACTAAAAATTTTCTTATTTAAGTTTTTCTTATAATAATTATATTTACTTATATTCATTCTTCAAATTTTCATTTTATGTCTATTATTCTTTCAACTTATATGAATTCTCTAAATTTGTTTAAGATTGTTTTTATTCTTATTATGATAAATCATTTTTCAATTTTCCAATTTCCAATTACAATTAATTAATTTCCAAACTTTATTAAGTTGATTTCTATATTGCTAATTATTCCTTTGAATTACTTTCCTTTAAATACTCTTACAATTCTTAAATCAAACTATTTTATGAATTTAATTAATCTTTTAATTATTGATTTGCCTCATTATATTATTGGATATTTTATTCTTTGTCCACCTCTGCCTTATCAACTAATGATTTTAATTAATTAATTTCATTAGTCAAATCAGAAATTTTATTTTAGAACTCTTAACATTATTAATTAGTTAACTTTGTATTTTTCTCTTTTTCAGCTATTGCTTAATTAAATTCAGATTTTTATTTCTCACATTATTATTGCAATAATACAATTTAATCCTATTTTTGTGTTAATTCATTTTAATATTTAATAACTTGTTATTCAAGTGTATTGATATGACTTTCTTTCTCAATAAGTAATGACTGTTTCACTGACATAACACTCATTCTCTACTCTTCCTAATCTTAAATATTTTATTAGAATTATTCAATCTAATTATTCAAATCCTAAATAATTGCATTAGCTTATTATAATTAGACCTTTTATTTCTCAATAATCTAATTTAATGAACTCTCACTATTTTATTTTTAATTGTCTGCTTCATTTTTCTGGATTTTAGTTTATGTAATTTCAGCCAAATATTATTTAATTTATTGTTCATATTAAGAAATCACCTATTTATTTTCTTATTCCTATTATCTCTATTATTTCTTTAAAGACTTAATTTATTCAGATAATTGAGTAATTTATTAATTATTTTAGTCAAGTAAAACTTTATAGTCATCAATATTTTTTGATATATTTGTCTCCTATTACACAGAATGATCTTGCAATATCTTAATCTTCTCAGTCAATTATAAAACAAGACTTGATTTTTAAGATAATTCATCCTTTTATTGTGTTATGACACCATTCAATTAAGCCTCATTACTTTTGTAAAGCATTCTTTCTTAAATGAGATCAGAAGATAATTCTTAGATCTTTAAATTTAATTTAGATACTTATTCTTCACTTTTCTAGAATTTGTCTTATAATATCAAGATTTGATTTTTATAATTTGATTCAGTTTCAGCCTAGGTTTATTCTGAGATTTATTTTGTTTATTCTAATTCTTATTGTAATTCAATTTTATCTTGTTTAAGCTTTTCAATTTCTCTTGATTTAGCTTTATTCATTTAATCAAATTCAACTTATTTAGCATGAAGCTTTTATTATAATTCTTAATTTTAATTTTACAATTCATTAGTTTAATCTTATAATTCACTAATTTATTATTTCATATCAAATGTTCCATTAATAGAAGCAGATTCTAATTGTAAATTTAATGCTTTAAGTTCCTTTAATTAATTTTAAAGATCTTCAATAATCTATCTATTATTGATAATTTCAAATTCAACCTCGTCATATCTTTACTAAAATTCTTTTTCTAACTTCTATTTGACATCTTCAACTTCTTAATTTTACAGATTCAATTAACTATTTAATTCTTTAAGTTCTTCAATTTTTTAAGTTAATTAATCAATTTTTTATTAACTTTACAATAGTTTTTCCTCTAATTCTTAATTTTATTATTTTAGTTTATCAATCTCTAATTTAGATAAATTTTGTATTTGAGTTGCTTTGTTTGTCAACTATTAAATTTGAGAGAATTTGTTAGCGTTTTGTTTTTAAGATTCTTATAGATCTACTTAACACTTGTGCAATTCTGCAATTAATTTTACTCTCTCTTTTCCAAACTCACTTGTTTCTTTTGTTTCTTATTAGACTTCTTCTCTTATCTTAGATTCCCTAGATTTCATTTATTCAGACATAAAAACTAAATTTTCTTGTAAGTCTTGAATCTTCTAATCCTTTTTGTTACAGTCTCTCTAAAGATTCTCTATAGCTTTTTGCAATTATTCTATAGTTTCACCTTGTCTTGGATTCGAATCTTACTCATTTTCAGCAAATTCAAGTTTGTTAAGAACTTTATTCGTTTCTTCCTTATTTTACATTTACTGCTATGGATTTTTAGCAATAACTTCAGATTTTCTAGGAGGAGGTTGTTGTTGTTATTAAACAGGTGCAGCTTTCATCATTGACTGAAATCTTCCAGCCAACTATTTAACTGATAGCCTGTTTGCTTCAGGCTAGTCATCACTCATTTTTTTTAATAATTAGATATAAAGATAAACTCAATCAAAACAATAGTCGAGAAATTAATATAAAAAGATAATTCAAAATAGCTTCTACAATTTGATCTTCAAATCAGCTTAAGATATAGCTCTTTTCAATTTATACTTCTCTTTATATTCTCCTTCTAAAGGAGGCAATTTCCATTAATTTCTTTCCTTACGCTCATTGCTCTTAATTCTTTCTCGCAATATTTTATTATATTCATCAACAGTTTATACTTATTGAATAGTAGGATAGATAAATTCAGGGAGACTGTAATCACACTTTTTCTAAGACTATTCCATAATTGGTAGTTTCTCTCTATCTTTGAAAGAAGTGTTTCTAAAAATACGTTGTCTCTTGAAATGCAATTAGTCTTATTATCTTAGTGCTTGATTTCCAAATTTCTTATAAAGATTAACATATTTATCTCTAACAAAATATTGACTATTCAACTTCCATTTTTCTAATTATTGATCCATTTATAATATATAATAAATTATTAATATATGGATCAATTACCATCATTTGCAGGAGATGATTAATAAATAACTTATCTTTTTGCATGGGGACGCAACAAAGATGGAGAATTGTCAATTGTAAAATAGGATATCAATATTTTGATTAGGGTAATCAAAAGAAATGCAATGCCCCAAAAGCAGTTCAAGGATTGAAGAATCAAACAGTTTAATTGATTAGTTCAGGTTCAAATCATTCAGGAATTGTAACATCTGATGGTCAACTTTTTATTTGTGGTTCTGCATTACACGGTTTGCAATTCAAATTTAAAAAATAATTTAGGTAAACTTGGTTTTGAAGATGCAAATCAACCATCTTATCCTAAATTCCTACTTGTTTAGGCTATGAAAGGCTTATTTGTGACTTAAGTGGCAACAGGAGATTATCATACTTTATGTTTATTAGACAATGGATAAGTATATGCTTGGGGTGGCACTCTACATAAAAAGTTAGGATCTAAAGCAGGTAAACCAGCAAGAATAGAAACATTAAAAAAAACTATTGTTTAAATAGGCTGTGGAGATTTTCATAGTGCTGCATTGAGTGCTAATGGAGATCTTTTTACTTGGGGAGGAGGAGGAAGAGATTATAATAGAGGTCAATTGGGTCATGGACATTTAAATGATGTAGAAACTCCCTAAGTCGTTAAAGATAATATCGTCAAATTCAGTTGCGGTGGTTATCATATGATGGCATTAGATAAAGATGGTGAATTGTGGTCTTGGGGTTCTGGAATGTATGGAGAAACTGGCTAAGGAGAATTCTAAGATAGCTTATTACCAAAAAAAGTTAAAATTAATTTCAATCAAAAACATATTATTATTGATGATCTTTATGTGTAGAATAAATAAGGTATTATAAATTTTGAATATAGAATCAACTATAAAGGAAATTAGTCTAGGAGGACATCATAGTTTATTATTATCAAATAAAGGTATTGTTTATGCTTGTGGATATGCATAACATGGATAATTAGGTATTAAAGCTACTGAAAATCAGAACAAATTTTAATTAGTAATAGGATTATCTGGAAAAACTATTGTCTAAATTGCTGCTGGTTGGAATCACTCAATTGTATTGACAAGTCATTCTGATGTCTACACTTGTGGACATAATTAAGCAGGACAACTTGGAATTGGTGATTATGAAAGTAGAACTTAATATACAAGAATCAATTTCTTGGAATAAAGAAGAATTAAATAATTATTTGCAGGAGGAAATCATTCTTGGGCATTAATTGATTATAATCAACCCAGAATTGATGATTATTCTCCTCCTTCTCCTCTAAACGAAGAAGCTAAAATAGAGAACTTTACTTAACCTCTTGATCAAGGCTTATAGGATTTAGAAATAGTTATTACTGAAGTTAAAATGCATCATAGATTTGTCAAAATTTAAGTGCCAGCATAATTTTAAACTACTATTTAGGCTAAGATTAATGATTACTTAAATTTTATGCAAAAAGATCCAAATACAAAATTAAGTAAATTTTAGAATGATGCTCTTGCTTTAGGAGTAAAAGAAGAAAATAATAAGTATATATATGTTTATAGATTTAGATTATCATTTACTATTATGATGGTTATGGATCTATCATCATAGAAAATGCCATTAGAGGATATGGATGAAGGCAAAGTGAATCAAATTGGAAAACAATTTATTGTGAAAAGAAGTACTTTCAATAAAAATCCTATATATGATTGGATTATATAGGCTGAAAAGATAATGAACATTCCAGGAATTTCAATTAAATTCTTGGAACTCAGACCATTATAATGAATGATTCTACTTATGAATTATAAACTCTTTTATAATTTTTATAATTTTGTTTTAGATAATTTAATATTAATAAAAGCAACATCATCTCAAATTTTGAAGTAATCTATAATACTACGTTAAATTCATGAATTGAAATTTTGGAAGTAGATAAACGATTTGAGATAAATGAATTTGAATTCAAGAAATCGAAAAGATTGATTTTTCATATGTCACAGAACAAAAATCATGAACTTAGATGACTTAAGTGCATAATGATTATAAATGTTTTGAAAGAGTAATCATCACTAAATTGATATCTAAATGCTTAGTTTATATCATAAATAACAAAGAATTGAATAAAGATATTAGTCTACATATTATAAGTATCACCTCAATTCTAAAAAGTAGTCCCTATAAATAGAATGAAATTCCTATTAATTAGTTGACAGACTTTTAAAAATTGATTGTTTAAAAAGGTATTTAGTTAAATAAACACTTAGGATAATTAAAGTCTTTAATAAGTACATTTCTTAAAACAAGGAGATCATAATTCTAATTATTATTTTGATAAATGATATACTTAGTATTTGATTGACTGCACAGTAAACATCTACTTTCAACAGCAACTATTTTATTTATGATAATATCACTTATTTCTTCTTCAGTTATAAATTAGATAACTATATTGAAAATAAAAATAGACCAAACTCTCATTCTTTAATACTTTTTGATACAAATATAAGAGCAATAATGAAAGTCTCATTTTCACATCTATCATTGTTAAATAATAAATTAGATTAAGGATTCAGATTTTATCTTAGAGAAAAATTCTGATATTCATTTTATGTAAATCCCATTATTTAATATCTATCCAATTATTATTTTGAATATATTCATTAGTCTGGATACTTAAAATAGATATCGAAGAAGACTTAGCAAGTCTTTTAAGCGATTACAAGTAAGAAATTTAATATTATAAAACATGTTCTTATTCCGTTCTTCTTCCTATTACAAATAATATTCCTTAAAATTTGAAAAAATTGGTTAATAACTTTTATCAAGTGAAAGAGTTATATTAATTTAAAAGTAAGATATTGTTGAAAAACCCATTAAATATGTTGTTGAACCTTTTGAATGACAAATTTCAAATAAATATTAAATTCAAAACGATCTATACATATTTTTAGTACTCAATAAAGAAATTAAAAATAAAAAAGTTTATGATAATCTAACAATTAATAATTAACATCATCACATGTATAAAAAGATTAATAAATCATTAAACGTTAATTGATTAATTTGATATAAATAATCAGAAAAAATAATGACAAAAAATATCCTTAATAATGATATATATTAAGTCACATGAACCTTAAAAATTTACCTTATATGAAAGATAACATCCTGTAAATAAATAAGATTAATAGCTGCCAAAATAATAAATCACATGTATCAAAATGCTTAACAGGTTCAATTGTTGGGACTGGAAAATTAATTATAATGTGATTAATTATAATGATAATAATTATTGTCAAAATAATCAGTGGTAGTATTGTTATTTTTATCTCAAAAATCATTTGGAAAATCATGTAATCTTTCCTAATAATCCATTCTGGAGTAGATAAGGCTGCTACCAACCTGGAATAGTGTCCTTTTAATCCTTTATCCCAATACACATTTGATAAAGACTTGAGAGTTGGGTAATGATTTATAATTTGAGTTTTTTCCATTTGATAAGCTGCTATTACATCATCAAATGGTTAAACAAAGTAAATGTTTAGAAATTCTAAATAAATTCAAGCAATAAATACATATCAAGATTTTTTTATGAGAAATCATTTCATTTTTATTTCATAATTGACACATTAGATTCAATTTTTGTTAGTGTTCCTAACTTTCACCCCATCTCCAAATTTATTATTATTATTATTCTACCCTATTATTTAAGAGTTACTAATTTTAAATTATATTCTTTAATTTTTTGATTTTAATAAGTACAAACTTTGATTCTAGAAAAGTTAGAATGTTTCCACACTAATAAATAATTCACTTCAATTTAAACTTTAAAATTAAATAATATATTTTGTTTAAAAAATTAAAATCCTTAGTTAGCTAAATATGATATTTCTCCCTTCAAGGATTTTATGCAGATGTTTAATTCAAAAATGGGGGGAATGCATAAAACAAGAAATGATGAACTATTTAATTTAAAAAAGAATTTCAATTAGTACAACCATACTAGCTCCATCATAAGAATGAGAATTCCCATAAAGATTTATGTTGAAATGAAAAAATAAAATCTATTATTAGTTCAGTGTAATTGATTTCATAGGCTGAATCAAACTTCATTTAACATATTGACTAGCAATAAAAAAATAGTTGAAAAAGATTTTTAATTGAATAATCCTCCAATATTTCATAAACTCCTATCAACAAATCAATTAAAAATACTCATGTTTTAAGTTAAAAATATAAAATGAGTAAAATTTATAAGCTGCTTATAGACATCATTTATTTTGTAAATTTTAGAAAAATGATTGTTAAATACATATAATTATATAAAGTAAATATTTCCCTAAAAAAATAAAAGATGATATACATAATAATTCAAAGATAATTGTCATACATTTGCCAAAAATAAAAAAATGAAAATAGTTCTCAAATCACAAAGCCAAGATATTATTAAGGATAAAATCATCATACAAGAACATGATAAATTAATATTTTAATAGCTATTGAATGATATGAAATAAATAAAAAGAAATTATTTGTATAACTTATTCAAAAATAAATCAATGTCTCAAAAACACATATTGAGTCAAAAGCAGTTATAGGTTTATTTAAACAACAATCTGAAGAGATATAGCTTTATTTAACTCATGTAGACTTGCTATTCAAGACAAAAAATTTTCAATAAGATTAAGTAATTCTTAAATAATAAATCTGATTTCAATGATAAAGAATGTATTGCTAGACATGAAATTTAGCATACAAATAAAAATGCAAGATGATAATATGGCTACTTTTGAAACAATGAAATTTTTTGAAAATACTAAAACTATTCATTAAATAGCATTGGAATATTTTAAGAATGAATCTATTTAATTCTTAGGTAATAAATATTGTATAAAAAATCATAGGCAATTTAATGAAAACATGGGAATAATCATTTGAGAATTAAAATGGAATGTGCAAAGATAATTTAGAATTTTGTTAGACCATTGAAAAATTATCAGATGAGACTAAAAAAATTGAAGTTTCTCTTAATTCAACCCCACAATTTAAAAAATACTCTCTAAAAAAGACAGAAGTCTAATTCTTAAAGGATTCGAATTGATTTAATAGATTTATATATTTATTTTATCTATATATAGACGTAAATTGCAATAATTTATTCAACAATCAAGAATTTTTCTAATGATATTTTTTTGTAAATGGCTTAATATTTATTTTGAAAATCAATCATAACCTAGTGAGGTTTTTATTATAATAGAGAAATCGTTTATATAAATGTGAGTATATTTTTCTGTTTTTCGTTTCTTTCAAAAATTGGTGTTCTAAAAATAATTCATTGGAATCCTGTGGAAATGGTTAATAATAATATGCATGAAAATGGTTTACTTTTAATTAATTTTTATAAAAGATAATTATAATTGAACTTTCTTATACAATTATTATTGTAATTAGAGAATTATAATTGAGTTTTTTTGATTAATGAACTAAATGAACCTATTTTTTCAAGTAATTTTAAAGAAATCAATCTAAGATTATAACCTGATTTGATATAATGATTGCTTTAATGAGAAGAATAATGCTGAGAACTCAAATAATTCTCTCTTAACATAGTACTACCAAATTATTGAAACTAATTGAAAAACCATTCAAAATATTAAATTCAGTAATTATATAATAAATTTGCATAGCAATTAATTATGTAAAAGGTATAAATTATTCTTATTAATTCAGAACGATTATGGTTTTGTTGGGGATGAAAAAGTGAAGAAAATTGATAATGAACATTATGATGAGGCGATTGAATTGGAAGATGGAGATGATGGAGAAATTGGTAGAGGTGAAGAAAATGAAGATTAATGTAACGTTTTTATCTACTATTCTATTAGATTAAGCTGGTGCTAGAGGAGCCCAATAAGCTGCACAAAGTGTCGGATTTTAAAAAGGAAAGGTTCCTTTACCTGCTAGTGCTTACAATTCAAATGATTATTTAAATTTATAAGTAGGTGCAGAAGTCAAATAATTGTTTGAGGTATTTCTATTTTTAATTTAAGATACAAAGCTCCTTAAATGGTTTTGGATGCAAAATTAAAACCATTTATTCCAGATTAGGTAACCGCTATAGGTGAAGTTGATGCGCACATAAAAATGCCGAGACCTGATGGCTAACCTGAAACAATTGGTTTAATTACATTAGTAATCTATCTATATAATTTTAAGGATGAACCTGCTCTTAATCAATCTAAAAAGGCTAAATTAGATTTATTGATGAGAGAATATGTAAAGGTAGCAAATAAGGGCAAAAATACTACTATCCATGCTATTGAAAATGCTGATAAAAATCCAAAGGAAATTACAGCCTGGATTAACGATGTGGCAGAAATACATAAAAAAAAGTAACCTCCATCTGTTTCATATTCTAAAATTATGCCTGATATTGAAGAATTAATGTAAGTCTGGCCTTAAGAAATTGAAGACTTATTATAAAGCACTTAATTACCAGGTGATAATATTGATGTGGGTTTATAAGAATATTGTTAATTCTCATGCAATTTGTTAGATATTCCTGTTCATTCAATTAATAATAATAGAAATATCATCGAGTCTTTGCATGTTTTATTTACAATGTTTTTGGAATTCAAAACAAATTAACATTTTAGATAAAACAATGATGAAATTTAATGAATTTTCAATATTGAAACATTATTTTCATATTAATCTTTCTATTCAGATTTAATTAATTTGAAAATATCTATTATCATTATTAACAAAGAAAAACTATATATTTCAAATTCTAATTAATATTAAAATTGTTTGCTATTTGATAAATTCTTTTACATTTTAGAAAAAATGACAAAATTTCAATGATTAAAAAAAACAAGTTGAGATAAAAATCAAACTTTGTAGAATCAACTTTTCTAGTAATTGGAATGATTATTATGTAAAATTAAGGAATTACCATTAAATATTTCATTTATTTCTAAATAAGAAAAAAAATTATTATAACAATAATTTGGAATATATTTTTAAATTTATTAATTAATCAATCTCATACATAAATGATTTCTTGCTTTATCTAAATTTGGATATATAAATTCAGAAAATTAGTTAAAAAAAAGAATTGCTTTTCTCAAAATCATTAAATTAATAACAGTTAGATTTAATATTGATTATAAAATATCTCTAAGTAAATTTACTTAAAACATGGAATTTTGACAAAGGATTATATATTATAGAAGAAAACTAAGCAAATTTAACAAGGAATGATAATTAATAAGTTAATTAGTAGACTAATTAAAATCTGATTAAAGGGAAAAAATTTAAAAAAAGGTTTCATTTCTTCACTTATTTCTTAGGAGAACAATTACAGAATTATATATTATGTATAAAGAGGGAAAATGTTAATAAGAATTAGCAGCCTCTAATTATTCATACTAGATGGTTTATAATCAAAATAAAGTCTATTTTTGGAAAAGTAATTGAATTTTTCTTCAATTTAAAAGCCATTACTTAAAAATTACATAATTTATCAATAAATACACTGAGGCTATTAGTTGTTTGACATAGCCTTTTAAATCAATCCATTCAATAATATTGCATAAAATAATCAAAGTTCTTCAATTATCATTTTGCAGTAACGACATTTTCTTTAAGGTTGTTTAAGTAAAAAATATAAATTTGCTGATACTTTTGTTTTATAGATATCTCATTAAGTATCAGTTCAAATAATGAGTAACCATATTCTAATAAAGGATATAATTTAAATAAAAATAGGTTTTACCTTATGGAATTTGCAAAGGTACTAAGAAGATTTTGTTACTTACGAAAAAGCGATAGAGCGCATAACAATAAAAGCATTTCTAAAATTTAAACTATTAAATAGGCCCCTATTATAAAATAATGGTGTTCCATTTCTAATACTAAAATAACAGAAATATGCCTACGCAATTTAATGTTTTAACAATGCATTATTCTAAAAAATAGGGAAGATGAGGCTTATGAAAACACAAAAGATTGTAAACTTTTTCCCTAATTATTTTCAACAAAAAACAAAATAAGCTATTTTCATAAAAATATTGAAGTGTAGGAATTTTTTATTAAGCAATCTTTCTTAAAATAGATACTATTAAATTATACCTCATAGTATTTTATGTTCTTATATTTAAGCTGGCTCATTATACACATTTTTTAAAGTGTGTTTTTGAAAAAGGAAGCAAAATAATATTATTATAAAGCATTAGATATAGGAAAATCTAAATTCAGAGTAAGAATATATTCTATGATATGTATTTTATAGTAAATGTTTAGAAATAGTATTCTAATGCTTATTGAGTTTCATTCATGAATTGTAGGCATTCACCTAAGATTAATTTAATTAAAATTTAATTATCTTGCATAGAGAATAAATTAATGGAGTACAATTTCATTTTGTAATAGCATTTAAAATTCAAATAATTTTAATTAATTACATTTGAATAACCAAAATAAGGAATACCAGAAAAAAATAACAACATGTTAAAAAAATGAGTATTCTTACAATATATAACAAAAATTTTTAGTATGAATCGTTAATAAAGTATTTTATTATTAATAATGTTAATACTATAAAACATTTATTAAATAAATAATAAAACAAAATATTCACTCATTTGGGATTGAACTCAAGATTTTTAATTTGTGGTGATTCATAAAGATATGAAAGTTTATAAACATGTTTATACCGGTGTTGATTTAATATTTAAATTTTTAATTATATGCCAGGCCTTTTGAATAAAGTAACATCCCCATTACGTGGTGGTGGTTGTGGATCTTTGAAAACATTTCCCAACACAGAAATAGTGTTAAAGTCTGATATTTAAGACATAGAAAATTTCATTTCTAGATTTGATTCTTTTGTCNGGAATTTGCAAAGGTACTAAGAAGATTTTGTTACTTACGAAAAAGCGATAGAGCGCATAACAATAAAAGCATTTCTAAAATTTAAACTATTAAATAGGCCCCTATTATAAAATAATGGTGTTCCATTTCTAATACTAAAATAACAGAAATATGCCTACGCAATTTAATGTTTTAACAATGCATTATTCTAAAAAATAGGGAAGATGAGGCTTATGAAAACACAAAAGATTGTAAACTTTTTCCCTAATTATTTTCAACAAAAAACAAAATAAGCTATTTTCATAAAAATATTGAAGTGTAGGAATTTTTTATTAAGCAATCTTTCTTAAAATAGATACTATTAAATTATACCTCATAGTATTTTATGTTCTTATATTTAAGCTGGCTCATTATACACATTTTTTAAAGTGTGTTTTTGAAAAAGGAAGCAAAATAATATTATTATAAAGCATTAGATATAGGAAAATCTAAATTCAGAGTAAGAATATATTCTATGATATGTATTTTATAGTAAATGTTTAGAAATAGTATTCTAATGCTTATTGAGTTTCATTCATGAATTGTAGGCATTCACCTAAGATTAATTTAATTAAAATTTAATTATCTTGCATAGAGAATAAATTAATGGAGTACAATTTCATTTTGTAATAGCATTTAAAATTCAAATAATTTTAATTAATTACATTTGAATAACCAAAATAAGGAATACCAGAAAAAAATAACAACATGTTAAAAAAATGAGTATTCTTACAATATATAACAAAAATTTTTAGTATGAATCGTTAATAAAGTATTTTATTATTAATAATGTTAATACTATAAAACATTTATTAAATAAATAATAAAACAAAATATTCACTCATTTGGGATTGAACTCAAGATTTTTAATTTGTGGTGATTCATAAAGATATGAAAGTTTATAAACATGTTTATACCGGTGTTGATTTAATATTTAAATTTTTAATTATATGCCAGGCCTTTTGAATAAAGTAACATCCCCATTACGTGGTGGTGGTTGTGGATCTTTGAAAACATTTCCCAACACAGAAATAGTGTTAAAGTCTGATATTTAAGACATAGAAAATTTCATTTCTAGATTTGATTCTTTTGTCTAAACGATTTCCACTAAAGCAGCTGTTGCAGCTAATTAAACAGAAGCTTAAGAAATAATGATAGCTATATAATGGTTTATTTTTTAAGAGGAAAACATTTATAAACTCATTAAGAATGCTTAAAAGGTCTTAAAATCATACAATTTAATTATAAATGGAATCCGAAAATTATTGGAAAGTTGTTTGATCTATGTCAGAACGGATTCATTTAAATGCTTATTCATCTTAAAGATTACAGCATCTCTATCTAAGGTGATATTTAGTTTCCATATAAGTAATGATTAGAGATAATTGAACTGCGATACAAAATAGAAATTTTTAGATATTTGTGACGAATTAAAATAATAAATGGAAATAGAGAAGAATGATTTCATTCAAAATTAATTGGAACTTTACCTTTTCCTAACAAAAACTTCATTTCACATGGCCCCAAATGATGATAAAGAACGGAATGATATTTTAAAAGGTTTTTTAAATGGCATTTTTGAATCCATAATTGATATGAAACCTAATGCTGAATTACTGATATCATTGTTTCGTGGGGTCTACATGCTTTACAATCAGTATGTGAATTAAAAAAATAGATAATAATATGAAGTTTATTTTTCAATAGATATGTTATAATGGGAAATCATATATAATTTTAAAAATGCTGGCTAAAAGAATTTGGATGAAATACTCTTACAAATAGAGGAAACACATGAAAAAATTGTGAAAAATTCAAGGAATTGGGAAAATCATTATTTGTGGATTTAAATGATTGGAACAATCTTATTATATAATCCTCTTATAAAAAAAAAAAAATTAAAACAGTTAACGAGCTCTTTCAATCTTGAAGCAAAACCAATATACATATGGAAGGAATATCTAAACAAAAGATTTCTAATTTAAATGAATCATAGCGATGACTAAGCTTTAATTTTGCTTTATTAGTTTACAAATAAATAATTAACTTAAATTGATAAATTAATACTAGAAGACACTTTCAAAGAATGGGAAAACTTCATGGTGCTTAAAGACTTCTTACTGAAGGAAAGAAATGATAACATCCATTTTACATTTGGTTCCTATCTAAAATTTTAGTTAGGAAGCATGGAACCCTAAAAAAATGGATATATAGAGGCAATTTGCAAAATTTAACAATTTTTTCATTTCATTATTTCAAATAAATTACTAGCATTAATTCAAGAAAATGATGAGAGATTGGGAGTCATAGTTTAAAATTATCAAAATTTTTACAAAGAAAATAACTATTTTAATGAGACAATAGAATAAGCCACATATAACTCATAATTAAAACGAATAGTTTTCAACTTTAAAGAATATTTCCAAAACACTCTCAAAATTATTAAAATTATTGGGCATAGTTAAAGGAAATAAACTTTTTAGATAGAATAAATTAAATAGAAAAAGATTAATGAATTCAATTTTTTTTTTAATCTTAAGTATATGATGAAACTAGTATAATAAATATTATCTTAAGCAATTTAAGATATTAACAATAAGAGAAATGAACCTGATGAAATCATAATTCTTTAATAAGAGATTGAATTGATTTAGGAAGAATTTAAACATATAAATCTAATAGATAAATAATTTTCATTTTTCCATTAGTTCAAGTAGAAGCTACTTGCATTACCAATTGCAACTCAAAACTAAAAACTTTTTTTGGAA